GGTGATCGTCCAGAGACACCATGGTATGAACCTGCAATTCAACGTAGAGAAAACAGAGATGATCAAAATCAGCCTAAAGTCAATACTAATGCGACATCAAAATCTACCTACCACCATCCTTCTAATGATGCTTTCACTCAAGCTTATGCACAAAATAGTATCTTTAACAGTGAGGGTTACGCAGCTGCCTCAACATCTACTACTGGTGGCGGTGGTTTTTACAAAACCCTTAGTCATTCATTAAATGCAGATAGTGCTACATCTACTAACACAGCTGCCTCTTTCAAAAATACAATTAAAGAGAAAAGAAATAACGAGGAGCAAGGTAAATGTTACCCATATAATATAACTAATGCTGAAGATATTGAAGAAATCGGGTCAGAAAACACATCAATGGATAGTCCTTCTCATACTATGGATATTGATAACTCTATTGGCTGCCATGCCACTACTAATACGGATACTACAAAGGATGGCACTTCCTCATATTATTCCTATACTACGGATGAGGATAAGTCTGATGCAACTTACACCCCACCTGAATCCTCGTCGTCTGAAAATCAATCCTGCAGGTGCTATTATCATTCTGATGATGCTTCATATAATGCCGATGATGATAAGGAGGGAGATGACCTGTCATCAGTCACATCAAATAGCTCTCATAGCCCACCATTATCTGCAATGTCTACGTCTTCTGATGCTGATGTTAATGACAATCATATGACTTTCTCTAATCAAAAGGATGAGGATAATCAAAATGAAGAAATACTCCAACATGATATCAAGCTTATTATGGCTGGTCAAACAGCTTACGGTCCAGATCACTTCTCTCCCGGGAATAATGATGATGATGATGAAACAAATAGTGTTTTGTCTTCCACTAATGAACCGAATGCTATTACCATCGATATAATGGATGCGCTTGATAAGGATGCTAGCATGCCCACACTTCCATCTTCACACTCTCGTTCACTTGTTGAATTATATGATGATGTTTCATCTTTATCGTCTTTATATTCTTATATGGAAGATAATAATGATTTTTGCGATAATGCTGATTATCATGGTGATAAGAATAATGAGAATGGTAAGTATTATGAGGAGAATACTACCCTTGCTTCGTGTGATCGTTGTATATATGATCTGTACGCAGATATCTCTTCTGATGAACCACAACCTGAATGTATTATCATCTCATCCGACAATACGTCTCTTACTTCAAAGGAAGATGATAGGAACTATCAAAATGAAAATTATAATAATTATACTGACACTAATAATGAAGTACAGTTGCAATCAATTGGTCCCAGTAATAGATCGTCTAATATTCCTCAATCAATTGGAACAACGGGTGGTAATAAAAGCCCTTTAATAAGTGATATCATTCCTACTACTATTGATCAGAATAATGAACATAATAAAACTAGTAAGCGAAAAGGAAAAGGAAAAGAAAAAGAAAAAGAAACAGAAAAAGAAAAAGAAAAAAATATTTGTTCGCCTGCTGTGACTGCTTCGTCATCGGACAATTGGGTTCATATCCATGCAGGTCAACTTCAATTACCTCATCATGTCACCCCGTCAGTTTCTCCTTCTGCTGTTTCGTTCCCCACAGATTCTAATAGTTCCAATGATAAAGGATTTACGTTTGAACATCAACGACAGTCTATAACTATGCCGGATGAGAAAAATTCTGATACTTCTACAACAGCAGGTACTGATAATGGTCAGAGTCGACCATCTGGCTCAAAGGGGAGTGATGTCGGGCATAAAGAATACCAGGAGGATATAGACTTAGATGCTCCTGAAGCAATAATTAATTGGAACAAGAATAAAAGAAAGAAGTTTTATCCTATCGTTGCTCCAAGAAATCAGATAAAGAAACGAAGATTATATATCATAGATTAAGATACTTTGTTGCTTAGATACGTTGGGATTAAACCCAATTAAATAATCTATGAACATTGAATAATAAATATTTAACGTCTCTTCCCCATTTCCAATTGTTGTCAAATTTTACCTTAACATACTCCTCCATATACTTTTGTTTATTATAACTTCTACTTCTCCTTACTGTAACTAACTTTTATAAAAGTAAAGGTCTAACTGAATCAGATCTGACAACTTTCATCAGAAATAGAGGATACACATAGGGCTATATTTACTATAAACGCCCCACTTATACCACCACCTCTATTTATACCTACAACTACAATACTACTACCAACACATCCTTACTAATGTTAATAATTACTACACAATACCAGTATTACCTACTAACAATATCACTGCCTCTAACACTACCACTACTACTTTGACTTGCTTTCATTTTATTTTATTTTTTTTGTAATCCTTATCGTTGGATTATGGAACAGTCTATAATATATTTGTTTGAACAAAAAAAAAAAAAAAAATAAAAAACGAAAAAAAAAAGACAAAAGAATCAGATCATACGTACTAATAGATTAAATGTATTACATAATAAATGATAGCCTGTGTCATAATTCCAACTATTTATACAAGAAATTACCAACATACAATCATATTATCATTTATTCATTTTGCACTTTTAGTCAATCTTCTTGTGCAATAGGTCCTATCTATACTATAGTCTTTGTGTCTTATTTTTCTTTTATTACCATGATCATGATAGCAATAGCCTGTTTTATCTGATGACTTACTTTTAAAACCAGCCTGAGTGCTTCTTTCTTACAACTTGTGTATTTCATTATATATGTCAGGCAAAAAAAAAAAAAAAAAAAAAAAAAATAGTGCCTACGATCTTCCATAGAGTAAGAGGTATATATTCAACAGCTCTTTCTTTCTTTGAAAGTGTTTTGCTCCATAGTAGTGTCGCAAAAAGTTGTTTCGATTTGGACATCTCAGTTCTTGATGTATTTTTTGGTGATTTGTCAAACTCTTCAAGCGTGATGATTTCTCCTCAACAAAGGTGGTTGCTTCCTCGCCTTTCTCATCAATTAAGTTACCAGCACCATTTTCGTAAGGAATATTTATGCTCATTTGAATAATAAAACAACTAAATAATGATGAAAAAAAAAAAAAAGAAAAAAGAAAAAAGAAAAATAAACTACCAAAATAAAGTGATCAATTGGCTCTCAAATAATGACAAGTTTCCACAAATCCAACTAACATTTTGTCCAAATGACGGCGGAAATATAGTAAATTAAGAAAATTTATAGAATAGATCAGAGATATATATGGTGTGTATTTATAGATGTATATAAACTCTTTATTGATTACGAGATAACGTAATTAATAAGATATGTATATGTATGAGTGTAAAATAAGAAACTGTAAGAGATGCAGTACTTATTTGATAAACTCAAGTAATCCTAGATGTAAGCATATTATATATATATATATATATTTATATCTACACCTAGACACGCAATTATCATAACTGACTGCATTAGAAGTAATATAGATTAATAATATGTTATGTATAAGACCGGCCATCTTGTATATAATTTAGAACAGGGCACTATTTACGAGGTATTGGATTGTCTAATCATTATTTCACCATACCAGATCACGTAAAATTATCTGTAGAATTATCGCATGTCTTTACCTATTAGCGGTAAAAAGTAGTTTTAAAAAAAACAGCCATTACATTACATGAGCTGTATATGAATAAGGTGCTCTGCAACCAATAGGCTTCGAGTATATATACTTTGTAGCATTATATATGCCACGGGTACTGTAGATTTAAGACAAGAAGGGATTGATTTTATACTTTATGAACAAAACATTGTTCCCATAGTTATTTAACACTACAGCACACAAATAACACACTTCTTATTTGATATTTGTTTTCTAATCTTGATAGTTCGTCTACACCAGAGGGTGACAAAGAGTACTAAAGAGAATATTCAAACGCAAGAAAATTAAGATCGAACCGATAGGCCGTTATGAATCAATTCTGTTATGAACAGACAAATAATGCCTAAAGATAAAACGTATTCATTTTATAATCTTTGCACAATTGACACTTGTAGATTATATAAAAGAGAAAAAATAATTTTAGCAGTAGTTTAGTTCCTTTTTAGTTTTAGTGTTAACTTATTTTAACTGTGATAAAAGCACCCAGTTTGATCTTATTAATTCTTTGTGTTTCTATTTATCTTGAATCATTGGTCAAATACCACATTGATAGTCATAAGGTATAACATGGATAGTTGCATATATAGACGTCATATCTATAATGAAATAACTTGTATATAATATAGAACATATTCTTAATACATTTACTTACTATATAATAATCTACTGTTCTCTACTCTGTTATTCGGAAAATTGTTCTTGTAGGATTTTTCATTATTTTCTAATCACAATAAACTGCTGAATTAATAATATTTTATATTGGTTCCTGACAAGTCTTTGTGATTATTAAAGATTTAAGTTTGGTTAATATACTTACTGAAAATTATATAAGAGGCTGTTAGTTACTACATTTATAATTTTTCTCAATTAACAACTTATCTTCAATATAACTATGAAAAGCTCTCACAGATTTGTCTGTCTCTGTTATAATTTATTAATCCTTAGCATTATGCTTTTCTGTGCCTTTATCTAGGTACAGGTACCGCTCAGGTGATTTTTTTTTGTCCAAATTGAGTAAAGTTAAATTCAGACAAAGGTAAGAATGGTTGGGTAAGGTATAAATATAATAAATTGCTTATTTCCTTTTTCCTTTCTTATCACTCAATGGATTTCCAACACTACGTTGATACTAGCACTGAGGTTTACGATGACAATTCCTCAAACGAATAGATGGAATTTTGAATCGTCCACTTTTGCATACGGGTAAACTGATCGAACTCGCAAATACCAATTCGACCATTACTCCTGATACCCCTTATATCAAAAATGAAGATATGCCAGATGTGCCCGCGTTTTCTCAAAGAATGTATCCACCCCAAGTTTACAAGAAATACGGGGAAACAAATATAGCAAGTTTTTTTTTTTTTTTTTTTTTTTTTTTTTTTTTTTTTTGAAGAATAAGTGTTTCTAAGGCAGCAAAAATCACAAATATACCAAGAAGCACAGCGTACGAGTTAAAAAAAAAAACCATGGAATCAAAGTGATGGAACAGTTTACCTCTCAGGTTATTTTAAAAAAAAATCAAAAGCCAAACCTGATATAACACTCCCCCGTAATACAAAACTAAAGACAGTGCATACAATGTATCTGATCGAACAGGTAAATCTAAACGCTAATGATTCGACGAAACTACTTTGTTCTAAACTTGAAGAATTATCGATTTCTAACTCTGCGGTAAGAAACCATATGGTAAACCAACTGCAAGCTTTCTCTCAAAAATACCAAGCTATACAATCTTTGGAAAAGATTCTGATAAAACAGTAAAATTACGATATGATTTTAATATTGCTAGTACATATTATATGACAAACTGTGTTTTTGTAGACAAAGATGGCTTCAATACTCATCAAACAATAATTCATCACTGGTACAAAGTAGGTGTACCTGTTGTTGCCAAGTTGCCAAAAAAAAAAAATGAAGGTGTCAATATATCTATTATCGGATGCATTTCCTCATGGAGAATTATAAATTTTTATAAAGTGGATCCACTCAAACCAAATGATGCGGAGAAGATTGAAAAGGAGTTTCCTTTACCTGACAATAAGAAAAAGAAAAGGAGAAGATAAAAACAGGACACCAAAAAGAAAAATAAATAAAGATACGACTGCCTATCATGTTGTAAAATTCATTGAGCAAACCATGGATATACTGGATCAGCAAGGAAAACATAGTGTTTGCATTGTTATGAATAACTGCAGGATTTCATCATTCATAATTTGTTACAGAAAATATAAATAAATGTGGTTATAGGCCCTTATTTATGCCCATCTTATTTGCCTTTATTAAATCCTATTGAAGAATGCATCCTTTATCAGAGAATGACCAATTAACTCGAAGGATAGCGACTGTTTGTAAAACGGTCTCAGTAGAAGATTGCCAAGGACAGGTCAGGTATTCAGTAAGCTTTTGGACCGCTGTCTGGTTAAAGAGCATATTCTTTCCTGAATATAGTTTAAAATAAAATCTGATTTTTTTTTTATCAAGCACATGTCTAAATAAAATTTTTATATGACCAAGTATTTGTCCAAATTAAGTTAAAAAGAAAGGTCTCGTTGTGTCTGAAAATAAATTTATTTCTCCTGAATTTTTTTTTCCCAAAAAGTCCCCAAATAAAAAAAAAAAACGTAAATAAAAATAGATTATTTTGCATTCTCCTCCTTTCTTTTTCTTTTCCCACACATTAAATTATATTTTATCGCAACTACAATAACAGAAAAGAATTCGAATTTTTTTTTATAAGAAAACCAAACCAGAACAGAAGGACATAGCTTAAACACCAACTTATTTTCTTGCTTTTTTTCTTTATCTCTCTCTCTTTTTTTTTCTTTCATCGTTAGAAGGGAAAGAAAAGATATTACAAACAAAATTTTGGAAAACAACACAGGAATAATTATGCTTAATTTTTATTCTCGAAATTATTTTTCATTATTATTATTATACATTCAATTCAAAAAAAAAGAAAATCCATATTATTGAAAAAAAAAAAATCCATATTATTAAAAAAAAAAAAAAAAAAGGAAAATATATCATATACACACAATATATAAAATAACAACAACGTATGGTAAAGACGATTATATATTATTTACTATCACTTATTGGAATTAAACCAATAGAGGATATTTATCAACATCAAAAAGAAGAAGTTTGCAGACATATAGAAGATTCAGCATTTATATTAGAAGAGAAGGAAGAATTTAATGAAAAACATACTCATTCATTAATATCAACAAATGAAATACAAGATTGGTTAAGTCGATTATCAAAGATGACACTCTATCAGATCTTAACGTCAGCTATGGACGAATACCCCGAAATTGCAAACTGTATTTATCAAAGACATTATGAAAAGAGATACTTTATGTCCAAGGGCAGTAGTTATCAACGACGTAATAGCAGTATAAATGAAAAATTAAGTCAGCTTAAATTAATTCAGTTACAAACAAGAACAATATCTCATAGGCTAGATAATCTTAGACCAAGCGATCAATTCGGTCGTGCCTCTGAGATAGCTGAAGCCCTCCAACATCTTATTCGTTCATTACATCTTCATTCCGATCAGTCTTTCTTTACATTATTTAGTTTAATTATTTTAGCTCAGGAAAGTTTAATGGCTCCTTCTGAAGTACGTCAGCATGTATTTTATCATGTTAAATTAGGTAGAATTCTTATCCTCGAAATGTCAACTATCTTGAAAAATTTTATTTACCTTCCCTTCGTTGGAAATGATCTTACTGATTATTGGACTCAACTAGGATACGATCCTCAGAAGCAGGATTGGTTATCTTGTTTGGAGGCTATTTGCTTAAAATTAGCCCGTTATGATATTACTTGGGAATATCGAAAAGAATATCAAGAAGTTATTACTATAGCTAAACGTTATTATTCTCAAACAAATATCAAACAAATCTAATTGTATACATTCATTTGTTTTGTCTTGTTCTTCTTAATTCTTAGACATATTACATGTGACTCTATTCTTATATATTTATCTGTTTTCTTTCATTTTAATAAAGACTTTATTTAATTCTACTTCCATAAAGTACCATATTCTTTTCTCTATGTACACGAGCAAATTTAAGTAATAAGTGATCTTGATCTTTCTTTTCAGGTGCTAAATCTTTTAAAAAAGGAATAATCTCTTCTGACCGCCATAAGGGCTTTTCTGCAAATAAAGCTGCAAATCGTTGTGGTGGGTCAGTAGATAACTCTGAAATTGGAAAGTATTGAACATATTTTTCTGTCGTTTGTAACTTGAATCTTTCATGTATAATATATAATCCTTCTAAATACTCTAATTTAGGTGTAAAAATATCCTGTCCTAATTTTTTCCAAACTTCCATAAAATCATTTATCTCCCATTGTTTATTCTAAACATTGATGTATAAGTCAGTCGTATAAGTCAGTTGCTATTTTTTTTTTTTTTACCCTAGGATTATTTAATAACCATTCACCTAAAAATCGACATATTTTCCTTTCATCGAATTGTATAAATTCATCATCTTGGTCTATCATATCATTTATAAACGAATTTATACATGCTGTAAGTATATGATCAGGTAGCTCTTCTTCTTCATCAACAGCATTCATTTCTTCCTTTATACATTTCTTTGCTTCCCTTAATTTCATCTTTCCAAAATCATATCCATGTAATATAGCATTCGTCATTAATGAATCAAATAAGCGAAACAAATAATTCCGTTCAAAAAGTCGAAAATGTCCTTCATGTTGAAATGCTCCTTTTTTCTCTAATGCTTCCAATAACTCATTTTCACTGGCTTGTACAATTGATAATAAATCATGATAGCTATATAACGTCTTTTTTTTTTTTTTTTTTTTTTTTTTTTTTTTTTTTTGTTAGTTCCATAATCATCTTGACTAATCACACACCATGTACCTTATTTTTACTTAATTCTTTTTCATTTTTAGATCCAGAATATAATGATTCACCAAGTAGATCATCAATTCGATTTAATCGTGCAAGACAAGGTTTTAATTCAATTGTATTGGATATATCATCACAAATAGTATATTGATTCAAAGTGTGATTCTCGTTAACCAACAACATTGAATTTGATGTATTTACTTGACGTATAAGAAATGTCTTTGATTCTGTACATAATACAGCTTCATCATCCGCATATCCTTTAATGATGACCCTATATCCTTATACATCAATCTTCACATTTCTATTCAATGCTCTTTTTCTCTGTCACACACACACACATTCTCTAGATTTGAATCCTTACTCTTTGCCTGACTCAAAAGCTTCTTGTAATTCTTTAGAGCCTAATTCAATCAAGCTATATGTGTTCTTTTCAAACTTATTTTTGTATATTATTTCTTTTGACATTGATATACTGCCTTTTTTTTTTTTTTAATAATTGAGAAAAAAAAGGTGTGTTCTCTAATATGTGCGTGACGTGCGAATTATCACGAATTGTCCAAAATTTTTTATATCTTATACATAAAATAGAAAACATATTCTTAATAAATGATAAATAATTTATTCGATCTTTTTTTTTTTTGTGATAGATATTTTCGTAAATAGACTTCTTTGAATACACCTTTAATGTTTCTTGCTGCTAAAAACTAAAAGTGCCAAAGTTCCTACAAGTTACTATTTATTTATTTTTTGCAAGACTTTCATTAAATTGCTAGCAAAAGACTCAATATATCTTGACTTCTTTTATTTAGAACAATACCTTATTACGCGTGTACTGAAAGAATCGAATAATATCAAAATTTCTGTAAAAAGAAAAAAAAAAAATAAATGTTTCATTCTTAATAATTTTTTTTTTTTGATCTATAATCGAATATCAATTATAGATTTAATTTAGCTGGTATCGTTGTTTATATACTTTAACTATAATAGGAATTTTGAAAGAAAGATAGTACTTGAGGTAATTAAAAAGGTTAAACTGAAGCATTATCGCTAATGCTTTTTAACTTATTAAACATACTATTTATGATGAGACAAGATGTAACTTCAAAGTAAATGCTAGTGTAAATTATAATAAAAATAAAATAAAATGAAAAAAGAAGAAGAAAGGGCAGAGTCTATTAAAAGCCACGTTGTTGAATTAACTACTGTGGGGGAGGAAAGTATAACTAAACTTTATCTTAAACATACACGTATAAAAAAAAAGTTGAGCACTTTAAAATATGAATAACATATTTAAATTTCATACATAGTTGCAAGAATTATAGCTTACACATATTTGCTTTATTTATTTATTTTTATCATACAAAGGTATATTATACGATTCATAGTTAGACCCTATATATCACATGATATATTAGTACCTTTCAAGTTATAATAAAGGAATTCACATGATCTGATAGAATAATCTATGTACATATCGCCATAAGATGTTGACGTTCTAAAAATAATTCTAAGATTCTTCACTCGTGTGTGTGTGTGTGTGTGTTTTTTTTTGTTAAGACAATCAAAGGGAAGAAGGACAGTAGTGTTAGATCATATTCACTTTAATATATTCTGTAGCCATATTAAATTTAAGCATTTGTAATTAGTGTCGATTCATAATAATTCGCGTTATGCATAGGTTACATGTTGTAAAGAAACTTCATTAATTTTTCCTGATCTGGCGGTTAATAGATTAAAGTTATCCAATCGCATTTTTAGCTCAGCATATTCTAACCTTTTTTTTTCTATTTGTTTCATTTTTTTTTTAAAAAAAAAAAAAAATAATAATAATAATAAATCAATACACTAAAAGAGCTTGTAAAATAGTTATTGTAAACAAGTGGTTTTATTTACTATTCATACAAACATGGAATTATTCTATAGTTCGTATTTGGTGTTGTATATAAAAAAAGACTTTAATTTGAAACCAAAAATTAAATAGAAAATAAAATTAGTATTGTTGATAACCATACTTGTTTGTCTTTCTTTTTTTTCTTTCTTTCTTTCTTTCTTTCTTTCTTTTTTTTTTTTTTTATTTTTTTTTCTGTTTTTTAGGGCCAATAAAAAAATAATATTTTATCCTAATGTGTAATAATCGAAAACTAGTTGTATTATTTTATTTTTCCAAAGATTCTACATAACTTTAATGAAAAGTAAAAAGTCATTCATATAAAAAGAAAGTATCTTTAAATCTCTTTCTCTCTTTCTCTCTCTTATTGTTGTATATTTATATTTATATAAACTTATTGAGTATTATCTGTATTTTAACGTGTTATGCAACAAGATAATAATCTTTCAATTACAGAAATTACATTTGACACCTCAGACAATCACATACAAAGAAGTCAAAATGACGAAAAAAAATACCAAGTTACTTATGATGAAAAGGCCTTATCTAGAGAGGCTTCAATTATGACTAGTGATACACAGACAGATAATAAATCTTTATTAAAGAAGGTGTTGATGAGAAAACGTAATTTAATAAGTCGTACTTCCACATCCACAATAACTGTAGCAGAGGGGCCCCCTTATCATACTATGAAGATTGAAGCCGTTGCTCAGTTGTTGAAATCTGATCTACAGGATGGTCTTAAAGAATCAGTAGTGGCTGAAAAGCGTACTCAATATGGCTATAATGAAATGGAAGGTGATGGTGGTGTTAATCCTATCAAGCTCATGTTGAAGCAATTTTTGAATATCATGGTCTTAATTTTAGTTATTGCCATGGTTGTGTCATTTGTTTTCAAGGATTATGTCGAAGCTGGTGTCATTGCATTTATTATGGTCTTGAATGCCGGTATCGGCTTTGCTCAAGAATACAAAGCCGAGCGTACTATGGAATCCTTACGTCAAATGGCTTCACCTACTTCTCAAGTCATTCGTGACGGTCAACAAAAGACGATTGCTACTCGTGATTTAGTTCCTGGAGATATCATTATTCTCAAGAATGGAGATGTTGTTGGTGCTGATTGTCGTGTTATTGAATCATTTAATATGGATATTGATGAAGCTTTATTAACGGGTGAATCACTTCCTGTCAATAAAGTGTAAGTATTGAAAAAAAAAAATAAAATAAAATAAAAATAAAATATTATGAAAAACAGAATATTTATATACATATTTATTTAAAAATAACAGCGCTGATGTCTTGGAAAATACTGAGGTTCCTTTAGGTGATCGTATCAATATGACATATTCTAGTACAACATTGTGTAAAGGTCGTGGTAAAGCTATCGTAACTGCCATCGGTATGCAAACAGAAATTGGTAAAATTGCAAAGCGTCTTTTGGATAGTGGAGAAAATAATCGTACTCCTCTTCAAAAGTCCTTGGATCGTATGGCCCTTGTTTTATTAGCTGTTGCTATTATTACCTTATTAATTGTCTTTGGTGTTGCTAAATTTCAAATTGATGATCAAGTCGTACTTTATGCTATCTCTACTGCTATCGCTGTCATTCCTGAGGGTCTTATTGCCGTAGTTACGCTCACACAAGCCTTTGGTGTTAATGCGATGGCTAAGGCTAACGCTCTTGTTCGTCGTCTTGTTGCCCTCGAAAGTCTTGGCTCTGTTACTAATATTTGTTCAGATAAAACAGGTACCCTTACTCAATCGAAGATGGTCTTGACTCGTTTCTGGCGTCCAGATACCGGCTTCTATAAGGTCTCTGGTCTTGGTTTCACCATTGAAGGTCAAGTGGTTTCCGAATCTGATGCTGAAAAGATCATTACAAAGGAAAATATGAATTTCGGTATGCATCAATTAGTTGAATCAGCTGCCCTTTGTAACATGAGTGAGTTACGTCAACATCATGAAACTGAGGAATGGTATGGTATTGGTGATCCTACTGAAATCGCTTTGCAAGTCTTTGCTCATAAAATGAAGATGGGTAAACCTGCTTTGATGAACGATGAAAATTGGCGACTTGTATCTGAATACCCCTTTGATTCCTCTATCAAGCGTATGAGTGTCCTCTGTCAGCACAATAACGGTGAAGCCTTTGCTTTCTTAAAGGGTGCTACTGAACGTGTCTTATCCTGTTGTACTGGAATTCAAATGTCTGATAAAGGTGATGTTAAGTCCATGACTCAAGAGGAACTTCAAGAGTTGATCATGCCTCAGGTCGAAAGCTTAGCTATGGGTGGTCTTCGTGTCCTTTCACTTGCTACTCGTCATATCTCAACCAAAGGGAAAGATACACTCGAATTCGATACCTTTAGTCGTGAAGAGATTGAACAGGATATGATTTTCTTGGGTTTAGTTGGTATCTATGATCCTCCTCGTGCTGAATCCAAGTCAGCTGTTGAAAAATGTCATAAGGCAGGTATTACAGTTCACATGCTTACAGGTGATCATATTGCAACCGCTACAGCTATTGCTCGCGAGGTTAGAATTATTCCTGCTGAGGGAGATGTTAGTGATGTTGTCATGTCTGCTCAAGAATTCGATAAGTTATCTGAAGAAACTATTGATCAACTCCCTCAATTACCATTAGTCATTGCTCGTTGTAGCCCTGACACAAAGGTAAAGATGATTGAAGCACTTCATCGACGTAAACGTATCAGTGCCATGACAGGTGATGGTGTTAACGATAGTCCCTCCCTCAAGGAATCCGATATTGGTATTGCTATGGGTCAAGGTGGATCTGATGTTGCTAAACAAGCATCTGATATTATCCTTGTCGATGATAATTTTGCTACAATTGTTGCTGCTATTCAAGAAGGTCGTCGTGTGTTTGCTAACATCTCCAAGTTTGTTGTCCACATGGTCTCTGTCAATGTTGCTGAATTAACTCCTTTGCTTCTTTGCTTGGCCTTCCGTGATGGTAATAATATCGTTTATCCTCTTTCTCCTATTCAAATCTTGTTCAACAACTTGATTACCAGTGCGCCTCCTGCTATGGCCTTAGGTCTCGAACCTGTTCATCCTCAACAAATGCTCGTCCCTCCCAGATCTGATAAAGAGTCTCTCTTCTGTAATCGTAATATCATCGATATCTTATACTATGGTATCATGATGGGTCTGATCTGTTTAGCTAATTATGCAATCGTTATTTATGTCTATGGCTCTGGTAGTCTCGGTATTGACTGTAATATGTCCTTTAACCAAAACCCTCATAAAGATACCTGCTATGATGTTTATCATGCGCGTGGTGCTCTTTTTGTTACTATGACTATCTTACTCTTGATACATGCACAAACATGTCGTGATTTAGTAAATCCTACTTGGACATGGAAGGGTTTGACAGGAAAACAAAACTATCATATGTATGCCTCTTGGGTCTTTGGCTTCTCTATCATGTTTATTGTTCTTTATGTGCCTGTGTAAGTATAAAGTTGATAATCACTATATAAATAGAGTATACTTATATTTATCTATTATTTAGAATTAATACTGAAGTATTCAAGCATTTGCCTATTACTTGGGAATGGGGAATGGTGGCAGCATCTGTTGTTGTGTATATCATTTTAGCTGAAAGCTATAAATTCATTAAGCGTAAATTTTTCACTATTAGAAAGTAACTTATCTCTCTCTCTCTCTCTCTCTCTCTCTCTCCTTCCCCCTCTTTTTTTTCCCTTCCCTTCTCAATTCTACACGTATTTTACCTATTTAACTATTTACCGTTATATATTCTGTATAATATACAATATATCCATAATGCCTATAATAAGTATTTTCAATATTATTAATAGAATAAATAAATCAATATAAACTAAATTTATATATATGCATATATATATAATTGTCATATACAAGTGAACTGTTTTGTAATGATGCCTATATATAATTCGATATTATAAAAAATTATATGTAGTAATTTTACTCGCATTCTTAATGATAAGCATATTCATATAAACCAAAATTATGAGCAAAAGTATGGACAAAAATATGGACAAAAATAGTCAACAATTTGTAATAATGATTATAAGGGCTAATATAAATGTATATATATCAGTTTTGTATAAATATATATACAAATATATAAAGGATCTAAGATATATGAAATAAAAGTATTTATTACAAAGTTTGTTATTACACAATGAGAGTTATTTATATATATAAAATGGAGGTATAGTGAATTTGTTGCTTTGGGAAAAATGCATATAATTATACTTCACGAATGTAAGCAATATGCCTTTTGCAACTCGCATTATTATTAATTTAGGCATTTCTTCCCTTTCTTGATAATGTATCTTTTCAAGATTGAACACTAGATTAACAACCCAAGAAAAATAAACGCAAGTAAATTCCTGATATTTCGTACATCTAGTTACAAACCCTTATGAACTGAATGTACTTGAACGTGTCTCAATATATATATATATATATATATTTTTAAAAAATAATGTATATACCGATTAGGTACACCTGATAATGCTAGTAATATTAACTATCATGCCTTTCAATCTATTTGTTGAGATTTTATAGATGAACAGTTTAATAAACAATTCCATTTATCTCATTCAGTTTGTTTATCCATCTGTCATCCAACACCTCCTTGTATCTTCCATCGAACTAGACAAGTTTACTCTTGTTTCGTGCTACTATTTGTTTAAAAATGCATCGCCAATTACGAATGTCTAGCACAGTGGCTGATATTTTACCTTTCCTACTCAATCATCTTCTTGGCAAATATAGAACATCACTTATCGCACGAAACAGTTCCTTTACTTCTATATGAATTATTTGCTGATCTACAATATATAGTGTACTATTCTTTGAACCTGATTGTCTTTATCATGATAAGATTTCTCCTGAAATCCATCTTTCCTCTCTTGGTATTGACATGATCAAACATTTATACAGTAATTAATTTGGTATCTAAAGATTTGATTACCTATTTCTTTTCTCTTCTATTAACTTTCCTTTTCCCCCTTTTTTTTTTGATCTGATCCAAGTAATACATTATTGTTTTATTATGTGTTCAAATAGGTTAAATATTTAATCGTATAATCTCATAAGAGCGATCACTGAGATTAAAAGAAATTTAGTTTAGTTTCAGAATTTAATTCATAAAAAGAAAAAGAAGTAAAAATCTTTTTTTTTTTTTTTTTTTTTTTTTTTTTTTTTTCAAATATACACAGATATGACTAAACCAAGCTATAATCATTTACCACAACACCTTAAAAACCACTATATTATTCAAAGACATGGTTTTTCTTTAGCTAATAACGAAGGTTTAATTTGTTCTAATCCTGATATTGCTATTCCTCCTAAAGGTGGCCCTTTAAATACCGGTTATGGATTACATGATAAAGGAAAAGCTCAAGTAAAAGAGGTAAATATATGTATATATTTATATATATCTGATAATTACTAACAAAAAAAATTATTTATATAGTTTGCAGCTCTTCTTTCCAAACATATTTTCCCTACACAAGAGGCGCCTGCTGGCGATGATGATTCACCTGTTGTTATTTTCTGTTCTCCTTTCAAAAGGACAGTCGAAACAGCCGAAATTATCCAAGGTGTCTTGAATGATACTGTTCTTGGCGGTAAGGTTGCTGCTCCCATTCGAGAGATAGACTTAAGAGAGAGATGGTATGGTGAGCTCGATATGACTTCTGATAAAAATTACGAGTTATGTTGGATAGATGATGCAGCAGAACCTGACCATGGTGAACATAGCCAATATGGTATTGAGTCACCTACTAGTGTATGTGATAGAACAACTCGTTTCATTGTTGATAAAATCGAAAGTCAGATGGAAGGTAAGACGGTTATTTTGGTTGCCCATGGAGACGTCTGTCAAATCATGATGACTGCCTTCAAACATATTGAGCCCTGGAAACATAGACAACTTAAACATGTTGATACTGCTAATTGGAGAGACACTTTGAATATAGAATAAATTGTATGTGTATATCTTTTTAGACTTTTATATATATTTATATATTTAGAATAAATACATTGTATATAAAGATAGATATGTATAAACATTATAATATCTTTTATTATGTATAGTATTAAACAACTGCTTTTGATCTATCTAATGATTGTAATAAAGAATTTGACATGACACTATAAATCTTTGAGCAACCATCTATACATTGCTCAATTGCCTTTGAAGTAATAGCACTATCTGATTGTCCATTTTGAAGAATGTGAGTGACTTCATTAAGTGATGGCATATAAGATAATACTAAAGAACCTTCCTTTTGATTTTCCTCTTTTTCTGTACCGTCCATTAAAATATGTTGTTCCTTTGTTAAAATAGATGAACAGGCTGTAACCTGATCTAACATCTCAATACCTGCATCTGCTAAAGCAACACTGGAAGCAATGATGGCAGCTGCAAGACAAGAGCTTGTTCCATCATTTTCAAGTACATTTACATAAATATCAATTGCTGATTTTGGTAATAATTCAACTCTGACAGCAGGTGTAAGTGCTTCTACTAAGATTTGAGAAAATTCCTTTTCCTCTGCATCCTTTTTATATAAAAGTTAATATTTATACACGTATCATTTTTTTTTTTGAAACTCTATTTTACTCTTATCTGCCCTCTTCTTTTTATGCATGAAAAGGTTGAAAATTTAAAATCACAATTAAGTTTACATAAGGGAGAGAATTCTGCTTTTTTTAATTGTCTAGGACCATATCTATAATCCTTATGAGTATTTTTTTTTTATGATCTCTTTAAATCAATCTAAATTATTAAACTTACACTGCACATGTCACTTTTGTATTTCCAATTTCAATATATGCTGATCCATTTGCCTGTGTTACGAGTCCTGATTTTAAAACTAGACATAGTTTTTAATGTCAATAAAAAAGTCGATGATGTAAAACAAAAAAAAAAAAAAAGAGTTACAAATAGGTCTGAGATCTTCAACGCTTCTTTTGTCTAATCTCTTCTTTTCAGCATCTAAAATTATAGGTGTTTCTTCTACTTTTTTGAAAATAGGGGTGACACTTGTCTCAGGTCCATTAACACGTTTACGATCCATTTGTTTTTTTTTTTTTTGCTTGAAGTTAGATGCTGAAAAAAAAAAAAAAAAAGAATGGCTTTAATTAAATTTTTATTTTATTGTGACGCGCAATTATTTAGAAGCATGAATGTATCGATTTTTTATTTTATTTTATTTTATTTTATTTTATTTTATTTTTTTGGTTCAAAGCCATTACAGTCGTTGAAACTAGGTTGGGTCAACAAGAAAATTTTTTGGTCAATTCCAAATTAAATTGGGACAGAGTTGCAAGGTTGGGAAACCAGTAAGGAAATGGGACATGAGTACAAATATGGGACGAGACAATGTTAATTCCTTCAGATGAATCAAAATTAATTTTTAGAAATTTTAGTTTACCTTTTTTGGACAAAGTTAAAAAAGGACATTTGACATTGTCTCGTCCTATATTTGTACTCATGTTCCATTTTCCCATCTCTGTCCCAATTTAATTTGGAATTGACCAAAAAAATTTTTTGTTGACCCAACCTAGTTTCAACGACTGTAATACCAAAAAAAACTAAAGAGTACATGTATATACAGACTTGAGATATAGAATGATTTCAGTTATATAGTATAAAATACCTTTGAAAAGTCCAACAGAATAAGCTGTTTTATGGAAAGACTCTTTCAGGAACAATATTATTAAAATGCATATTATTTTAACACATGTGAAGAAAAAATCCAACAAATCATTATAGAGGACATACCATCTTTGAAAGTAAAAAAAAAAAAAAAGGTAGTCGGTATTATGCATAGAAATAAATTGTAAAGCGTACCTTTAGTTACAAGATATGTTATTATTCAAATTGAGTAATAATTTTGTTTAATATTAAATAGCCTGAAGTTAGATGGTTAATAAGAAAGATGATATCAATGATTTAAAACAAATCATGCTTATAATATTACAAAAAATGAAAGTTAAAAGTTATTATGCTCCTAACTTAACAAGGTGACGTAGATTTGGTATGAACGGCCTTTAAATTTACAAAAGGGCTTTCTTCTATGTATAACGAGGGGTAGGCGAAAAAAAAAAAAATACTTAATTTGATTTTGAATCCCCACATATTCTCTCCTCTCCACTCTTATAATACACACACACATATACATATATAAATAAATATAGTAATGTCAGGTAAGAAAATTACAGAATGCACTAGACATGTTTAAATGAAGTCAAAATTAAACTCCAGTGGCTAATTTTGTTATATAGAAAAAGCGTCTCAACAAGATATGGCGAAATCTCGAATTCCTCTCGAGTATCGTGATTATTGTGCAAATCTTTTAATCCCACTTAACAAGTGTCGAGGCGAAACTTTTTATCTTCCTTGGAAGTGTGAAAATGAACGTCATGCCTATGAAAAATGCCAATACGAGGAGTATGTAGATAACCCATATTTAATATATATATTTTTTATACTTATACCAATTTGTAGTTTTAAGCGTCGTATGAAAGAACAACAAGCAAAAGCAGAAGAAGAGGAATAAAGCTGTATAAAAGATTCAAATTATAATAATAATGACAATAATAATAAAAAAAAGAACATATACACGGAAATACAAAATTATACTGCATCTATTTGTATATTATTTTTTTCTGAAGACAATTATACAAGTTTTCATTTTTGCAGACGAATAAAGAACAGATAGAAAATGATTTTATATGTAATATGGAAACTACTATATAAGAAGACGTAGATTGCAAAATTGGAAAAGATAAAAGCGAAGAAACTACCAAAGCAGTATATAAAGTATAGTATTGTTTCCCAGTTTATAGTTGAGTGAAAAAAATAATATTTATTCATGTGAAAACTGTGAGTTTATATTTTGACGAACAATCATGATATGAATGCCATATAAGGGAGACTTTTTATTTTTTTTTCCTAGGTTTAACTCAACATGTATCTTTAGCACCTTTCATTCTTAAAATTGAATGCAATACGTGTAAATGTAACAATATTAACAAGTTCTCTATTATATATTGTTGCTATACAGGTAAAAAGTTAGAGTTGCATACAAAAGAAGTTACTATTATATAATTTTCTTAAAAAAGTAAACTATTTTTTAACTGAACACTTGATAAAACTATAACATTATTTATGTCTTAGAAGAAATAAATAAAGGTGAAGAAATATTTAATTAGTAATAAGGGTAATGAAGATGTTAGATGAGGCGAATATTAAAAGTGCAGGTATGATAGACAGAAGTTAGAGGATTAAGGAAGTCGTTTATATAAATGATGACTTATAAAGTGATAAGTATATACATATCTTTATAAGTGCTCTAGCATGTATATTTAGCATAAGGTTGATCACCAACTGTCTAAGGAATCAAGGTGATGCTGAGTTAAGAGTATGAGCTGATTAAGTTGAAAGAATATTACTGAGAAGGATCAACAAGCAGCTGATATTATTTTAGGCGATTGTAATCTGCTGCAGTATACATCAAACAGTGTATAGTTTTGTCTTCTTCTCAGCAATGTTACTAGCGACTTTTAATTAATGTTTTTTCGCATATTTACCCACTTTATCCCTACAAGATTAGTAACCAATTCCTCAACAGTATAGATTATAACTTCATCATCAGCGATAAAGCATAACATAAATTCTTCAAATACATATTATTTAAAAAGGCAGCCTCGTTTCTAACTTCTAAAGTATCAGATAAACTTCTACTATACCATTATATGGAGTATTTTCTATCGATAATTTATAATTGAAATATAATTTTATTGAATATAAAAGAACAAAAGTTTAATTTAATCATAAAACAAATTTATGGTGTAGGACTACGTGGTTTCTTAAGAGATGGTGAATCAGGAATTTCACCTTCTTCTCCTTCACGTTCTCGCTTTACTGCTTCTGTATTTTGAGTAGTAGATTCTGTTCCAGGCACCTCTTCGGACGTAATATCTTCTGCAACAGTTGCTGACAAATCAGCATCAACTGCTGCTGATGTTGCTTCTTCTGTAGATGTTTCATGAGTATCTTCAATCGGTATGGGTGTAGAAGGTAAATCATTTGTATCCTCACCAAGGATAACAGCAGGTGAACCGGGAAGAGGAGAATTAGTATTTATAGGACTATCGACATGTGCTGTTATGCTTGGAGGAACTGATGATTCTGGAATACTAGGTTGTGTCATAGTGCCGGAAGGTTCAGTGTCAACAGCTGTTTTAACTTCAGTAGACAATTCAACAACATTCGTAGATGGTTCTTTTGTACTAGAAGATACTTCAGTTGTACTAGGTAACTCATTTAAACTTGGCTGTTCAGTCGAATTTGGTTGTTCAGTTGAGCTTGGTTGTTCAGTCGAGTTTGGTTGTTCATTGGTATTTGGTGGTTCAGCTAAATTTGGTGTTGTTATTGTGCTTGGAGCAGTTGTAGTTGGTATGACAGGTGTGCTAGGTGATACAACATTATTTTGTGCGTTGACTGTATTTGGCGTTGCAGGCGTATTTGTCATGGCAGCTTTTTCAGCTTTTAAAGCCTCAATCTCTCTCTGAAGACGTGCACTCTTATTTTGACTCATTGACAACTGTGCTTTATATCTATTTAGTTCAATATGGTTATCAGTTAATGTCTTTCGAATTGCAGCTAATTCTTTCTCGAGTTCATCTATCTTAGTCTTATTTTCTATGGTATCAGCCTTTTCAGTATCAGCAGTCTTTAGACTTTCAAGCTCTTTCGTAACCTTTTGTTTTTCAAGTTGCAATTGACGAGCTTTCTGTAGAACATTGCCGTACTTTCTTTCTAAAGATATATACTCTTCATTCTTCTTATGTAATTCTGTTTCAGCAGTGGTTTTAGCTTCTACAGCTTTTTGCTTTTGTTCCTCTAAAGCTTCTTTTTCTTTAGTAAGTGTTTGAACATCTGCAAGAGCTTTATTCACATCAACATCAGATTTATTCTTTTCAGCTTCTTCAATCTTTTCTTTGAGTTCAGCCAATTGTTTCTCTTGGTTAGCATTCTTCTTTCTAAGCTCCATTGCTAAACGGCCTCTTTCGTTGACTTTTTGGATAAGTTTTGATCTCTCTGTATCATTAGCGTTTACCTTTTCTTGAAGGGCAGAAATATTGGCATCGATTTCATTCTTTTGAGTTCTAAGCGTATCCATTTCTGTCTTCATAGACTCTAATTCAGTTTTCTTTGCTTCAAGATCTTTTTCAGTAGTCTCTAATTTGTTTTTAAGATCATCAATCTCTTTAGGATCAAGAGCCTAATAATTAAAATAAAATACATGTCAAACGTTAGGGTTAAGCCAATTTACTTATAAAATTGTTAACATACGTTATACTTGGACAAAATTTCTGCAGTACGAGCACTCCATTCCTTTTCAGATTTTGATAGTTCCTCAAGTTGACGGTTAGCAATTTCAAGCTCACCTTCCAAAGTATTGATTTTAACTAATTAAGTGTATTAGTATATTAGTAAAGTTATTTTATTTGCCGCTCTAATATAAAAAAGCTTTAAAAACTACTTACGTTTAAGAGGGGCCATTTCAGTTTCCAATTCAGTTTGTCTTAATGTAGCTTTTTCTTTAGCTTCCTTAAATTCTTTAAATTGTGCAGCAAGCTCTTTGTTCTTAGCTATGACAGTCTCACGTTCTACTTGAAGAAGATATACTTCTTCATCAAGTTTGTCATGCAGTTTGTTGTTTTCATCAGTAAGTTTTGAGACGTTTTCTTTAAGAGAAGCTAATTCTTGTCTAGAACTTTCAAGTTCTTCTTCAGATTGCTTGAGTTTAGTACGCTCGTATTGGAGATTCTTTTCACAAGCATCCTTTTCAATACGAAGAGTTTCGGTTACTTTCTTAAGGTGTGATATAATGTCTTCAGTGTAATTATTAAGCTCAGCACGTTCAGGACCATTTTCTTTATCTTGTGCAGTTGACCATTCGGCATGCTTACCAATAAGTTCATTTACCTTGTCAAGTAATTCTTCACGCTGTTTCACTGCCTCGTCTAACTTCTTCTGCCAAATCTTTTCAGCCTCATTAACTTCATTACTCTTTTGTTCAAGCTTGATCTTAAGTAATTGCTCAGACTTGTTACTATTTTGAAGATTATCATTCAATTTCTGGATTTCATCATTGAGGGATACTATTTCATCACGCAAGCTTTCAATTGTCTGCTTTTGTGCTTCTGATGTACGTTTTTCCTCAGATAATTTATCTTGGACATCATTTAAAGATGTATTGACTCCTTGAAGATTTTGTTCATAAGTATTAATCTTATCTTCCTTTTCAGAGATACTGGAATTCAACTCCTTAATTCGCTCCTCCAAATTATTCTTCTCCTTAATAAGTTCAGCTTGATCGGCTGCTGATTTCTCGTTAAGAGTCTTATATTCAGCAATTGCCATATTGGCTTCCTTTTGAATATTTGCTGCAGCTGTAGTCTTCTCTTCAAGATCTTTATATAATTGTTCAATTCTGGTTTGAGTAAGACTAATAAACTTCTGATGCTCCTCTTCAACAGCTTCAGCTTCTTTTTTATGTTTATCAATAATAGTATGATAATTTTCAATATCCGCTTCTAAAGCCTTTACACGATCTTGAGCCAAAGCTAATTCACGAAGATGTTCATCGCAAGTATTTTTATTAGCATTAGAAACAGATGCAGTACCTTCATTGGCAGAAGCTGTAGCCAGTTTAAGATTTTCTTGAGCGGCAGCCAATTTGGTTTCAGCAATAGTTTTGAGTTGATTCGCTTCAAGAAGACGGCGCTCGAGATCAGAAAGCTGTGAGTTGAGCATACGAACTTGACCTACAGATTCATTATATTTCGTCTCATATTCAGTTTGATTTATGGACTTGTATTTCTCAAGCTGCTTTTCAGCATCTGTTAATTTATAGCGAGTATCTTGTAATTCACGATTTAATGTTTCTATTTTTTCAATTGATTGCTGGAATTTCTCTTGACCAGTAGCACTAATATTATCCATACGAGAGTTAATGGCTTCTAATAAAGTAGATAATTGTGCTTTCTCTGATATCTCTTTAGTTAATGATTCTTTTATATCCCTATATGCTTGTGTTGTTGCAGTAATTGTACTCTTAAGTGAGACATTTTCATTGTTGAGAATTTCTGTTTTACTCTTCAAATCTTCATGCTCTGTTCTTAAATTTAATAATTCATTTTCTTTAGCAGTAAGATTTTCATTTGCTTTTTCAACCTTATTATAAGCATCTTTTATATCGAATTTAAGTTGTGCAAGATCACTCTTTGATTTTGTTAGTTCACTTTCTAAATGGCTATTATTTGCTTTCAATTCAGATAGTTTTTTGGCAGCTTCCAATTCTGAATTACGTGCAGTTGAAAGTTTGTTCTTCAATTCACGCATATCATCTGTAACTTCCTTATAGAATTTTTCTAAATCAGGTTGCTTCAATTCAATTTGAGAAGGAGCTGTGCTTCCGTTAATTTTAACGTTACTAGGAACTTCAGGTGATTTAAAGATTGTCTTCAACTTTGTGATTTCTTCAGTAAGTGTTGCTACTTTCTGCTCTAATTCCTCATTATCATTTCGTAGCTCTTCTGCAATATTACCTGCATCACTTATAGCTTTGTTATATGCTGTTGCACTTTGCATCTCAGCAGCTTTTAATCCCTCTATCGTATGAGTCGCATTTCCAAGCTCTTCTGTCAATGTTCTAACTTCATTTAAAAGTTTTATATTTTGTTCTTGTAATTGAGACACATTATCAAAAATGAGTTGAGTTTCTTTTAGATATGGGAAAGTTTCTTTTCTTGCAAGCTCTTCAGCAGAGAGACCAAGTGGAACAGGTTCACCACGTGCCTGGATAACGGTAAGCACATGTCTAAGTTGGAATGTAACATCTTCAAGTTCTTTCGATTTGTGTTCATAGTCTGTCTTGAGATGTGCAAGCTTATTATTTAAACTTGTACATTCAGCTTCAAAACGTTCACATGATGCCTTTTCTTTATGTAAAGAAGCATTAAGCTCCGTATTCTTGATATTAGCTTCATTTAAAGTAGCATCGTATTTCTGGAGTAACAGTTTATCATCATGATGCTGTCTAGAGAGTAATTCAAGCTTATCATAATATTGATGATTTAGAGTAATAGTCTCATCGTAAGCTTGCTTAAGCTGAAAGTAATCCTTAAAGATATCTTCAGGGCGTTTATCAAGATTTTTATATTCTTGAATTAAACTCAAGAGATTACTTGCTGGTTCCCCAAAACCATCTGACTCAGAACCCCCAATTAATTTATCAAGATAATACTTGTGAACTTCTCTTTCCTTGCTTAATTGATCTTCAAGTTCATTACTCTTTTCTAACCACGTTTGTTTTTCTTGAAGAAGAGCTGTAACATCAGTTTCAAGTTCATTAATAGTTGTTGTTGTCTTTTCAACCATTTCATCATAGATTTTTCTAAGATCTGAGTTAATACCAGACAAACGATCATGTTGACTTTTTAAATCGTTGTTTTCATTAGACACTTCATTGAGTCTTGTTTGAACAAGATCACGGCATTTCTTCTCATGTTCTAAATCTTTTTCCAATCGTTCTTTTTCCGTAATTAAACGCTTTTTATCTTCTTTTGCTTGATTCAACTCTTTTTTAAGCAAATTAACGTCGTGCGTCTAACGAAAAGGTGTTAACTTTAAAAAGATAATAATAATAATAATATGTATGTATATATGTATTAGTAACTCTAAAATTTAACACCTACAGTTTCATTACGTAAATTATTTGCTGCTTTTTTAAGATTCCTTAATTCAATTATGAGGGTATCACGTTCTTTCGTAATCAGATTTAAATTAAACTCGTATTGTTGTTTTGACAACTATTTTTTTTTAAAGAAAACTATATAAGTATAAATTCAATTGAGATTTTATAATTCTCTTACAGTCAAAGTAGAGACTTCATTTTTCATGCGCTCAATTTCAAGATTTCTCTTGAATTCCTCAGTTTGTAAGCGACTTGCCTCTGAAGCAGCCTTTTGCCACTGATCTATACGAGTTAAAATAATTAATATAAATAGAATATTTTGACGTGCTTATTTACCTCTCTTTTCATCAAGCCTTTGGTTGATAATTTCATTAATCTTTCTAAGCTCATTTTCAGAATCGGATAACTGTCTAATTCTTTCTTCTAAGCTTGACTTGTCTTTTTCAAGATTAGTTTTTGTTGAGCTCAAATTTGAATTATCCTCTGATAAACTTTCGAGGCGGGATTCTTTAAAACATAGTTAGTACACTATCAAAATAAGTCGAATTAACATACCTAACGCCTGAATCGTTGATGACTTATTTTCGAGGGCTGTTTGAAGCTCATTAATTTTATTTTCTAATTCTTCTTTGTTTAAAGCTATATAAATTGAAATATTTATTAAAATGTGTATATATAAATAATCCAATTTTAAATAGACGTACTTTCTTGTATGGCATCAGTGTCTTCTTTTGATTTATCCATAATGCCTTTTACGCGTAAGTTTAATAGGAAAGAATCAAAAGAAAAAAATAAAAAAAATAAAACTTGAATAAAAAATATTGATGATGCAGTCAAGGGCTCAATGCACCAAATTTCTAGCCAATTAGCGTAGTTTAAAATGACTATTTTTCTTCAAAAACAAATACATTTGCACTCCTAACACGATTGAATATTTTTATTTAAAATAAAATTAAGATGGCCAGTGAGTACATGATATTTATACCATATTGTATTATCCAAGCCAGTTCGAGAAATATAAAGTTTTCTTTTTTTTTAAATCCTCTTAAGAGACAAGAGGTGAAAAAGAAAAGAGAAAGGAAAAGAGGAAGAGATAGAAAGACAATTATACTATCGAATTCAGTTGGACAGCAAATCAATCAGGGTTTTTGACTAGGATAAGAAGGAGGAGTAGGTATTTTATCATGTACCATATAATATACGACATGAAGAATAATACAGTTAAATGGTCAACGGTAAAATTAAGCAGCTACATTTTGAGAACCTCTAGGCTCAAGTTGAAGTAAACAGTTTGAAAGAAAGGAGAGTGAGTCCCCAATTGTTCTAGGCAAGTGCGAACGGGTATGCATATGTAGACATTCAGTGACATACAATCGACTGAGATGAATATATATATGATAAACACAACGTTCGAATGCGCCACCAAGTTACCAACGAAGTCGCCATCAAATGACGCGGCTACATTCATTATAAAATATAAACAGTCAGTAGAGTATGTAATCTATAATAAGGTAAGATCAACAAGTGATAAGCAGTTTGAAGTGGTGACCATCCTGTAATTGCTTAAGTCTTATTTCTAGTATTTCCTTACGATATTTTTTTGAAGGTGTATCCATCTAGGGTATTAGAATTTACAATGCATAGTTGTCATCACGGTGTTTTAGTAAGTTTATAATAAGTTTTTATTTTTAAACTCTAGATATGGGGAAGCAGTGTAGAAAGTATTGCGCCATTAGGGAGTTTATTAATACGGAAAAAAAATTAGGTCTGTAAGAGGTACGCTTTGCCTGTCATTGTAAATTAATTTACCAAGTAGAGAGATCCACCAAAGATCCTTTTAATACAATTGTTTCGTTAAGATTTTAATTATTTAAGGTTTCTTTGACTTAGGGTACTAATTGCTATATCTTATTCTAGTTGTAAATGAACTATCTGTATGTAAAAGCGAATGACAAGTAGACGATTAAAATCTCGGGGATTAACGCATATGGATACAAACTGAATTACCTTTTCTATAATCCAAAAAAAAAAATCAAAACATTTAGAAATACTGCAGGCGCATATTTATTACTAGTATACAAATCAAAGATTAAGTAACACAAAAACAAGTAATTATTTGAAATAATAATTAAAAGTAGATAAACATATAAGAGTTTAGCTTAAAAGATCAGTTGATGAAGTTGCAGAGTGATCGATCATGGTCGATCCTTCAGCATTATTTCCAATACTTGAAGAATAAATATGATCAATTAATATTTCAAGATAGTTCTCTGCAAAAGAAGACATATAAAATTCATGTTCAGAACTATGTTCAGATACGAAATTATGAGCTAATTCATGGCATAAAGTCATAAACCAATAGATGAGTGCTTCTTTGCATTTTTTGCCAATTGTTGCCTGATCAGTACTGTCACCAGAATCATGTAATGCCAAATAATATCTTAGATTCATAAAGAGACTTCCACTAAGGTTAAAAGCAATTGTTGGTCCTTCAGTATCATAAAAGATCTGAATAGTAGCCAACTTGAGCTGGAAAACCTTTGCTAAATCATCAAGTATGTTTGTAAATCTAGCCATTGCTTGACCGTATTGATTTAATACATCATCAGGTTGAACACTGCGATGAACATAGAACTCCATACCCTTTACGTTACCAACATAGGTTAAGTTATTACCAGGTGCTGCATCACAGTAACTGGTAGATTCTCTGACTTGATTAATACGTGGTGGTGTATATACATCTTGACCTGTATACGGTTTACAAGAATGAACGGCTCTTTTCAAGTTTTGCTTAATGTTGGCTGTAAAATTAGGAGTAATTGTTGTCTCTGATTTTGGTAATTTTGGCTTTGAATCAATTGTATTCTTATCGGTTTGATTTATAGTTTCAGTTAATGAAGATGGTATACTCGCTTTATCCGCCACAGGGGATAATGGAGTCACTTGCTGTTTCCACGTAGACCAAAGTTTATTTATAAAACCAGTCGATTTTTCGGCCTTTGTCTGTTGCTGTCTTTGCTGAACTGCTATATCTGCCTGTTTTCTTTTTTGCGCTTCTTCCTCTTCTGATATCACAGAAGAAATAATTTTGTTACCATCATCAGACTTTTTATTTACTCTGGGATAGTCTTCATGAAGTAATTTTGTAATGGTATTTTGCACATGATCTTCATATTGCTGAGCAAGTATCTGTCTAATATAACTTTCTTGACAATCACTAAATACCTCTTGTACTTTTTTGGTATATAAATCCATTTCATCTGATGTAAGTGGTTTTGGCATTTGAGGATGAGGCTTAGAAATTGAAGTGTTGCTTACGGGTGGAGTGGTTTGTTGCTTACGAATATTCAAAATACGATCTACAGGTACACCTTTACGTCGTAAATTATAAAGGCTTGTTGTTAAATAACGTTCAACAATAATAGCATCATTAAAACGAACACGGGCAAAAAGTAGACTACACAGAGAATTAGCAACATCATAATAATCAATGTCATTTGTATCAGAAATATAGATTCCAAAATTTACACGATCAGCACATGATGTTGTTGGCTGAATATTCTTTTCGTCGGTATATTTAAATGTTCTATTAATTTTAAGATCTTTCACTTGCATTACTTTAAGATGTTGTTTCACATATTTTTCATCATGTAAAAGCTCTTTTCGACGCTGTGGATCGTCATTTATCATTTGGTAAATAATAATAGGTGTACGTTCAAATATCATTTTAGTAATTTCCTTCGATTTAAATGTAACACCCATACTGCTTACATAAGAATAAGCTTCCTTGATTTGACTATATAACAATCATTAGATTATATAGATAACCATTTAATAATATCATACTTACGTTGATAGTCGTTGACTGCCTAAATTTGAATAAAGATCTTCTAGTAATGGTTCCATAGGTGCAGATAAAGGTGAAAAAATTTGATGGCTTGTAGTATCATCGATGATAAAGATATCTGATGCCTTTGCTAATCTATATTGAATAAAACCTTCATCTTCTTCATTATCATCTTGTGCCTTCTTATTTTGTTCTGACAAAGTTGTACGCTTAATACCAACTAAAAATGGTTTTGTCTTCATATCATTTATAAGCTGTTTGTTAGATCGAATTAAATAAAATTGGCCTGCTATCTGACGAAGAACATTTAAATAGCGTTCGCCTCCACCACTTAGATCCCAGAAACGTTGTGGATTTTTAACAATCATGGCTGCTAATTCAACTGTCGTAGGTTCATCTTTCACGCCACAAGAGCGTAAAAAGGAATTAGCAAGCTTACCAAAATTAACATACAAAAACAATTCTTTGTGAAAACTTGTTGAATCTTCTGTTTCAAAATAGCATTTTGAGGGTTCCATTAACTTAACAGTTTTAGCTCCATTTTTCTCTATTTCAACTGGGATAAACGCAGATTGTCTTAGTTGATGCCAATGATAGGAAGAAAAGTTACCCATACGACTTGCCATATATTCAAAGATCTTACGCACTTTTTCACGATCTTGTTCTTGTTTGTTCAAGAAAGTCTGGATAAGTCGATCAGCAGAAGGATTTTCTCTAACACCTAATTTATCACGAACAGGGATCAAGTCTCGATGTAATACTTGAAAGTCTAATAACTGAACATCAGGATTCGTAAAACAGTCTTGAGGTGTTGCAAATGTTTTACCATCCAAACATGGTAAAAACTTTATTTGGATTTTATTAACGTCATATTCATTCTTGTAGTCTTGATGATGCTCAATTAAATAGGAAAGAGCGCGTTTTTGAATTTGCTTACGATCAGTTGACATTTCTCCCTCAGGAGAAGCCAACGTTAAAAGTGTTATTAAAGGTGGAATAGTAATTAACCCTAATTTTTCCAAAAATTTGGCTTCATCGCTAGTAGGTCTCCAACGAGGATTATTTGGCCAATAAAGGACAGGTAATTTTAAATCTTGGACAATATCTGTAGGTGCAAATAAATCACTTGCTTTGTAACGTTTATATACCTTTTTAATTTTTTTTTCCATAATAGGTTTGCCATTTTCGTCTAGTTTATTTATTGGAGTTTCTATTTCCTTTAATCTTGGTTTTTCTCCTTCTTTTATAAAGATAGGTGTTCCACGTAATCTACGAATTTCTGTCTCACTAAGAGTAGACTGAACAGAAGTAAGATATTTAATTAATTCTACATGGGACCAACTACCATCCGAAATTAATCTGTCAAAAACCATTTGTAGCTCAACATGCTATATATAAAATAATATAAGAAATTTATGAATAAATGAAGATATATTTATATAAAATCACCTTTCTGACACCGAGAGCTGTTAGAAATGATTCATTGATATTTCTAGACTGATTAAAAACGTAAATTGGTAAATCGTCAAACAGGTTTACATTAGGGAAATAAGCTTCATAAGGTTGTTTCATCCCAAACTTTGTTGGTATACATTTTTTAAGCTTTAAAAGAGTCACGACTTCCTCTTGTAACTTTGCAGAAATATGCATATATTGTCTTGAAACGATATTTAAAACACGTTCCGTAAACTCTCTTGATGTTTCTAATTCAGGTTTTTTGTTTACAATAAATTGAACCCAAGGTACAATACCAAGTTCATTCATATTCCTATGAATTGAATTTTCGTTAGCTTGCTTATATCAATTTTATGTAAATAAATAACTACCCAAAATATTGTGCTAAATCACTGTTTAAAAAGTTTTTTGATATTGAAAAAGGCATTGTATCCTCAGGAACAGGCATATCTAAGGGTATAACTTTAGGATTTAACCACCATCGTGTGTGAGATAGTTGCAGAAGACCTCTTTCTTCTCCGCAATCCATAATGGCTGCATCCAAAAACTGTGTACGAATAAGATCATTTATACTATCTAGTGTGGACTTGGGAATAGAAGGATTTTTCTTATTGCATTCAATCCACCATTGCATACATGCTACCATTTCGTCTTCCTTCAATGATCTCATGTTTAACTCTTTTAAAACGTCATTAATACCCAAAGAATGAAGTAGATCAAAATTTGCGAGTTTTGTTACACTCTCTTTACACTCTTGAAAAACAATAGGTGTTATGGTAGGAATTGTTTTTATAAACCTATCTAATAATTCAGTAATAGCATGCCCAGCTAAACTCATTTTATCAGGCACACATCTTGTTATTGTAATGGGCTGAATTCCATGAGAAGTGATGATATCGAGAGGTGCTTTACAAGCATTAAAAAACCTTTCCTCATGGACTTTTCCAACAATTGAGCTAGGAGTTGAATGCTGAAAAGTAAATGAGTGTAATGCATGAGCTGCTCTCTTTTCCAATATGACTTTTGCACTATCATCAGAATCCGATTTTGTTTTATCAACTTCAGAAGAATATCCAACTAACTCACGATAAAGCTTTGATATTTGACCCATCTCATCATTATAAACTATTCTAGCCATTAGACCACCTACAGCCAACAATTCTTTATTCCAAATACTAATATAACGGTCAGCAAAATCAATACTCTCTCTTTCAACAGTGGGTATAAACCGAGAGGCCATATGGCAACAGCAACCAGTTGTTTGGTGTGTTGGGAATCCAATAAACACACGACCCTGATGAGGGAAAGGTATCAAGTCCTTAAAAATCTTACTTTTATTTTCTGAGGCATCTAATTCTTCTTTACCCGTATAAACGAGCTGAAATTTAGTTGTCTTAGGTGGCTTTTTCTTTGTTGCACGCTCCATTTGCTTTTCATAATCCCTTGATACATTGACATTTAGGGAACCTGTAACAACCCTTAAAAATATGCTAGCTTTTTCAACTGGTAATCCATTTTTATTTTCTGATTCTGTAAGCTTTGAAAATGATAAGAAATTAGTTAAAGGAGTAAATAGACTTGGTGGTGTATATTTTTCTGAATCTAATTGAATTTGTCTCATGTCAGAGCCGGTAATAGTAAACATACGCTGTGGGGTTGTAAGTAGCATTTTATGAGTATCAATTACCATTGCTCTAGGTTCCGTAACTTTTTTAACAATGTTGAATATTTGGTGATTATCGAAATAAACAGTAATCTGTTTCAAGTTAGCTGTAAAGCCCATACTCGTAGTAAGGAATTTACAAAAATGATCGAAATCAGGTAATTCCATTGGTTCTCTCAAGTCCATTAAGAATGAAGTCCAAAGATCATCATTCTCTTTGGGTACATCAGCACGCTTAGCAAATAGCTGATCACCTTTGAAATAAAATGCCATACACTGTGAACCTGAAAAGACACTTGTAATAGAAAAAAATAAATAAATAAACACACAAAATGATACATAATTGTAAAGAACTTACAAAGGATTATCACAGACTGAGAAAAGAGAATAAAAGCCTACACCAAAAGCTCCAATCTTTTGTTCATCTAAAGAAAGGGTCAATACTTGTACATGCCAGATTAAGCTTACATACCTGGATTTCCTTCTGCAATTCTCTTTAGCCGTTGCCAATCCTCAGGTCTAAATGCTATGCCATTATTCTTGAATACTATTTTATTACATTTTGCCAATAAATTAGGTGGTTTAGTTTGATCAGGTGAACTTGATTGAAAGTGAATTTGAACAGAACTTGAAGAAGCATCATCTATAGATTAGTCTAGTATTATTTATATATATATATATATTTTATAAATTAAATTTACCAGCATTTTGCATAAGTTCTCTATATAATACATATTCAGCAGAGTATCTTGCAAGGATTTTATCAATCAAATGTCGTTGATTAACTGCGAAAGAAAAAAAAAAAAGAATTAGTAAAAGTTAAATTCTTTCAAGCATACTGATATGAACCTTCTACTTTCTCTTCAACACCATTATTATCCATAATACTAGAGCGTAAAAGCTCTAGGTGATTATCAAACTTCATAGACATTAGGTGGGTATATTCAATAAAAAGATTTAAAAAAAAAGGGACTAAGTAATGCTATTTCCCCCCATTTATGTATTACGTAATAGAACCCAGAGATTAATGTTCTTTATCTTTATCAACCAATTATGTGCATGGATAATAGTCACTATTTTTTTTTCCACAACGTTGCACAAAATTAAATTTTGGCATAAGCAAACAAGTCGACTGTTTATATACAGACAGTCAAATAATCTCTTTAACGAATACCTACAAAAACTTTCTAAATCATTTATTAAAACCTTATTTGATATTTTAGCAATCTTTGAGGGTAACTTCTTCTTCTAACAATATGGTCTATTAGAATTTGCTTTCATAATATCAGAATTGTTCAGTAGACAAATAAAGTATTAGATACACGCAGCCATATCTATAAGCTTTACTTTCTTTTCGAATTTCAGAAGAGACGCGTATAGATGCATTATCAATGATTCAATAATGGATACATTTGTCATTTAATCCTATTTAAGATATTTAATATGCTTCTTGTTAAATTGTACAATGATTAATAACTCTTCCTATCGATACGATACGAATTTGATTTATAATTTACTAGGAATGGTCCCACAAATCAGAAAAATATAGTCTACATATTACATTGCCTGATACGATATCTTCATTGTTATTTTAAAAAAAAAAACTTTTTTCAAATACTGTAACCGATCCTTTGTAAGATTCTTATCTCTTATTTATTTTTATATAAATTTATCAGAAAATCCTTCCTAATCTCTTCCACTTAATTATCTAGTTATTTATAATTTATACAGGTTATTTTAATTTAATTGCTTTTTTTTTAAAAAAAATAAATATATAATAAACTATTGTAGTAAATATGTAAACGCGAATCAGGAATCTATGACAAGTCATATTTATTGTAAGTATAAAAGCAATATAGAAGGACAATAACACATGGGTTCGACGAGAAAGAAAAAAAAAACTTGGTTTGTTTGCTTTTCTCTATAAACGTAAAAGATGAATAAAGCTTTAAATATAATTAAAAATATTTATTTATTCTTGTTGTGTAGACCTTGAAGTTCCGAAAAATATGCTAGATTCAGACTACTTTTTGCTGTTCGATTTTTTATCCATAACATATTATTTATTAATTAAAAGCACAACTTAACATATAGGGAATGTTAAAGCAAACAAATTAAAAATATACTGCTTCTATTAAACTCCAAAAAAGCTAATACATATAAACATATACACATATATACCTGTATATGCATCTCATAAAGTAAAATCTTTGAAATGTTTCAAAATCCCATTTTGTTTTCTTATATCTATTGGCTCTTTTTCAGAGAATAAACCAAAAGAAAGACAATAAAGCGATTTAGTACACTCTTCTTCTTTCTTTATTTTTTATTTTAATAATAATTTAGTTTTTAAATGGTTATACATCCACATGAGTGGGACTTTACCCACACTCAGTGGAGAGGTTTAGTTAATGCTGGTGTAGTAGCATCTGCAGTCTCATTTGCAGCCAATAGTTGTGTTTTATTGATACATGGCATCATAAGCTATTATCGGCATGCTATTGTCAATCGACTCTCACTACGTATGATCGCCTTATCTTGTGTTTTTAATATGATTTATTGCGCATGTCAATTAGCTACTGATAATACAGCTGCTATATCTCATAATTGTTATGTTATGACTTTTGTGCTAGTATCATCGGATGCAATGGCCTGTATGTGTTTAACAATGGTTGGCTTAAACTTGGTCATGATATTTGTGCTAAAGACAGCTCGATCGCTGAAAATAGAAATTTGCTATTATATTTTGATTGCTGTTGTTGGCATATTAGTGTCTACTATTCCCTATATTTATGGACCTAAACCAATTCCACAGGAAAACTTTGATGAACATATATCATGCTGGTAAAGCTTTAGTTTATATGCATATAAATTGATTTGCATAAAAGTAATTATATATATATACTAGGTATTATTTTTATTTTGATGGACGAATGACTAGAGTATTTAACTGGGTATAGACTCTTATATAATTCTCTTTAATTTTTTTTTTCCTCATTATTATTATTATTTATATTAGTTGTGGTATTATTCTTGGTTACTATTTTCTCTTGGTATTGCTGCATTATGTACTGCAATTTCTATAAGATTTGTTATAAAAAAACAAAAGAACTTTAATGGAGCGCTAGATATATTTACACAAAGGAAACGGAATACAAACGAAATTTCGACAGCGGCTATAATTAAAAAATATGCAGCTAATAATACAAATATATTTCAGAAAATTGCCTTACGATGTATATTTTATCCTTTAGGTAAATATATATACAATTGCTATCATTATCATAATAGAGTAAACACAAAAACTAATAATAATGTTTAATAAAAAAAAACAGTTCCACTTATATCAAAGTCTTGGGGTGTGGGTATTGAAATTGCAGCAGCTAGAGAGGCATACATACCTTATGTAATTTTTGTGTTTGATCGTGTCTTTTCTTGTTTACTTGGATTTCTAGTAAGTTGTATCTATTTTACAGATCCTGCAATTAGTGCCATTTGGAATAATTTTATTGAGCAGTTTAAGATACGATATGTTCATGATTACTTTTGCCTTCAGTACCAACCTGATCCTAATTTCAAAGCAATGTCGCAATACCCTTGCATCCTAAAGGCTACACCTCTATTGCATCATTCCAACTCTATTTCTAAATTTATGCAAGCAGTAAATCATACATACTTTGGTCATGATTTGGATAATGAGCAAAATACTTTTCACAAAGAGGATAGATCAGCTACTTCTCTTCGTAGTTCTCAGGAAATTGTCATTCATAGAACATCTGAAAGTTCTCAGCCAGAGCAAGGTGTGCCAATTATGTCGCTGCAACAAAAGAATAATTCAGGAGAGATTACACATTATAATATTATTTATGTTGTTTCTATTGACGGGAAGGCCTTTTCACCTAACGAAAATAAAGATAACCGCCATCTTCTTACTTCCATTCCTATGCGTCGTGTAAGTAGCAGTAGCATGGATATAATAGCATCACAATATAATCATATGCTCAATATTTCCGAAAGAGCAATTGAATCAGGGACTACAGAGACTTTAATACCCTTTAAATATCCAAAGTTTGCAAAATTTATGAATTGGGTTCTTATTACCATTTTTAAAGTCAATCCTATTGAAATACATCATACTGATGAAACGCAACCGCCAAAAAGGGTCTTTCATGATTTTACAGATAGCTCTAACCCAAGTTCACCAATTCCTAGTATTTATCAGCAGCAAACTAATCACCGAAATAACGAATTAAATACTCATGTAAGAGAAGATAGTTCAGATCATTATTTTTCATCTAAAAGAGACCACAAGCTGGGAAGTCCTAAGAGAGCAACATTGAAAAGAAGTCTATCTGATGATATACTAACAAGTTTTAGAGGAATAAAAGTTGATGATAGCTTAGCTTCTTTAATACCCATGAGAAGAGCCATATCTATGAATATGCGCCCTTCAAAGAAGGACTATCATATAAATCGTTGGTCGTTTCCCCCGTTCGAACTACCAACAGTAGAAAGCAGTACGTTCGAAGATAATGCAAGCAGTATCAAAAAATCGATGAATTATAAAAAGAAATTTTCATCTACATTAGGATTCACGAAAATGATGGATCATAGCCGTTCAATATCAAATAGTATTTCTCAATTGGGAAACCAAAAAGAAAGAAAATCATCTCCACCTTCTTTGAATATAAAGAATTTTGAAAAAAATAATAGTTTGATTAAAACTTTAGAGCCATCCAATAGTAACAATATGAACAGTAAAGAGCTTCCTGAACCAGCGCCTACAGTACTCATTCCAGATCACATTTATTCTCCTACAAGAGTCCTCAATGAAGAAAAGAATAGTCATTCGTCTATTACAACTACTAGAACAGTATCACCTCCACATACCCACATATCTGAATATCCCGTACAATTATCTCCTCGTCCAAAATCTCAATATACGAAATATCCATTCAAACGATCACAAAAACTATCAAATACCAATCATGATCTGGGCCTCCTGAGCCAAATAAAGAGAAACCAAACCACTTTTCTGCCTTATAATGACGAGGAAGTTACATATTATTTGAATCAATTATTTCAAGAAACATCCAAGTTAGGAACTAAAAATGATAACTCACTCAAAAGACATGATATACAGAATGAAATGAGTAGTAAAAAGGAAAATATAGAAGCGAATGATGTTTCCAAAGTAAAACCAGAAAACATTAAAATTATTCGAAATTATGAGAACATTTCTGAACAACAACAACAACAACATACTACTATCGATTTAACACAGCAAAAAGATGTTATTGACCGTGTTATTGAAAACATTTCCGAAGCTTATTTCGATTTAGATGCACACTATAAAGAACAAGTCTATTTTACAAAAAAAATTATGCGCTTATAAATAGTATTCTTATTTATTTAAAAAATCCTGAGCTTTTTGCATCGATTTTGAGGCTTTCATCTCTGTATGTCTAACCAAATGCATATCTTTGTTACTCAATGCTTCAGTTATAGCAGGAAATACTTGTCCCGAATATCCTGTCCAGAGTCCAGGTGCATAAACAACATGCTTAAACCATTCACGTCCCTTAATACCTTCTGGGTCGATAAATCCACGTTCAAATACTGTTAGACGATCGTTTGCCTTTTCAATGCGTTTTGCCCATTTGGCTGATATCTTGGGATAATCTTCATTATTAAATGGTCTTAGCTTCTTTTTCATTGATACTAGGTTTTCTTCAAATGTTGTGGCCGCACTGATGAGTGCATTAACCGATTTTTTAAGCATAGGGAAAGTATATGGTGCTGAATCCTTATAAAGACGATGAACATAATTTTGAAGCTCCTTAGCATAATCTAATGGATGTATAGGCATGATAAGGTCATCTGCTAATCGAAGCGCTAATAATCCCCAAATTCTAACCATGGCCTGATGATATTCAAATTTAGGATCTCCAAATTTTTCCATCCAATGGAAACTAATAAAAAGAATTTAATAAAATACATAAATATATACATTTTTTTTTTTTTTTTTTTACTACCTATCATAAACACTATGATAAACACCATAGTCACCATTAAATGATATATCAATACTAGCAATACCAACATAATCCATAAAAGCCGTAAAATCTGATCCAGAGCCTAGGACACCAACAGGAGGTGTTGCGGAGGGTATACCTGTCAAATTATTTCGTGCACTCCACGCTTCGTAAACCGTTTTCCCCGATAATGGATCGTTTACTATATTTGTAACCTCATACAGTAATTGGTTTAAAGAAGGAGAAGCTCCTGCTGTAAAGTAGGGCCCACTTACAGCCATATCACAATTGATATAGACCGCTGCTTCTTTACTAAGCCATTCTTTATGATCTTCCACCCATTCAGTAGATCCAATTAACCCATATTCCTCTGCATCCCAAGAAGCTAAAATGATGGTACGTTTGGGTCTCCAACCAGACAATAACATTTGTCCAAGGACTCTAGCAATCTCTAACTGTATATAAAAAAAAAGTTAGCTCTGTCCCATATAGTTAGTAGCTAATTAAAACATTACCAAACTGGCTGATCCAGAAGAAGGATCTACAGCACCGTAGACCCAAGCATCCCTATGATTGCCCAGGATAATTGAACGATGAGGCTCCATAGATCCTTCAATGCGGCCAATCACATTCCAAATAGGGGTAATTTTATATTCAACATTATTTTCCATCTCTACAATGCCTTCACTTGGTCCGCTAAAATAATCAACTTCTTCTAGACCACCGCACCAATCAAATTCACCATAAATCCCTCGTCCTTCAGTCGCCTTTAATAATGGTAAAGCATCTTCCCAAGATAAAGGTAGAGAGGGAATCTTTGGTAAAACCTGTGAGTCTTCCATCTTAAGTCGAGTCGCATTTTTTGTAGCTGGGATATCGGGTGTAAGAGCATCACCTGCCATCAAGGAAAGATATTGGACAGATCCACGTTGTGCTGAGGTGGATGATCGCCATGGCCCTTCAGGGTATGATTTAGTATTATCTTTGTTGATAGGTCCATCATCAATAGGATCAGAATAGATCAAGACACCAACACATCCATATTGCTCAGCAGCTCTAATTTTTAACCCACGTAATACAGATCCATATCTCACTAAGGCAATTGTGCCATTTACTTGTATACCTTGATCCACCAAAAATTGAAAATCCTCTAAACGGCCATAATTTGCATATATGACAGGACCTCTTGCTGTGCCATTCTTGGAATATCCTAAATTTCAACAGATTAATCGTTGTTCGATTCCCCCATTATCCAAGATTTCATTATTATTATTATTATTACCATGAAATAAAGGTACAATGTCAGGATTTGTGGTAGAAGGGTCTTCATGCACACTAGTTTCTTTTAATGTTGCATTGTATTGAAGATATTTAGGCCCTGATACAATAGCCAATCGACGCGATACGGGGTAATTCAATAATGGATAATATGTTTCAATTTTTGTTTCTGGAATACCAAATTCATTTAATTTTTCACGTGTCCATTCTGCCTGTTGTCTATCTGATTCTGTTCCTGCTAAATGAGGCACTGAAGTGTAATTTTTCAAGTAACTTTTTAAACGTTTTGTAGAAGGAAGATCCAGCATCATTTGCTCAGCTGCTGAGAGCTCTCTTGTTGGGAAACCTGCAACAAAATTATCATTTTTTTTTAATTTTAATTTTAAAATTATATATGTATATACATATATATTCATATATATTTTTTTTTTAAAAAAAAATAACTAGAGGAAATTCAAATATGTACATACCTCTCATATTATTAGAAGCACCTACGGATAATAAAACAAGTGAAGCTACAAGTACAAAAATACCAACAATGATAGCTACTTCAAACGCAACTCTCGAAGGACTTTTTCGAGGTGCTTCCAAAGTCATTCGATGTCTATTGATAAGTGGTGCATTTTCTGCTTCGAATGAACTCAACCAATTCTTTAACTTTCTGAAAACCCCAGTTTGTGGAGGGGATCCTGAATCAACTCTTTCAGGAGGAATAGTTGAATATCCTTCTGAAGTTGACATAAAAATAATAATAATAAGAAAAAAAAAAAAAAAAAAGTGGAATTTACTGAAAATTTTAAAGCAGATTGTAAAAAATGGGGGAGGATTTATCTTAGTGACTTTATTTGCCTTTTTTAGAATTACATATCATCATCAGATGAAATATCCATATCATCATCGGAAATATTCATCTCGACAGTCTCATCATCCGCATTATTAGATAATTTAGGCTTGTTTTGGTCTATTGTTTGTGTTTCAATTATTGCTTTATTATAACTTGACTCTGATGTTATAGTCTCGTATTGAAAATCGGTTCCTGGAGGATAAAGTTGTTCCTGCTGTTGTAATTGATGTTTCATATAAGACTCATATGCTGTTTGAGCACTCTCTAGCGGATTGTTTGTATAATCCTGTTGATAATAGTATGAGTTCCACCAGTATTGTTGATCTGCTAATAAGGACGATTGATCCGCTGTCGCTGGTTGAATGTATTCATCAAGACGGCTTGTATTGATAAATTTTAGTCCCGGATAATGCACTAATTCAGTATGAGCTTCTTCTATCTTTTCTTCTTCCTTTGAATCCACAACAACTTCATAATGACTGTCGTAATATATCTTTAATTGACATGGAGCCTTTTGTTCTGTATAATTTGTTACTAAATAACCAGGAGGATATCCATACCATCTCATTTGAGTATAATAAGGTGGGTCTTCATCTTTTTGAATTCCTAGTGCTTCTCTTAATGTATCTGATATTATACCGGGCTTAAAAGAAGTTTTTATTTGTTCTAGTTCCAGTACTTCATGAAGACGCTTTGTTGTTACAAGTAGTTCCTGTCGTCGTCTTGCTATCCTTTGTTTATTATAAGGATACGGACAATCTTTAACTGAATGATTTGATTCATCACAATTAAAGCATGTATTACCAGTTGATAAACTACTATAAAGATAAAAAAAAAAATAAATAAATAAATATTAAATAAGTGCATACTGGAAATCCTGGGTGGATGAATGATTTTTTTTTCTTCTATTGTTTTACTTTTACATGGAATTATGATTATCATTATCTGTCTGGCCTAATGGAGTGATGTTTAAAACATCATATTCGAGTGATGATGTGTGTTGACTAGTATTTCGAAATCTAGAATGATCATTATCAATATAAAATTTGCCATCATCATAGATTACAGGTAAGACACGGTCATGTTCTCGTATATCTTGCACGTCATTATCATCATCAATTGCGAACCCATATGGATCTGTTTCATAATAATGCTCATTCTCCTTTAATCCAACACGAGAAACGTCAACATTCCATCTGAATCTGTGATAAATATCAAGAGGTATACAATATTTGATATATTCTAAAGGGACATGATTTAGTACTCTGGCCATATCATGTAGTAAACTGACAGGCACTAAACCATCTTGAGGTGTTCTCGTAATCTGTAAAAGAAATTTATCGCCATATTTTAAAGGATCTTTCAAGACATTATATAAATTATCAAGTAAATCTTGACGAAAAGAAATTGAAGAATACATTAAAGATTAAAAAAAAAAAAAAAAAAAAAAGAAAAGAAGAATAAAAAACATTGATAAAATTACGGTTCTACTTGGTTACAGCATTAAAACTAGAAATTTTACGCAATTCTAAAATTTTTAAATAAGAAGATATTTTTTCCTCTCTAAAAAGGAGATGAAAGTACAAGTTACTCTAAATGCATTGTAAATTGTATGTGATCTAGCCTTCAAATAGAAATAATAATTTGTTTCAAAGTATTGCACTTAAAACACTATAATAATTATTTTGTAGAGAATATCGATAATAAGTTATTATATCATAAAACAAGTGATCTACAATATAAACGGGTCTTTGGGATACTATAGACATAATAGTAAAACATATAGAAAGAGTACTCATTTCTTCGTAATTTTGTATTCCCTACAAAAGGAATTATATAATACGTATAAGCAGCCTTTTTTTTTTTTTCTTTTTTATAGGTAAGTTCGTAACTGTGATTGCCGTAATTAATCCGCATCTTTTTTGAGGCTAGATATTTGATCCACACTAAGGGATAAGCTATATATGTAACGACTGGTTTTATTTTATGCATTTTAAAATGATTTATGTTGTAAGCACTACTATTTTACATAACTACTATTAATACTCTCAAACATGAATAACATAGTCTACAGCCATTCTTTTTATGTTTTATGAATATTCTTGAGCAAAAGATAGCATTAAGCTTTATTAAAATAATAATTGTGCTATTCAAGATATAAATGACTTACTAAAGTGTAAATATTAATGAAAACCGAAAAAGAAGAAAAAGCGGCATATATTTCTTCAATTTGGATAAAATATAACTTCCGGGATGTTAAAAAAAAAAAAAAGGGCAACTAAATGATTTTACATCATTTCTTTTCCCCACCTTTTTTCTTTTAATTATTTTATTTTATTTTCCTTTATTTTTATTTTCATTTTCTTTTATTTTATTTTTTTTAAAAAAATAAAAATAAAAAGACACACATATAAAGTCAATTTGTTGCTTTTGAATGAAATAGAATGCCAATGACAGATCTTAGGTTAGTAATGGAAATGGATAGATCTTATTGATGTATTAATCCTATCATTTTTTTTATAGGGGTGACAATGTCGAAACGAATGATTACAATAAAAAAGAGAGTCTTACGACTAAACAAAGATTATTACAATGTAATCAACAAAGATTATAATTTCATTTTATATTTATTTATAGATATACTAATTCGATACTTTATATAGCAAATAGAACAGTGATAGCTGCTTCCAGTGCAGCAGTAACATCTGTTTTGGCAGGTTTTCCTGTAAGCATATAAATAGATATCCCTAAATTAATTTAAAGCTATTTATTTTAGCTAATCCTTTTTTAGTTTGATTCCGTCAAGACTCGTATGCAAACCCATTATTATCCATCTATGATGTCATGTGTTCGAACCACGTTTGCAGAGGAAGGTGCTCGAGGATTTTTTCGAGGCATGATTCCGCCCTTGATAACAGTTAGTATCATTAAATCGGTTTCCTTTTCTGTTTATGAAAGTACAAAACAAGCCCTGCTTAAAAGCAAACAGGGATTTACAAAGGATACAGAATTATCAGAAATAACAAAAATATCATTTTTAAGCGGAGGTGTAAGTGGGGCCTTTATTGCCTTGTTAAGCTGTCCTTTAGAACTAGTCAAGATTCAACGTCAATTAGAACAAATTTTATTAAAAAATAGTCAACAACAAATGACCAATGTCCAAGCTTCAAGTTGGTATGCAGTCAAACAAATTGTAAAAAAGAAAGGCCTATTTGGATTATGGTCAGGATTAACATGCCATTCTGGTAATATAGAGTCATTTATATTTATATTCATATTCATATAATACATACATCTATCTACCTGTCTATATATTAACAAGCAATATGATAGCTCGTGATGCATTAGGCACAAGTATTTATTTTGCTGGTTATGAAACAATGAAACGAACTCTGTCGACAAGAGTAGATGGACCATTAACGCATTTTATGTCTGGAGGCTTTTGTGGTATTCTGAGTTGGTTATTTGTATTTCCAGTAGATGCAATCAAGACAAATCTACAAAAGGACATTATGATGACAAAGCCTAGATATCATGGATTTATAGATTGTGCAATATCATTGGTTAAAATGAATGGATTAAAAGGCTTATATCGTGGCCTCAACGTAACTTTAATTAGAGCTTTTCCGATTCACTCACTTAACTTTTTAGTTTATGAGCAGGTTCTCAAATCTATACCACCCTCTCAATAATGTAGACTTTATTTACACATATAAATTATATAACTTTTGAAGCTTATTTTATTTATCGGTCAGTCAGTTCATACTAGTAAAAATAATAACAAAAAAAAAAAATTGTATTTAGATACACGAAGAAAAAGTATTTGATCTATTCTCCGTATATAACCTAATAATTTGTCTACAAATAGTAAATACTCTGTAAGCTTTCCTATATCTATGCTCTATGCATATTGTTTTAAGAAATAATAAGGGGAAGGTTTATTTACTTTTTTTTTCATATTAGAATTAAGTGAATATGTTTAATATTTTGTCTTATAAGTTGTAACACTGTGTTTGCTGACATCACTCAATACTAAATACAAATCCTTTCATGTTTAACTTGAAACTATAGAAATCTGTTTATTAATTATAATATCAAGTTATATTCCGCTTCTTCACTTCTTCCCTTTTTAACCTATACTATACCAACACACTTGTACATTGCAACTATATCCCAGAGCATCTTTATGATCATCTTTATCCAGAAAAACATATCAGATAAACTTGAATTACATTTTTATAATAATACTTTGCAGATAATATAGATACACCAGTATCTCCATATTGAAAGAAAAAAAAAGGGGGGAAGGGAAGAGAGCATGTAATATCTTAAGTATGTAATTAATTCAGTTTTTGAATTCTCTATGGTCGTATACTCAGTACTCTCTACTAGAGACAGAGAACAGAATATCACAAAGATCATTCTTCAAAATATATATTTGTATATTGGAAAGGTAATTTTTATAATGTAGAGGTGGGTTACATTCTGATGCCTGCCAGCAAGCAGTGTTACCTCTCAAATAATCTCAGTACTCCTAGGAATTTCCCTTTCAAAGTTATCACTTCAAGAAAGTTGCTCTACTATTGAACAATAACATCCTTGTAGTCTTTCATTATCACTTCAATTAATTATAAAAATATAAATAAGGTCGATTGCACTTTATTTTATCAAACAAATAAATCCGTTTAAATATATATTAATAGAAGAGGATGTGATATTATTCAATGAATGGTTTATCATAAGCAGAAGAAAAATAGATTATGTACATAAAGCTTTTTTTTTTATAAAATAATATAAACAAATTATTACGTAATAAACTATACAAATGAATTAAAGAAAGGAGTGGTATGGGGAGGGGGGCATTGCTTATTATGCACACATTATATTAAAACCCAAACCCTCCATCATAGAAGCCACCATCAAATCCACCACCACCAAAATCATCGCCATAATAATTATTTTCAATAATATCAGGATGGTGGTTATCAAATATAGCATCACCAATCATATAGCCCAAAAGGCCACCACCAAGACCTGCTGCGGCCATTTTACCAAATCCCATCCCTTGACTACCACCAAATCGACTATGATGAGTAGGCTGTTGAACAACATACTGTGGCTGTTGTTGGCTATAATAAGGTTGTTGCTGTTGAGGATAATAACGTTGTTGTTGTTGTTGCTGCTGCTCAAAATTGTTATAATAAGGTTGTTGCTGTTGAGGGTTGTATGAACTATTCTCACCACTATTCAACGGCTTATCGGCTGGATGTTCCCATTGACGTAATGCAGTAGGCGTATAGACGTAAAAGAATTTTCCTGAAGCAGGGTCATACTGTGATATCCAACCATTAGGTAACATCCTTGTATCAGGATTCATTGGTTGTTTTGGAGGAAGAGGAGGGGGAGGAGTGTAACTTGTTGAGGCAGAAGGTGAATAAGGTGGCGGTGCACCTTGATAGCTTGTTGCTTGTTGTAATTGAGGAGTTTTAGAGTTTGAAAATAATCCCATCTTGCTGTTGTTGTTTTGTTTGTTTTTTTTTTATTATAAAAAAGAAAAAGATAAACAAGAAGAACAAAAATAAAACAAAAAGGGCTTTTTATATGGATGAAATTTAGATTTGTTGTTTCACTTGGAAAAAAATTCATGGCTTTTTATGCCAAGAAGCCCTTTTTTTGAATAAAAGCAAGCAAATTGATTGGTTATTAAAAGAACTGGCAAATTCTGTCTAATGCTTATTTGCTTGTTTAGTTTTAACCGCTGCTCCATTCTATTGGCTCAAAAGGAAGAATCATAACTAAGCAGAAATTAATAATAGTTTTATTCAGATTCCCCTAAAAAGTAGGGACAACAGTGAAGAATACTTTTTTTAATAAATTTATTATATTCTTAAAAGGCACTACTTCTTCTGTTCTCAATTCTACATGTGCATAATTCACTTGACCAACTTGATATTACCTCTTTCTATCATCACGTTTTATCTGGAAATGACCGCTTGACCAAATTAAAAACAATCTTTAATATTGTAGCCAATCAAATACTTTTACTATGGTCTGAGTGCTCATCTTATGTCAAATATAATTAAGTATCGCTTTTAAAAAAGTTTTTTATTTTTATTTTTTTTTCTTTACATTATTATATAAAAATAAGCATATGATGGCACCACTTCGTCAACTAGAATTTTATTCGGGTATTGGAGGCATGGTAATTGAATAATCAACTGTAACCAAAATGACTATCTTACCATCTTTAACAGCATTATGCTGCTAAACTTGCTAATTGGGATGTGGAAATCGTCAAAGCTTTTGACATTAACGATGTAGCTAATAATGTATGATCTGTCAAAAAAAAAAAAAAACATTTTCGTGTGTTTGTTAATTTTTCTTTTTTTTTCCCCAGATTTATAAACATAACTTTGATCCCAAGATAGTTGGTCAGGTATTTACTATTATTATATAATATGATATTGATATTGATAAAAGTAATAGAACCTTATCGAAACTCTTTCAACTAAATATTTTGATGATATTGCAGCTGATGTATGGACAATGTCACCGCCTTGTCAACCTTATACACGTATCGGCCTTCAACAAGGAAGTGAAGACGCTCGTGCAAAAAGTTTTTTGCATTTATTGAATGTGTTGGGTGAAATGAAGAATAAACCAAAGTATATTCTGCTTGAAAATGTAAAAGGATTTGAGGTAAAAAAAAAAAAAGAGTTTTTGAATGCAATCTATGAATCATTTATTTATATACATATACATATATATTTTGATAAAAGGAATCCGATTCAAGAGAGATGCTTGTTAATAAATTAAAAGAATGCGATTATAGTTTTCAGGAATTTTTATTAACACCATTGCAACTTGGTATTCCTAATTCTAGAATGAGATATTATTTATTGGCAAAATTAAAGCCATTAACATTTGCAAAGCCAGTAACAGGAACGATTATTGGATATATTCCACTTTCAGAACACATGTCACAAGAGTTTATTGATATAAGAAATATTACTGAGGAGGAGAAGTTATTAACTGATCAAGTCGTCATTGATCCATTATTAAAATATTTAGAACAAGTTGATGAAGATCAATATCTGGTGCCTGATAAAGTACTTGTAAAGAATAGTCACGTTTTTGATATTGTCAAACCAGATAGCCATCGTAGCTGTTGCTTTACAAAAGGTTATTTTCATTATGCGCAAGGAACTGGATCGATTCTTCAAATGAATCAAGATGTGAATGTAAGTTGCAATATAACATGAATGTAAAGATTAGTATCCTATCTTTATGATTCGTTATATAGACTTCAGAGATATTTAAAAAGGCTATGGAATATAAAGGAATAGATGAAGAGAAACAATTAGAATATTTACATACTATAAAACTACGCTATTTTAGTCCAAGAGAAGTTGCTAATTTAATGGGTTTCCCTAAAGAGTTTGAATTTCCAGAAACAACTACTATTAAACAACAATATAGAACTTTAGGTAACAGCATTAATGTCAGATTGGTATCAGAGTTAATGCGTTACTTGCTTAAATAATCGATTGTGTTAACCAGTAAACTGAATTTCTGGGACATGAAGCGGCTACTCACGTGATGATGAATTTTAAATAAAAATATTGTTATTGTAATCCTTTAAAATAATGTATTTTACGCAGAGTTCTTTCAATCTGCCAAAAAAAAATATCATAAGTAATACAATACAATATTTTTAACGAAGATTCTCTTCCAAGCAGGAATAACAAATAAGAAATCTTACTGCAAAATAGATTTTTATGATTACTTGATTTTTCTCTACTGTCTGAATTTAAAATATCAAATTAAAAAAAAAAAAAAAAAAAAAAAAAAAAAAAAAAAAAAAAACTTTTTTCTTTTTTGAATTAATGTCTTCTTACATTTCAAATACAAAGCCTACATTATTTCAAGTGATATTGAATAAACTAGGTATAATTGAGTTACCTTTAAAAGTAAATTGTTGGTATTGTTGTCAGGATTCCTACATTTTACCTGGTTCAAAGAATACGAGTGATCATTGGTATTGTTATTTATGTGAAAGCACAAATGCAAGAGATAAAGTAAGAAGAACATTTATCATTTTTTTTTCTTTTAGAATTTAATAGTAACGTCTCTATGTTAGAATGGCGACATTGCAGATCCTAAGCACTTTGAGGCCTATCCTGAAAATTTAAAAAGTAGGATGATCATGTAAAAGATTATTATTTTATATGTATATTTATATATAACTCACTATTATATAAAGTAACACGTTTGAATAGAACTCAATCAACTATTAATAGAAATAGTGAAAGAACATTATGCGATAGGTGTCAACATAATCAAGTTATAATTTATGAATTATTAAGTCAATACATTCCAGATGAAAGTGTAAGTAAAAAAAAAGGAAAAAAAAAAAGATGCAATAATTAACAACAAATCTAGGATCCTACTTATAAATATCGATATGATAATGTGGATCAATATAAAGCAGATTTACATAGACGATATAAATTATGTGATGATTGTCAAGCAAAAATAAACCAATTAGTAGAAGAACAGAAGGCAACACTTAGGAAAATAAAAATAAATGAGACGTTGACAAAGAGTATAACGACGAAAACACCAAAACAAAAAAATAAACAGCTGTTTTATTTTATGGGCGCTTGTTGGATTTTGATACACATCATGACCTCAGTCTTTATTATTTATGGTAAATATATAGCATAGCATTCAAAAAGGAAAAAAAAAAAAAGGGAAATGACGAATGACTTCTAACTTGTGTTTTATTGAAGCTATTAAATATCCTTATGATGGGAAAATGATATTTGATTATAATATCATGACAAATTTATTGAAGGAAAATAGACACGCTATAAAGGATTTAAAGAAAATTCAGGCTATTGTTCAAGAATGGCTTAGTTCAATTTTTCCTAATTTGCTTCACTTTTCAAAAATTATGTATTACTGCTTAATGTCTAATGATACAGAGATTTGTAATTGGAATAAGTATAACTGGCTTATAATTGCAATCTTATCCAACTTTACATCATGGTTCTTTCATGTATGGCATCATAAATTATACTCGGCCTTTCATGATACTAGTCGAATTAAAAACTGGAATCTATTCAAGGTAAGGTATTAAGAATCTCCCCCCCTAAATAGTCGAATTGAATTCATAATTGTCGTATCCTTTCCTTCCCATAGACTATACAGTTTTGGCTATTTATTATACGTTTTGCAATGATTATGATGATTGCATACAATATGAATAATATTGGATTAAAAATCTCATTAGGTGTTTACTTATCAGTATGTATTTGATAAATGAGCTTAGATATATTCATTTATTTTCTAACCCTGATGTATATTAGATGCTTATTGGTTCATATGTTATCGTAAGATACGATAAAGGTAAATGGCCATTTGTGCCCGTCGGTACCTCACATTCTGCTTTTGATTTGGACACGGATATTCCAAAAAGTAGTAAGACATCGAAGCGTCAATCATCGCCACCACCACCACCAGTAGATTTTAATTTAGAAGAGGATGGTATGTCCATTGTCAGTGAGAATATAACAAGAAAACAAAGCCAGGCAGATCCTTTACAGAGTATTGTAGAAGGAGTTGGAAGAATTATTGTATAAAAGAAAGAGAGAGAAAGAGAGAACGAGAACGAGAAAGAGAGATTTGTAAATGTAATAGATAAACTGTAGCAGAACAAATACCATATAAAAATATTTAGAAAACAATAAATAATAAAACTGTATTTTACTATAATTAAAAAAAAAAGAAAAGAAAAAAGAAAAAAGGGAAAATATTTATTATCATAAATAAGACCAAAGCTTTATTTACCAATAATAGGCATTGGATATATCTCTTTCTTTTGTGTTATTGGATGACCTGCTATCCATTAATGGTGGAGGAGGAATATTACGTGTAGTAGTAGTAGTAGTAGTAGTAGTAGTATTAGTAGTAGTATTAGTAGTAGTAGTAGTAGAAGAAGAAGATGAAGAAGATAAAGATGAAGAAGTAGAAGTAATAGTAGTAGGATTATTTATTGAGGTATTAGTATTTCGTAAATAACTTACAAGTGTATCATTATTAGGAGCAGATGGTATTGTCTGTTGTTCTAAGGGCAAAGAAATACCTGATAGGATATCTACGTGCTGATCTGTATGAATTAAATGCTGTTTTTCTTGCTGCTGAGAAGTGAATGATTGATATTCATTTATAATATGACTATTAGACAGGTTATCTTCGTAGATGAGTCGATGTTCTTGTAAACAGTTAGTTTCTGCAAATGGATCTTGTTGCTGTCCGTTAAGACTTGAATCCATGAAATTATTCCATTCATTAGCATCTAAAGAAGAAGGAACACCCCAAAATGATGTCCCTACGAGTGGATCGTATTGCCTCGTTGAGGATACAGGGATAATACCTGGTGCTGCAAAAGGATCCATTGTACTTGGCGCAGTATTTGTGTTGTTACTACTAAATGAGCCTGCAGGTAATATTTGAAAAGCATATTCTATATTCTGTGTTGAATCTGGAGAATAAAACGTTCTTGCACTATCCTCAATTTGATGTCCTTCCTCTTCATTTACTCGAATAATGGGGAATCGTAAATTACTGGTATTAGCTTTAAGTGATAAGCTATTTTCTTCAGACCGTCGTTCTGAGTTATCATCTAGAGTATAATCATTTTGTTGAAAATAATTCGAAGGTCCCTGCCATTGGTTTGTATCCTGTTGTAAATCGGTACTACTTAATCCAGATAATTCAGCTAAAATTTGACAGCTTTTACTTGCCGTTGGCCAAGTGATTTCAACTTCATCTAAAGCTTGCATACATTTTATCACTTTGGCTTTGGCTTCTAATGATTTTTCACTCTTATTGTTATGCTCAACTTGTTCTTTGATGCAATGTACACCTTTGATAAAAATAATGCTTGATGTAAAAATATAATAGACGGCATAATTAAATACATAACGAAGTTTTTTTTCAGCCAACATTGAATTTGTGACAGACAGAATAGCATCTGCTGCTGCTAAACAGACAGAGGCACATGGTAAGAGAGTAGGTATAAGGATTTGATCGGGTCCAGGAATAAAGGGTCGATGAAGCAAGATAACTACTGTGTGATAGATCATATGTAACTGACAGATAGCGATAGATGGAAGAGGTTCATCTTTTTTTATCTGTAAAGAATCAGGTAATTGATCATACCATTGATGCAATTTCTTATTCAAAGCCAACAAGATAGTATCTGTTTGTCGTGTCCCTGTGTATTGTAATGAATGCACGTAATAAATGTTTTTCAACACATGGCCAAGAATGTCGCAAACTTTAATTAGATTTGTAAAGGCATCTAGCAAACTAAAAGAGTGTTGATCGTCATCTTGTATTGGATCATCATCGTCTATAGAAGGAAATGGAACATCACAATCTCTTTCTTCAAATGTTGACGCTCGACCATACATAGCACTTGCTAATCTATCTACAATATAACAACACCAAAATACTCGTCTCCTTCGTTCGCATTCTTCAGGAGAGATATTCCAATGAGTACAATCTCTATGTAAGCCTAAATCTTGTGCCATTCTAAATGCCTAATACTGCTGTTATTAATAATTTAACTCGTAAATAAAGCTAATTCAAAAATTTACCATGCCACTATATAGCCAAGCTCTAGCTGACTTCATAACACCGTGCTGGTGACTTGCTAGCAATAAAAGTGCTTGTACTGTAGATATACTCGGTGTATCATAAGATTCATCTAATAACTTCTCTGCTCTCTCAAAGAAAATATCTCCAGCTGTATCAGGAGAATCTGGATCTGACCTCACTCTTGTATCAGGAGATATACGAGAGGCCACAGCATATACTGCATTTAATAAAAGTGGCGCCACTGGATCAATGGCTGGGTTATCCACAGTCGAAAATAATTGACGTTTATAAAATAATGGTAAAAACGGATAAAAATGTTTAAAATAAAGTCGTAGTAAATGTTCAGATAAGTCTTTGGGCGGTAATTCAAGTGGATCGACATTAGTTGATCTCCTTGTCTTTTGTAATTGTGATCGTTTCCCATAATTTGTAAAATGAAATGCGCCATTACTGTATGTTTTACTGTTTTGTAAAAGATAATATCCAGAAGATCTTCCTAAATAACGTACTTGACCATTTTCGTCCATCATTAATTGACCTACAACTCCTTCATTCGCTGATGCCTCTATTGGTTTTGGTCTTTGCATCACATTCTCTTCATTTGGTTCTCTTATGCTTTCACGTTTACGTTTTCCAGCTTTATCTTGCTGCCAAAAAAAGACTTTATTTCTTTCTGATCGAGGTACTCTTCGAACTGGTCTTGTAGTAATTCGTTCACCTGTGGAAGTCTCCAAAGGTGCGTTCAGTTCTTCTAGTAGTTGTTTTGATTTGATATCTTCCCCTTTCTTGGCTAAATCAGCTAAAAAATTTTCTAATTTATAAAGTCGATTCTCTATAGCTTCAATATAACCTTTTGGTGGTCCACGCTGTTAACAATAAATAAAAAAAAATAAGTCCGCTGAATATAAGGTTGTATTGTACTGCGCATTTTACAACAAACCTTTTTTGTCATATCTTTAAAGGTACATTCAAGATCGGCATTTTTACAATTTGTGCAAACAGGTGTTGCGCCATCACATTTAACCTTTTTACGTCTACATAAATCACTAAAAGTAAACTAGAAATTAGATTAGGGGTGCTTTTTTTTTTTAATCCACAAAAAATTGAAATAGATGATTTACCAAGCTCGGCTAACTCGTTGTCTCGGTATTGAATGCCCTTCTTCAGCTGACATTGACATATTTTCGAAAAGATGGATAAATAAATAAATATGCTACAATATGTAATGTTCAATAGATGAATTAAATAAAAGATAAAAAAAAGATAAAAAAATAAAATAAAATAAAATAAACGGGTAACCAACGAAATCCTCACCGGGGTTAATAATAATCTATATTTTTTTGTAAGATTTTTCCTCTTTGGGTATTATTGCTTCTATTTTACATACTTGATTTCCAAAAAAAAAAAAAAAAAAAAAAAAAAAAAAAAAAAATAATAATAATAATAATAATAATAATAATAACGATATACTTTCTGAATATATGCATTAATTTGATATTATTGACAGAATTTCCAAGATTGATCTGGTAAAGGTAGAAGAGCAGAGCCAAGGGAGGGGGGATGGTATGTACGAAACCATTGCCCTAGAAAGCCACAAATGGAAATCAAGTAAATAGAAGAAGAAGCCTGTGAAGGAGCTTAAACAAGTCTTAAAGAGACTTACAGATTAATACAATTACAACAACTTTGTGTAAACTTTACAGGAAACAGTTATGGTGTTGTATACGAACTCTGATTCAGACATTAATCCTTAACAGTAGCTGTTGCATAGTTTACTTGGATAAAAGTAGATATTCCTACAGTTCAGTTTGTAATAGAAGGAACACTCTTAAACTTCTTCACTGTTATATAAATGGATTTATTGATACTACATTATCATCTTGACCAATAAATATGTACGAAAGAAAATGTTAGTTGAATAGAAAAAAGTTGAAAAAAAAAAAGAATGGTTAGCGCAAATATCTTGTCTATCGTTGGTCATTTTCAAAGTACCTGTCATCCGCATACTTGTAGCTACTATCCATTTACTCAGTTCATCAGAAAAACTATAGAAGCTCTACATGAATGTCAATGAAATAAAAATATTCTCTTTTTATAGTGGCATTCAGAGTCTGATCAATGTATACTTATTATTTTTTGTTTAATTATTTTTATTCTTTTTTTTTTTGGTTTATTTCTTTATATACATGTATATTCAAGTATTCGTGCCTAGATATTACATATCATGATTATTCAGCAAGAGTCAGCAGCAGTAACCCAATAAGTAAAATATAAGTCTAAATTAATGACTAACATGGCAACTACTAAAAACATTAGGAGCCCTTATCGATTTAATTCTTTTGTTAAAACACGAGGCTTGCTTTACCTTGTTATGTTTGTAAAACAAACTTGATTAAACGTAGGCATAGCTGTATAAAAAATAAAACCAGCTCAGTACTATATAAAATCACATTAGAGTGATAAAGAGAACCATTCATCATATACTAGAAAGTTGCTATGTTTGGGACGAAGCAAGAAAATAGTCAGTACCATGTATTGATACTATCCTTAACAGGATGATATTTATGTTATTCTATAAATAAGATATTTGTTTTTACTGCTATGGATTTTTATGTAATAAAATTATTGAAGGGTGTACTACGGCTTTTAAAAAGGGTATATTGTGCCATTATTAGAATGTATCTCTAAAAAAAAACATGAAATGATCAGAAGGGTTGTCTGACATGTGTAACCTACTACTAGTCTGTGAGTAGCATCATGATGTTTGGGATTATACTTGATACATACTATTGATAATAATAGTTCTTCGTTATAAAATTACTATTTTACCTTTAATTGAATCAAATTCAATCATACTTTCTCTGTACATTTGTATGTGGTATAAACATCAGCTACACAGAAATCCGTTCGTAAGGATCATATTCATCATTAAAAGTAATCATATAAATTTTGTAAAATGAACCTTAAGTAATAGCATAAGTATTAGTCACTTTCCTTTTTTTTTTTTATTATTATTATTATTTATTCTGCTGTTTGCGTAATAGTTTGCTGTAAAAGTTAATACTATATACAAAAGACAGAGAATGAAGCACATTTTCAGATCTATTTGTCAAATATTTAAAGAATAAAAGAGAAAAAGTACAAATTATTTGAATCATTAATTTAAAGCATACATGTGTATATTTTATTTTTTTTCGCATAGAAACTGTATTTTAAGTGATATACATGTGTTGAAGCTGTTAGTGTACAATAGAACAATAGTCATACTTTCTTCTAGTGCTGATTGTCATCTAATGATGAAAATTATAAATCATAACTCTACCCTTTTATATCATTCTTCTTTTAGTGTGTTGTAACTATTTTAGAATAATAATTCACGTATTAGACATGTTTCAAAAGTTATAGTAATGAGTCGGTTATACGTTGTATTATCTGTTTAAATATCTAATTAACGAGTTCATTATTCAACGATAATAATATGAATTATTTTATCACACATATATATAATATCTATTAAGCTGCATATCAATGTTAAGCATTGCATAATCAGCTAAATAGCAAAAAAAAAAAAAAAAAAAAAAAAAAAAAAAGCAGTGATCAGCTTTACCGCATATTAGCATATTTCCCCGTTTGATTGCGTTTTTTAGTAGAAATTTGTACAATCAAAATAGATCCAACATAACTCTATTTATGGGCATAAATACATTTAATAGATATGCAACAGTGATCGAAAAAGGAGAAATAAAAAAAAAATACTTATTTCTTTATAAATGTGTGTAACATGCTTAGAAAACTATTCAATTTTTTTTTATAAGCTTGTCCTTTACAAAAGAGATTATGATAGTTAAGTCAGCATCCAAGAATAATAGAGACACTTTGATTGATTTCTTTTAATTAATAATGATCCTAAAATCTATTGAATATATCGTTCCGTACTAATCCCGAGCATTTCTCCTGTATGAAAAAAAAAAAAAAAAAAAAAAAAAAAAAAAAAAAAAACTTGTTTATTTATGCTCAAGCTCATCTAGAAATAAATCTATTATCCTCTTTAATATAGTAAAGTATATCGTGATATTTTACTCAATTTATCTTAAATTCTGATCATTTACACGAGTAAGAAGAAAAAAGGCGGAATAGCATATGATAATTTACCCTACTCCTATGTAAAACAAATACTTTCCTCTTCCTCCCTTTTATTATAATATTGTTTCTTACATAAAATACATCTTCTCCTTACTGTCTGTAGATCCTATATTAATATTTCATTTTCTCTCTTTTTTTTTAGACTTCCTCTTTGTTTTCCTTTTCTTACTTACTTACTTTAATGACTATAACGAATAAAAACTTATTAGAAGGAGATAAAACGAAACGTAAAAGACTTAAGGTAGTCAGTGCTTGTTTAGAGTGTCGTAGAAAAAAGACAAAATGTAACGGTGAAAAGCCTTGTGTTGGTTGCATTAAAGCTCGTATGGATTGTAAATATATCAGTAATAATTTGTTAAAACAACCACTACCGCAATCAATTCAGCCAACACCCAACAATGACTCAAGTTCAATTGAATTAATCGAAAAACGCTTAGGCATCATTGAAAACGTCTTGAGGTCTTTAATTACAACCAACAATTATACACTGCCAACTTCCGATCATTTTCCTATTACCTCTCCTTCACATCTTCCACCTTCTGAAAACATGTTCAGAACACGAGGAAAAAGACAACGACATGAATGTGTCACAACAGATATGACTCTACATCATCATGGGTATTCACAGCAAAATAAACTTGCGCCTATTAAAATCGAACAGCATCGTATTTCAACTATTAAAAATTTATTAAATAATGATGATGAACAAGAAGATATAAAAGGGAAATACTCATGGTGTTCTTCTTCTTTGGAATCCTAATAATAATTTTTTTTAAAAAAAAAAAATAGTCATCCTTCAGCATTCTATTAAATTCATTTACAATCGATAACCAATAATCTGCTATTGCAGCTGGAATTATACCACTATTTGTTTATATAACTTTATAAGCATTACATGTAATAAAAAATATAAAATAAAAAAAAGATGAAGGGGTATATAAATATAAATATAAACATATAATGATTATATTCCAACCATGCCAAATACACAAAGAGCTCCAATATAAGGCACTAATATAGTTTTAGCTACAAAATAAAATAGTATACCAAATGCTATAGAAATTGGTAAAGCAGGTAATGCCTTATTATAAATGGCCAATAAAAAGATAGTAGCTGTTAGGCCTGTTAAGACAGCAATTGTACAGCAAATAGTCGTAATCCAATCATACATTGCTGCACGAGCAATCAAGACACTATAAAAAACGAAATCACCTAATCCAAGCTTAAGACCACTTCTCTCTACATCTTCTTCATCTTGTTCTGATAAACCAGATCTTTGACTATTTCTATTATCAGTATGATTTGTTTCTAGTGATGCATTTGGGTTTATTAAATGATGACTACTCTCTATACTAAGAGTATCATCTGGCAAACGCATAAAACCATCATGACTATTTCTAATTAAAACCTTTTGTTGAATAAATGTATTATGTGAATGATAAGATGAATGACGAAAGTCTATGTTCTTTTCTACTCTCAAAGATTCTTTTTGTTCTCGACCAATAATACTTTTGGACAATCTGAAATGGTCTTTAGCTGATGCCATCATAAACCATACTGCATTAACAGAATAAAGTAATGCAGGAACTTCTCTTTGCTGTTTCTTTGAACTTTCAATCAACAAACGAAGAGGTCCAAATGGGCATAGTACTGCAATAAGATCTAACATAATTAAAATAAATAAATAAAATCAGTATATACATATTATATATAGATGTATCTATTACCCCATATAGCAAGTAAACCTAATAGAATCCAAGTAGTCCACTGCTCTAATCCAGTTAAAGAAAATGCCATCAATGAACTCATAATAGTCAAGTAAGTCTGTTGTAACCAAAGTGGACCTTTCCAGAAAATAGAAATCAAACCAACAATTGCAAAATTCCATAATCCTAATCCCATTGTGATAAAATCCAAAGGAATGGAAAATACTTGGATTAAATTACTATACAACATAAGTTAGATATACAAATTCATTATCGTATCATAAATAGAACCCACACGTACTTACAGCAGTAATAAATAGGACATGAAGCCTAATAGTAATAAAACAACAATCATAAAGAATATAATTAGGGGCTTAACCCATCCTTTCTTAAAGAAAAAGACCATTATAATTGTCATTATAATAATTTGACTAATAATGATAGCTGCATTTGTAAATGAAGTAGCTAAAGTATTTGTGTTGGAATTGTTACTTGATGTAGTTGTATAAGTACTAGTAGATTGTATAGAAACATAGCTCGGCCGAATAGGACTACACACATATAGAATACGTAAATGAGTATGTATATCAATGTATGCCTCCCTTTTCTTTTCTTTTTACTATATCTATTCTATTTACCTATAATCACTTGAATCATCGAATGCAATTTTAACCCAAAATATACTTAGTAAAATACATGCAATAACAGGTTTAATAATTCTATAGATTTGAATAGTATAATATTTAAGATCATCTAGTTCTTCTTCTTGTGTATTCTGTAAATCATTATCTTCATTACTTGACAGGCAAGTTAGAGCTATTTCTTCATCTAAATGGATATAAAACGTTCGTATATGTATGCATGTAATATTTGCACATAAAAATATTCAGTTACTTGGCTGTGCTTCCAACACTACATTATTGACTTCTATTACTGATTTTCTTGTGAGTGATCTATTTTTTTTCGCTGCTTTACATTCTTTATAGTGGCTTTGTTTCCAGTGATCTTTTTGACACTTTATTGAACAGTACTTTGGTCCTTCATACCTACAGGATGAGCACATGAAAGATGCAGATCTTTGACATTGTGAACATGATGATGAATTCGTGCTAGATTCGTTTGTTATTATTTCAGTTGCCATAAAAAAAAAGAATAAAATCTTAAATGTGTATATATATGTTGTGTGTATGTGTGTGTAATATTATATCTAAAAGTGTATTCTCAAACTTGAATCACAAGTTACATAAAAATTCAAACTAATGGTGAAATGGGCTTATGAGAAAAAAAAGTTAAAACGAAATGGTTTATTTTCCCCCTTTTCCTTCCCCATTATTTTAAAATTTTCTTTTCCTGATTTGGATATTTTCCACCTTTTTTTTTTTTCTTATGTGAAGAATTCCTCCTCCATTTTACTAAAATTCCTATATAAAGTAAATTTTTGTAGAAGATAATAAAATTACTTTATTTTTAAATTAAAATTTATAAAGCGACCTATGGGCACATAATATCTTTGTTATATTGAATTGCCCAGGTCAGTTCAGATTATGCGAAAAACAAAAAGGTATCTAAAAAACCCTCTTACGGGACAAGAGGTAAAAAAAGGTAAAGGAAAGGAAGAAGAGAAGGTGAGAAAGAAAGGGGGAATATTGCTAACAAATTTAAAGGGACAACCTAGTTGAGTCATTTCCTGCCTGGGTCAAGAAATGGAGGGGAGGTAGTTTGTCGTGTAGTAAGTAATCCATTTCCTGTAGAATGGTGCACATAACTGGCCAGCGATAGAACCAGGCAGAAACGTTTCTTGAAAAGTACGACAGTTTAAATTTTAATAGTGCGAGAAAAGGTGTATTGTTATTGATTTAAAAAAGAATTGTTTGATTTACATCGTAAATCAGATTTCTAGACCGAATTTATTTTAAGCTAAGCATTTCTAAGGACTTTTTTAAAAAAAAAAAAAAAAAAGTTCGGCATTTTGGGGTATACTCCGCTGAACTTAAAATAAAAACCTAGTAGATGATGACGAAATCCTTTCAATAAAAACTGATTACGCGGTCTTTCTTCTTTTTCTTTCTTTCTTTCTTTTTAAAAAAAAAAATTTCTTAGTGGAATGCCACATCCCCCAGCTCCCTCTCTCTGTTGTTTCTATGTTTTGTATTGTTGTGTTGGCCGGATGCATAGCCTATTGTAAGCGTTGGTATTTTTACTGACCCCGATAGAATCTCCCTCTTCGGATACCTTCTAATATAACTCTGTGAAGCATCAGATGTATAGACTGTGTTCTAGATGTGGACATTAGCCTACTATTTTTTTAAGTTCTTTGTCGTTGTGTTGGCCGGATGCACAGCCTATTGTAAGCGTTGGTATATTTACTGACCCCGATAGAATCTCCCTCTTCGGATACCCTCGATTAAAGTCTTAGAAATTGAATAGGTTATATGTAAAAATTCTACTCTGTCAGATTGAGGTAATATTGTTACTGGCTTGTAAGATGCATAGACTTTCGCCGTGTTGGAATACTTGCCAATCCGTGATTGACCCTCCCTCTCTTAAGGTCTTTAGCAATATTATTTAGATTTGTCAGTTGCAAAGATTGTCCTTTGACTTTCTTTTGCCCACTATTTTTTGGGATCCAATAAGCTTTTACCTTCACGTGGTGGATCCTGTTAATCAACTAAGCTGTAAAGCAAAGTTGAGAACTGAAAAAGCTAGTATATTTATTTGTTCTTCAATCAATAAAAGAAATAATTTTTTAACATCTATTTATTTTTTAAGAAGTGCTATTAGCGCGTTTTATTTTAATAAGTTCTATTTTTTTGTGTGTGCAAGATTAGAAAGTATGTGAAGCAGCACGGTATTTATGACTTGCTCATCTCGTCTACATGTTATAAAAGGCATACTGTTGATAAGATAAAGATAACAAAAGAATAAGGCAGAATAAATCTGTATAAAACTTTTATTATCAATAAAAAATTAAAACTTGATTTCTCAAAAATGAGTGCAAAATGGATCCTCATTTATATCTTGTGGGGAATGAGTTACTTCGCGTCAGGAACAGAATGAAAGAAGAATATTTCCCATAAAATGATTAAAGTTGTTTTGTTTGAGCTCTCTAATCTTTGCCCTGACTGAGAATTAATCTCAGTTAACTCTAATAAATATTAAATTATTGGTGCTTGATCTAGCCGGTTATTTTTCTTGAAACCAAATAATGAAATCTCGTATGTTCATACTTATGAAAGATATAGGGAAGATGCTTTGTATTATATTCATTCCTTACTATACTACTTGAATGAATGTCATTATATTGTATAGTGTATAGATAGTATATGATTATATTTATAAGCTAGTATATCAATAATAATATGGATATATAACTAATAGGTACAATCTATAATTCATATATCTTTATCATTAATAACTCCTTTATTTCGTAGAGTTAGTATTTATTATAATATTATTTTTCTCATAAACTGAAATCAAATGATATTGTATGCATAAAGTGTACAACTAATAACTATAATATCATTCGGTCCTTCATGGCTCTGGTCTGTTTATTATAAGATATTATGTAATACATCATTATATGCACAACATTCTCCTACAACAAGTGGTCCTCCTTTTGATTTAGATCTATGTCCCTTCTCATCTGAACAAATTCATGAGACTCTAAAACAACTGCCTCGTAAAAAAGCTCCTAATATTGATCATATACAGACGGAAATGGTATTACCCCTCGTTCACACTTTGGTTCCTCAGCTTCTGAATCTCTTTAGTATCTGTTGGCGATGGTCCTATACTCCACTATCATGGCGAGCTGCGCAGGTAGTATAGATACACAAGAAAGGCTCTAAAAGTGACCCAGGGAACTTCAGATCAATTAGTTTGACATCTATTTTTCGTAAATTATTTGAAAAATGCTTATACCCTAGCCTACTAGAACAATCCCCTACTCTAGACATTGCTCGAGGCGGATTTCGTGAATCGCGTAGCTCTCTTGATCAATTTCATTGACTTATCGAAATCTGCTCTATTCTTTGGCGTAACCACAACTATTTTCCGACTCTTGCTTTTTTAGATATCAAATCAGCGTATGATACTGTAGACTTCACGCCTCCGCTTTCAACACTCAATGGTATAAACTCATTCAAACATCATGCTGGAGACTCTGTGCCGCCAATTCCATTCCGTTAGACAAACGCTCCTTTCGAAAACATCGTCGAGAATTTCTTGAAGAGAGTTTTCAACAACTACGTGACGAGACACATTCTGTTTTGCTTTCCTCTTGCCGCCCTAATCTGATTATTGACCCGATACTCTGGTTACCCATGACACACAGTGAGCGTAGTCGAACTATTCGATGGCGTCTTGGTTGGTTACCCGGAGGAATACCTAAAGCCTGTCCATATCATCCTCATGTACACTTTAGTCGGTCACACGCCACTGAATGCTTGCACATGCACACTCGTTTATTCTTGCCACAATCAATTGCAGATCCCCTTTCCTTTCTTTTAAATCATCTCCCTCAGCATAAGCACCGAAATTCTCAGGATGTTTCTGCTTGGTTCTATCGCTGGCCAGTTATGTGTACCATTCTACAGGAAATAGATTATTTAATGCACGATAAACTACCCCCTCCACTTCTTGATCCAGGCAGAAAATTACTCAACTGGTTGTCTCTTTAAACTTGTTAGCAATATTCCCCTTTCTTTCTCACTTTCTCTTCTTCCTTTCCTTTACCTTTTTACCTCTTGTCCCATAAGAGGGTTTTTAGATACTTTTTTCACATAATTTGAACTGACCTGGGCAATCCAATATAATAAAGATATTATGTGCCCATAGGTCGCTTTTTAAATTTATAAAAATAATAATAAAAAAAAATGTTTAATCGTATGATACTGTAGATTGTTCCTATATTTGGCAAGTGCTTCAACCTCATCTCTGTCCGGCTTTGCTTGGAGTTCTCAAAAATCTCTTTGATCAGGTTCAAATTGAAGTTCTTCTTGATAATCATATATCGTATCGTTTTTCTCCTATCACTGGCGTCTTACAAGGGTCTATTCTCTCTCCGTTTCTATATTCAATCTATATCAACCAACTTTCAGCTCGTTTGAGGCTACCACACCAACTCAATGACTCCTCCACTACTGATGTAGTTACTACATTTGTACCGTCCCTTAATTGTCTACTCTATGTTGATGATGTTGTCCTTATTGCCTCCCCTGAGAAACTCACTTCTTTACTGCACTAATGCGAAGTCCATAGTTACTTCTTAGGTTATCGGTGGAACCCATTAAAATGTGTCATAGTCGCTCCTACCAATGATCTTCAACCACATCAATTATATGATACTGCTATTCCCAAAGAATTCTCCTTTTCCTATCTTGGTGTTCCTATAAAACCTGGTGGTCTACTTGACTATGCTGTTTTAATCCAACATAATATCAATAAAGCCTCTCTCACTATGAATCAACTTGCTGCTATTGGCCTCAACTCCAAAGGTTTTCCACCTCTGCTTGCACGTCGTTTTTATAGTCAAATGGTTCGTTCTCAATTAGATTATGGTCTTGCAATCAGTCTTCTCTCTGCTAAACTTACCAAAAACTGGATGTCTTTCAAAATTCATGCATTCGATGTATCTTTGATGGTCACTTGCGGTCCTTGGCAAAAGTCATATTTCATCTTGTCAACCTCCCATCCATGAAGACCCGTATTGCAGTCCTCCAAGCGCAATACCTCCTTCGAACTCCTCAATTACGAGTAGATACTCTTCTTGTCCATCTTTTGCCTAATATTCAGATCCCAAATAGTCATTCCCACTGGTATAAATTGGCTCACACTACAATATGGAAACACCTATGCTCACTAATTATCTCAACGCTCGACCGAAAACAATTCTACACTCTTCGTGCTAAGTTTCTAGATGATCAGTTTCAAACCCTTTGTCAAGACACTAACTCCCTCCTATTGTCTTCCTCACGCCCCACTCTTGAATTGGATCCCATCCTTTACTTACCAATGACTACCTCAGAACGTAGCTGAGTGCTTTGATGAAGACTTGGCTGGCTATCGGGTGGTAAACCTAAGGGATGTATATCATCGTCTCTACACGCCTACTTTAGTCAAAGGTCCTATCTCGTTCCTCCTCAACTTGCTTCCGCTACATAAACCTCGTCGTCCTTCTGATTGTACGAGCTGGTATACTTTATGGCCTATTTTTTGTACAAGTCTACATGAACTTGATTACTGCTTCCATGATGAATTTCCTTCTGATCCTGTCGATCATGGTTTCAAGCTGCTGAATTGGTTGTCCAAGTAACAGTGTGTGTGTGTCTTCCTGATCACTTTGGTCTGATTTGTATTTAAATTGTTTCTTCTTACTTTTTCGCTTTTTCCTCCTTATATTTTCTCTTAATTCCAAAATACTGCTCTTTTCTTTTTCCTTCTCGTTTTCTTTTTTTCCCTTCTTGTCCTTTAGGAAATTTTTTATTATTATTTCCCCTCTACAACTGGCTCGGGCAATATTGCGCATTTATTTGGTCGCTACATGCTTATTGCCAAAAAATTTAATAATAATAATAATAATAATATTAATAATATTAATAAAACTCAGAATTTAATCGTATTACACAACTTGACAAGTCAAATGTAATTGTAACGAAAGATTCTTATATAAACTGTAATATTCTATAAGTTAGAACATACTATTGATGATTTTAAAATGCAATACTTAACATTTACATAGATACTTTGAGATAAAATACAACTGTTTCCATTGATTCCCGATAATTATATTGAAGGACTCCGTGTTACTTATCTTTTATAATATACAGCCTTTGTATATAAAGTCTTTCCTATTAATGAAGATAGTTTAATTTAAAAAATATTCAAAGAAAAAACAAATTAGAGCCTGACTAAAATGACATATCATTAATGTAGCATCATTTGATATACAAGACCTTAAACTATATATAATTTACACTTTTCTAGGTAATTAAAGTAAAAAAAGAAGAAAACCAAGAGAGAAGGAATATACAGTAGATGCAATTATGAGTATATATATGCATATACGTATAAAGACAATCGATTGTAACAATTAAAAATTACACTTTTTTTTTAATTTTATAAAGGTCTTTGTATACGATAAAATGCTGTTAATTCTTTGTTGCTTTATTCTCTTTCTTGGGATGTATTTATACAACTACTCCAATCTATAATTCTATAAATTCTTTTCTTTTTTAGCTTCCATATTTTTCATAACGTAATGAAAGCATATTGGAAATTTAAAAAGTAGATATAAGAGAATTCTTATATGATTAAGAGCATCATATAAAAATTATAATACTCTATTATTACACAATTTTCAACTCTTTTTTCTCTCTTCCTTTTTGCTTCAATTATATCTCTATTCTACTCTATTTTGTTTAATATTAAAAGCTAAAAGATAGTTTATATCATTTTAAAGTGAACCACATCATCAAAATTATAATTAACGTACCTTGTGAAAAAAAAAGCATTGTATTATTCGAATATTTATTTCTGATGTACGCGGTTATATTATCATTTTTCAGAGCATAAGAAAAGACTTATACGATGAGAAGTTATTAGAAAAAGATAAGTCATCTTATATTACAAAAAAAAAAAAAGGAACTGCATTATCATTATTCGAAACGTTTCAAATAAGAGCTTTTAAAATATTTTATAGGGGACAGGGGTGGGATGAAGAATAAAGATAGTTAGGACTATTCAATTTTACTTGTGTTGATATTATTAATCAATTAAAGGATTATGAAAAGAAAAAAATGATTGAAATAAAGAAGAATGGTTTGAATATTCATTTGAATGGGCAAAAGGCCAAAAAAAGACATTCAGATATTAAACGGATACAGTAAGCGGTATTGAATTCAATTTCCTTTAACAACATGCTTCTCTCTCTCTCTCTCTCTCTCTCATCCTCCTATTGTATATGATTTTCAAACATAAAAGCGCTCAAATACTATCTTATCACTGTAACCAAAATATAAATGAAATGTAATATGCTGCTATTTTTACTTGCTTTTCAATGTAGATTCTGATTAATATTACTTGCAAAATAATAAAAATTTAATTTCTTTAATAAAATAATATTCGAGGTGAATCATCTTTTCTTTTCCATATACATATATTTGTATATACATATATTTCTAGCAGAAATTTGAATTCTGTGACGATAAATCAAATAACAAATATTCATTAATTTCAACGAAAATAGTATTTTAATATAACATTTTATTTTTTAGAATATAATTAGAAGGAAGAAGCCTAAATATTATTTCTGTATATCTTATCATCATAATTGTAGTATTAATGCATTCATAGTCAGATATTTAAATATTTATTAACGTATAAAATATCGAAGTAATATTCTTTAGAGGACGTTAAGATAAGAACTAATGTTTTTTTAAAGAATAAATCAATAAAAAAATGCAAATTAGGTTTTCTTTTTTTTTCCTTCTTCTTCTTCTTTTTCTTCATATCTTTCTTTATTATTTAAATGGATCCACCTAATATTAGACTTCCAAGAGCAAGATTTTTTACAATAATGCCTAATGATAGCAATACTGACAGCTTAAGAACATATGATCAAACGCTTATAATTCCAGGAAATAGCAATGCTCCACCAAGAAGACAAACGGTTCCTGACAGTTTACAAACACCATTACATGCTCCTCGACGTTCTCGTCAAATAATGACAGACTCTTCTATTAAACATGTCTTTAAATTGCTATGTCAACATTGTAAGACACTTGTTTGTGCTCGAGGCATGAAAGCGATTCTTTTAGCCGATAAAAATATCGAATTATACAGTACAGACGTACCCTCTTCCAAGTAGATACACACATTTCTATAATATAGTTACACTTACTCACTCTTATGCATAGTATTTGTGCTTTAGATAAAATATATTTAACAAGTAGTTGTCACTGTAGAATTCAAGACGTAGCCTGTCTTGAATGGTAATATAAATATGTATACATAATGAAGGCAATATAAACTTATATATATATATACATATATAGTGGAAACATTATTGGGTATCATATTGTTGCACCATGTTCATCTTGTTTGAATTCAAGAAATAATGGTCACTTATGGATGTTTCGTTCAGAGGAATGCAAACCATTAAAACGTTATGATACTCAACGAAACTTTATATGCTGGTCAAATATTCCAGTAATAGAAAAGGATGTTGAATTTAAAATGAGACCCTGTATTTTATATAATCTCCTTTGTAGGTAGTATTTATCTATATTAGTATATAAAAGAGTGATAAAGAAAGAAAATTTGTGTTGTAGTGTCGTGCTTTTTTTTTATATATAAATAGTGCACGTTTAATGCAAAAAAAAAAAAGTAAATTATGTCTTTATAGAATTATAACTATTGTGGACCTAAATACTTGATTATAGTAATTTAACTTGAAATTGAGACAGATTACAAAAAATTAAGACGATTAAGAATTCAATTTGAGAAAGAACAAAAAAAAAAAAAAAAAAAAAAAAAAAAAAAAAAAAAAAAGAGAGAGAGACGAATTACTGTTAGTTTTTGGACAGGTGCGTAGCGAAACCGTTTCTTCTGCGGCGATTTATCTCTGAAAGACAACAGGTCTTCCTTTTTCTTCCCAAATAGACTGCGAATTGTCTAACATATTTTTGCTTGCATTGATCATCTCTATTCCAAAGTGTATGGCAGTTTTTGCAACCTAGAATACTTTTGGTACATTTATCATTCAGAAGCTTTGTTGCCTTGATAATCATTGAAACGAAAGGATGCAGACCTTTCATTGTAGAACCTGAAGATTTGGGGGGCATATGTTTGAGAGCATATATTATATAATTGTTCTATTTTTCATTGTCTATGGTTTTTGCTGAAAAGAAATCTGTCTCGATGTCTTTTATTTAAGTTTTTTTCTACATGACAAGCTCTTCTCTTGGAACCTTTATAACAACGTCGCTCTTTAATGCTGCACCTTTTTTATTTCTTGTTGATCTTTTTCATGGTGTACTGTTGCTGTAAATATATAATCTCTGCCTGGGTCAACAGCACAAGACTGAAAATACTTTTGGTACTTCTTCATCGCAAAAATCTTCCAACACTAATTGTACTTCTTCTTTCGTATCTTTGGCTTTTCTAGAAAACCCGAAGCAAACACCAAAGCCTGTCGCTTTAAATGGTACAAGTAAACTTGTTTTTTGCTGACAAGAACTTCGTCCAGGCTGTTGTAGTCAATTTTTTTTTTTTTTTTTGAAAATCAAAAATTGAATAAAAAAGGTTGGTGTTTCCCTCATAAGTACGGTCATTCTTGCTTTTTGTTATAGCTCGCAAGTGCTTTAGTATTTATATGGATAAATACGCCAATGAAAAGAAAATGTCGGCATCAGCGAAAAAGGTTCTAGGCTTTTTCTTTTTTTGGGGGGGGGGTCATTACCATTTTCATTCAATTTTTCTATTTCAGCAATCATGAAAAAAAAAAAAAGGGACCTTAAAGCCGCAGAACATGATTTTTGTAAGATTGTGGTTGTTTGCAAAGGAGGTTCCAAACTCTTGCAGCAAGACATTAACGTCACTAAAAAAATGTGATATAGGTATCGTCATATCAGCATGAAAATCAAGATGGTGTGCCAATTTTTCTTTAAAAAAAGCAAAGAACAGCAGCTCTTATAGCATTTAATCCAAACATTACCTTAAGTATCATTTATAGGCAAAAAATTTGGCTCGTCTGTAAAACCAAGACAATTTGGACACTAGTAATATTTATCCAATAAAAAATGCAGAAACGTCTAAAAAACAATTCCAGAATGTTTAAATTTCTTTCTATGACATCTAACAATAGTGGTTCCAGTCACATGATTTATTTCCAATACAATTTGAATACTTTTACAATTGTACATCCCTTTTTTTTTTTAATTTAACAAATTATCATAATGAGTGACATCAAATACAACTTGAAGAATCCTGGTATAAAAGAAATTACTAAATGGAGTTGAAAAAGGCTCTCTACCTTTCTTCAAATTGTAACTAAAACGTATTATAGGTGTGAAACGAATTATGCAAGAAGCAAAAGAACTTGCCAATGATAATACCTATGAATATAGCGCTTTTCCATTAGAAGTAAATAAAAATGTCCCATCTCCCCCCTCCCTCCATTAACCAATTAATTAGATTTTAACTTTTCATCTTTATAGGAGAATATATTTGAATGGCATTTTACTGTACGTGGACCAAAGGATACAGAGTTTGAAGAAGGAAGGTAGTAGAATATAAGATGATCCTAATAAAGGAATTTTAATAATGACAGTCTATAGATATCACGGTCGTATTTTGTTACCTACTGAATACCCTTTCAAGCCACCAGAAATCATTTTTTTGACAGTAAATACATATATAATAACGTTGCATGTCTATTTGCTTTCATTATTATTAAATAACATGTATTATAGGCTAATGGTCGTTTCCAACTTCATACAAAGATTTGCCTTAGTATCACAGGATTTCATCCCGAGTATTGGCAACCTGCCTGGGGAAGTATGTATCAAATGATGTAAAAAAAAAAGGGGGGGAGGGGAGAATGGTCCGAGTAACAAACTGTTAAATATATACATACATACATGCTTTTATAGTTCGTACAGTTTTACTTGCAATTATTGGATTTTTCCCTACTGAATCACGAGGAGCTATTGGTGGATTAGATTATCCAAAAGAAGAACGTCAAAGATTAGCAAAATTGTATAAGTTTTTGTGTTTATTATCATTTTTTTTTGTTAACTTGTAAATTATTATCCTATAGGTCAGTTGGATGGACCTGTCCAATTTGTGGAATAAATACTAAAGATGCATTAAGTAATATACTACCTGAAAAGCAGACTCATTTAAAGGAAGAATTACCGGAGTTTGTATTAGCCTGTAAAGAAGAAAACAAATTAGATGAGAAAGGAAACAATAGCAATAGTAGTCAGCAAGAAAAAGAAAACATTAACTCTAAAGAGGATAGTAAATGTTGTATTCAAGACTCAGCTAATAATAATAAATCATTACAAATAGTAGAACAAGAGACTTCTTCTATTGGAGATTCATGTCAAGTTGACCCGGAAATTCGATCTGCCCGTGTAATAGCAGTTACCCAAAATAATGCCAGTCCTGCTACTACAGCAAGAAATTCATCTCAAGCAGTACCTTTATGGCTCGATGCGTTAATTGCAGGGCTAGTTTCATTTATTATAGTTTTAATTTATCGTAAATATTCTTTCTAGCCCTAATGATTAAGTATACCCTACCCTCTCTTTTTCCCCCTCTTTTCTATAAACTACAATTATATTCTTTAAGCATAAATATATTGCATATATAATATAAGTTTATGGTTGTTTAGCGTTGAAAATGTATACTAATAAATTATCTCAATAATTTATATTTTACATTTATTATACAAATTTGACCTATTTATATGATTAAAATTACGGCTTATTAGGTCTTTTTTTTTTTTTTTCGACCAATGGGCACATAACTATAAAGGCTAATCTGTCCTAATTAGTTGAAAAAAAAAAGATTGATAGAGACTAGAAAGCCCTCTCAAAACAAAATGTAAAAAGGTAAAGATAAAAGTTAGAGGAATATATATTTATACATGTATATAAAAGAAAAGAGGAGGAAATGGTTTCAATGGAAAAGTGGGTCGGAATAACCACTCAATTAAAAGAGAATCAGGAAGAGAGTATGTAAATATATCATCATAAATTACACAGAAATAAGATCTAAGTTGTTCTTATCAGTCAGTCATAAAAGTAAATAGACAATAGCATGATACTGTTATATTTCTATATCTACAAGCTTGTTCTCGTTCTACGCTTTATTAACTACATTCTCAACTATTACTTTATAACTTTCAATTTTTTATTGATATAACCTACCTCATCGATCTACTCCTTCGACAGCTCTATATTTCTTATACTCCTAACTTTGATAGGCGTTTGTTTAAGTAATCATGCTACCAATTTGCAATAGTAACCTCGAGAAGAATTTCATTTGCCTTCCGATTCCACACCTCTCTCTAGTTATAGACCAAGCTTCTATACGTACTCCATTCTCTAGCTACACGTGTATTTCAGTAAATACAGTCATGCTCTGTAATAACGCCCCGACTATTTGTCTGATGGTAAGCCCAAGATTTGCACCTAGCACTTAGAATATAAGTTTCATATAACTGCATTCATTTAATTGTTTCCAAGTTTATCAATATCTCTATCTATTGTTCTCGGTTAAATATTCTCTTTAGCTCACCATGAATAAGCTTTCCATTAAGTAGTTTCATATGACACAAACTATCTTTCCTTTGCCTATTCGTTGGCATGTTGTCTATAATATTCTTTATAAAATAGTCAACCTATTTTATGATCTACTTTCTCCTTCTCCAACTGATTCTAATAATGCACTAGTAAAATAAATATCTCATGGCAGCGCTAGTATTCTATTTGGCATTTTTCTTCTTATGTCTTGGAAGTTCTTTATTAACTTTTTTTTTCTTTTTTTTCTATAATATAATCAGGGCAACAAACTGCTTTTTCATATTTTCAAGTTAAATAGCCGCCAAATAATCTTTTTTTTTTTTTTTTTTTTTTTTTTTTTTTTTTTTTTTTTTTTTTTTTTATAATACCAAAATTAAAATATTTTTAAACCCTTTCCTCTTAAATAATAATAATAAAAGTTACATACTTTAGATATACCTGTCGAAGATATAAACACATACATAATCTATACACAATTATATAATAGAATATTAATTATCAATGAACGATTTTAGCAGTGAACCTAACGAAGGAGCTACTTTTAGCTTATTAGCTCAAAAAACTCATTTAGAAAGAGTAATTACATTTTAGTCAATTATCTGGGATGTCTAGACTATTAATGGCCCTTTTTATTTTATTTTATTTTTTTTTTTTAGCGTTTTCAACAATTGTTAGATCAAGTTACACCTTATGTTCCTTATCGTTGGGCAGCAACTATTGTACTTTTAGTATTGTTCATGTTTCGCGTTATTTATGCTGAAGGATGGTACATCATTGCGTAAGTGCTGAAAGAGTGGAAATCAGCGATTAAATTGAATTAACCACTTACTAATATTTCCTTTATAGTTATGCTTTAGGTAAAAGAAAAAAAAATTAAAAAGAGGACACTGTTTCTTTTTTTCTTTTTATGTACGATGTTGACTGATCATCATAATTAGGCATTTACATGTTGAATTTATTCTTGGCCTTTTTGACACCGAAGTTTGATCCTTCAATTGACTTGGATACTCAAGCTAGTGAAATGGAAGAGGGACCTTCTCTTCCTTTGAAAAATGATGAAGAGTTTAAGCCTTTTATTCGTCGTCTTCCTGAATTCAAGTTCTGGTAAAATAAATAACAAGACAAATTATTTTTTTTTTTATTCAAATAATTCACTAATATTAATTCAAGGTATTCTGTCACCAAAGCAACTATCATCTCTATTATTTGCTCTTTGATCCCCTTTTTTGATATTCCTGTTTACTGGCCTATTTTATTGATGTATTTTATTATCTTATTTGGTTTAACTATGCGTAGACAAATCAGCCATATGATAAAGTATAGATATATTCCATTTGATTTGGGAAAGAAAAACTATAATAACAGAAGAAGAGTTTAAAAATGCAGAATATATCTTCTTTATATTGTAAAAGCATATAAATATATAAATATACACATAATAAATAAGTACATAATACTATTTTACAGCTAATTTCTATTTATTGGTCTTCCTCTGATACAATCTGAAGAATTAGTTTGTATTCAGGAATTTCATCTAATTGTGCTTTAGTTAATTTGCTTCCATTTGTAATAGCGTCCATTGCAAGCTGTACAGCTTCTTTTTCATCACTCTGTGTTTCCATCCATTTCATATACTCTTGTCTAGATAAATCATAGACTGTATGTGGTAAGGGTAACCTCTTTTGAGAACGAACAATAAGGTGATGAATTAAAACTAATTTTGATAAACCAGAAGTATGGTGTGCTGCTGTCAGTTGTGCAGAATCCAGGAACAATAAGGGTCTATACAAGCCATTTTTTTTTAATTTTGTGTGTGTGTGTGTGTGTGTGCAAGTTATTGAAAATAGTTACCTAAAAGCTCTTAAAGCCTTATATTCATTTCCAATTTCTTCCATTCTTGCCCCATATTCACTCAAAAACTGGCTGATTGTGAACTCTAACTCTGCCATATCGCCTGCTAGTTTCAATTTGCCTACTTCATTTAAAGGACATACAATACTTGCTTGAAATATAAAGACATATAGTATATATTTACTGATTTGTTTAGCCCATGATTTAGGTTCAGCTCCACAGGACAAGTTATGAAGAATAGTTACGTGATAGTAGCGGACATGTCTTGCCAATTCTTTCATATAATTGCTTGAATCAGCCTCAGTATCTAAATTGTCCTTTTTTAAGTGCCTTGAAAAATCTTCTTGATGAATTTTTAATAATACAGTCTCTGCATCCTTTTTTATCAAACTGACTAATTTATTTCCAATTTTCATCATCAGTTTGTGACAATCCTATTCATGATATAATTTAGAATAATAAATCGTATTGGCCATGTTCTCCCCTTACATCAGCTCCCTTTTTAACGATATCAACTACTTTATCGGGATATTCTTCTAATATCTTCCAAATAGATTGATGCATGTAATATAAAGTATTAGCCATCTCAATATTTATATTCAAATAGTTGTTCAAGTTTGAATTAGATGTATTTGTTGTATAAATAGGCTGATCATTAGAGGGTAACTAAACAAGAAAATATATATAAATGTTAATATCGTAGTTTTTTTTTTATTATTATTATTGATGTATACCAAATTGTCACATTTATTACAAAACATGCTTAATGCCTTAACTGCATTTTCAGCTACAGCTTGTAATAAATTGGCTTCAAAAGAAGCAGTTTCAAGTTCACTAATACAATCTTATCAAAAAATCCTGTTTAAACTATATTTATCTTTATATCACTTACTTGCCAATAACGCGAGTAATATTCAATACATTGCTTCTACTAGGAGGAGACCTTGATAAAGTACCATAGACTGGGAAAGTGGATATAATGATATCTGTCATTTTCTTCAAAGATTTTGCAAGAAAACTCTTTTCAAAGGTATGGAAACTTCGAAGCATAATCACATATTCTGGCGTTTGTGAATAATCTGTTAAAGAAGTACCATTATAGATGGCAACACGAGAAAAGAAATCATGTAATAACTTTAGCAATTTTGGATATTCTCCAACAAATATAGTCTGTAATAACTTTGAGTTCTTTGTCGCTGTCTTTAATTCGTTTTCAAAATGACTAGAAAGGACTCGCCAAAAATAACTCACAAGACTAGTTGTATCTAATGTCTTTTATAATGATTAATTTAAAAAGTCTCGTCTAGTCTAGTCTAGTCTACTATCAATCATTACGGCTTACCTTAGAAACCTCTTCTAGAAATGATACCTGTGTTAGTGAATCCTTTTTAATTTCTAGTACTTTTTCTAAACTATAAACCTTGATACATTCATCACTCATCTTTTTCATTAAATTTTCCATTCGAGCCCAAATAGTAGTTGTCAACTGATTCGAGGGTCCATTCATATTATTCACTTTTCGTACCGAGGTCATGGTTGGACTATTTACTTCATTGTTACTAGAAATCTCGACAACGTCTTTCATATTCTGAATCAAATTATTCAACATATTTTTAATTACTTCTTGAACACGCTGCGTCATCTGTCCCAAGTTATAGAATACTTGAAGACCAACAGCCATTTTAGCTTGATTTTGTCCTTCAATCCCTTCTTTCAACAATGTATCTGCCTCTGCCTCAATATGAAATCTTGATCTTTCAATAAATTCTAATTCACAATCAACAACTTCAATACCTTCAAAATCACTTTCTGCCATGATGACATCTAATTCATGCATTGTCAATGCTGCTGTTGCAACATCTCGATCACTAATTGTTAATTGACTATCGAGACGTCGTTTTAATAAAATAAAACGATGTAGTTTTCTTAGTATTTCGCTAGTCTCTTGTAAGTTTTCCAATTCCCGTGCATATACGGATAGTTGCTCATATGGAGTTTTGATTTTTAGCGATAGTCTATAAAGAAGATGTCAAAAAAAAAAAAAAAAGATAGCTCATTATGTTATAGTTACGTTTTAAGTGAGTTATTGAGTTTATCAATATTTGATTGTATTGTATTCAATACTTGTTCTAAACCTTTAATACCAGTTACTTGACTTAAAAGATTTTCATAATTTGCCACTACCTAAAAGTTTCCATTTTTTTTTTAAAATATATATATATATATATATATATATATATATAGAATGTAATGGTTAATTCTTACCGTGTCCTGAATTTGTTTATTTACAATATCAATGCTAAAAGTTAATTTTGATAATTCAACCCCAATGTCAGTTGTGTCATCTTCTTGCGATTGTTTTATAATAGATGATGCATAATTATTGGCATCAAAATTGTCTGATAGAAAAGTATCATAATCTAACGATTATTTTAAGTAATGCACTCATAGTTACATTTTATTTTTCTTTCTTTCTTCTTTTTACCAATATATTTATCTGTTTCTTGCAAGTTAATCTTTGAAGGCATTTTTCTTAATTCAACAAAATATGGAAAAAAAAAAAATGAAATAATAATAAATTGAATAACAGAAAAAAAAAAAAAAATAGGACAAATTGCTCAATGTACATTTTTATGTACAGGAAATATATATTACATTTACATATTAATAATGATTATTTTCTTCAAAATTCATAAACAAATTATCATTTGATAAAGACTTTTCTGGAAGAAATAGAAAATCATTGTTATTATTATTATTAAAGCCTATAGACAAGAAGTTATTATTATTATAGGAAAGCTCCTGTCTTATCAATGATGACATATACATTACCTTGTTGTAATAAAAACTCTCTTAAAGAAGGATCGATCCATTCTATGTCATTTAATAATAATTCGTTATTAGTATTATCTTCTTGCTGGTCAAAAATGGGATTATTAGATGATGAAGAAGAAGAAGGATTGTTTGTGTGCTGCTGCTGCTGCTGCTGCTGCTGTTGCTCCATCATCATTTTCATCATCATATCTAAACTTTCTGTAGCCGGCATTGAAGCCGCTTGTTGATTATAACGTGGAGATGAAAAACTTTTATACGGCGCATAACGTCTTCGTGGTGGAGAACCAATATGCATACTAGCGATAGATCGATTTAAAGATCCAAGACTATGGCTTTCAGGTAATGAATTACTCATATGCTCTTCTATCGTAGTAGCGTGACTCCGATTTAAAATAGGTATACCATGAGTTCTGGCATATTGAATCATATCACGTTCTTCCTGTAGTCTTTGTATCAGCACTGCCTTTTTACCAGTAGCAGGTTTGCCTCTTTGTCTTAATAATTCCTTTAATTCAGTTACTGTAATATCTTCAAAGTCAACCTTCAAAAGCTCATCATCTAATCGTCTTTGTCTCTGTTCCAGGTCATTGTTTGTGTTGGTATTTTGGATCTTGGAATGATGTAAACGTTGAATTTGTATAGGCATAGTACGAGAAGGCAATGATGAAGAAATATGATTATTGCTTGGTGAATCTAGTAAAGAAGAAGAGAGCCTTCTATTTCTATTTGCAAATGAGTTTGATAAATTATGTGTATATGATGGTTGATTAAAATGAATAGGCATTGATGTTCCTAACGTATTATGTTGCTGTATTGGAGAGTCATGATTGTTTAAACTATAATTATTTGCTTGCGTTTCATTGAAAAAGAATGGATAGTCACCAGAAGAAGATGAAAATAGAATGTCGTTATTGTTATTTGTTGCAGAAATGGGTATGGGCTCTACAGTTGCATTATTATTATTATTAGATAAAAAAGTCCCTCTTTTATTTTGATGGATGATATTCTTCTTTTGTTGCTGACTACTGACTAGTTGTATTGGCTTTATTTTATTATTATCAAGCATAGCAGTTAAATTGGATCGTGGTTGGTCATTAGCATGTTGTTCTTTATCATTAGCTCTTTGAAGTAATTCATGTTGTCGAAGATAATTAGGATCCGATAATAAAATAGAAGTAGCTTGATCTTTGGAATACATGTTATTATTATCATTAAAATCCATAGTGTCATTAAAAAGGTTAGTAGTTGTAGAAGAAGAAGCTCTATCTATTGACTGATTATAAATTGGTAGATTATTATAACTTGAATCCGTATCCAGATTAAATAAAGAATCATTATTTATATTTAGCTCATTAAATAACTGTTGATCAGTGTTTAATTCATTGCTTTTATCATTGTCATAAAAATACATGTGTTCAGTATAATATAGAATGATAGTTTAATAAAAAAATGAAAAAAATGAAAAGAAGTTTAGAAACGTAGGGGTATTTTATAAATGAGGTTTAAGATCTTCTTTCAATAAATGCCATAATTATATCACTTTCAACATAATCTTGAAGTACACACAGTATTTTTACAGTCACTTTTTTTTTGTCAACAAGAATTTTTTTTTTGGAACCCCGTTATAACAGCGTCCCGAAAAAAAAAATAATCCTACATCAACTTAATCGTTGCCAGCCATAATAAGACATTCTCAACTTCTCGACCATTAACTAACTATAACTAATAAAGGATGTTATTCCTAACACCGAGTTTTTTTTTTAACATTTTGAATTTCGAAAAAAAAAACAAAGAATCTCTACAATTTTGAAGGTAGTTTCTGATACTTTCCTCCGAGATTTCTCTTGTACTTACGCTAAGGTCTATGTTTCATATCTAATACGCTAATAGCTTGTTAAAAAAAAAAAAGCAGCCTTCGTTTACTTGTACTTTTACTACTTATTCTTCAATTATTATTTTGAAAATCTCTTTATCTCAACTTTCCTTCTCTCGATATGACATATTATAGAGATAGCTTGACGTTATCTATCTTATTTCAGTTTTAATTCGGTAGTATAGTTGAGAGCAGTATTACTATCAACACTTGAAATATTTTTTTTTTTTTTTTTTTTTTTTTTTTTTTGCTTTAAAAAAAAAATAAAGCACTTTTGGCGAATATGCTATACTATAATCTTGGAAGAAATAAATTAAAGAGCACAGAAAGGTTTACAACCAGTTTTATGAACTGTAGTACTCTATTCAACGTCATTAAGAAAGAAAGAAAGACTTATGATTGAAAACCATCCGAATATATATAACCTGATTATATCATGCATTATTCAATAATTCTATATTATTTATTAATTGACTTTACAATATAAAAGTAAAAAGCAAGAAGAGTAAAATGATAGTCATGAACAGCTTGAGAATAAAAGATCGATTTGAACTGATATTTCTATAATACTTCAATAACTCACTTTGTGCCCCTAATACGTTCATTTCAATGTCTTCCGTATTTTGGTCAATCCTATAGTGGTGTTATTAAACAATGCAACTAAACTAATCTAATCAACTCATTCATTCATAAAAAAAAAAACTACCTCTGAATTGTTTCTCGCTGTTCTGCTACCATTGTTGCTAATTGTTGAAATATATTTCCTAATTCAGCTATAGTACTTTCAATAGATTCTATTGCTTTTGATCTAGTTTCTATTCTTCTATCATTATGTTGTTCCATCAATTGTACTTGTTGTTGTACAGGTGATATGATAGGTATCCCCAACGACTGAGGTGAATCCTCATTATAGTGTTGGCTAATATTCGTACGTCTACGTGGCTGAGGAGAATGCGTTGGCTGTTCTACAAAATAGATGATACAAGATCATATATATTATATGTATACATCTTTACTGTTATAAATATTACCTACAAAACTACTTTGGCGATTTTCCTCTACAATCTATACATTATAAGCACGTATACAAAAACAAAAATAAGATTATATTCTTTACTTCAAGCTCTAATATGTTTTTAAAATTCAGCGATGTGTCAGCTAATTTAGACTGTAGGGACGTGATAACATTATTAGTGTGTTCTGATGCTTGCTTTGTATTAAAACATGGTTGACTGTTTCTAATTGATTGAAGAATTTTAATTTGCTGATTTAATTTTGTAATATCTTGTTTAATAGACTGACGCAATGTCTAAAAAAAAGGGATGGTAAGAAACAGATGATGATGATGGTGATGATGTGACAGCAAAAAAAAAGGCTTACATCGATTTCTTGCATTCCATTTTTTGATTTTGTTACTATTATAATGTTTATAGATTAAATTGTTATAAACATATCATTATTATTTGCTTACAATACGTTAATTGATGGAGCTTTTCTGAAGTGGTTGCAATATTTCGTCCTAATTGGGCTGCTAGTCTAGAGAATTCGGAGCCTGATGTGTTTCTTCTCTCAACAGGATGAGTTTTCACTTTAACATTGAGTTGTCTTTTCTTAATGCGCTCTGTTAAGGCAAAAAACTCTGTTGTTCGATTCTTTCCGTTCATTTTTAAAGAATGATGAAAACAAAAAAAAAAAAGGAGTGGGATAGAAGAATAATATATTTAAACAGAACAAAAATAAAAATAAAAAAGAGTCACTTCAGTTTAGTATTCATCATTGCACCTTTTTTTTTTTTTTTTTGTTTTTCCCTTGAGATTAGATCAAAATATAGAATGGACAGTTTACAAGATATTTTTCGAGGATCGTCAAAAGAACTAAATTATGTGCAATATGCTATTTATTTACCTCAAAAAGAAAATGAGCAAGCTATGCTAGAATATTTAACAGATATCAAAGATATGATCAATTCATACATTCAACCCATTGTTAAAGATTATTTATGGCAAAAGGATAAATTTCATTTATCTATTGTATATGATCAGAATCATGGTACTGATTATGATGATATTGTATTTCTTTATTTTAATTGTATCCTTTTTTTTATTTTTAGATCCTCCTTATCCTTTCTTATTTGGCGCAAGTAGATTTGGCGATTGTATTAACGACGAATGGCTTATTGTTTACCTCTTAAAATCAATTTCTCAACGGATTCCCGATTCAATTATATCATTGTTAGACAATGATGGCGATGTTTTGTTAATTGAAGCTGCATTAGCGTTACCACCCTGGCTTGATCCTTCCAATAGTCAAAATCGAGTTTATCTCTATGATGGAAATATTCATATTATTCCTTTACCAACCTCGCCTGCTGATATTGGACAACAGGCATTATCATCGGGTTCACTGTTGCGTGAAAGAGCTATTAAATACATTCGAGATCATTGCGAAAGGACATTAGCTCCATCGGCCATTCAACAGTCTATCGATGATCGTCTTCTTGGGTATCCCTCCTGTATTCAAGACGACGAGATACATTGCGCACGCTGTATCATGCCTAATTTAGCTGTATTTGTTTTATTAACTGAACCTCAGTTAATCACATTGGCGATTGAGGCCTTTTATTTGCGTGATCCTTTATCTATGAAAGCATGCGCATCTATGAAAATATTTAATCCCCTGAAGGGAACGACAGAGACTGTAATTAAATTCACAAAAACAACCTATGCACAAACTGTCCATCAAAAATTTTATGCACCGAAACCGTTTCGCTTACCATCTGTCAATGAGAGAAAGAAATTTAAATACGCTGAATTAGGCATGAAAGTAGCATGTGGTTTAGAAATGCTTTATTACAATCATGCAAACGATGTTAATCATACAGAAGAAGAATATACAGTTGATACTTATCCATTTGAAAAAGATAAAAAGTTTGCTGATTATAAAAGTCATTTGCACAAGTTGGGTTATTTTCGATCAGAGAAGCAAGGATCTCAACTCTACAATTTTTTAATTCAGCAATCAAAGGAACAATATCTTGCTCATAAAAGAGAGCAAGATGGATCTAAACGATATGTATCACTAAACGACTTGGACGTAGATGATGAAGATACATTTAGAGGCAGTCATCCTATTCTTTCAACAGGTGAAACTATTCGTCGACGCATAGATACCATTATTTCACAGTATTCGACGGAAGCCCTTGAGAGATTACTTACTGCTAACACACTGACAGAAGATAGTGATGAATGGATGAATGTTGATCCACAACAGTTGGAAGAATTGTTGATGAAAAGAATGGGTCATTTGCAAGAGAGTATGATGACCGATTTACAGAAGGACTTTACTATGAACGATACTAAAGATATTGATTTACAATCCATCATGTCAAGTCTCGAAAATTTTGTTGAACATAATAAAAGTGGGATTGAGGGAGTAGAGTTTCCAAGGTAACTTATAAGCTCTTAAGCTTCAAAAAAAAATATCCAATTAGTTAACTTGTTTTTTTTTCTTTTAAAGTCAAATGTTAGAGAATGAGGATGAAGACTTCTCTGATGAAGACAATGATAGTTATGATGAAGAAGGACCCATTCAATTTGATGTTCAAAGGTTTATGGATATATTAAAGGGTAAATCACAAGAAGATGATTTGACTAAAGTAATGGAAGAAATGGATCAAGAAATTTCTGGTCATGACAAGATAAGTGGATCATTTGAAAAGATACCAACAAGATTAAACCCTGAAGAAGAAGAAGAAGAAGAAGAAGACATAAACGCGCCTGTTGACGTACAGTTGAATCTGGTAAAGAATGTATTAGAAAGTTTCAAAAGTCAACAGGGATTACCAGGTCCTGTAGGCAATATGCTCAATCAATTTGGAATCGTACTTCCAGGTGATAATGAAGAGGACGATGATTAAGAAAATAGTGTAAATAGATTATACCACAGATCCAATTAAAATACGTATTAAAAGATTTATTTTATTTTATTATAAATATTTCTTCTTTACATCATCCTTTGCTGTCTTCTTTTCCATTCTTTTTCCTCTCTCTTTTTCTTTTTTTCAATAATAGCAAATAAATCATCATCATCATCAAAATCAGACTCGGAACTAGTCAGTTCTTGATTTTGTATCGTTATCTTTTTTGGCGTATTAGTAGTAGTGGACGATAAGAAGGTAAGCGTATGATTAGGAACATTAGAATATCTCATGAATTTTGTATGACTATAATCGTCTGATTCTATACGACGATGTTGAGTCCGAGGCAAACAGTTATTAACATATAAGGATTGAGTCGTTCGATGATATCTACTGCTATCTGAATCGTATGAAGATAATCGAATAGTTGGATCAATCACTGTAGTTTTACCTTGTTGAAGTTGAGCTACTAAATCCGGTGTTGAATTTGATCTATTTAAATAATTATCCTTATTGTTCATTGACGATTTATTTTGAATCAAGACACTACGACGATCAAGCATATTAGATGAAGTCATAGAGTCATTTGAATGCGAATGTCTTATACCACTACTTGATCTCTTTTCCTCCTCTTCCTCTTCATCGTCATCAGTTTCGTCAGAGAGCATAAGTTCACCCATATTTTGAATGATATCATCGTCATCATCATCGTCAATAGGTATATCAGCTCTAGGCCAAGTGCCTATTGTAATTGGCAATTCTAATGCATAAAGTGGTAATTTCTTTTTATTATTCGTATTATTGTCCGTAAATAGACTTGCTCTAATCTTATATTGTATGTTTAAACATTTAAATTGGGTTGTTGGAGGCGTTGTACGTATCAAAAGTTCACTTGTTATAGACTGAGAAAAGTTATAAGGACCAATAATATTTAAATCAAATTTATTCGATTTTAATATGTGTTCCTCATCTAAACTATTTCTATAAAAGCAAAAGTCTGTAAGATGAATCCATACAAACAGACATACAAACAGACATATATACATACATACATACATACACACATGAATATATATATATATATATATATATGTATGTATACACACACACACACACACACACACACACACACACACACACACTTCACTTACTTTGTGGTTTGTATTTTCACTTTACGAATTAAATCAATAACAAGAGAATTCTTTTTAACAAATTTTTGAAAGGTAGTAATCACAACATTGACAGGAATCGTTTCTCCTCTTGTATAGCCTGATCGAGGAATACTTAATTTAATATTGCATGGTCCATTACGTACTGTTCGTATTTCTTTTTGCTTTTCAACTGAATTAACAAAACTTTCCCTTGTAACATCTATATGTTCTAAAACAATCATTGGGTATTCAATCTTGGGACACAAACTTTCTGGCATCATGGGTCTATTGAGTATCGCAATTAATTTGTAACCAATTCGAGCCATTTTCAGTTTACCAAACTAATAGGAATAGTGTAGTAATATACAACTGTAAAGTAAATGGTTTGTTTTATGTATATATATTTATAAAGAAATTTACATCCATTGCACTTGGTAAGTTATCAGGTACTGTAAACTCAAATGGAAATGAATAAGGTTTTGCTTCTAACGTAGTTGATTTCCTACTATCGTTAATAGTAAGTGTTTTACAAGTCTCGAAAAGTGGAACGACTTCTTTATCCTTTGCTGTTATATGAATTGATCCCATAAACTTTATAATAATTGGATTGATTTTGATTGAACTTTTGGGTTTAACTGAAACATGGCCTAATCAAATGGTTAAAAGTTATTTTCAAGGAAAAAGAAAAGAATCAAGCTTTTCTTTTCTTTTACCTCGAATAGTTTCACCAGGAAAATAAAACTTTTCTTCTGAAAGATTGATGTCTAATATTTTATTTGATTTTAACCGAGTCCTCATTCTAATGTAATGAAAGATAAAAAAAAAAAAAAAAAAAAAAAAAAGTAAAGATAATAAAAAGAGTAATAATAATAATAATAATTTATTCTAATTTCTTATTTTATTTTATTTATTTTTTTTTTCGGTAAATCATACTAATATATATGCAAATGTTGTTTTTTAGAAGCGTTAGAAGACTTTGAAGAATGACTACACAACCTAGATGCAGTAGGATGCCAAGCAGAAGGATGAAGTAAGTTTGAGTTAGGATATGAAAAGGACATAGATGGCTGTTCTATAGCAGGATCAATAAAGATTACAGGCTGTTGACGTGCAGCAACTTCTAAATCAAGTCCCTCTGCCCAAAAGTCTTTATGATTTTGCCAATGTACAAGAAAACTATTCGGTGGTGGCAAAGAGGCTATCAGGGAAATAATAATGTATATGAATCCTATTGTAAAAGTAATGATGGATACAATGATATTGAAAGCAATCTCACACATGATAAGACAACCAAGACTAACACACATCATGTTACACACTTCATAAATATGTATACATTTTGTATATATAAATGTATATACATGTATTCTATAACTTACAATAACATGATAATTCCCTTTCCCCTATTCAGGCATAAGAATCCAAAGTATAACTGTGTCCATGCAGGTGATATAAACTCATGCAGTATTAAAAAAGAGGATATTATTCTATTAATGATACATGTATATGTATACACATATATATATATTTTAGTTTATAACTACTATGGAACATTATTATATGCTACATTTATAAATATATATATTTTACGTGCAATAAATGGTTTGTATAATGTCTGCTATTGTCCCTTTCTTTTGCGTCTTTGTGATGGATGCAGCAAAGACTAGAAGATAGACAATAATGTTCAGTATATTAAATGTTAAATAGATTATATTTTCAAATTTTGTTCGTGATATTTTAGTGAGGCTCTTCATAACCAAAGAGTAGGGAGGATAAAAAGAATGACGGACAGAAAGAAAGAAAAAAAAAAGAAAAAAGAAAAAGAAAAAAAGAGAGAGAAAAGCATAGATAGCCGAAATATGAATTATAATGACAAACAGTATAATATAAAACAATTCTTATCATATTTGAATTAAGTTATTTTGTATGTATTTAACCTTCTTCATTTCATATTACTCTTCCATCTATAATCTCCAATGAAGAATGGATAGCTATGCATCTATTATATTTATATCTTTAAATACATTGTAGGCTGCTAAGGAAAGAATTAGTCTTTTATCACATACATACACATATACATATTATATAAATTTTCTTTTGAACCATTATAATGAAAAAAAAAAAATGAGATATAACGCTTCTAACGTTAATCTGCAGCATTCTTTAAAAAAAAAGTCTAAATCGTCATATATTCTTTTACGATCTTTGCTCTTCTATATAACTTGAAACAACATAAATGAATGATACGTTATGTCAATAACTGAAAGATATATAAGTATACTAACAATATAGTCTCTTTTTATTGCTATAAATATAACTGCAAGTTATAATTGGTATAAATGATACTCGAAAAGCGCATAGCTATAGGTTCAACAAAAAAAAAAGAAGGAAAAAGATGGCTGTACACTTACGATGATGAACAAAGGGCTTTCTCCCCCCCCCATAGAATTTTATAATATGCTTGAAATAAAATGTCAGACCTCAAGACTCTGGAATCCTGGGACGTTGTTCATAATATGATTAAGACATGAATTAGAAATTTTGAAACTACCAAGATATAAATTAATTTTATTTGGAAATGCAATCCTTCTACTTTATAGATCTCGAGATCTTGGGATATCCCTAGGGGGGAGGGGAGGGTCTTGGTATCTCAGAATTGATGTACCCTCAGCAATAATAATAATAAGAAGAAGAAGAAAAGACACAATAAAGAATAAAGGAAAAAAAAAAGGAAGAACTATACACGGTTAAGTTAATAATCTAATAGATATACTTTATTATTAAATCCAAGAGTGTTTATTACGTGTTTAAATAATACTTTTTGTTAAATTATTATAGGAAGGATGAATTCAAAGGTCAGAGCCTAAAACACAATGAATACATGTATAACCTGTTTTTCATTTTTTTTGTTTATATAGCTTATTTCAGTAGTTAACATTCTTAAAAGTCATTCTATTCACATTCTTTGAATCCCATATTAAAAAATTCTGATGGAAAACAAGATTCAGTGTAAGAAAAAGACAATAATGCATAAAGGAAACTTACTCTGACTTTCAGAAACGTTTGTAAGATTATCAGGCATTCAGTAAATCTTGTTAAGAGATAACTTTAGATTGATTTTTTTTTCTTTTGGAGTGTTACTGTTACTGAGACACAGTTACATGTTATATGAAGAGATTCTTAATAGTATAAAATTATTTCTATATTTTCTTTACAGCAGAACTATCTATTGGATATACATATATAATAATAATAATAATAAGGAAGAGGAGGGATAATAATATGAAGGAGAATAGTACAAAAATTAATCTTTTTTTTTCTTAGATATGTTCAGCAACGTTATCCATAGAATCGAATGTCATCGAGCTTGATTGAACAGGATGCTCATTGGTCATCTTCTTATTGCTATTTTTGATAATTAAAGACGGGATACGATGTAATCTACTATTTGTGAAAGATTTTTGTCTATCGTTTTCATAGCTCATACGTGAAAAAGAGACAGGATGAACAAAGTCTTGAGGAGAAGAAGGTGGTGAAGGCAATATTGAATTTGATGTAAATTTTGTTTTCAATTGTTCATTCATTAATAATGCATTCAGAGCTGCTTTACTTTCCTCCCATTGATTTGATAAATTACTTATACTTTCATCTATCAGTTGAAATCTTTTATTCATTCTTTCCAAATTGAGGTTCAAAACTAGGATAATAGAAATAAGTCTTTTGCTTTTCTCTCTCTCTCCAAATATTTAGTAAGTAACATACCTCGACCTCTTGTATCTTGTTTAAATAAGAAAATATTTGCTTGTATGTCTTCAAGATATTTTTCAACTGTCGCTACTCGATGCATTATCGTAAGTGTACGTTCATCTGCCGGGGAGGAAGAAGGTTTAATGGAATCTGAATCTTTAGTTAAAGGTATATTCTTTGCTATAAATATATAAACGGAAAAAAGGGAGATTATTTAAAGTGAATATTATATTTTAATCGAAATAGAGATAGATAAATCACTTACGTAGAGTAGCTAACAGCTTCTTATTGAACTCCTGATATACTTGTACAAGATCCAGATTACTTTGAATTGCTCTTTTCCAATTCTGCTCATAATCGATATGAGTCTTATGATTATCCGTTGTCATTACGTCTAAGGCTAAAAGATATAAAAGATATTCTCGTCTTTTCCAACAAATGACAGAATAAAGTAAATCGAATTCTTCTTCGTTATCCTTGAATATTCTCTTATTTTTGCTGTCATCGCTTAACTCTGATAATAATGAAGATGGGATTTCCTCTTTTACATTGTACATTTCACAAAGACGAGACAAATTTTCATGATTAATAAGTGGTTCTAATCGATGTACAAACTCTACATGTTGCTTGAAATGACAAGATAAACAAGTAGCTAATTGTTGTTTTATCTCTCTTGATTGGCTTATTAAACCTTGTAGTAGGGTATCACTTTCTTGAGACAAGGATATAATTTCATTCATCGAATCAAGTGCTGAAGTATGAATTTTTCGAATCTGTACATGTCTCTATATGTATATAATTCATGATAAGCATAATATTAGTAAGAATAGGATAAATGACTTACATGATGTCTATAAAGAAAGTAACCAATAACACTGTAGATGGGTAGTAAGAAAGAATAAGATAAAAATAGGTTACTATCAAAAATTAAACTGAGAATGAAGACTGTAATGCTCATCATCATCAGCTGTTTATTTTTTATTTGTTCCTTTTTAAAGTTGAAAGGTGTTTGTCTACACTGTTGCTGTTGAAAGTTATTTTCGTTATTGAAAAGAGATGAAGTCACAATTAAATATTTAAATTCCTCTTCAAAGTTCGATTGCTCATTACTTGGTAAAGATAAAGATAATAATGACTATAAAAAAAAAAGGACTAATTAATTATTTTACTGGTTTCTTTTGCGTAACAAACCGAATCAAACCTTTATTAAATAACAAAAAGACCAAAAGACAGTAAAGAGTTGAACTAGTGTAGTTTTTATCTTTTTTTGCTGCTGATACTGCTGTTCTTCCCGTTGAAAGTAATAACAGCAAAATAAGCCTGTTGCAATAACAAGATACCCGACTAGTAAAAAACTATTCGAGTCAAAAAGAATTTCCATTTTATTAAATAATGTGTATTGAAGAAGAGAATAAAAATTTTTAAAAAAAAGGGAAAGAAAGAAAGAAAGAAAAGAAAAGAAAAGAAAGAAATAAAGAAAGAAAATAATAGCCCGTAATGTACCATTCACCTTCTAAATTTGTAAATTTTATATTAAATTTTGGGTTGACTGCAAAAAAAAAAAAAAAAAAAAAAAAAAAAAAAAAAAATTCTACCAAAACTTTGGATTCTAATTGGTAGACATGTTTATGCAAACATTCATTACTCCGCATAGTAGAATCATTTTTTCGCATGTATTACCTCAGAGAAGAAGGAAGTAGAGACTATAAAATCAAAGATAAATAGATATTACTCTTTAAATTAAAGTCCTGTTATACAGTAAACCTGAAATATAAATAATTTAATGAGCTATCAAAATTGATTTGAACGATAACATGAGAGATTTGCTGATAAGTAAATATGTAAAAAAAAAAATTCCTAAAAAGGCAAATATTTATCAGCAAATCTCTTGATATTTATGAACGCAAAAACTGATTTTGGATAATAAACTTTTAAAGACTAATGTATTTTAGTAAAAAATTAGCAATGATAAAATGCCTATGAAAACATATACATTAACATGTATGTTTTCTAAAAAAAAAAAAAAAATAAGTTGTGTATAAATTCGTATTATCGAGTAATATTCATTGCTGCTAAAAAAAAAAAAAAAAAAAAAAAAAAAAAAAAAAAAACTATAATAGTTTGGTAACTGAAAAAAGTTACCATCATTGATAATGACTTGCATATGATGCAATCTTTTTATTTTATTTTCTAATACTTAAAGACTATTGTTAAGTATTATTTTATCTTCTCAGCTTGTATCATTTGGACTTTTCGGGCAAAAAAAGCCTAAATACTTTTAATGTAATTAAGTTTAACTGAATAAGAGATATGTTTATATCCTTTAATAATTTTCTTTAACGTATCTCTATTGTTCAAATTTCTCTCTTTTTTATAACTTTATAAACTCTCATTATTTCACTAAAGCTCACAATGCTATTTCTTACATCATATCTTTGATTTGAGAGAGAGAGAGAGAGAAAAAAAAACCCATATTAACAGGTATAAATCTTGTTAACATATAATGACTAAACTTGACTACTGTTTTAGATGATAAAATTCAGAAGATCAAAATTTCAATATTCAAGCATATGCATGAACAAGATATATAACTATTTTATTTAGCATTAAGTTGTGCAAGCAGTGAATCCAGTTCTTGAGCTACTATATGATTTGTACACTTTGCTCGCACCTCTCTAAATATATGTAGAATCATAATTAGAATTTAACTCATTTATTATATTTCATATTTTTACCTTAATCCTTCTACATCTTTATTCAAAAAGGCTTGTTCTCCTGCTTCTTTAAAGGCACCAATCTTCATAAATAGCATAGGTCTTACAGGTGGATCACATTTAAATATATATTTCGAGGCTTCTTGATATTGTCTAGCCTTAATACATTCTTCAACAAATGGCTAATGATTTCATTCATATCAATATAAAACAAAACAAAATAAAATAAAATAAATGCCATATAAAACATTACAAACCTCATAGCCAATAGGGGATTTCTTACTTTTAGCAAGCTTTTCAAGATTTTCCCAGTCTCTTGCTTCAACTAATGCCCTTAATTTAACCCACCAAAATCTATACAAATATGTATAAATTATTTACAAAGAAAAAATAAATAAATAAATAAAAATAGAATAGAGTTTTTTTTTTATCTTCTTATACCTTTTGTCTGGTATTTTGAAATCTGTTCTGATTTTCGATGTTTTATTATGAAGACCAAGTGTAGTGCATTTATAAATCGTCTCACTAATAGAAAGGCCTGTGAAAGATTGCTGGGTTTCCTTTTCAAGAGCTGTTTGGAAGTGAAGTAATTTGATTGCTTCATCTACGGCCTAATATATATTATATCAAAGTACTGAATAACTATAACTATATATGTATATATACATATATGTGTGTATTTACCTTTGCTTCAAATACTCGGTCACGATGATCACTATAGGTTTTGCCTGCTATTTTAAGTTTCTTGATACGTTCAGCAATATCCTAATAAAATTCAATATTAATTTTAGATTCTTTTTAATTGCTGTCTAATATACCATTTCTGAAAACGCTTCCGACACTATAATATTAGCACTATCAATTCTTCGATCGTCTTGATAATAAAAATCTTTAAGAAGTTCAGTATCTTGTTCTTTACAATAAACTTCAAGAAGATTACAGGCCACAGGTTTATTATTAATCATTCTAAAGAATTCACCTAGAGGTAATTTACGTTTCAAATGGAATATAACAAGATATACTATAGTCATACAAAAAATAGATTAAACCTGGTACCCTTCCCTTTTTTTTTTCTATAAATAACAAAACCTGCATTTACCTAAATCAGTATCTCCACTTTCAATCGCTTTTATTAATGCCGTTTCATCTTCTTGCATTGATATCAATAGAGGCACTTGATCTGCAGCTCTTGGTTCATAATCCAACAACTTTGTTGCTAATCGAGTCTGTCCTGCGTTATGTGCCGTTTTCGCAATTTCTGCATAAGATAATCCAGATTTTTTTGCTAGTTTATCTACAATTGTCCTACAGAGTGTTTCTTCATCCTCTGCAGAGGATTTAATTTTTTCGCAAGCCCAGTGAATTAGAATTTTATCTGTGCGAAGTTGAAGGTATTCTGCAATACGTATAGCTAATAAATGATGATTACGATTCATTAAACGATTTATAAGAGCATTAGGACCAAGACGTTTATATCTACAATTAAAATAGGTGAGATTTAGCTAATAGTAAATGCAGTCTACTTTACTGTGTATAGGTAATTGGAATTCCAATATCATAATAACGTACTGCATTTAAAACACGTATGGATTGTGCCATATCAACAAAATTGTTGGCATTATAATTTTCTAAAAAGCATTTGCCAAACGAAGCTGCCTTTAATAAAGCCCGTTGATAAAAATGATTAAATTCAAAACCTGCTGCTTCAATACAACTATCAACTGCATCAATTAACTCTGTTTTAATGCTACGAATATTTTCATCTGCCTTTGGACTTTTACGCTGAATATATATATATATATATATTTAATACATAGATTAATGACATATATGCCAAATTATACACTTACTTCATAATGATCCAAGGCATCAAATAGCATAGCTGCTGGCTCAGTAGAGCCTATTTTAAAAATATTTTCCGTAGAAGCTTTAAAAATATATATATATAAATAAAATAAAGTGGATGAATATAGATTATTTCCTTTTTTTTTTCGTTTACAAACAAAATTTACCTGGAACTTTCTGCAATAACTCGCATTTATCGTTACTAATAATACGTACACCATCAATTTCAGAAGCAAGATAAATGGGATCCTCATAAGTGTATTTAATCCAGTCACCAAAAGGACCTACCATTAAAACAATTTTATCCCAATAAAGAACAACAGAATCTGTACCACACCAAACTAACTGTTGTGGAGGAATCTTTGATTTAGTTGCATATTCTGAAAGATTCTTTTGAAAATCAGTAGAAACTACCCAAAGTCGGCCATCCGACGTAAAGAGGGCTAAGAATTTGCCATTAGGTGATACGACTAGTTTTGTAAAAGGTCCTTGATTTAAATGTTGATCTATTACTTCTGAGCTATCGACGACTAGAATTGTACTCCCTGTTGCCATCAGTACTTCCACATGACGACTGAGGGTGAATTGAGGTGGGATCACTGTCCAGCTATGAAGTGGTTCTTCAAGCTTGATTTCTGCCATCAATTTTGGCTGTGGTTCTTCAAAATTGGTAACAGAAATTAATTGATATTTTCCTGTCATTGCCACAAGACCTCCTCCATATATTTGACAATCAATAATACCATCTGCCTTGGCGTCCTAAATACCGTTTTAACATTCATGATGTTGAATTTAGAATCATCTCACTTACATTGCCTAATGAGAATTGTGTATACTGACCATGTAATGGATATAATCGAACAAATCCATCATCCGTTACAGCTACAAGCTGCTCATGGTCTGTCCAACCTAAAGCTACAATACGTCCTTTATCCCACTAAATCTCAAAAAAGATGATTAATATCATTTTATTTATTTATGTATTGCATGTTTCATATCATTTACCTGAATTTGATCAATAAGTTTACCAGCACTTGTATACATGTAAATAGTAGGTTTAATAGGTTGTTGCTTTTGAAGTAATAAAACTTTCTTATCATCTCTTATCATAGCTAGAATATAGATTTATTAAAAAAAAACCCAAAACAAACAGCATATTTTATATGTCTTTCTTATTATTACCAATAGGTCCACCATTAGGAGCTCCTGAAATCATAAATTTTGAGAGATCAGTTTGATTCCATGATAATGAATAAATTTCTTGCTTTCTATTGATCCCCTCCAATTAAAGTCAGTATAGAATGAAATAGATGTAAATATTCTCCCACACACCCCGCATCCCCTCATTTACCTATAGAAACGATCCTAATTTCGAGAAATGAACCAAATTAATCAATACAATTTTCTTTATTTATTTTTTTTTCTTCTCCATTTATTTACGTGAAGTTCAGTCCAATCTGAAGTTGGATTAGGTGCCATTGTCTATTAAAATATATATGTATATACGTATATATATATTCTATAGTAAAAAGAAAAATAATAACACACACACAGAGAGAGAGAGAGAGAGTGTGTGTGTGTGTGTGTGCGTCTAAGATGTTCAGCAAAAGGATTAAAAAGTAAAATAGCAGTTCAAAGTCCGAGAAAAAAATACATTTTAATTCAAAGCATGACACAAATGCCTTTACATAAGAATATGAATCATCTTCTTTGACATTACCCATTAGTCTTGATAGAAACAAAATCTTATCTTTAATAGTACATCATATATGTGGCTTTATCAATTAAGGCCATTGTTTGACATTCAAATCAAATAATTATATATTTTAACGACTTGGATATATTTTCTTCTTCTAAAACCAAGGAGCTATTTCCAAATCATGAATATTCTAAATTCATATATTTAGTCCATTATTCTTCAAGTTAAACTTGGCTATTGTATCTAGTTATAAAATAGATACAAGTCTTGTAATAAAGACTCTTTAATAGTTTCATGTTAGGTTAAAAACCTGCAATATTATATACATACTAATTCCTTTTTTTTTTAATCATATCTTTTTATTTCTCAAAGTACATAGAATGACCTTCATAAACACATATTTAGTCTTCTTTATGGCATAACTTTCCTTCTTCTAAATTTTATATACTATTTTCCATTATCGGAGTATGCAGCATTACTGCAGGCTAAAAACACGACGATGAACTGTGACTTTGAAATTTTATAACATCTTTTTTTCTGAAGTTTACACACAAAGCAATTTTTTCATAGCGCGTTATTTTTTTTTTTTTTTTTTTTTTTTATAAATATATACATATCTACATATATATTTATATACACATATATTAATTATAATAATTGTTGATCATGGAAAACACAAGTCCAGAAAAAACAATTACGGCAGTTTGTTCTGCTTCGGCTACAGTTGATAGTAAAGGCGTCATTGATCGCCAGTTCCCTGATCTTCGAAAGACATTTACAGGTAATAACTAAATAGATAGCATAAAGATACAGTCCTTTAATATAAATACTTTTATTAGACCCAAGTTTCTACAATACGCCACAACAAGATGTAGTCAAGCCTCTTGTAATCAAGCAAACTATCACAATGCCAGTTAATGGATTGAATGCTATTCAACAATGTGAGAAGAAGAAAGATGAATAGATTATTTTATAAAAAAAAAATGTTAACTGATTATCGTTGTTTTCTTTCCTTAGTACAACCGAATGGTCTTTGTGGTATTGTACCTTCTATTGATAGAGCTTATTTTGTTAATAAGAACCTTATTTATATTTGGGACTACACACAAAGGTAAAGAAGAAGAAGAGAAAAAAAATAATAAGATATATTATGATTATAATTGAAGCATTATGTAATAATTGTTATTATTTTTGGTTAGTCGAGATATAGTTACACTTCAAGAAGAAGATGATATTATTAGTATCGGGTTTGTTAAACCTAAACCTGGTATTTTTATTAAAGAAATGAAACAGTTGTTGATTGTTTCTACTACTCGAGAAGTCAGAATTGTGGGTCTTATATATGATCCTAAGACTGGCTTAAAGATATTTAATACTGATATGTCGACCAACACTGCTGGAGTCAATATGATTGATATTGTTGGAACAGATCAAGGCCGTATTTTTATGTTAGGTAGTGATGGAAATGTTTGGGAATTAGACTACAGAGTAAGTTTTTTTTCCCCCTTATGTATAGACAGACAGACAGACAGACAGATAAAGGTTTTAACACATACATTTAATAGAGTGAGGAATCCTGGTTTGTTAATAAATGCTCTAAAAAATTACATACGAGTGGAAGTTTGTTTGCTTTCTTATTTGGACAATCACAGGAACGAGTGATTCAAATTGCAGTCAACCAAAATGGCACTGTTTTATATCAATTAACAACGAATTCTAATATTTATGTGACTTATTTGGGAACAGATGGGAACACATTTAATACAGTTTACAAAAAGACAGATATCCTTTCTGATGCTAGAAAGACAAATACGAACTCAAACCATTTACGACTGGAAAATTTCAAGATTGTGTCTATTCATCCTACAACGTCATCAGAATCGATTGCATATCATCTTGTAGCTGTGACCTCAAGTGGCTGTAGAATCTATTTTAGTCATCATCAAGATGGACAATATCTTTTGTATGATGCTCTTCCTAATGGTCTTACTATTGTCCATATTAGATCACCCTCTGATGATTGTTTGACTACTGCAGATCAACTTGATAAAATTATTTATAATCAAGGTCTTCTTATGGCCATTAAACAACAACAAGATAAAATTATCTTCTTCTCTCCTGATTTAGGAAATCTAGCTAATTGTACTTCAAATACGTCTGATATTAGACTAACTGAATTTTATGGAACTATCGATATTCACGGCAAGGTATTAAGCTTGGTTGAATCTACAATTGTAGGTTCAGTGAATGAGTTGATGGCACCTTACAATTCTCCTTCACGCCATTTCCTTGTCTTGACAACCTCTGGCCTTACTGTGATAGCTAAACAACGACCTGTTGATATACTTTATAGATTATTAATGTCTTCAGGACGTGGTATTGAGAATTATCTTCAAGAATTTGAAAGTTTCTTTTCTCATTTTGGTTATGTAAATAGCTGTGCTCTTTGCTTCAATCTTATTTGTGCAAATACCTCTGTTGTCTCTGATCGTAATAACCCTCTTTATTATGTTGAACCCGTTACTGATACTGTAGAAGAAGGTGCAAAGGCTCTTTTAGAACGCTTTGGTCAAGTTCCTTCTCTTTTGAATACTCTCAATACTAATTCTAGAGAAACTTATAGTAGTAGACATGACGGTTTGGCTTTATTTATTTATCGTATCATTCATCCTATTTGGTCAAAGAAGCTTGTTAAAATGAATAATGAAGCAAATTATGAAACTACTTTGTTACCAAAGGAATTAAAGAATGTTCAACAAATCTTGAGGAAGCTTGCTTCATTTATCGAAAGGTAGTAAGAGTGTATATGATGATATCCAAATTTTGATAACTGATTTTCCTCCTTTTTTTTTTTTTTTTTTTTTTTAGAAATCCTGTCTTATTTCCAAAGACGCCTAATAATCATGTAACAAAATCTTATGAGAATTTACATGAATTTGTTATTTATTTAACAGAAGCTATTTCTTTCTTTGACTATCTCATTGAGACTGGTATTTCATCTATTGTGAGTTTGATGAAGCCCGACTCTCAGGCTCAACTTTTGAAGATAGATTTGAAGACCTTATTAACTACAACTGAAGGTCGTTTATTAGCAAGTGATTTATCATCTGCATTAATCAGTCATACATTCAAGAAAATTGATAATACCACTTATGTCATTGATGTTCTTACCCAATGTTGTGGATCCTTTTGTGATGCTAATGATGTATTATTATACAAGGCTTCTGATCAAATCTATGCAGCACGTAATGCTCCTAATACGAATCAAGCCAAATTAATCTTGACCGATTCATTAAATATTTTGAATAAGATTGCTATTCATATTCCTGCTGGAAAGGCAAGTGAAATTGCAAATCAATTTGCTCTTCAAGGCTATCATGTTTATGGTGTTCGACTTGCTATTGTCTGTGCACAAGCTCGTGATCCCAAACATGTTACTACAAGTTATATTCAAACCGGACAACCTCCAAATGATCCTCGACTTCAAATCTTGCAATCAAAAGAACCATTTTATGAGATCGTTTTTAACTTGCTTTATGAGGTTGTAACAAAGAACTTGAACACATCCTCTTCTCAAGATGATTACAAGAAGAGAGTCTTTTCAACTGCTTTTAGTTATGATGACAGAGCTTTCCAATATTATATTTATGAAAAGTTTATTGAAAAAAAGATGGGTCAAGAATTAATTAAGGTAAAGGGATTCAGGAGACTAATTATATATATACATACATACATACTTAATACTAACACGTTATCTTTCATTTTTTAGGCCTCTCCACCTCATCTTGAAGAGTTTTTAAACCGTACACCATTTACGTATGATCGTCTTAGTTTGCTTGCTGTTTATTATAGATGTAATGAAAGATATGAAGAAGCTGCACACACCTATGTAAAATTAGCAAGATTTGTGTAAGTTGCAATCTAAGAAGAAAAAAAAACACAACATAGTAGTTTAACCTTTTTTTTTTTGGGTAAAATCATTAGTGGAGAAAACATTAGTTTAAATACACGTATTGATAATTTGACTTCAGCTTCCATTTGTGCAAAATCTGTCACTACACCAGCAAAGCAATATGAAATGTATCATTTGTTACAAGAAATTGAAAGCCTTTTAGAATTAGCTCGTAAAGAAGCTGCTGCCACCATCACAACGACTACTCAGTAGATTTTATTTGAATAAATTTATTTTCTTTTTTTATTTTTTAAAGAAAAAAAAAAACACCAATTTATTCCCCCCACCCTTCCCTTCCCACTTCCTTTTTTTTTTACACATAAAGAAATAAAAGATTATAACTAAATAAAAAACATTTATACAATCGAAAAAAGACAAAACAATGTACATAAAAAACATGGTTTTTATTATGCTTAATAGGCTGATATACTCCCCGAAAATAAACTATAATTTTTTTTTCAAGTAAGTAAGATGATGACATTTGCATTTTTGTTTTATTTTATTTATTTCTTACTTACATGCTTATTTCTTCTTGGAGACACCAACGGTACGACCACGACGACCAGTAGTCTTGGTGTGTTGACCACGAACACGGACACCCCAATAGTGACGAAGACCACGGTGAGCACGGATCTTCTTCAAGCGTTCAAGATCTTCACGGTACTTGGTATCAAGAACGTTAGAGATAGCTTGAGAAGATTTACCATCAACAATATCCTTTTGTCTGTTAAGGAACCAAGCAGGAATCTTGTATTGAGCAGGGTTTTGAAGAATGGTGACGATACGTTCCAATTCTTCAGAAGAAAGTTCACCAGCTCTCTTGGTGAGATCAACATCAGCCTTCTTACAGGCAATGTTGGCGAAACGACGACCAACACCCTTAATAGAGGTCAAGGCAATTTGGATCTTGACACGACCGTCAACGTTAGTGTTAAGAAGACGAATAATGTGTTGGAACTAATAATATATATGAATATATGTATATATATATATATAAAAGGGGAAAAAATGAGCAAGTTAGTATTCACAAAATGCTGTAAAAGATTATTTATAAAAAAACATACAGTGCTTCTTTCGGGAACGACGAGCGACTAAAGTGAGAAAAAAAAAAGAAGGGAAATGAAGTTAGTTGCTAATTTTAATAGTCATTTCGATGAAATGATGAATTCGTTCAAGAGAGAATAAAACACATGGAAAAAAAAAAGATGTTTAAATGCTGGACATGATTTTGAATTTCGAATCTCGAATTGGATCTACTACAAACTTAAAAAAAATTGTTTCTCCCCTCCTTTATACCATGAAATCAATCTTTTAATCCATCCATCTATCGTTTTATTACATCCATCTTGAAACATTTCTTTCTGTTATTCTATTCTCCCTTTCTTTTTCACAATTCATCATTTCCTCGATGTACATATTTATATCTATTTATTGGGCATTACCATGATGGCAAAAAAAAGGGAAGGTCTTCTTGTTTACAGCTTGTCAACAACAATATGAACTTACATTGTTTCCAACTCCGATTCTTTATTTTTTTTTTATTTTTTTGCGGTAATGATGAATCTCCGGCAACAAGTCGTCAATAATTTTTGTTTGTATTTCTATAGAACACCTTTAGTTTAAGAGAATATTATTATCCAGTGTTTTGCATTTTGTATTAGACTTTTGTTCTCTTTTACTGACATTGAGGTGTGTAATTTAGTTTTAGTTTTTTTTTTTCCTAAATGGAGAAAAAAAAAAGGGAAAGAATACATGATATCAGGCTCTATTGAAGTTAGATATGAATGATAATTATTATTATTATTATTATTTTAGCTTGTGTGTGTACGTTATTTGGTATTAAAATTGACTTTTAAGTAACAGGTAACACTTGAAGTCTACATACTCAATACGTGTTGAATTTTCTTTAAAAAAAATAAAAAAAGATTTACTAATCTTGGAAAATCTATACAAGTTTAGATCCCTAATGAGTCTTACGCGTTCATAGTTTGAACGATCTATTCAAGATCTTTATATTGATCAAACTCTTTTTTTTTTCTTCTAAATGTACTGTTTTACATGTCAATCAACTTTAATTTATTAAATGTGTTTAAAATATATATATATATATATTTGTATATAAAATGTAAGCTAATAAAGGTATAATACATTGTGCATCTACGATGTTGGACGATCATTTCCAGAGTCATTTAATACCGATTTTACTGACATGAGTCTATAAAAAATAAACAATAATTGAAATTAGTCTTTAAAATGTCAACTAGTAAACACATGGACTTACATTGAGGCATGTAATGAACCCATTTTACGAAAGGTTGGAACTTGCTCAGCAGTAACTTTGATATTTGCTTCTAACTGTTTGATATTTTTATTGAGTTTATCAATTTCCTCTCGCAATTGAGCATAGTGCATCTTTTTGGAAGCATAAATTGTAGGAGGTTCATTCATAATATCGAGAACAAAAAAAAAAAAAAAAAAAAAAAAAAAAAAAAAAAAAAAAAAAGACCAAGTTGCTTCGGAACAATTAAAATTAAATCTAGAAAAAAAAAATAAATAATAAAAAAAAGCCCCCAAGAAGCAAGAATTGTTATGCTTATTATTTGTTGTTAAATGAAATATTGTTTAGTGTTATATTCTTAGTAATGTTCAAGTGTATGCTTTCATGATTTATTGCAAAAATAGTTTTGAAAACACACACACACACACACACAAGTCTTTTAAATTTTGCTTTACTATATTGTGAGCATCTATTCCACAGCACAGACTTTGTATGTGTAAAGATGCAAAACTGAAAATAATTTATAATATTGCATTTTATATGATAGCGTAGAAGACTCGACGCCTTCAGCCTTTTTCTCCTTTTCCTTTCTTTTCTTATAAAAATAATATATTCTAACTTTTACCAAAGCCACCGACCAAAATAAAACATATACTTTTTCTTTTTTTCATTGTTTTTTTTCTATAACCTATGTTATGAATTTTCGATTTAATAGAAAAGAATCTTTAATTGTATTTATAGAGAGCTATTTTTTCTTTCTTTTTAAAATAAAGTATATGCCTTGGTTTGAACTGTTAATTTTTATACGAGGAATACGCATCATCTCTAAATAAAGAAAAAGTTTTAAACATCCGCCTCTTATATGATGTGTTTGCGTCTACAGTCTGGGAAACTAGGTTGGGCCAATAAAAAAATAATTGGGTCATTCTCATCTACAGAAGCAAGTAAAAGTTCTCCTGATTTCTGTCTTATTTTGAGCTGTTTGTAAAGAACTGCTGTCACTCCCATCCTGAGACCCTTCAAATGTACACCGTCTTTTCCGAACATACCATTTCCGAAAGCTATAACAGGTAATTTACTTTTATCGTATTTGAAAGGTTGGGGCTTCGAAAGCTTCTTGGTGTTCCTGAAATAATAGTTAATGAATATAGTGTTTGTCTCTCTGCTTTGATGCTAGTATACTCACTTTGTCTGCTGGGGAACTTCTTTGTCTCTCATCTTCTTTCTTTTCTTCCTCTTCTTCTTTGTGTTTGTTCTTTTGGCCTTATTGTATTTTTTTTTCCACCATTAATGAGGACATTGGTCATTTCTTGTCTGGCCCTTTGAACTCCCTGGTATAGGTGAAAGCGACTTTCAGCAGTTGAGAAGTTGTTAAATGCTAGTATTCTGTTTAGATGTAAGAGGATATAAGTTATGTATTGCAAATAGTTTAAAAGAACAACTGTCTTGGTTGTAGGAATGTTGAGAAGTATATCCTCCATATTTTCTCGAGACATTCTTTTTGTTTCTCTCTTTGCGTGTCTTATAGACCCTGTTAAGGTATAGTACTCTTTAGTAGAGCATTGTCTGATTTGATGGGATTCATCACCCTCCCCATAAGCAGCAGCAGCAAAAACCTGATGTCGATTGGGATCCAGCCCGCAAAGAGAAACATCAGCCAAGTTTTCATTCTTCATAGCATCTCCCAATTGGAAAACTTCTACGTCTTCGCTAGATATGCATCTGTATTCATCTGTACTGTTGGTAATTTTTTGCAATAGAACCACATCAGCTTCTTTACAGTCGACTGGTAAAATGCGCTGGAGCATGTTGTTGCAAATATTTCTGACAGATCATATGTTTAATTTGAATCTACATATACTAATAAAGTATCAAATTTTAGCAAATTCTACCATTTATGGAAAACGTTCTAAAGTGACAAAGCTGTCGATCTGTCTGAATTATACTTTTAGGGCATTTTTTTCTCGGTTAAAGTCAGACTCAGTCTTTATTTTGAATATTAGCATGACGCATGACTTGAAATTATTCCTGATCCAAAATAATAATATGTTCGATGGTGACTTGGTTGGCTCCTCGGTGGCAAGCCGCAACATCGTGTCTTCCACTCAGACTCAGGGCTTACGTGGGATCATGCTATTATCTGCTTTGACATGCATAGCCACTTTCAAATGCCACACACCATCCCTGACCCTCTTTCCTTCGTCCTGAACAGGCTTTCTTCCAAAAAAAAAAAAAAAAAAAAAAAAAAAAAAAAAAAAAACTCCCGCCGTCCCAAAGTTTCCTGCATTTGGTCCGTTCATTAGTCGGTAGTATGCCCGAATATGCCACGAATTGGACTATATCCTTCACAACAAACCGCCTCCTGAACTCATTATTTCTAGCGTTAAACTGGTGAATTGGTTAAATCATTCATAGTAGTAGTAGTGGTAGTAGTTCAAATATTTCTTTTGCTGATTCTGCTTCTCTTTACTTTTATACATTTTCCTCTTTTCTTGCAAGAGATTTTTTTTATACAAAATAATACTTAGAACTGGCCAGGGCAAAACAATGTATTCATAGCCATTACGTGCGCAATGGTCTTTACTTTAATTAAATTACTCTTTAATCACATCTCTGTCCCATTTTCGTATTTCTGTTCCAATTCTACATCCGTGTCCCAATTTAATTTTCGAATGACCTAATTAGTTTTTTTATTGGCCCAATCTAGTTTCTCAGACTGTAATCCCAAAAAAAAAAAAAAAAAAAAAAAAAAAAAAAAAAAAAAACGTTCATTCAAGTTTTATTTAGATCATTATACCTTTTAATTTTTTTCTTCTTTTTCTAATGCAGTCTATGCGTAGACCGATAAAAGCTACTTTAGACAGTAAAAGTCGCTGGCATGAAAAATTCAAACGTGAATGTGCAAATCAAGTAAAATTAGCAAGACAAGAAAAATTGACAAGATTAGAAAAGATCAGGTTTGGTTTATAAGAAGATATGTATATATACAGTTAAATTCATTTTTATAATTTACATAAAAAAAAAAACTCCTCCTCCTTCCTTCCAATAATTATATACAGTTGATGCAAAAATATTAAAAGACGAATGGATAAGATTCAAGCAGGAAAATGAGCAATCGATGAGAGAAGAAGGGATTGTCGATATAGACAGCTTAATTGAAGAGAGCATACGAGAATATGAAGAAAATGAAGCTTATTTTCAACAAGAGCAAGAAGAGCTGGAAAATACATTGGCCTCTTATGAAGCTTCAAGAAACACAACGATATGTGTCAACTGTCAAAAGTCATCTTTAGTGCCTGATGCACGAACAATCGGACAAAACCCAATTGCCAGTTGCCCAAATTGCGGATTTTATGTAACTGAGTCCTGTCTTTATGATATCCTGACTGCTACTTCAGTACATTCTTCTAATTGTACTGGAATGATATCCTATTCTCTTGAGGCTGGCACTGATAATACTATCATCGGTGTTTGTAATATATGTGATCTTTGGAATTTGTTTTATATGTAAATACATAAATGTTCCTTTTTTTTTAGTATATTTATCCGCGAAGTTAGACTGTTATTTTTAAAAATGTCTTTTTTTTATACACATATTTTAATCAAATTTTAGTGATATAATATGAGTAGTAGTATATTCGTATCTAATCGTCTTCATCTTTTCAAAAAACAAATAGATGAAATAAATGTAAGTGAGGCTATGAATGAACTCAAAAAAATTGTATGACTCTTTATGAACATGTGCGTAAATATAATGAATTCAGGATGAAGAACAGATTCAAAATTCAAATGAATCAATTACAGAATTAACAGCAAGTCTTCGAAAGGAATTAAAATTAATAAAAATGGATAACCAAAATAGCATTTTAAAGCTATTGAAAGAATTTATTCATTGTTTGAATAGTAAAAGTGAAAAAGTAGGAATAGTAAATTTAGCAAATGTTTTCATTTATTTTATTTAAAAGAAAAAAAAAAAAAAAAAAAAAAAAAAAACGTTTTAGAATCAAGAATTTCTTTCTAAGAATGGATTTTCAGTTTTACAAGACTTAATTCCTTTATTAAATTGTCCTTATTTAGACATTCAAGTACAATCTTATTTAGTCATACAACAACTTGCAGATCAATTAGAACATGATGAACTTGTAGAAATGATGATGGATCAACTTATATGTTTATCATGGGAATATAATAATGATATTGAACAATGTTATAAAATAGCTAAATTTTCAGCTGTATTTACAGAATTATTTGGAAAAGGTTTCCTTTTATTTATGTAACAGAATTGTATGCATTCGATATTAATTTACTTTATATTTAGGACTAGAGAAAATGACAAAAGCTAGAGATTGGATGCTATTTTTACCATTTCTTTCCAATTATTTTGTCAAATTATTGAGTATTGTCGAGTCAATTTTGGTTGAAAAGTCCATTTTTTCTTCTTCAACAAAAATAATTTCTGATTGGGATCATATTGTGATTTTATTGACAAACAATTGCTTGGATTTTATACAGTTTATTTATACTCGAACAGTGAATCAAGACATTTCTGAGTTCCCTGTGAGTCATTTTTTTTAATAAGAATTATTTTTTCATTGCAACTAAAATACGCGTAAATCAAAAGTTTAATAGTGAAAATATTGGATTTGAAAATGGTGATACTAAAAGACGATACCTTGCCTATTATCTCCTGAATCTTGTACACGAAAAAATTATATCCAATTTTGATTTGCAAATGTCAAAAATATATGTTGACCAATTTCATCCTTCATTTCATTTTAAAAAGCCTACAGAGACGATGATTTATAATGTGAACGATCCTATTTATAAACCAATGTTTGATATTACAGATCGCTGCTTAGTAAGTAAAAAAAAGAAAAAATTTTTTAAAGTGGAGAAATCCAATATACATACATTTATAAGAAAATGGCTCTTGCATCGGATATTTCTTTTGAGAGATTATTTCAACTTCAAACTTCTATGAAGAAAAACGAAAGACATGATATTTCAAAAGGTATAAAAAGAAATTTATATACGCATATAATTATCGATTTTATTTAAGCTTTGTATTAGAGGATGAAATGATAGAGAATGATAGACAAATGATAAATGCACGTTTATATCCTCTTGGATATAATGGCATTGCAATACTTTTATGCTTATCTTTATATGATAAAATCATTCGGTCAGATATTCTTCATTTATCTAGTATTGGACTATTTCCTAACGATATAGATGCTTATTCTTTAGCCAAAGAGTTTATTGGAATAGTGTTAAATTTATTAAGAAGGTCCTAAATCTATAAATATTAAATCTAATGTAAATCATCATTAACTTGCTATGTTTATTATAGATCCTCTGATCGTATCCAGCAAGCAGATAAGTCTGTATTTGTTTTGCTTTACTTTGCTGATCATATACAGAAACATGTTTCTTTTGATGATTTAAAAAAATACGTTCCTGGACCTTATGGAAATGAACATGAATTTCAAGCTATCAGAATTATTGAGGTTAGTTACTTTCTTTCCCTCCTAACTCTCTCTCTCTCTCTCTCTCTCTTTATTGAAGAAAAGTAATTTATATACCTCTTTAAATTTCTTTTTTTTTTAACCAGGTCCTATCTTCTGCAGCTGCAACATGTCCTGATAGTTCAATTCGATATTTATTATATAAACTAATAGAGAGATTCATTAACTCTGGGGATGATGAAGTTCGGGTCTTTTTTATGCACCAACTACTTGAACATTGCCCTTTCCCTTCTATGAACACAGCTGCTATTAGTCTTTTAAAAGATCAAATTGGAAACGCCTTTAAAAATGAGGTATTATAAAATAGAAACTAGCTTTCTCTTTATACTAAATATATACATATACTGTAGCACTTTTCTATTTTCAAAAGTCCATATGTGTTTAAGAACTTTTTTCCTCTTATTTTCAAATTGAATTCAGATCCAAATTCATATTGGGAGAATTACAATTACATAATGCAAGCTTTAAATTTATATTATTATTTGCTCAATTTAGATAGGAAGAAGAACATTGTAAGTGAAACAAAAAGAAAAGAGCCCTTTCTTATTTATTTATAATCAAATTTCTTTAATTTCTAGACAACTATATGGAATTTAGATAATGTTAATTGGATGAAAGAAAACTACCTTACACCTCTTTCGAACTTAATAAAGACTTTAATAAAAAGACAGGTAATTACCAGAGAAACATTTTTTTTTTTTTTGACTGGGAAATTTAATCCTCTATTTTATACAGAGTAACCAAATTGAAGTTTTACAAGTCAATACCATGAATCATATTTTAGAAACTATTTATTTAAACTTGTAGTAGTACCTAATAATAATAATAATATATATTACATAAATAAATAAAAAGTGTCTGTTAGACATAAAGAAGGAAACCATAAAGACTGTAGTAGCAGCTATCATTTTTCTATGCGAAACATAATTGTGTTTTTGTGTTTATTATAGACTTAAAATTGCAAATAATTTTATTATCATTGTTATTATTTTCTTTTTCTTTTTCTTTTTTTTTTTTACCTGTTTAATTCTTAAAAAGTCATTTTCTGTCTCTTCTTCATTTTCTGTCAAACTGTCTTGTTGAGGATGATTGATTAATTTTTTATTTAAATTTACAGTTTTATGTCGATCTTGAATAGCTACTAATTTTTCTACTTTCTTCTTTAAATGTATCCTTCTGAATATGGATCTTTTATTATTATGATTATTTATTATATCTTCTTCAGTGTCTGAATATGAAGAAGATAGAATAAAAGCGTTTGCTTGTTCTACAAATAAATGAGTATGTAATTTATTTTTTATTTTATTTTATTTTATTTTTTTTACCTTCTTCATTTCCGGTCGTTTTTATCTTTTTCTTGGGATGAAAATGAATGTTATTATTCTCTGCATCAAGTATTTGTCTTGCAAAGACTGATTTTCTCTAAATAAAGTGAATATCTGTAAGCTGTTGTTTTATTTTATTTTATTTTAAAACCATACATTTATATCTTCTATTACAAGTGATTTTTCATATTCAACTCGGTTATCAAGTTGGCTTAATTCATATTCATACATTATTTCAATATTTGTTAATTCTTTCCTTCTTCTTTTTGACAAGATTCTATCTTGCTCCCTTATTGTTTTATGTGTGCCTATTTGTTCTTTAACTTAAATACATCATTTTATGTATTTATTTTATACCTTTTTCTATACATGTTAATTCATCTTGTAAAGCTTCAAGCTTTTCAGCGTAGATACTAAGCAAATTATATTACATTTGTATGCTTATTTTTTTTTACTTTCTTTAGTATCGTTATCTTACGTATTTCTATATAAAATCAATTCTTCTTCAATCTCTTTTATTTGATTCAAAGATGCACTCAAGGTGACTGATTCTTTATCATTGTTATTTGTTTCAATTGGATGATTTTCTTTTCCTTTATCTATAATAAGAACAACACACATACACATACACTCTTTTATTCTATTCATATTTATGTTTACCTTCTTGCTCTTCTTTTATTTGAGGTACTAGTGTACAGTCTAAGAGAATTTTTCTAGTTGAATGGCTTGGGCAATTTCCAATAATAAATTCGTCAACAAGAGATGAATCTATGACTGATGGCAATTTAGATTCCGCACTGTAGTAGACTGACATTATAAATAGTTGAATCAATATTTTTATTTAACTGTGAGGATAAACCGTTGTAAAATGTGGGGTTAAAAAATTAAAAAAAAAAAAATAAAAATAAAATAAAATAAAATAAAATAAAATAAAATAAAATAAAATAAAATAAAATAAAATAAAAATAAAATAAAATAAAATAAAAATAAAATAAAATAAAATAAAAATAAAAATAAAATAAAATAAAAAATAAATTATTAAATATTCACCACAAAATAATAATATTCAATAGTCGTAACACGACGGCTATAAACAAAGATGATTTGTTATGAAGAACTACGAATAATATTAAATGAAATAAATGGACTCATTTTATGTCTATGTCATAACATGTATAGTGCCAAAAGTCTACCACTTTGGATTATAAAGCACATAAATATAGACACGACTATTTGTATATTAGAACCTCCTGAGTAATATTTATTAATTTCCTATTTAGTAAAATAGTGTAAAATGTTCATTCAATTTAAGCTTATCTGCTATAGTGTTAGTAAAGCTTAAATATGATTAAAGAAGAATTTTATTAAAAAAAAAAATTAAAAAATGACCAATGAGCACATAGCATTTATATATGCTGCTTTGCCCAGGTCAGATCGCTATGGAAAGAAAAACCCTTTTGGGATATAAAAGGGAAAATGTTAAAGTATATGTATAAGTGATGATAATTAATTATCAGAAATTCGTTTTTGTATTGGAAGAAGATGATGGTCAGAGGGTTTAGGGATTTGGGAGTGAAGCTAGATAGTAAAGCTTAAATACAGAAAGACGGTCACCTTTTGACTGCAAAATTTAAATAATTTATTTTATTTTTTATTTTTATTTTTTTTTTTCGAGAATACGATTCATTAATTATGACTTCCAAAGAATTACCTAAGCTTGGTATAACTTCAACATGTATAACTACATTCGAGATTAACTCTTTTTATTATTATTATTATTATCCATGTTATAGTATTTGTTACTGGAAATAAGAATAAGCTTGCTGAAGTTCAAGCTATTTTAAAAGGAGTTATTGATGTCGAATCTCACAAAGTAGATTGTAAAGTATAGCCTTAGGTAAAGGCTCGAAAAAAAAAAAGGTTTTTTCTTATTCCTTATTTTTCTGTTATATACACATATACATATATAGTACCTGAACTTCAAGGTGAAACCCAAGAAATCGCAAAGCAAAAGTGTAAAATGGCAGCTGAATTGGTAATAAAGTTTAAATTCAAGATTTGAAATATGCCAATAATAACAAATTAAATTAGCTTAATGGACCTTGCATTACTGAAGATACTGCCTTGTGTTTCAACGCTATGAAAGGTCTTCCTGGTCCTTATATGTAAGTACACACACATATATGTATATATATACTTGGGGAAAAAAATAGAAAATACTAATACATAAAATAGTAAATGGTTTCAAGACTCTATTGGCCACGCTGGTATTAATAAAATGTTAGATGGATTTGATGATAGATCTGCCTATGCACTTTGTACTTTTGGTTACTGTGAGGGCCCTGGCCATGAACCTATTATTTTTGAAGGAAGAACTAATGTAAAAATATAATATAATAATAATAATAATATAGAATACATATAGATCTAACATCTATATATGTATAGGGCAAAATTGTAGCTGCACGCGGTCCAGCTACTTTTGGTTGGGATGCTATTTTTCAACCTGATGGATTTGAAGAAACGTAAGAAATGAAGATTATATTTTTTGAATGCGTAAGAAAGCTAACTTTTTTATTTATTTATTTTCTTGTCTAGCTATGCTCAATTGGATAAGAAGGTTAAAAATACCATTTCTCACCGTGGAAAAGCATTGGAACTTTTAAAGAAATATTTTGAAGACAAAACAACAAATTAGATTTAAAATAAAGAGCCATAGATGTACTTGATTTATATAAAAAAAAAAAAAGGTCTAATGCTTCTACAAACATGTCTCTTTTATTGTTTATTGTAGTTTCTACTTTGTTAAATATGAAACAGACTTTATTTATTTATTTTTTCAACGTAAAACTTTACTTTGAGAGAACACTCTACAAGCTACTAATTGTATATGTTAAATGTGAAACAGTTATTCTTGTTATAAGCTTGAATAAGCATGAAAATAAGTCTAAGTACTGTCTTTTTTATTAACCATAACTGTAATTTTGCATTGACTCGTAATATCCACTCACAACTATTCCATTTTTTATATTGATTGGTATCTTTTGGATATAATTATCTGATTGTTCTAATTTATCTTTTTTACTAATTAATATTAATCAGCTCGATATGGTATTCTATTCTTTAATTGAAATAATAGTACTGTTTCTCTCTTTCTCTCTCTTTCTTTTTTTTTTTCTTTATCATAATGAATTCATAATAATAACGATTCAAATAACTTTAATTATAATTCTTTAAAATTGTAACTTTACAATATCAGCAAGAGAAGTCCCAGCTTAAGTTGATGATCTTCAAATGTTTATTATCCATTTCAAAAAAAAGTTATTCTCAGCATTATTATTATTTCATATCTTCTCTCATCATGACGTTATTGTTTATGCATGAGTATTTTATATGCTGAGATTATAATCTTATTATATATATATAAATACTTCTTTAGAATCGATTGAATGTGCATTATTATACATATACTCTCTTTTATCTAATACACAAAAAAAAATGGATCAAGATAATACTGGAATTAGTAGTACTGGGCTGATGTCCATGGCAGCATCTCCTTTGCATAGTTTTAAGCCACTTAGCAATATATGTGAAAGCTTCTGTGGTATTCATCCTTACTGTGGTGATCTTAAACGTCAAGTGGTAGCCTATCACTATTGCTCCATGCTTGATGAAGATCGTCGTCAATGTTTAATCTATGATGATAATAAGCCAACTGCTAAACTGATTGGCGTAGAGTTTATGATCTCTGAAAAGTTGTTCAAAGAGTTACCCGAAGAAGAAAAGAAATACTGGCATTCTCATAAATACGAAGTAGAGAGTGGCATGTAAAGTAACACAAATTATAAAATTAAATGTATTATCATATATTTATTTAGTCAAAAAAAAAACTATATAAAACAGGTTGGTAATGAATTCTAAATCTATGGTACCAAACAAAGTTGCAACTATGGGTGAAAATGAACAATTGAAAGCAATTATAAACACATATGGTATAAATGCACTTATAAAAAAGAGAAAGAGAGAAAGAGAGAGATAATGAGATTTTAATTTAATATAAATATTAGGCAAGACTTGGCAATTTTGGCCTGTGGATGATAATCACAAATGTTCATCCAATATTCCCTATGGTCCTCCTCAATTATTAATGGCCTTTACAAAAGATGGCCAAGTAGATCCTAAACTTATTCAGGAACGCGATGAAAATATGGGAGTAGATAGTAATCAAAGAAGAAAAGATCGTGAAGGTGTATTGGTTGGAAATACACCATTAGAAGGCGCTGACCATTGGGAGCATTCTGCACCATGGCAAATCAAGATAGAGCAGCAAAAATAAGCACATACTGACTCTATGAAATATTATTTTTTTTTGAACCCATTTTACAGCAATACTTTTTTACGAAATAAATATCACGTATCACAAAAAGAATAATCCTTTTCTATAACGAACATAATTCTCCCAACATTTTAGTATGAATTTGCTCTTCTTTAATAAATATTTGTATTGGAGACTTTGCAGCAAATGATTAACTAGAGAAAAAAAAGGAAATCTATTTCATGCAATTTATTAACAAAGATGACATAATTTTAACACGAGGATAAGAAAGCCATTCTCTTTTTTTTTTTTTTTTTTTCTAAAGATGAACTCCTACAATATGTTAAAGTGTATTATAAAGCATACTATATAGTAAATATGTAATTACAACTACAAATGAAGAGAGAGATACAGTAGTAGTTGTAAGTTCCTGTTTTTTCTTTAATAGAATTATCCGACAAAACTTACACCTCATCATAATCATTATCAGTTATCCCCATGCGCATTAGAATACATATCCATATTATTGACGAACTCCTTTACTTGTAAGCTGTTCCTGATATATAACATAGTAGCTATAATACATTATTATAGTACATCTAATAATAATTTTCATTGCCTAATATATTTTTATTAGCCTAATTGTATATCTTTAACAGCTATTTGCAGTTGCATTTATGTAGCAAACTATAAACTTAATACATTAAATGCAATTACATAAAGTATATATGCATATGTATATATTAGTTATAAGGTTCATATGTAACTTCCACATATACAGTTTACAATTTTTGTTTTTCATTTATAGATTTAGTAGATCGTCAAGGAGGTAAAAGAAACAATAACCATTTCTACTGATGAATAATTTGTATTGGCGTAACAAGTATATGTAATATTTGAAGAGAGTTTTATGAACTTTTGTCATAATGATTAGCAATCTTTACTGTAATACAAATCATTTCATACATCATGTATTGCACATTCTAAAAGCTTATAGTATTTTTTTTTACCTTTTCTTCCTTCTCCTTCTCTTATGTTGTTCAGAATGGGGTAATAATATGCTTTGAACTTTAAAAGAAAAAAAAAAAGGAAGAAGTTTGTCTTTAGTCACACTAACCCTGAAATGCCAAAAGCATGAACTTTTTATTTTTTTTCCTTTTTTTCATTTACAACGGAGTCTATGAGTTTTTATTGCTTTTTATAATAGACGTGACTTGTACATACTATTGCTCTCCTTGACTCTATATGGTTATATCTATAGTATTGCATGCAAATAACATAATATGATGATGATGATAATAATATTATCTTCTTTTCCCTTATGAGCCTATATCTCCCTTTTCTATCTCCTTTGAATGCATTTGTTTACTTGCTGTTTTTGTCTATTCCCTTTACTAATAAAAAAAAATGTCATATTTCTCCTTTCTTTCTTTTTTTCTCCTTGTAGAGCTTTTCTTGGAATAGAGAACTTGATATATTTCAGCTTGTCAACTCCTTGATCTTCATACCTTTTTTTTTTTAAGAAAAAAAAAGACAACATGCTTTATCATTTCTTTTTTATTATTATTATTATTATTACTTCATTAACTATATTTAATATGACACATCTAAGTGACTTTAGCTTCTTGCGTAAAAAAAAAATACATACATATAAACGCGCATATTATACATATGTACATATAAATTAATTCCTGTCAAATAGAAAGAATGGTGTCATTTGGATATTTGTATATCTGGTATACATATAGAGTATGGACACTGGATAAATTCTCTTGTTTACATCCCAAGAGGTTTCAGCAAGGCGAATTAAAAAGTATAGTTACCTTGCTTGTCCTATTTATGATACCATTTCAGCTATATTATGGTATTTTCAATATTAAATTGGCATATATGTATATATCTTCTTTTTTAATCATTATTTATTTATTTTTATTTTGGTAGATATAACGTCTGTAAAAATAAAATATGAAGAAGGCTTTGCAAATGTCTTAGGTCGTATATTTACAAAGCCAGAAGTAATGTGGACAGAGGCTGATCGAAAATTAGTGATTCCTACAGGTAACAAAATAATGTACAACTATTTTTTTTTTTTATTCATCAGGGTTCATATATGCATATATATTTATTTATATACATTTATGTAATTTTTTTTTTTTGTATAAAAGAGTATAGTTTGTGTATTGGCTTTTCTTTACAGACAGGAACATTAGTGTTATTGCAATGTTTTTGGAACTATCTTGCCAACTCTGTTGCAAAAGCAAGTTTTATGAGCAGTAAAGAATTTATGTTTTATATATGCTGGTAGGAGTTTTCTATAAATTATAGATTTACACCTTTCTTATTTTCGATCTATTCCTTCTCTTTCCATGTCTCTCTCTCTTTTTTTTTTCTGTAGGACTTTTTCTAGCTTTATTATTTTTCCTTTATTACAATATAATTTTTCAAGAGAGATATACGAACCAACTTATAAAGAAATCATTCCTGAAATGGTTTATGGTATTGGTAATGTGTATGCTTTTTTATATATGTATAAGGTAAAATAACTTACTAAGAAAGAAAAAACCCCCTCCCCCCCACTCCCTTATACATATAGAGTTATTCATAGTGGCATGCCTTGGTGTTGTATCTCATTTCCGTTTCAAGAAACTCTTGAGTAGCTCTCGTGATACAGTGAATGGAAGATCAATTACTCAAAAGATTCGATACTTTCAAGATGTAAATAAAGTTCTATCCACTGTTTTATTTGGACATGGGATTTTATTAACGATCTTGAGTTGTGATGGATTAACGACGAGAAAAACATTGAATGCGCATAAATTCTCTGCCGATTTTTTTATTTGTAATAGTAAAGTAAAATTATTCACTCGAAAGCAAGCTTCTGTTTACTTATTAATTCTACTCATTTATATATATACATACATACATATGTATGTATGTATTTAGTTAATATGTGTGCTGTCATTACTTGGCTTTGTATGATTCTTATTTTTCATCCTAAGCATACATCGGGTCATGATACGATAAATGAAAATGATCGTAATCCATTTGCGGATGGTGGTAAACAGCAAGTTCAAAATGTGAGTGGTATTAGTAGTACAAATACATATGCACATCATGCTTCCACCTTCATTCTTGGTGTTTCACGGGAATCGAGTGAATACACCTACAAGGATATCACATACACGCAACACCCTTTATCTAAATCCTGGATTGCACCTGAAGAGGATAGCGTACGTAACGATAGTGCCTTCCAGTTTGGCCCTCTTCCTATACCACCTTCAGATGAATTCATCTATGGCTCCAAAATGAATTCAACTATTTCAGCTGCACCCTCTATGAGTACTTTAGTTTCCTCTCAACAACTCATGACACATCATGGCAGTCAAGGTAAGAACAGTCGACGGTCGACGAAGGCATCTATCTTTAATAATGACACAGATTACTTTAAAGCCAATTATCAAATTCTGGATGACAAGAAGACCTCAGCTACTATCTTTCACCAACCACGTTGTGAAGAATTAGAAATGAATGATTTAGACATGAAAAGAAAACTACAATTGCACTCTTCCTCTAAAAAGGGTTTCCATCATTTAGAACAAGTTGACACGACTTATGTTCCTCCACCTTTATCTCCTGCTAGAAAGAGTCGTGATATTCATCATCATGGGGTAGTCGCTTCAGATCGTCGTCGTTATATGCATTTTATGAATGTTGAAGCCTGTGAAGAAGATATGGATGAATTTGGTATCAACAAGAGAAAGCAATCAACTAAAGACGATATAACTGTCATTCATTTTCAAGAAGAACCAAATGAATTTAAACACTTTAAGCAACAACAACATCAGTCTTATATACCTTCTTTTAATCCTAATCCTAATAATTTACAAATTGATATTGAGGCTACAAAGAAATATCCTTTAGCGCACTCTTCTTTATTAATCAAGTCAGCAACCACTTTTGATAAGACTCGTCATTCAATTAAAAATGACAAAGCTAATAGTAGTAATAGTAGTGATAGTAATAGTAGTAGTAGTAGTAGTAGTAGTAGTAACAATAATTATCATACACCACCACCACCACCAACGACATCTTTTTTTAATATTCCTACAGCATCTTTCCATCCTCCAAACTAATGAATTTATTTTAATTATGTAATAAAACAATAAAATATAAAATGTTACTCTTTTATTCAAACACTCGTAGTAAGTGAATTATTTTGCTCTCACGTAAAAGCGTATATCATAGCCTATTTCTATCAAGATAATCATTTTTACAAAAAAAAATGTATATACACAAATAAGAAAGGCTTGAAGATGTCATGTAATTCTAACTTTATCTTTCATCTTGTAATTGTTTAGCTTAAATCATTTAATAGATGGCTAATAGCATTTATCTTCAGAAATATTAAGGTAAATTATTCGAAGATGCTATTTATACATTTTATGCGTTTCAAAAAAAAAAAAAAAAAAAAAAAAACGATTTGATAGCCGAGATTAAATATTATTTATTCCCCGATTACTGATGTGACTCTTAGGTATGACTAATTTCCCTAAAAAAAAAAAAAAAAAAAAAAAAAAAAAAAAAAAAAAAACATACATTAGCCTTTGACTGCATTTCTTTCTTCCTTTCTCTCTCTCTCTCTCTCTCTCTTTCTCTTTCCACGAGGAAAGCAAAATATAAAAACAACCATGGCCGATCTTTCTACAACCATCGCTGGAGTTAAACTTCCCAACCTTCTCTTTAATGCTTCAGGTGTTTGCTGTCAAACAAAGGAAGATTTACAAAAGATGGTTGATAGTGAATCAGGTTCGTTAATCACCAAATCGGCTACGTTTGAGAGACGAGAGGGCAACCCATCTCCTCGTTATGTACCATTATCGAACGGTAGTATTAACTCTATGGGTCTTCCTAATGAGGGCTATGCCTATTACCTTGATTATGCTAAAAACTATGACTATCAAAGCAACAAACCTCTCTTTGTCTCCCTCTCTGGTCTTTCTCTTGAAGATAATGTCAAGATGATTGAAGCCTTTAAGGCTGCCAACTTACCTTGTGTTCTTGAAATCAATTATTCATGTCCTAACGTTCCTGGTAAGCCTCAATTGGGTTATGATTTTGAAGGTATGGATCATTCATTAAGTGTCTTGGCCCCTTTAATCGAGGGACCCTTTGGTATCAAGTTGCCTCCTTACTTTGATATTGCTCATTTTGATATTGCGGCTTCCATTTTTAACAAGTATGATAATTTGGCATTTGTGACTTGTGTGAATTCAGTGGGTAATGGCCTGGCCATTGATATCGACACTGAACAAGTCATGATTAAACCCAAGGATGGCTTTGGTGGGTTAGGTGGATTCATGATCTTGAACACAGCATTAGCTAATGTCAATGCCTTTTATCGTCGTCTGAAAAATAAACAGGTCATTGGTGTAGGAGGTGTTACGTCTGGTAAGGAGGCCTTCCTTCATGTTTTGGCTGGTGCAAGTGCTGTTCAAATCGGTACTACCTTGAGAGAGGAAGGTCCTGGTGTCTTTGCTCGTATCAAGAAAGAGTTAAGTGATATCATGATTGCCAAGGGATACAAATCGCTTGATGATTTCCGTGGCAAGGTCAAAACTTTGTAAATAATAACAATAATAAATCTGTATTTATTTCTTAGTAAATGCGGTCATTTAATTTATGCAGAATAATGTTAAGAAGCAAATAATAGCAATTAAAAAAAAAAAAAAAAAAAAAAAAAAAAAAAAAAAAAGGTCTCCTAATATTATTATGCACTTATCTACTGTAAAATTCCTCTTCTTTTTATTTATATAAATTTGTATATATTTATTCATATATCTATTATTATTATTTTCTCTTTTTTTTTTCTTCTTTATCTTTAAAAGAATTTCAACTAGAAACATGAATAGTCAAATTAAAGATGAATCAACAGCATCTAAACCACCATCATTACCACCCATTCACCATTTGCCACCAAGAAAAAGACTTTCCTTAGAAAAGAATAAAAATCCTCTTAACGTTATCTCTAATAAAGTGAACGATGAATATAAAGAAAAAGTGCAACCATTAAAAAAGACCTATAGTAAAACAGCAGTAGCATCTATCATTGCCAATCAAAATAAAGTACAACAAAAGACTATCTCTAACAATAATGGGAATCCATTATTATGGAATAATATGAACATGAAAGATGTAAAGTATTGTATGTATAAATTTATCAAAAAGAAAAAAAAAAAAAAGAAGAATTTGGGAGGAGAGGAGGGGGGTTTTTTTTTTCTCTCTCTCTCTCTCTCTCCCTTCTGTCCTTTTTTTCTCCTCATTTAAACTTGGTATTACTCAGAAACTAATACATTTTCCCTTTTTGCCCTGCCCTTTCCTTCCCTCCCCCCCCTTCTTTTTTTTTTAATGATAGATATCCGAGGATACAATTATTGATTCATTTAAAGAAGCTTGGTTTAAGAATCATACAAATGATAAAATAGTTGTTGAAAAAAAGGTAGAATATGGCGCGTATAATAGATAGAATAGCATAGACTCATTCTATCTTTCACTATTATTATTTAGAAAGAGCGTACTTCTTCTATTTCCGCTACTACTACTACGATTATAGCAAAGAAAAAGGAGCATAAAATTAGCAGTAAACAAACTAATAGTAACTTTGATAGTAAACTGTATTGCATTTGTCGACAACCTTATGATGCACGTCGATTTATGATTGCTTGTGATCGTTGTGATGATTGGTTTCATGGAGAATGTATGGGTATAAATGAAAAAGAAAGTGAATTTATTGATCTTTATTTTTGCAAAGCGTGTTCAGATGGTAATTCTCTACCACTACTACCCCCAAAAAAAAATCTCCCTTTATGTATGTGTATAAATGTCACTCATCTATTTAATAAATAATAGTGATTGGGAAAAAAACGTCTTGGAAACCAAAATGTTCAAATCCAGCATGTTATAAAGCAGCAAGAATTGGATCTAATCTATTAGGTTATCTTTCTAAATACTGTTCAGATTCATGCGGTTTGCAGGTTGCACGAGCACGTTTAGAATTGGTTGAAATCAAACGGCGACAAAATAATACAACGAATAGCAGCAGCAGTCCTACGCAGAAGAATAAATCAATCATTGAATTGGCATTAGCAAAACAGAGACAGTCTTATATAAATTCAATGGCAGACAAAGAAGATCGACAAAGACTTGAAGAAATAAAACAAGAAAAAAGATTAATACAGGATTCAATATCAATTATCCAAGAAAGATATCAATTACTAGAACAAACTTTATTAGTCGTAGATAATAATAATAGTGACAGTAGTAGTAGTAGTATCTGTGGGTTTGATTCTAGATTAATATATGATACTGAAGAAAATAAAAAGGTTTGTCAACGTCATGCTTGTCTTCAACATTATAAATGGAAAGAATTATTTCCTGTTAAATTTGAACAAGAAAAACAAGAAGAATATAAAAGATTATTCAAATTAGAAAAAGAACAAAATCAGATAAAATCAAGAATGAAAAAAAGGCGTAGTGAAAAAGAGATTATGAAGAATTTAGGAAATATGACATATTTATACTAAGCATCTTGTTGTTGCCAGGGGCAGATATCAGTAGTAGTAGCAGTAGTAGTAGTAGTAGTAGTAGTAGTAGACCAGTCCTTAAAATATATATGAAACCGTCTATATATATTTAAAAATCAGCAGTAGCACTTATTAAAAAAAAATGGCATTTATAAATATAAACATGTTAAGCAAACTATATTAATTTTTTTTCATTATATTCATTTTTTTTTTTTTTTTTTACTTTATGAATAAAACGGAAATAATAAAAAAAAAGGGATAACGAAAATGAATAGCCGCTTTCTGTTTGTTTTTTTATCATTTCTAATTTTCATAAATAGTCTCTTTGCCTACAAGATACAAAAAAGGGATTATGAAAATAGACAGTATTTTACTCTTCATACAATTCGACCTAATGATATCAAAACTGCAAAACAAGTTGCAAGCCAATTAAATGCGACCTTTGAAGGTCAAGTTGGTGAACTAAGTCATTATTATTGGATTAGTATACCCGCCTCGATAGATACCCATCAAGATTTAGTAAACCGCTTTGTTAATCTTCAAAAGAAGAGAAATCATCCTTCATGGTTAGTTGATCAGATAGAGCCTCAGATACCTAAAAGGCGTTTATTTAAACGTGCTCCACCACCACCATTACCTGTTATTGAAAATGAAGAAGAAGAATATAAATTGAATGGTGGAAACTTTACTGTACCTTCTTTAGATGACATTAACGGATTTGAAAAAATGAAGGAACTATTTCAAATTAAAGATCCCGGCTTTGATCGACAATGGCATCTGGTAATGTGTTTAAGGAATCAATATAATTGTTTGTATTCTTATTATTGTTTGTTAGATTAATACTCAGGAGCGTGGACATGACTTGAATGTGACTGGTGTATGGAGTCAGGGCATAACTGGGAAAGAGGTTGTAGTCGCTATACTAGATGATGGTTTAGATATGAACCATGAAGACCTCAAAGATAATTATGTAACGTACCTTTATTATTACTGTAAATGAATAGCTCTATACTTACGCATATATATATATATTTGTAAACAATCAAACAAAAAAAAAAAAAAAAAAAAAAAAAAAAAAAAAAAAAAAGTTTGCAGAAGGTTCATACGATTTTAATGATCATGTCCCGGATCCAAAGCCTAGGTTAGTAGACGATACTCATGGTACAAGATGTGCAGGTGAAATTGCAGCTGTAAAAAATAATGTATGTGGTATAGGTGTAGCCTATGAGGCAAAAGTATCTGGGATTCGAATATTATCAGGAGAAATTACAGAAGCAGATGAAGCAACAGCCTTAAATTATGAATATCAAAGGAATCACATCTATTCGTGTTCTTGGGGTCCATCTGATTTAGGTGAAGTAGCAGAGGCACCACGTGGGATCGTTTTAGATGCTATTAAGAATGGTATTCAGAATGGCAGAAATGGTTCAGGGTCAATCTACGTTTTTGCTTCTGGTAATGGTGGAGTACATGAAGATAATTGTAACTTTGATGGCTATACAAACAGTCTTTATACGATCACGGTAGGTGCGATTGATAGAATGGGCAATCATCCTTATTATTCTGAAAAATGTGCAGCTCAGTTGGTGGTGACTTATTCAAGTGGAAGTGGTGGATACATTTATACAACAGATATTGGTGAAAATAAATGTTCTGATCGACATGGTGGCACCTCTGCAGCTGCTCCCTTGGCTGCAGGTGTCTTTGCTCTCGTTCTCTCTGTTCGCCCTGATCTAACATGGCGTGATATGCAGCATCTATGCATACAATCGGCTATTCCTATTTCTTTAGATGACGATGATTGGACAAGATTACCTTCTGGTCGGATGTTTAATCATAAATATGGATATGGTGTATTAGATGCATACAGAATAGTGGAGTTGGCTAAAACTTTTAAATCAGTTCAACCTCAAACAAAGGTAGAGGTGAAATCACCATCCAGTACAAGTAAACAGGATATCCCTGACTTGACCCCCTCTCGAGATAACAAAATTGACAAACATAATGCATTCACCAGCACCCTGATGGTAACACAAGATAGACTGGACAAAGCAGGTCTCCTTCGTCTTGAGCATGTTACAGTGACGGTGAACATTGAACATCAACAACGTGGTGATTTAGAAATCTTGTTGGAAAGTCCTCATGGCATATCCAGTCAATTAGCTTCCCCTCGACCCCGTGATAAAAGCAGTGATGGCTTGATTGATTGGACATTTATGACAGTTAAACATTGGGAAGAAGATCCTGTTGGTAATTGGACACTTCGTATTGTAGATGGTAAAAACCCTAATAGTCGTGGTCAATTCATTAATTGGAAGCTAACCCTTTGGGGTGAAGTTATGGAGGGCTTCCAATTCGATGAAACAGACCACTATAGCCATAATGATGATGAGCCTATTATGGATAGTAGTAGTGGTATTGATGATGTTGATTCAAAAATAAGTCCATCATTGATAATAATAACACGAATGTCACAACAAATCAATCAGTTCTAGATGAAGGAAATGAACAATCTTCAGAGAGCCAATTACCAGAAAAGACACGTACAGCATCTTATACAATTTATGGACTTATAGCTGTATTTGCTCTTGCAAGTATTGCCAGCACAGCATTTATTATAAGAAAATATATGATGAATGGAAATGGATTACGTTATACGGCTCCTACTGAAGAAGATACACTTGAATTTGATAATTTATTAAGTCATCCAAATCAAGAAGATAGTGATGAGAATGTATTTGTTGACAATGACAGTGATGATGATATTGACGTCTTTGAAATTGATGATAGTTCTTTTTAGATAAACCTGTTAAAAATTCTGTACCTGAATATAATAATAAAAAAAGTTCAATTATATGTAAAACAAGTATAAAATTGAAGCAATTGTATATAAATAAATGTAAACTTTAAAATTATCAACACAGCGAGAGAGAGAAAAAAAAAGAAAAAGAAAAGTAAATAAATGACATGATTTTATTTGATTTTTGATTTCTCTAATCTATGAACACGAAGATGTCGACGCATATTACTCTGTACACTAAATTGTCTACCACAACCTTCTTCTTGACAAATAAATGGTTTTTCACCTGTATGTGAATAAGTGTGAATTTTAAGTGAAGAAGGACGATTAAAGGCCTTGGTACAAAAGGGGCAATAATATCTTCCAGTTTGCTCATCCCTGGTGATAATCATATTTTCATGATTTATTGTAGTTTCGTTTACTTGATTTTGAGTGATTTCATTATTTTTAGAATTCCGTTTCTTTTTTATAGTTATCGTTGTTGTTGCTGCTGCTGCTGCTGCTGCTGCTGCTTTCATATTTATATCATCATTAGTAATCCTATTATTCTCTTTATTAATATTTAATGCATCTAGTAATAGTTTTTGTTGTGAAGAAGAAGGTTGCTGCTGCTGATTATCATTGGATGCTATATCTTTATCAATAGCTGCTAGTGAATGTTCATCAATATGAGGCAATAGTAATAAATTATTATAAAAGTCAGTTGAAGGAGCAGCAGTAATTGCAGATGCAGAACGTCTATGAGTTTGATGATGAAGTTTATTTGAAGAAGAAGAAATTGGAGGTAGTATCATGCTATTAGTAAGTGAAACAGATCTAGTATGACTCGCACCTGGCGGCCTTCTAGTAGTAGTAGTAGTAGTAGTAGTAGTAGTAGTAGTAGTTGCCGTCATCCAAGTAGTATGATTTTTACAGGGTATAAAAGATGTAGTAGGGGCAGTTAAAGAAAGTTGTTGAAGTTCAGAAGGAAGATTACTTATATTTGTATTTAATTTAGTATTGAATATATGAATTGACTCTTGTTTCTTTAAAGACTTGTTTGATGAATAATTATCATTTAATAAAAATTGTATTGAAGGTAATTTAGGCTTTTTCGACTCTTCGGTCATTTTATACAAATATATAAAAAAAGAAAAGAAAGAAATATATTATATGTGTTTGCTATAAAAGCTAAACTACTTTATAAAATCGGAGTTTGTGTAAAATAAGAGGGGTAAAATATATTTGTACAAAAAATGACTGCAAAAAAAAAGAAAAAATCCTTTTTTTTTCTCCTTTTAATCCTTTCTGTTATTATGAACTCCCCCCCCTTTATATATTATTTGTAGAAAGAAAAGAACTCGACATATCTGTAAGCTTTAGTTGATGTCGATCGTTTTTTTTTTTTCATGTTAAAATTAAATAGTTTGATTTCTTTCATTTTTACACTTGTTTTATAATAATTACAAGGAGGCCCCTTACTTTCTTAATTTATATTGAATTACTTTAAAAGGATGCTTAATAAACAAATTGTCGGATATGATAGATAGGACTGATATTATCTCTCTCCCTTATCGTTATTAAAGACAATTTTTTTTTTTTTTTTAGTATATTAAAATAATTCCTTAATATTCATACACTTTGAATTAATTAAAATGCTTTTATGAAAACCTCCCTTCCTTCCTCTTCTCCTCCTTAAAATATCTTTTTGTATCCAATAAAAATTAGTAACAGAATTTATGTGAAACTAAACTAAAAAAAAAAATTTTTTTTGATCTGAAACATATAAATAGCGCTCGGCCTTTATATGCATGCAATAATAATTAAAAGGAATGGGGAGGGGAGCTATTCGACATATTTCCTTAAGAATACTTGTTTTATACATGAAGCTTGTCGATGAACAAACACCTAATTCATGCGAAACTGTGTACTAAAAGATAACTACATTGTCATTTTTACACTTACAAAAAGGGGGTTTTCTAAATAAAATATGGAATGAATTCTTCCAAGATATACATAAAAAAGAAGAGAAAAAGAAATCATCTTCAAAGAATAAGAGGCACACCCCCCTTTTTTTTCGATCTTATTATATGGAAAGGTGTGACAGTTTGGAAAGCGATTTTCCTATGAATATAACTCAAAGTTTGTTATGAGTTACCCTTCCCTTTTCTTCTTTTTCTGAAACATGTATATGTTTTTTTTTTTGTGAAGATCTTTTTATTGCAGACCTAGAAAATAGATTTGAAGAATATCCTATAATCAGTGTTATACATTGTATCAAATGTATGATCTTACAGTCTTGTACAAAAATTAAGTATACAAGAAGAGGTTAAACAAGAAACTAAAAAAAAAATAAAATAAAACAATTAATAGAAATAGTAATCTATGAACACTCTCCCCCCTTCATACTCAAAATTTCATTTTGAGAAAGAGCTGAGAGAGCTTTGATAATAGCATTTAGGTGCACTTTAGCGGCGAGCATCTCTTTGGTCTTGTCATAATAGTACTTTGTGGAGACTGCTACTTGGAGGTGTCAGGGGAGGGGGACTAATGCCACTTTTAGTGATGATGCGTAGATCAAGTTACAACGCCTTACATTCGTTAGAGATTGTATCGTCCCTATGAGTGGTATATATTCAAGTAGTTATCCATTTATTATAGTGTACTATTTTATTTCATTTTATTTAAGGCTTACCATTGGAGGAATACGTTCAATTTGAGTTGACTTTGTCCAGTTTAGCAATAACGAAGAAGATAATAAGCCAATAGAAGTAGAATATAACCTGCCGCTTAGAATCAATAGACAAAATAAAAGAAGATTTAAACCGATAATAAAGGATGTCGACGTAAGAAAGAAGAAGTCGAAGTTACGCATTGTTTGTGGAAATAGAAAACCGTTGGCATAATTTAGTTGACAACATGAAGACAACACTCGTGCGTTATTAATATAATCATGATTTTCTTTGTTTTCACAAAAAAAAAAAAAAAAAAAAAAAAAAAAAAAAAAAAAACCGTACTTGTTAACATAAATACTGATTTTAAAATAAAGATAACCAATAAAAACTTGAACATATTCTTTGTTTAATACTCTCTAGCTCATACTCTTTCGTACCTAAAGAAGCCAAGAAATGACAGCTTTGTAACTATATTTGACATTCATATATTCTCTTAAATAAAGAAACTCCCAAGTTGTGATATTTGTGAGTTGGGTGTTGCCGCAGATATATCAATTACTGAGTTTTTGCTTAAACCATGGATCATTACTTGATAAAAAAAAAAAACTGGGCGCATTTTGTTATGTTCTCGTTATTGTTACTGTACAAAGGGTCGTAACAATATTATGAATACCAGAATGCTTTTAACCGACTGTAAAAAAAAAATTAAGAGGCCATGTAATATAATATTATGAGCGTTGAGAATGCACTAGTTCCTTATCGTTATAGATAATTTATACACCAATAAAGAGAGTTATTTTTATCGATAATGATTTAGACACATAGTACATACTCAAGGCATTACATAATATTATGGTGTGCCAAGTTAATATTACATAATATTTAAAAAAAAAATATTGCAACGAACTGACAAAACACCAAAAACAACCTATCAATTTTCCAATTGACGGCAGAAATACAGTATATTTAAACATTATTAGTTGACTAATAAACTCCTTCTTTTTTATTTTACAATTAACAAAAATACATTTAGAGAAACTTCTTACTGTGAATAAATAACCTTAAAAAAGTAGTCGATAATAAAAAAAAAACCGGCTTTTTTTTTTATTGATTATATTACAAATATAATTGAAAATATATAATATATATTTTTATACAAAGAGTCTAAACAAGTACACATATTTATATTAAAACATATGAGGATGATAGTAGGGATGAGGAATAAAGCCATTGTTTCCAAAAGAGGCCATTGGATAAGAATTCATGGGTAAAGGTGGTCCCATGGCTTGTGACCCTAACATATAATATGGGAGTTGTTGTTGTTGCTGCTGCTGATGATGATGATAGTGTGGTATCATATATGGATTTTGTTGTTGTTGTTGTTGCTGATAGGGTGGTATCATGTATGGATTTTGTTGTTGCATGATGAATGGATTCATATCATTAAATGGCATCATTTGTGGATACGTTTGTGTCAAGCCAGGCATATGTGGATGATAGGGTGATGCATCCATCATAAATGGATGAGGTGGAAGTGGTGGTGGTGGTGCTAGAGGTAATTGTGTAGGCAGTAGCATATGTGGTGGAAGTGGCGGTAACTGCATAACAGGATCATAATCCGTTGAGTGTGGGTAATAATATCCTATCGTTTGTTGAGGAATTTGTGGCACCAATGCATTCGTAGTTGTAGTAATAGCAGCTGGTTGTTGTTGCTCAGCAATTTCGGTTATTTGACCTTGATTATTGTTACGTCCATGATGATCCTTCCAATATTGATATCCTAAAGCTAAAGCTCCTGCTAGTCCTGCATTTCGCAAAAAATGATGATTTTTATCAGGATGCTCTTCATCATAACGATTTAGTAAAGCGTCCGCTCCAGCAAAAGCCATTGCATTTGTTATCCAATCCCAAGATCCAGAACCAAATATATTATTAGTATTATTATTGTTGTTGTTGTTTACAGCCTGGTTTGCAGTATGATTTTTTAAGAATCCACTAACAATATGGTTCATAGTTCTTTTTTTTAGTTATTTATTTAAAATATATAAATATATGTATAATAGTGAAAGAAAAAGAAAAGAATTTAATAGTAATAATAATAAAAATAAAAAGGGCTGAATCTAGTCATTGTATCTCACTTACTAAAAATAATCATGGAAACAAACATTGGATTTTCGGACTAAATTTGGGCGAAAAAAAAAATTGAGTTTTATTAATTGATAATAAAAACCTAATTGAGCATAAGTCAGGTTTATATACCAAAATTTGCCTGGGTCAGTAATTCACAATGTATAGAATACAAAAAAAAATCTTATAAACTTAAGGAATAAATGTAAAAAGGGAAAAATTATAGTGTATATGTATCTTATTTAATGTTTTTGAATCCAATAAATAAAAAAAGAGAACCTATAAATAATGCTGGCAATAAAGATTAGAGCTCGAAATGCATATTATGCTATATCAAATCTACAAATTTGTAATGTTTGCTAGAGAAGGATCTAACGAGTTTTCTAATATGCATTAAAAAAAAAAAGCTTTAAATTAATTTGTCATATTTTTAGGCAATGATGGTTACATGATGCCTATAAAAGACTTCGATTCAAGCAGTATGAATAGTTTTAAGCAAATCTTGGATCTGCTGTTTTTCTTCAAGTACCATCAGATCAAATTAAAAAAAAATGAGATACGCAAATTTAGTTCTAAAATTATAATAACTATGACAGGTTAAACTTATTGAAAATCATATTCATGTATGTATGTATTGTATAGTTATGAAGAATAATTTAATGTACGTGTTCTTTTTGTTTGTTTAAAATTAGTTTATATGGGAATGATTGTAATCGTCCTCTGATTCGTCTGAAGGTGATCGACCAAAGACTCTTCCAGAACCTACAACTAGCTTTGATGAAGAAGCTCCTTGTCCAAAAGAAGACCTTCGAGGGAAAGACCTTAAAGGTGTTTCTCTATTGGATATATTTGAAAAATGCTGATTAGATAGTGTTCCTTTACTAGTGTGTACAGAATTTAAGGTTAAGGCATCATCATTGTCCTGATCTATATTCATGTTACGAATTCCATCGAGCATACTCTTATTTGCTCTTTCCATTTTTCGTCGTTTTTCTCTCCAATATTCTGCTAGTGTTTGATTTCGTTGTTGAACATTCTTTTTGGTTAAGAATGGCTTAAGCCATTTTTCATCAAATGACACAAACCAATGTGGAGGTCTGTCTTCAGGTATAGGCTCTCCTAAGGGGCCGGAAAGGAGTCCACCAATGGAAACATCATTTTCATAATCTCTAAATCTTTTTCGTCTTTGCTGAGATAGTTGCCCTATTTCTAATAATTCATCATCATCATCATCATCGTCATTATTATTGTTATTATCATCGCTATTATTTAATAAATTCTCTTGTGACAAATTATTTGTATTCAATTTCATGTATTTCTTTTTTCTTGTCAAAGGTAAATAATCTCCTTCATCTTCTTCAATCTGACTATCATCAGATTCATCAGGCTCAATAACACCTGTTTTAATATCTAAAATTTGAAGCATACGACCTGTTGTTCCACCAAACAGTAAAACAGTCAATACTACGACAGCAAGGATAGTGGTACGCATAGCAGGAGCACTGTCACCTGTAATACCAGCTGCTAAGGCAAACGCAACTGCACCTCTAAGACCTGCCCAGAATAGCATGATTTGATGATTACGTGGTAGTTGTTCGGGCTTTCCTAATGCTCTACAAACAGCATTAATCATCATTGATAAGGGGGAGACTGAAGTGTAACGAGCTATACAGATAAATGCCTATCATTAAAAAAAAGGTAAGTCTTTTTTCATTCTTTTCTGCTAGTCGAAAATTATTTACCAAAGTAAAAAGAATAAAAAGTGGTTTATAGTCAAGATTATCCTGCGTGAATAAATTAATACCAAGGTAGATAAAGATAAAGTTTTCCGAAAGTTGAGATAAAAGTTGAAAGATAAATTTAGTGGCTCTCTTGCTTCTTAATGACAGATTATCATATGCATAATGCTTTAGTATAATTCCTGTAAATAACAATGTAACAATACCCGACATTTGTATGCTATTTGAAAAGAAATAGCTACTATATGCAAAAAGTAAAACAAGGCAGGACTCAATACTAGGAAAGCGATAAAGTTGAGAATATTTCAACATTAACGCCACTAAAATACCAACTAAAACACCAATAAAGGTTGAAGCCCAAAATACGCCTAAAAATAATCCAATTCCTCTAAAAATATTTACAGCATGTAACTCTTGTCCTCGAAATTTGCGAAGTGTACTAAAATCATAAGATGTATAAGATTGCATTCCTCTTTTTTTTTTTTTTCTTTTCTTTTCCTTTGAATACTTACTCTGATAAAACAATAGCTACAGCATCATTTAATAAGGATTCACCAGAAATAATTGAATATAGCTGTGGGTCCACATGTAATTGGTTGAAAATTGCCAAGATTGTAACTGGATCTGTAGCTGATAAAATCGAACCGAATATCATACTGTCCAGAAAAGAAATGCTTATACCTTCTGGATTTAAAAATGCGTATAAGAAAGTAAATAAACTACAAACGATCAAAATTAGTACATTCACAAAAAAAAAAAAAAAAAAAAAAAAAAAAAAACTTCTTCAATATCGTATTGAAATACCCTGTAACTATTGCAGCAATAAAAGTGCCTGCCATTGCGAATATTAAAATTGTGCCAAAATTAAGAAAAAAATTTCTCTAATAATTTATATAATTAGTAAAAAGGCATGTAGTTTGAAAGATTAAAATAATATACTCTTTTTAGTTCATATCCAGAATTGAGAATGATTGGTGGCAATAATAAATTGAAAAAGAATCCTTGTTTGAATTTAACCATGTCTTGTATAATGGTTCCAGGTGATAATTTAATTATTAATCCTACAATCATACCTTTATAATAATAATCATAAGTAACGTTAATTAACTTGGATAAATATTAATTAGTTACCTGCCATGATAGAAATGACAGTTTCATGAATGGCACGGATCTTCTTGAGTTGTAAATAATAACTTGTCCATAAGGCACCAATAAGTAAAATAGTTAATATTAATAAAGCCCAGGAAGAATACATTTCCTCTTCTAAAGGTTGATCTATTGGCCCATTTTCTGGAAGTGTATTATTCACATTAGGATCCATTTAAAATCAATCAAAAGAAAAGAAAAAGATAAATAAAAAGTGCAGCGACGAATATGCAACCTGCATTATTCACTTAACTCAAAATTTTATCGTACTTTAAAATGTCATAAATACAATGAAACTACCAGATTTTATTAAAAAAAAAAAAAAAAAAAGACTAATGGGCACGTAGCAATTTTTGTTGAGTCTTATTGTCCAAGCTAGTTCTAAAAAGTCAAAAGAAATAAGAAACAGTAATTGAAATGCTAGTACTATTACAAAGGCAACCATTTTACCAGCTAGGCATCAGGATCTTGAGGAGGAGGAGGAATTTGATTATGAAATAGATATCTATTTTATACAGAATAGTATAGGTAGTTAGCCCACAGATAGACTAATTGGAGCCATCTTGCGAAAACCGAGGCTTTTGGAGAGACAATTTGATTCAAAATGAAGTAATGGAAGTTGCAGTCAACTTATATATAGATATGGATATATTCATTAGATTAAACACAAGTAAAGCCAGAATAAGGGTTGTATGCAAATTCTTGGTTTACCTTCTGGAAGACAACTAAGACATCAAGAAAACATACGACTACGCTCAGCTCGATATCATTCGTAAATAAAAAACTGGGTCTTGAGTTAGAGCAGGGTGGCAAGCGACAAGCAAATGGAAAAGTACGATCTACACAGAGATCAGTAAGATTATTTTGACTGAAATGTAGGCGGATTATCTCAAATTGTTGACGATTGTGATCATCCAAAGATGGGATACAGTATTGCTAGAAGAGACCCTTTGTCTCTTGATAAATGTCATGATACAGATTTTTTTTCCCCCAGATAAACCTTAGTCAGTTCCCACTTTACTTTAGACAAATCAAAATATAATTCTATCTTGGTCAAAAATTTGATTTAAGAAGAGTAAAAGTTTTATTCTAGACGAACACTCTTCACAATGATAAACGGAACAGTCAAGTAGCAATATCACAGGCCAACTTCCCCCGTTGAATATATTTACCTTATTAAGCTTTTGAATACTTTAAAGGACTATTTGACAAACTTCCTTTTCCTATAGAATTTGTATGTGAATTTTCATAATATTAGAGTACAATAAGCAGAAAAGCCAGTTTGGTAAAGATTATAAAATTTTAACTGCCAAAATCATTATTTTACTACTTTCACTCGCATAAAATCCTCTCAAGAAATTTTATTACAATACATCATAACTTTCTATTAATGCCGAGTAGATAATATGTTTTAATGGCGTTAGTTTATTTTTTTGTTTTTAGTAATACACATAGATATGAAGACAAGCATTATAACTACTTATTGCTATTTGTTACATAAAATGGAATCAATTCGAATTTCCATAACTTTAGAAAAATGACAAAGAAAGCATTCATTAAGGATAATTTTACATGTCAAAAACTTGTATTTAAATATTCATGTATTTTTTTTTTATTTTTTTTTTTTTAAATGAAACACAGCTATTACAAGTCTGTAAAATGTATACTATAAATATAAACCTTAAGCCTCAATAATATTGCCAGGCGCCTTAGCATCTTTTTTAAGATCAAACATTAATTCCTTCATTCTAGTAACATCCTTTGTATGGTAGCCAGTTTTAGCATTGGTTGTATCAATTTCACGAATAACACGTTCCCAAACATTAGCTGATGACTGAACTTGTTCGCGATTCTTTTCATTATTTTCCTCACGTTCTCTGCAAAAAAGAGGATTTTAATAAAACCTACAGCCTTTTTATAATAAGCCCTCCTCCCTTTTTTTTTTTACCTATTTTCTTCAATAGATTTTTGTTTCTTATCATTATATTCCTCGTAAAATTTATCAATATCTTCACGAGCTTGCTTAATAGTTTCTTCTTTCTTTCTTTCAGATTCAGCATCACGTTCAGCAATAATTTCTTTTTGTTTTTCTCGCCATTGACTATATTACAAACTAAATTAGTTTACCTTTCTTTTTTTTCTTGCAATTGTATATATATATATATATATATATATATATATATATATGTGTGTGTATATTTTAATTTTACCGCACAGTTTCTGGTTCTTCTTCTGGTAGCATAGCCTTGTGGAAGGCCTAGATGAAGGTATTATTAAAATGTATAAAGACAAGAAAAGTACTATTTACCTGAGAAGTTTCTAATTCTTCAGCTTTAGGATATTGACTCTCAAAGGAAGAAGTACCCATCAGGTCCTGTTCAACGGGCTTAGTTGCACTTGAATGTGAGTGATGACTTAAAGCACTAATATGACCATCATTAAAATTGTTAGGAGATAGGGGTGTTGTAAAACTGTTAACAGAAGCTGAAACAGGTGATGTTAAATCGTTGGAGATGAGGTCGTTATTATCATTTGAAGCAAAAAGATCAGCATCATCACCTAAGGCTGCTCTTTCACGTGCAAGAAAGTCAGCAGTAGGGTCTTCTGAAGGAGTGTTGAAATCACCAAAGTCTGACATTGTTTGGAAAGATAGAGTATTTTAAAAAAAAATAAAATAAAATAAAATAAAATAAAATAAAAAAAATAAAATAAATAAAAAGACGAGGAAATTATAATGTCCTTGGTTTCTTTTTTTGGGAATTAATTACAACAAATAACTGAAGTGACGTATATTTTGCTGTTAACGAACACAATACTTAAATTCGCAGTGTAATTTTGATATTGAAATACTTTAACAGCAATTAATAGATGTTGCCTTGTTTTGTTTTAACACGAGAGCTTGTTTATTATTTTGAATCAGTTTTATACAAATTTAAATTATTAAGAATAACTTGGATTAAATAAAATCTTATACGCGTCAATAAATAGTCGTATTACATTTCTCACTTTTTATCAATTTAATTTCAAGCTACATACACTTGTAAAAAAAAATTGTATTATTATTCCTTTTGGTGTGAAAAAAAAAATATACTTTTCTGCTATTACTCGTTAGACATCAAATAATATACATTTAGCATATAAAGATTTCAGAAAGTCAATCATTAAAAAGGGATGCTAACCTGCCCTATATGCTATTGAGAGTAAGATAGCTATTCGCCTAGAAATAAGGAGTGATTAGTAGGAAAGTACTGATGATTCACTTCAATATGGTTCCTACCATAATGTAAGTATCTAAACTTTAACTTTTACCTCGGAAAATATCCTTGGTAAAAGAGTTGTGTTTACTACGAACAATTTATGGTATACAAAGCTGAACGCCTATGACCATCAAAATTAAAAAAAAAGGTGTATTGTACATATTCCTGCAATTATTTACGTCGTATACCCACTGTATACTACAAGTTTTTCAATTTTTAATATCATATCTTATTAATATGCACCTTCAAAATCACTGATATCAAATAATTAGTAACTTTTTAAGATGGCATATTCCTGTGGCTTAAATGGCTATAACACTATTTTTAAATAAAATGTAAAGGAAGAGAGAATAGTTAAAGAAATGTGGAAAGTGAAGAGACGAGAATGCCTCCAAAGCTTTCATAATGTTTCTTTGTTTCTTATACAGAAAGACTTTCATCTCCATTTGTAGTCTGTTTAGATATAAGCTGCATCTATTGATCGGAATTTCATCCTTAATCGTGTTTCTCAATATTCACACTTACCTTTTATTTCAAAATTCATAGTATTTCAATTTAGTTTATTTAACATATCTGTACATATTTCTTCAATAGATGCACTTTAAATTAAGTTTACATAAGAGTCTTTTCATGTAAAATAATTTATTTTACTGAAATAATTTGTTTCGATAGATAAACGTTCGTTAATGCATATTCAAAGGGAAAAAAAAAAGATTGTTATAGTGAAATATTCCAAACTTGAACTCTATAACTTGTTACCAGCTAAAATATTATAATGGATTTATTTTATTATATAACTACTAGTATAAGGTTATATAAACACATATTATCATTTTACACTATGAGTGCTTTATTTATTTTAAGCTTTTTATATGATATTAATACTAATAGCAGCACTCTTATGTCTTGCAAGTATAAACTTTTGCAATCCTGGGTAATTTTCAGCTGAGATGTATGTAATTCATTAACACTCAGAAAATAAAATTATGAAAATTTTTATTTCCTACAAATTCATTGACAGTATCCTTTTATGTTAATTAAATCATGCTCCAGAATAAGTGTGATACACTTTGATGCATGCAAGTAAAAAAAAAAAAAAAAAAAGAAAAGAAAAGAAAAAAAAGAAAAGAAAAAAAGAAAAAAAAGAAAAAAAAGGAAAGACTTCTCTAGATGAAGAGTCATAAGAGCTACACATATTTTAGACTATTATATTTTTAGCTGTAGTAAAATGTATGCATGTTTTTTTTTTATTTTTACAACAGTTAAAATTCAAATCCAGATTCTGTCGTAATAATGCGTGCCTTTGTGTAATCGTTTTATATGTGTCAGTTTTTTTTTTTTTTTTTTTTTTTTTTTTTTTTTTTTTTTTTTTGCTATTTAAGCAATGCCGTCTTGTTGTTGTTGTTGTAGTTGTTGAAATCAAATTATCTAAACTTTTTTTTTCTCTTTCTCTTATTTTTTTTTTTATTTAATATAATGAAATTGATTATTTTATCATTTATTGTAGCATTACTAATCCAGATCACTTTAGGAGAAGATATTGATAAACTTCAATTTATGAAAGTGGTGTCTCCTACTAACGGTCAAAAGATAAAAGCTGGTGACAAAGTGTTGATTAAATATGTGATGCAGCCTTTAGTTTTTAGTAAAAAAAAAAAAAAAAAAAAACAAAAAAATAAATTGAAATATATACGTACTTATTGTCATATTAGAACATACTTCAAATGGATATGCTAAATCTTTAAAGATTGATTTCTATCAAGCAAGTAATCATACGACTAAAATTCATACTGTTTGTTCTCATTGGTATAAAATTATTTACTGTGATTTATAAATCATGTATACATATGAATATATATAACGTATACCTTCTATTTAGTCCTGTCAAAGCTAGAAAACATAGGTATAAGTCTCACAAAAGACATTGGACTATCCCTAAATCTATCAAGCCTGGTTCCTATTTGTTTAAATTCATTGAAGATACTCAATTCCGTCGTGGACGAATGACTATTACTGAAACTATAAAGGTCGACGTTGTAAATTAATGCTATTTCTGTTTAAATCTTGTATAATACACCAACAAACTTCTCGGAAACATTAGATATATAATAAACTAAATTTAAATAATGCTCAATATTGATTTTATTGTTCTTATTGTTACTAAGTTTGATTTATGGTTTTAGATTCAAGATTGATATACATAAAAAAAAAAAAAAAAAAAAAAAAAAAAAAAAAAAACTCAGAATAATTATTCACTCTCAAAGGTTTAATTTCTAAAATTACCAAGTTCTCTCTAAAATATCCTCTTTCTATTGTTGCTAAAATTAATAATTTCTTTACCCGTCTAATTTATATTTTTAGCACGATCTAATATTAACATCGACTGATAATTGAAGTTGGGTTAAATTAAACTATTGTTTCAGACAAAAATTCTAATAAATACACTCTACACGGCTAATAATTTATAAGCAATAATATCAGATAAATAGAGTAGAGCAGATTAGAATCATCTTTAATAAAAAGAAAGTAAACGATTAACTTGTTATTTATACACCATTATTTAACCTTTATCATAATATATATATCTTAGTTTTTTTTTTTTATGAAAAGAGGAATTGCTTGTAGCCCTGTTAGATATAACATACTATAATCTATTATTTACATAATTTCTTATTGAAAGATAATTTCAATAACCCTGGTAAATGGCAACCCTATTATGCTGCTTGTTCTTATAACCGGGTTAATGAAAAAAAAGCCTATTATTTATAGTATCATAGTATTAATATGTAATAAATAATGTATCCTGTTATATCCAAGATTTCTATTCTATCTTAATATGCACGCGTCAGATACAACAAAAATGAAAATTATACTTTTACTTGGAGAAAGGAGCGAAACAGCTTTTCTACAAATGTAGAATAACAGTAAGGAGTTGTAATGATTCCCTAGAATTATGTGTTATGTCTATCATATCCTATCAAGATAGTATTTCCATATTTTAAGTGCATAACAATTTTATTGATAAAACTTACATTATTTTCACAGGCTTGTCTTGTTCTTGTTCCTGTGTCTTCTGTCTATAATAAAAAAAATTTAATAGCATTATTCCAGGAAAAAAGTAAAGCCTTTTATTTAATGCAAGTCTGCTTTTCTTCTCATTCCTTATTATTAGTTAGCTTCTATATATGTATACGTATAATTACTTTTAATTTATTATATATAATTTTATATTCATAAATAGCAAAGCAAAATATGAAAGACTATATTAATAGACCACGTTAATACTAAACAAATATAACTTCATTAAATCTAGTCATAATAGCAGACACACGAAAATATAATTTAAAGTTTAAAAATAATCTGAATCCTCAATCATTTTTTTTTTTTTTTTTTTTTTTGGAACTACTTCTACACTGTAGGTAAAATTTACCGCTTTCCCTGCATAGTATGAAACAATTTATTTTTAAGCTCAAACCCCACAATCTTATAAAAAAATACTCTCATCAGAACATGTTTTAACGGAAAAATTATATAACTTTTCACATTTAGTATTTAGCAAAAAAAAAAAAAAATTGAACTCATAATCAATCTTGTTATCATTGCTATATCTAAGTCTCAAGAACATTTAATCTTGATATGGTTTATGCCAACTCTGAAAATGCTTAAATTCCTTTCGAATATCTGTTAAACAAAATGTATTCTATTCATACCTTGATGCCATATTATTTATTAACAATAAATAAGGACTTGAGTAAGAAAAAAAAATTCTCAAAAACAAGTCGATTTTCTCACTCCTTTTATTCATTATACTAACTTATTTAAACGACTCAAACTTCATTATTACTAGCAATCGACTCGTTATTTCAATAGTCATTTTTATGAACTTTAATAATTCATCCATGTTACTATCATCACCATTGATATATACATATTCTACATGTACAATATATGATCATATTCCTTAATTTTAAAATCAATCCTTATTCTTAAGAACTGCCTGGCATATTCCCCCACCCCTAGAACAGCCTCAGTATTACCATCCGTTTCCGTACAAAAGACAATCTAAAAAGATCTAAATCGAAACATGTTAACAATTATGTAAATATATCCTAAAAACCGGCATTTTTAGTTACAGAGTGGACAACCAAAAGAAAAAGAAAAAAAAAAGATAAAGCTTAAGAATACGTTATTCAACTTTAAAGTCAAAAACTATCAAACAATAAATGACAATGAAAAGTCAAATATAAATCTATAAAATAAATACAAAGAATATTAATATGCTATACAAAGTTTTTTTTAATCTCTTCTCTATGTTTATTTTATTTATGATTTATATACTTAATAGGGTGGAGAGCCTATTAACTATAGAATTCATACCATTTTATTAATGAAAACAAATCGAAAGAAACCCCCCTTTTTTTTGTTTTATTACAGTCATTCGTTCACAAACAATATAATTAGTTGATGTGACCTGAAGCTAACTCTTAGAAATACATATATAGAATATCAGGTGAAAGGACTATTGCTAATATATTTTATATTATCGAAAAATAAAAAGAGGCACACTAGTTACAGCTACTTGATTTGACAAGATTTAAGTAACAAACTTATATCAAAACAGATCAGAAACTTTACAATGAATTCTGTAATATCTCAACTACTTTATAAAGGAATATCATTAACACTTTAAGCTTTGAATAAGTTTACATTTCCTGTCTATTGATATCGAGGCTGTATTTTATATGCGTAACTATTTCTGAATTACAAATAAAACAAGTTTTGTTTCTTAAAATCTGAAGGATCTATCTCTTGTAGCTTCAGAATATTTATGGATGCTTTGGCTTTAATTAGGTGTGTCAGTATAGTAAAGAAAAAAAAATAGTAATATGACAGGAAAGTTCAAAGGATAGGTTTACTAGTTATAATTATGAATAAATATTATTATTATTATTATTATCATTTTTTTACATACACGTTAGCAAAATTATCATCAGACTTATACACACAACAGTACAGCATCAAATCACGCCAGTTATTATAAAGCTTCTCCCTTTTACATGCATATTTGTGTATGTAGTATACATTTACCGCTGTACAACACTCCCTTTTTTTTTTTTTTTTTTTTTTTTTTTTTGTAACCCTAACAATGAAGATCTATTTGTGTAGTAGCAAATTCTTTTAAAAACTTTTTTATTTATTTATTTATTTATATTCTTGGTTAAACTTCATTCATTTTTAACAAAGGAATCTTCCATTTCATTGAACAGATTGACAATCATGTCAGCAATTCCATTTTGTGCATGGAATAATGAAGAAAGAACAAATAAAGAGGTTTTTTTTTTATTTTTATTTTTATATGTGCTAATATCTATTATAAACTAATAATGAAGCTATTATAATACTCATGTATAAAATAGATCGAACCTCATTTAATTAGCATTGATTCCTGTTACAGAGAAACGTAAAGATTTACTTTGTATATATAAAATATTACATAAATTAATATATTATTTGTAGTATTTTAGATGTTTTATTTCCAATTCTATTTCTAGTTATATCATGCATGCTTATGGTATGGCATAATAAAAATCATAACAATAGACAGTTTGTTGTAAATGGAAATGACTGTCTTCGATTGCCAACAGTTAAAACGATATCCATCTTTAGAAGAACTCTTGCACTTTTGATAGTTACTTTATTGGAAATAAGTAGCTGGGCTTTTTTATTTGCCTGGAGGCTTGAAAGTGCTATTCTTGAAAGATCAAAATTACCGCAGCCTATATTTAATTTTAATAACAGTAATAATAAAGTTCCTCTTTATCAAATAGTAGATCCAAGTCTTACCTTTATTCCTCGAGTAAATTTTATTATTAAATTGCCTTCTAAATATACGACTGATCCCCTCTTTTTTCCCCCCCCCTCATATATAAGTAGATTTATATATTGATTCTTATTATCAAAACTTTTACAGCACCAGAAAATCCTCTTGATCCATCTACATTTACTAAATATAGTTACCATTTCCTGGTATTTTATTCACTTATCTTTGTATCAGCTATCGTTCGTGCGTTTGATTGTTATTTGACAAACAGTTATTCGCCTGACTCTTTTACTGTCGAGAAATTATTTACATTTGTAGACCTACTTTTGTGTTTTATTTTGTGGTTTATTATTATATCTTCACCTTCTGAAATAGATCACAGAGAACTGGTTGATTTTGAGGATGATGATCATAGTGTGCTTGTACTTTATGATGGAAGAGTTGTAAGAAATGTAAAGTGTGAGTACATAAATGACTCTCTCTCTCTCTCTCTCTTTTCTTTTTATTACTAGTATTAAAATAATGTGTTATTCATCTAGGGTCGTATATTAAGCTTAGAATCTTCTGCTTCTCCACTCTCTTCAATTACATTTAGTTGGATAAAGCCTCTCTTAAAATCAGCAGTCAAATGTAAGTTAATGGAAACCTCTTTATGGGCTTTACCTTTGCGTCAAAGAGCTAGAGAGAATTTTGAATTATTCACAAAAACAAAGGAATGTTATACAACTAAGATTACAGCTCTAAACCTCACACGACGTATCTATTTGGCTAATCGAAAAATTATATTTTTCCAGTTTGTAACAGCTACTGGCGCTGTCGTTTTTCATTATGCAAATCCTATCTTCTTAAGAAAGCTTTTAAACTTTATTCAGATTTATCATGATCATCATCATCAACACCAACAATCAGATGATAATTATAACACAAGCTTGGAAAAGAAGACAGGCTACGTATACTGTCTTACACTCTTTATATGTAATGTTGCAAGTATTCTGATTGCCTCTCAAACTCTTTTATGGGGAAGACGATGGCATATATCTTTGACTCATATGCTAAATTCTGAAATTTATGTACATGCTCTTCGCTTAAAAAAGGGCTATGAAACTACTACAAGCTTCTGCAATAATGCAATACCTGAGAATGACGAAAATGGGGATAGCTCTGATGAATTAGCTAGTCTAATAAATCAGGACACACAAAGATTAGCTGAATTAGCTTCTTATCTTCATGTAAGTTCATACTGATCAAAATCTATTGATGAAATTGTATTTTTTTTTATTAACTCTATTTATGATAGATCTTTTATACTTGTCCACTTGAAATTACTATAGGAATTATATTCTTATACAATATATTAGGAAATTCATTTCTAGCCGGTTTAGTCGTTATGGTAGTGTCATTACCTTTAACTCATTATATAAATCGACGTATTATGGTAGCCCAATCTTGTTTAACAGATGCAAAATCATGGAGATTAAAGTTATTGTATGGATTATGTGAAGGGATGAGAACAATAAAATTTTTAGCTTTAGAGAGACGTTGGGAACAAGCAATTATGGTAAATGTTCATTTTTTTTTTTTTTTTTGGTTTATCAGAGAATGTTTTAATAACATATATGTATTGCTTCTATAAAAGAATGCTAGAGGCAATGAAATAGTAAACCTAATTAAATTATACACACAAGATACTATTTTAAGTTTGATATGGTTAGCTACTCCTGTGTTTATAACAGTTGTTTCTTTTATTTGGTATACAATGGTAGAAAAAAAATCTCTTGATGCTAGGTAATTATTTATTATTATTATTAATACAAAGTTTTGATAACAGTTTTGTTTAATATATATATTTTTTTTATAAAACAAAAAGTACTGCGTTTATTAGTATTGTCCTATTTAATATGCTTCGTGATCCTCTTAACGTACTACCTAAAGCATTTGTAGCGTATAAGGATGTCAAGTCAAGCCTTGATAATATAGCAAGATTTTTAAATATGCAAAATAACGTATATGACGAAAAAAATATAATTTTACAACAGCAACCGTACAATGAGCAAGTTAAGATTGGGTTTTTACCAGCATTATCCATATTTGAATGGGGTAATGATAGTAAAGCACTATCTCAAAGCCAACCGTATTCTGTAAATAGTAATATACCAGGTTCAGGATTTTTGGAAGAAGAAAGTAGAGCATCTTTCAGGTTATTTATACCTTCAATACAGTTCCCACCTGGTAAACTTTCCGTGATTTCTGGTACCTCTAAAAGTGGGAAAACAAGTTTATTATCTGCATTGTTTAATGAGATGCATATGATAGCAGGTGAACAACTTCCTGTTTTACCTTCTCGATTTCTAGCATTCCAAGGGCGAAACCAGAGCCTTGCTCGTAATGGAGCATACTATCTACATAAAGTGGCGTATGTTGCGCAAACTGCATGGGTTACAAATGGTACTTTACGTGAAAACATCTTATTTACAGAGCCTTGGGATGATACAAGATATAGAACTGTACTCTATCAATGTGATCTTGTACGTGATTTATCATTATTTAGTAATGGAGATTTAACATTAACAAGAGATAAAGGTATTTCTACATCAGGTATGTATATAAATTTACCACTTTTATATATATATATATATATATATAATTAAAATATTATCTATTTGTACAGTATATATACAGAATAAAATATCATTAGCTCGTGCAGTCTATTCTAAAGCACAGACAGTTATCATTGATGATATATTTGTCACATTTGGCAGGTTAACCTCAACGTTTATCTATGAGAATTGTATTCGAGGTGAATTAATGAAAGGTCGAACAATAATTGTCTCGACTACATATCCAGACATGTTTTGGGCTCGTGACGCTCAGCTATTTATTTATATGGCATCACCAAATAAATACGAAGGACGAGTTGAAACAATTGAAACAGATCCAGAAAAAATTGTAGATTTTATTAAAAAAAGAAGAGCTGAGCAAAGTGATCAAAAGATACTGCCTGAATACAACTCTATACCAATACTAAACAACATTCATATTCCAATAGATGAAGTTAACTCCCTCTTTGAAAATATGAGTGTGGATGGTCTTAATGGTTCTTCTGCATTAGAGGAGGATGAATTTGTTGATGGAGTATCCAATATGCCAGAGTCATTAGAGGATGAGGAAGAGAAAGAGAAAGACGAAGCATGTAGGCGGGCAAGAGATTATGCTTATGCAACTTACTATTCTGTATGTGGAGGTTGGAAATATTGGATAACAGCTATTTTATTTACATTACTTCCAAGACTGATATACATTCTAGAAAATTTTTGGTTAAAGGAAGGTACTTGAACCATTTAAATCATTATATATATATATGTATATATGCACATGTATTCAAAACAGTATATCACACACATTCATACTTTTATTTTATTTTTTTTAATTATATTCCTTAATTTTAATATATTTTTTTTAATATACAGGTATGGTCCATGGCATCTTCAAATTATAATAATGATCAAAGCCAAGTTCAACTAAACATACTGGACATAAAGCAATATGAATTTACTTCACAACAACATTATATCCTTATTTATTTAGGATTATGTTTAGCTACAGTAATATGCAATTTCATTCGCACTATCATTCAGTATAGAGGATCACTTCGTGCCTCCAATAAGTTATTCTTGGGTCTCTTACAATCTATCTGCCATGCATCTCTACAATTCTTTGATATCACCTCAGTCAATCAAGTCATGGATAGACTTATAAAGGATATAAAAATAATTGATTCAGATATTGGATGGCATGTGCAATTCTTGCTTCAAATGATTTTTGGCGTATTTGGAGGTATATTAACAATCGGTATAATTCTTCCAGAGTTTTTTGTTGCAGGCTCTATAGCAGGTAATATATATTTATATGTATATGTATTTATAATAATTATAATTCTCCATTGGAAAAAAAATTAATCAACTTTACTTTTTTTTTTTTTTTTTTTTTTTTTTTTTGTAGCTATTTTGTATTTTTATATTGGTAGAATCTATATACGAGCATCAAAAAAACTTAAGAGGATAAATGTAGATGGACACTTAGCTATTATTCATTTGTTTATGGATACTTTAGAAGGACTAGTCACGATTCAAGCTTATAAAGAAGAAGACAACATGTTAAAAAAGATGTTTAATCATTTAGACGATCATATGCGGCAATTCTATATACTATGGAACACAAACAGGTAAATTAAAAAAAAAAAAAGGAGAGGAAGGGGAGCTTATTTATATACTTTGCCGACTGACAAATAATTATCATTATTGACTTTTCCCCTTTTCTTTAATATGGGGGGATAAAGATGGTTGTTTATTCGTGTAGAACTATTGGGAGCATTTCTATCATTGTTTTTAGCTATTTCCCTTGTTCAAAAATTAAATAGTATCGATGCTGGATCTGCAGGTATAACACTCACTTTTTCTACAACTCTATTAGAATATATTTACTGGTTAATGAGAGAGGGCACGACAATAGATACGCATTTTGAAGCAGTCGAACGTATAAATGATTATATTGATATTCCACGAGAGCCGCCCAGTATTGTAGAAGGCTCTAGACCACCAGCAGCAGTAAGTTTATTATTTTTATCTTCTTATCCTTCTAATTATTATTTTTTTTTATAATCTATGTATGCTATACATATAAAGTGGCCTAATCATGCTGCTATTCAAGCAAGAGACTTGGTCGTTATTTCTAAACATTCGGAAACAGATGCTATTTTAAAGCATGTTTCTTTCAATATATTTCCCGGAGAAAGGATAGCTCTGATAGGAAGAGCAGATGCAGAAAAGCATGCACTTGTTTCTTGTCTCCTTCGATTCACAGAACCTATAAGAGGATCTATTAAAATTGATGGTATAAATATAGCATGGGTATGTTATCAGGGGATCTTTGGTAAAAAAAAAAAATAAAAAAAAAAAATAAAAATCTTACTTTTATTTATATTATGTTGTTAGATAGGTGTAGAAGATCTAAGGTCACGTATCACCTTTATTAGTAAAGAGGGATGGCTTCTGAGTGGCACTACAAGGAGTAATTTAGATCCCTTTGAAGAATATGACGATTATGCATTATGGCAAGTATTACGTCGAGTTCATCTCGCAAAGCCTTTACATGCAAACAAAAACAACAATTTATATTCTAATGTGCGAACGATTGAGGATTTGGATAAAGATTTGGGTAAAGAAGGATGCTGTTTACCTGTTTTTGAAAGGCAATTATTATGTTTAGCGCGTGCCTTATTGCAGGATTGCACAAGACTAGTGATCTTTGAAGAAGCAAGTTTAAGCCCTGTAGCACAAGATATGGTTCGATCAGTAATTGATCAAGAGCTTGAGGAATCGGTAAGCTCTATTATATATAATGTATACGCACATGACTCATAATTGCATAATATAGACCATTATTATGATTCCATATATGCTCCGTGATGTTATTAAATATGATAGAGTTATGGTATTTGATCAAGGAAGCATAATTGAATTTGATTCACCTATTGAATTATTAAATAAGCAACAGGGACTATTACGATCACTCTGTGAAAAAGCTGGTATACTAGATTCACTTATTTTAGATATGGATAGTATTCCCGCATAATGATTTAAACTTCAACATAAATATACATGTGTATTAATATATATATATATATATGTATGTATGTATGTATGTATTTTTTTTATTTTAAACAAAGCATTTGTGAATATCCTTTAATAAATAAAAGAAGTTGTTGCTGAGTGCGCATATTATATAGTTTAAGTTGTAATATTCTTCAGTCATTTAAACATCGAACTCATCTCTTTCTTTTTTTTTTTTTGTTGATTTACATTAAATTATAGCATTGTTAAATAACTCATTTATTGCTTGCTAGCTTCAAGCTTGGCATAATAAGCATCACGCTTTTGAACATTGGGAATGTGATAAAGATTCCACCAAGCAGCACCGCCAGAAAAGCCAAGAACAAGAGAGATTGTAATGTCTTTAATAGCTTGTTTACGGAATTTACCAGTAATAGCACCAATCATTTCTTTATTGTAATTTAGTTAATATATGAAATAGAAAAGGGAAGGAAGTTAAATTTATTGTTTTTTTTAAAAAAAAAAAAGAAGGGGGTGGAGTAAACATAATTTAAATAGAGGCAGGAGCTTCTAAAAGATGACGTAAACCCCGCAAAATATTATTGAAATTTTGTCACCTGAGTTGATAAATGTCAAAATCCCATATTTTGATCCAATAACACGATTAAAAGAAGAATGACCACCGAGTACATATCAATTTTATTATACTTTATTGTCCTAGAGAGTCCCTAGAAAAAAAAAAGAGAAAAGGCAACAAAAGCCTCTTAGGAGCTAAGATGAAAAGAAATCAGAAGCAGTTTATGTTGAATAGAAATGATAATTCTGTATACTTCATTGAATAAAAATCTCATTTTATTTTACCTATAAGTTTGACATGATCTTTATTTGGCATACACTTATATTAGATAAAGGAGTTTATCATAGAGATATAGGGTCTACATTTTATATTCAATATTTTCTAACGCTAGTTTATGATACGTCATGCATTGAAGATAAAATCTACACGAAGCTTAATAATGTGTCTTTTGTGTTAATAATATTGTTTATTGTGATTGATCAGCTTAAATAACATAATGTTCAAAAACTTAACACAGGCAAACGATACTACACAATTAAGCATATCTAATTAGAATAGCTATGTATAACATGCATAAGCAATATTAGAAAAGATGAATTACATAATACAGGACAAACTATAAGCCTGAATATATAATAAAAGATATCATATCTTACTGTATATAACATCTTATAAATAATATAATATAACCCCTATTGGCATCCAATCATCTAAATGAGTCAACTAAATAAGATATCGTATCAGTTCTATCTATTTATTTTTATAGCCCTGATAAAGGATTCAAGTCGTTTTTGATCCACTATAGTAGACATAAGGAACATACACTCAGATCAAACAATTTAAAGCCTCAATCAGATCATTATAACACTCAGTAGATAATCCATAGATCAGTCCTTTGAATCAATAAGACGTGTAAATTTGAATACTAATACTGTTTCATGACTCATGTTCTTTGATTCAGAATTCATTAGCATAAATACAAGTAGTTGGTGTAGACACGAAATAGTCTTTATATCATTCTTTTTTACATTGAATAAACAAGTCTCAAACCATACGTCCTTTTGTTCTCTTTCTTTTCTTCTTTCTCTTTGCTCTTCTTTAAGCCATATCATCACATTTACCATGCACATTATTTGAACCCACATTACTGTTATATTTTTTGTCAATTATCCTCATATATGTGATAAACGACTTTAATGACTTTATTCAATATAGGATTATCCATATTAATTACATTCATTATACGGATTTTAGTTTCGTGCTGATTGGAGACTAGCAATTAAGAACTTTTCAAAAGCTTCAGCATCTGTCATATTAGAAACACTCAATTTTAATTTTTAGGGACTTATGTTTACATTAATCAGAAATAAATGATATTAGCTTTAACGTTAGAATTCGTTCTGAAAACATCAAAAATCAAAATTGCCTTTTTTTTTTTTTTTTTTTTTTTTTTTTTTGACTTAAAATACGCCCATAATTCTCATTTCAACGATATATAGCCTCAATCCATAGGTTCTTTGTCTTGTAGAATTCACTAAGGAAGTACCAAATTTGCCTGTTTGGTCATTGTCACAACTCCTAAAGTTTTTATAGCTCTCTACATATCTTACCCAACTACCAATGTTAAAAGGATTCATAGATCTTTTATCATTTTTATCAGTTTTGGCCACAAAATCAATATCCTTAATATCCTTCCTTATTATTAAAGTAGTTATTTTTAATATTGGATAGCTTATTTGATGTATCAGCTATAACAAGCCTGCCATCAGTTTCATGCTTTTTTTTTTTTTTTTTTTTTTTTTTTTTTTGCGCTATCGATCCTTCTTTGTGTCCTCATCATTAAAAATTTACTATTTATTTTATATTGTTGTTGTTGTTTTTTAATTCGTTACATTTAACAACGTCTTCTTGGTTTGTCAATTCTTTACGTATTCTTTCTTCTATTTCAAGTCTTTGAGTATAACCACACCAGTAGTTTATACTATTTCCTTACTGTTACATATTATAATTTACAAGTATTCTGTAACCGCAACAAGTATGACAGTGGTTCTAAATAAATAATGTGTAATTTTTTATAGCAATTGTACTACACAATACGTATTAACTTTAGAGCCCATCCTCCCTTTTTCATTTTTTTTTATTTTATATGAGAAAAAAAATTATTGAAGAGGAAGTCCTTTTATAGTGTAGAGGTGGATTAGATTCTGTTCTTGTTTGCTTCTACTACAGCCGTGTTACTCCCAGGAATGCCCTCAATGCTGCGGGCTTTCCTCTCTTGCATGGTAGGAAATTACCCCGCGATTTAACAACATCTTTTTATCGACCTCCATTTGAAGGCCTGGTGTTGAACATTGGATCCTGGAAGGTAGCATGTTATCATTAAAGCTCAGAACTAACCCCGATTTTATTATTTAATCACTCCCATCTACAGCTAACAAAGTTCATCTCTCCATGATCGCCGCTTGGCCAACAGAAAGGCGCTGCCCTTTCCGATCAAGTTGTTTTATTTACCTCAATTTTTTTCTTTATAAACCCAAGATTTTAGGTATAGTTGCCGAATTGTGGTATTCAAAAAAAAATAAAAATAAAAAATATTTCCCTTTTATGCATGCATATGCTATAATCTTATATCATCAAACAATTTTTTTTTAATAAGAATTCAACGATCGTCGAAATAAATAGGCATAGTCAGAGTCACTTACTCTTCCTTTATTAAATATTTAGATTTAAAGTACCTGGACAAATAGTATAAAGGAATGCGGCTTCAACTTATTTATGTATTATACTTCCTCATGTTTTATAAACTTAAGGAAGTTGGTACACTCTACTGACAATACTAAGTGGGATTACTCTGTCGTAACTAATACTTTTCTAATGCCTCTCTGACCATAGATATTCTTATATGAACACCTAACTGTTAAAACTATAGATGAAACTGTTGTATTACTTGTAAAATATCAAATAAAAATAATATAAAGACAAAAGAAAGTCAAGGAGAGCGAACAATAGTTCTAAAGTTAATATTTTTTATTTAGCTATTTGTAAGAATTGTTAAAGAAGTCTGACATAAGATGTGAATCAGAAAAGTGTTAGTTACTACCGAATAAGATATGTTGTAGATAATGAAGTGTTGGAAGTTTTTAATATTATTTGATAAAGTGGATCAAGAGAGATTCAGGGGAATCTAGATAGAATTCCTTGATCCGCTTGTTTAATCAAGGTACATGTCATTATAAGTCAGCTCATGACAAAATGTATAAATGCAGACAATTTTTTATTTTTTTAAAAGAAAGAAACAAGATGTACACTACCGCTGTTGAAAGGGTCTATTCTCTCAAAAGGATTAACCACGAACGATATTTGCTAGTTGGCTAACTTCATGCGTCCATTTCATACAATGATTAGTCATCTTATCAGCTTAAGTATAACACGTTGTATTTAAATTGATTTCTGGCATATTGTTTGGATCAAACATACTTGAAGCAGTATCACTAGAACCAAAGAAACCGCTCATTATTAAATCATTTAAAAGTTTTATATGAATGGAACTTTAAAAAAAAGGAAATATGTGTATATAAAAGGAATATGAAAAGGAAAGAATAAATAAAAATGAAGAAAAGTGGAATTTAAAAGACTCCTCTTTTTCTAATAGCACACAATATCTTTAATATTCGTTTAAAATTGAATTTTTATTATTATTATTATGATTTTTTTTTTGACTAAATGAGAACATAGAATTTTTCATCTGCTGTATTGCCCTAGTCAGTTCTAATAGTATATAAGTAAGAAAAACCCTCTTTTGAGACAAAAGGGAAAAGGATAAAAGTATATGTGTAAAAGGGTAAAATAAATATAACGAGTTAGACAGAAATAAAGTGATTGGAAAAAAAAAGATCAGTAAGATAAAATTCAGAGACAGTACAAGGATATTAGCACTGTTAGTTGAGTAACTATTTCACCAGTAGTGAATTAGGTTCTGAGGGAGGATTTGGAGGTAGCTTTTCATGAAAGAGGTAATCTATTTCATGTAGAGTGATACAAATAGCTGGCCAACGGATTGTCCAAGGAGCTACATCCTGTGAGCGTTTTAGTTATTTAGTAGGTAGTTGGTTTAACAGGAAGGAGACTAGATCTGTGATCGTTCTTGGCATTTGGAGTCGATGGTGCATATGTAGACATTCAATCGAATGAGTACGACTGAACGTTTGAGAAGGATGATAGGGACCTGGACGAGGTATAGCGCCAGGTAGCCAGCCGAGGCGCCAGCGGAGGACTTGGCTTCTTTCGGTATTCGTCATGGGCAGCCAAAGAATTGGATCGATGATCATATTAGGACGACATGCACGAATCAGCTTAGAATTTAAACCCTGACAGAGGTTTTCATATTGAGTTTTTTGAAAACGCAGACGGAGCCGTTTGAAAACCTTTCTATCAAGTTCGTCCAAGATAGGGGCACATTCTCTCCAGAGTGGGTTGACTGTTAGTTTATACCATTGAGAATGGCTGCTGGACATTTGAAGATGAGGTAGAAGTTTGTTCAGTAATGTATCGTCGGGTAGTTTCATTGATCGAATAAGGTATTTGGCTTGCAGAATAGTAGCTCGGGTCATCATTGAAGGTTGTTGTACTAGATGCAGCATTACTTTGGTTGATGATCTAGCAGAACCACCAAAAATACGTCCAATACATTCATTTTGACAGGCTTCAAGTTTTGTAAAGTGACGATTATTTAAGGCGCAGATAGCAAGACCATATTCCATTTGTGATCGTATCATTTGGCTGTAGAAACGTGCTGAGAGTAAGCGGTCAAACCCCTTTGGGATTGACTCCAAGAGAGGAAATTTGATTCATAGAGGATCTAGCTTTTTAGCGTTGAGATTGATGAGGGGAGCTGTGTCAATAAGTCCACCAGGTTTGATTGGAATTCCAAGATAGTTGAATGATGCTTCACTCGGTAGGGGCGTACCATAGAGGTAATATGACTGTTCATCGGAGGGCGGTTTAACAACAACACATTTTGACGGGCTCCATCGGTAGCCTAGGCGGTAGCTATGGTCTTCACAAATTCGTAGTAATGAGGACGTTACAGTAGCTGAGACTACTAACACTACATTGTCGGCGTAAAGCAAGAAGGTACTTACTGGAGCAAATTGAGTAGCATCTTGAAGATCATCTAAAGCAGGTGATTGAGATCTAAGCAGGGCTGGTAACTCGTTGATATAAATGGAGCATAAAAATGGTGATAGGATAGAACCTAGTAATATACCAGTAATTGGGGTGAAGCGAGGGGAGGCCATGTTGTTCAGCAGGACTTCAATGTGGGCATCATCAAATAAGCTTTGAAGTATACCAAGCATTGCAGGTTGTACGAACGGTTGCAGTTTTTGCCACATGTGAGATCGATCTACTATATCGTATGCCGATTTGATATCAAGAAAAATCAGCATCGGTTTGAAGCGATGGTATTAACGTAGGATATGATAGAGTTCTATGAGGCATAAGACCTGGTCAAGAGAGCTACGAGCTTCACGAAAACCTCCTTTTGTGACAAATTTACCGTATTTTACTCTAAAATTCGACGATTTCAAAAAATTTATTGGATAATATTGATTTCGTTTTGGACGTTTTTATTTCTTTTTTGGAAAAGTTCAAAAACTAAATTTGACACTTTTGCCTCTACAGATCAGACCTTTTCAAACACTTTCTAGACTGAATTAACTGCTTCGTAGAAAGTACTTTTATTAATTTGTAGTCATTTAAGATACTGTTGATGGATGTTGACTTTTTTTTTTGTTCAGCCGTAAACACTTCGTAATGTACCAGGCTTAATACTTGATTCTTGTTATGCATATAACTTTCATTACTGTAAAAATCATTTAAACGACTAGAGCAGTTGTAATCTGTAGAAAATTGAAAAAGCTTTACTTTAACCTTTAGCGATTACATCTTAGACCTCATCCTTAAGCATTTAATTTTTAATTTAATTTTTATTTTAATTTTTAACTTAATTTTTAGTTTTCATAATTCAGTCAAGGAAATTAAATAGTTTGCTTTATTTAATACGATGATTCAGCTTTTCTCTTTTTTGATATTTTTTCTAAAAATAAGTTCCTCCCAGACTCTACAAGTTACTACACCTTCTTCAGATTTAATATTACATAAAGCTTGTATTATGTTTGTTTCTAATTCAGGATCAATTGTTTTATGACTGTTAGTCTTTATTTCCTCTTGCTGTTCTTCGTCTGCAGAGCTGTCTGACCGAAAGTATAGTTCATTGTCAGAGGAAAAATACATTTTTTCAAGCTCATGGGCGTATTTAGCTTCCAGGATTGTATTAAGCTTGGTGTAGTTTAAATACACCAATCGCCTTAAAGATAAAACGGCCGCTAAAACATGAGCAAATGATGCTGTGTGATTTTCATTTTTGGGTACTGAAAAAGTGTCTTTCCTGTATGTGATCAAGTGATTTTTTGAAACGAATCGTGTACCATATACTGTAAGTTTTAATCCTTACCATTGGCATGTAATAGCCTCAAGCTGTTTCATGATTTCTGTACTTCCAAGACGGCTAGTCCATTTCCTTAGCATAGCCTTCTGTAATGCTTTTCCTTCTTCATATCGCTTCTCACACCTTTTAAATTTGGTTTTTCTTCTGTCGAGAGATAGTCATTATCGTCATTGATATTTCTTAAAATGAAATCTACCCGTTGATTGTCGACATCTTCAAATTCTTTGGTGATATTGGAGTAGCAGTCTGTTCTTTTCGTAGTGAATTTATCATCGTATATAAATGCATTATCGAAAACAGCTGAGTAAACATGAATACGGAACCACGATTCATTATGATCTGCTTTCAATAAAAGAGATGAAGACCAGAGTTCTGCCACTGTAGCAAAAGCAAGTCTAATATATCGGCAAAGGGGATCCATATTTTTTTGAGCGTAAAAACTCGCCAGCAAACTGTCAGTGTCCATTCGACTCTTGCATTCAGCTATATTCATTAACATTTCTCTTTCTTTTTTCGTTATCATAGGCTGTAAGTTTAATTTTAAATCAGCAATGCTTTCTTTAAGGTACCGTTTGAACCGGTTTGCAACCTTGTCCTCCATCAAATCCAAACATCCATCTACACCAAATTTGTCAGAGAAAAATCTCATTCTTTCATTAGGAGACAGATTGTCTAAAATATTACTGATTGAGGCTTGAGTAGCTTGTTGATCTTGTAGACCTTGATTTTGTTGGGTTCTGTTTATAACAGCTTCATCCAAAAACTGACTGGCATATCTAGCTACATTCAACAACTTCTTAATTGGCGTTGAGGTGCAGATTTTATGAATAGAATGCTGCAATGATTCAATTTTCTCTTTGTCTTCAGTATTACAATTGGTAATTCGATCTTGGTATTTGTTCAGACATTCTTTTAAATATATTCTGCCTAATTTTTCCAAGTTGATATTCGTAGGCTCAATAACAAGTCCCTTATCAACAAGTGCTTTCAAAGCAGCTTCATATTTCCATTCAGAAATAGTGTGCTTTTCTAAGTAATCATCAACAATTTCACAAATTTTTTTGTTGTCTTCCTCTAAGCTCAAAGTAAGGTTGCTGGCCATTTTTGCTGCAAAAGAGTGAAAAAAAAAAAAAAAAAAAAATACAGTGCGTCCGCCGTCAATTGGATAAATTTTTGAGATTTATTTGATCATTTTATCTGAGGTATATTTTGTTATACCATTATCGCATTGCGAGATTCTTTTTCGAATGAGCAAGGATATTTTTTATGAAGATGGTGCTGGTAGCCTCATTGATGAACAAGGCGAGCAAGCAAAAACATTTCTTGAAGAAAAGTCGTTTCGTTTGAAAAGATTAACAGATCTCCGAAAATACATTAAGAATAAGGATCTCCGATTTGAAACGATCAGTTAAGACGATGCAGTCATGAAAGAGGCTAGTCCAAAGAAAGAAAGACCTCTTGAGTATAACGTTTATACAATGGAATACCGTAGACGTTACTTATATTATTTAAAAGAAAAACGCATGAAACCAAAAGATGCAGCCATAGCCGCAAATGGAAAAAGGCTTATGAAGATGATTTGGAAAGGAAGATTCCTATCAAAAAGACGAACCTGAATCCCAACAGACCAGTCAGTCAACTGAACAAAGCTCATAAAGTCTATCTAACCAGTTTTTTTTTTTTTTTTTGATGATGACTCAACTGCAACAATCCAGGACGCATTTGAAAGCTTGATAGCCAACTTTGCTGGCTTACAAATAAAAAAAACAAGAGTAGCCGAGTTCATGAAGGAAGAATGTAATCTCAGCATCAAACTTATTAACCGACACCCTCTTGCCAGAAACGAAGATAAAAATCTGAAAGCTTGTGCTGAATGGGTTGAGAAATTGATCAACAATGGCGTCAATTATCTCGACACTTGTATATTCGTTGATGAGTCTGGGTTTGATATTAATACGCGATGTAGTCGTGGTTAGTCACAGCGCAGTACAAAAGCAATTACCACAACCCCTTCAACCAAGGCTACCTCATATACTGTTCTTGGTACAATATCGGCTAATGGTGTTGTCAATGTGAGTATGCGAGAATCTGGAAATGTTAAGAGAAGGAAAGTTGTAGGGGCCAAAAAAAAGAAAGGCTCCTGAAGATAAATTAACTATTCCCAGTGGCGCTACTGGTGATCATTATCTTTTGTTTCTTAACGATACTATGGATATTATAGATGAGTTCCCAGAAATGAAAGGATTTTTTATTGTTATGGACAATGCTCCAATCCATGTTCCTGCTATGTTTAACCCTGTAATTGTAAGTCGGGGCTATAAGACATTATACCTTCCTCCCTACTCGTCCAAACTCAACCCAATAGAACAATTTTAGGCCATTCTTAAGGGAAAAGTAAAGCGAAGTAAACTTAATGATGTTGAACCGTTTACTTCAAGAATTATTGAGGCTAGTGAAGAAGTACCTGTTGAGCATCTTCGAAATATTATTCAACATTCCGTAAACCAGTTTAGCAATTGCTTAAGTAAGGTTTCTCTATAACTTTCCCTTAACATTATTTAAGGTATAATAATTTTTTAAAAAAAAAAAAAAGAAAAAGAAAAAGAAAAGAAAAAAGAAAAAAAAGATCAATTGAATTTAAATAAAATGACCAACTAAATTTCAAAAAAATGGGCTCATCTTAGTTAATTTAAAAAAAAAAATAATTTGATTGTAAAGGAAGAATAATAATCATGATAATTTGTCTGATAGGATATTAGTCAATAGTTTACATAATCACTACTACACCACATTTATTAAAGTCAATTTGGAGCAAAAAGATATTTTATTATACAATCAATAGTAAATATATTTTCTTAGAGAAAAAAGAAAAGGCACAAGATTATTAAAAGACGCGTAAAAAAAAAAGAGATATTTATTTATTTTTATTTTCATTTTTATTTCATATAAAAAAAGTGAATCCCCAATTCGTCAACAGTAAAAATAATAATATTTACTGCAGTCCAAAGGTGGCCGCGTGGAGGCTAGGATTCGTTGCACCTTCTTTGTTCTTGTATTTTTTATTTTTACTAGGAGGTTAGAAAAAACCCATAGCTATCACAATATGTAACGCCCTCTGAATCAACAAGATACCCTACAATGTCCTCCTAATTCAAGGAGGGCAAGATAGGGTGTCTTGTTGATTCAGAAGGCGTTACATAAGTGATAACCATGAGAAAAAGAATTTCCTCCTAGGGCAGGGAAGAAGAAGAAGAATAAAATAGTATTATTTAATGACTTACCTACAAAAGAAATAGTAATAATAAAGAAGAAAAAGAAGAAAAAATAACTTTGAATATCTACTTTTTTATAAGAATAAGGAGGTCGTTGTTGTAAATTACAGTCACAATCATATGAAATCGATAAGAATATGTGTTACCCCACATTTAATACACACAGTTACATTATTTAATTTTCTTTATTTCTTATAAAAAGTAACGATGTGTAGAATAGTAAAATGTTGTCAATTTTATATCTTCTTTATGACTATATGAAATGTGTTTATGCTAAAGAAAAGAAAAGTAAGTAAAATAAATGTCTTTTGTTTTCACTTTTTTGTTTATATTCTCATAAACTTTCTTTTTTCCTATTTAGGCAACTAATATGCATCTCATTTGTACAAAATACTACTATTTTCCAACAAAGGGTGTTTAATAGTCTAGTCTCCCTTATGTTGTGCTTAAAATCATTCTTTTACTCACATACATCGTTTGCGAAAATGATGTTGTAAAGATTAACAATTTTAGCTTCTTTGATGCATGCTATGAAAACCAGTTTAAGTATCTTTGACTTGCATTCACAGTAATATTTTCCACCCCCTTTTAAATACTAAGATATATTATAAATAATGAATTCCTTGATCCGCTTGTTTAATCAGCTCATGACATCAAGTCTTGAAAAAGCCCGTCAATTAGGTAAACAAATAATGTGGTGTAGTTAGGTGTTTGGGAGCATAATCCTTCAGCTATTAACTTTTATACACGTCAAGGTTTCTATAAAGTGGGAAGCCATACATTCAAATTAGGTTCACAAAAAGATACAGATTATATTATGATCAAGACACTTTAGATTTGCTGTAATATTATTATTAATAAATATTAGATTTTTAACGTACATTAAAATGAATTGGGTCTATTCCAATGATTACAATGGCTGTAAAGGAATCTTATAAAGACTAAAAGGGAGATAAGAAAAATGATATATAACATGTTATTATATACCAAATATAAAGGAGGAAATGCATTTCTTTTTTTAAATCTCTACTGTTGCTACATTTCAGCTCAGAAACAGTATAATCATCTCTTTTTTGTAACAAAGATATCAATTAGAATAGTTTGTTCTGATGATGCCTATTTTTTCTTTAAAAAAAATAATAATCCATAGCAATAATGTTCATATTACTGCTGTCTTTTCATCAGAGCTATTTTCACTGTATAATTTACGGCTTTTGAAATATAATTCTTGACCTCTTTTGGCCTTCAGGTTTGTAGGCATTGACAAGTATTTGACAATATACTACACAGCACAAGGGGATTTATTAGGTAATTCATTTCAACTTTTTTTTTTTTTTTGGAAAAATAGTTAAATAAAGTTAAGGAATCATTTAATACTATACTAATTATCTAAATAGAAGCATGATATATATTATAAACTAATTCTGATATCCTTTTTTTTTAATTGATTAAATATATGGAAGAAGGAGGAACTTATTTGATACCAAATCTTGATAATATATAAATGAGTGGTAAAAATATAAAAATATTACCAACTAAGGTCTTAAAGCCAACGAGTCAGTTATACAAAATACTCAATAGCATAATAGATACTGTAAATATAATCTTTATTTTAACATGTATTAACAAAGTTATTTTCTTAAAGGATTTAATGATTTTAAAAGCTGTAATAAGAACTTTTCACGCTTTTCCTTAGCTACAATAGGATTACGCTCCTTAAAATCTACAGGAGGTCTCAACAGCACAGTAAATAACTCCACTAAAGTAAATCAATTAGTGATATTATCGTTATACACATTATAATTCTTTACAATACCTATTCTACTTTCCCTTTCTTTTTTAACCGAGTCTGGAGCATTGTCAATAGCCTGTTTCAAGAACATACCAATATACAAAAACACATTAAAATGATATAACGGTAGTGTATTCTTGAACTAAAGTTATAGGTTAGTAAATTTAATCTACTCAACTAATAAAACTCACATTATTTATGGCCTCTACTGATTCAGAAGCATCTAAGGCACGCTCATATAAATAGGTAGGAACAACAGATTCAGGAAGGCATTCAAGAAATGCAACCAGAACATCGACCATAGAGTTAGCACTAATCGCTTCCTTTGCACGCTTACTATCATCATCATTCATTGTCAACTCAGAAAGGGTACTATTAAGTTGAGAAAGATTGTCCTCAACAGAAGGTTCACCACCCAATAGAATATTCGTATCAAACTGTTGTCCGTTATCAAGACATTCTCGAATATAAGTAGAGACGATTAAATCGCCATGTTCGAGAAATAAAGATTTCTAAACAAAATATATTAGATACAAACGTTATTATTAAATATAGTTACTTGCAATAAAAAACATATTTGGGTTCCATAAGAAATTTAAAATCTTCCATAATTGTTGTGGTAAATCAATTTGATTAAGTAATGAACTAAGTTCTGGAGAATTTGTATTCTTATTAGCTGTCGTGATTTTTGCTCTTTCTAAATTTTTTGCAGTTGTTTCATTGATAGGTATTGACATTTTCGATAATTCTTCAAGAGGTGTGCCAAAACAAGTCTTGATGTATTCACCCGTAATAGAGATAAAGAAATCTTTACTATTCTCAAGTCGAAGGATGAGGATATCATCAATTATTTGATCACCACGATTAAAAGGTGCTGAAATAGTGGGATCAATGGTTATTTCGAACCGAATGACCACCTTTTCACCAGGCGCAACTACACCAGAAATGGGTGTTACTTGAAGCCATGATGGTAAAATAATACCTGTATCATCTTTTGGTAGAAATTTAAAGACGGTCAGGACTTGTCCTGTATTTTCTAAAATAATATTTTTTTCCTTATATTCCATAAAATGTACATTTCCAAAATCAACGTACGATGAAGATATTTTTCCACGTGGTTGCTCATCTTGGCTATCTATCAATTGTTTAACTAAACTATCTACCGTTTTTTCCTGCTGTTGACTGTTAATCTTTCTTATATTTAATTCGATTAAAGCTCTAACAGGCTTATGATCACTCATCATCATTTCCATACAGTCAGCATAACTTAATAACTTCAGATTTTGTTTGTCTATATCTTTTCGCTCTTTCTTCCATAAAATTCGATCTGTCCACGATGGTGCACGTCGTTTTTCACTACAAAAGACGATAATTAAGACTATTTTTTAACATCACACACACACATATATATATATACTACCTAGTATCATATTGATTTGTGCCTGCATCATATTTATATGTCGGTGGAAACGTGATTTGACCCTCCTCAAACATTGGGAAAGTCCTACCAGCTTTACGCTCTATAGATAATTGATCATAATCTAAAAGCACATCCAGTTTATCTTGCCGAATATAATTTTTGATAATGGCTTCGTTTAAATTAATTCGATAATTCAAATCACCACACCAAATCAAAAAACTATAATAATATGCATTTATTAATACTAAGCCAATTTATCTTGGTAAATAAAACTTACTCATTATGAAATATCGATGCGTCAGTTGACCAATTACGTATAACATTATTACTTTCTAAAAACGACACTCCTTCATCACCACCATCATTCCAAGAATATGATATGTACTCTGTAATAGGGTCATGTTGATAGGGAAATACTAGTCTTTTAGTAATTTCTGTAAAATCTTGATTTCTTTTCTCTGTTCTATCTGTAAATGCAGCCAGATGACTAGTAACAAAGCATAAATAGCTATCATAAAATCTAAATCGAACTGAAATGCCTCCTTTATTTCCCTATTATATAACTGTTATTATTCAACGTCTTTCCAAAATATACATATATGTTGAATCATTATACCATCATGTTCATCAAGCCAACACCGGCATATGTGCTCGTCACTTCTGAAATAAATGGTTTATGTTTTTTCTTTGCGATAATGACAATTAGCATAGTAACAAGCTGTTTAGATTCTACTTTATAATAATCTTCGCCATTGTTTTTTAATGAATCAATAATCCCTTTAACCCAGGCATTTTCCTTTGTAGGATCGTATCGAATATATGCTTCTGTATTAGTTTCCATTTCTTGAAGTCTAACCAGAAATATATATATATATATATTAAAAAAAATGTTTGTATCGCTTAGGCTATAAGAACTTACCCAATTACATAAAAGTCTGGGTCAATAGTGGTACCATCATCAGTGGTTAAAGTTCCCTGTAACCAATCTTTTAGTGACGGAGTAGGTAAACTACCATGAACATTCCATGTACCCACAAAGACACTATATAAATATAGACAATGAGATTAAGATCGACAATATATATTTTTGTATGTATATAAATATATATATATATATAACTACACCTACTGTGTCCTTTGCCAGTTTACAAATTCATCCTCCTTTTTTATCAATTGTGCATTAATCCAATGATTTTTGGCATCTTCAAACGTAATTTTACGTGCCTTTGGGGCATTAATAGTTCTAGTGCGCTTTAGATTAATTTTTGCAATTGTCTCTGCTCTCTGTATTGGTAATACATATCGTAAGGTATTTGCTGGATCATTTATATCATCTCTAACAGGTACAGAATTAGATCTGACTGGCTTTTTTTTCTGCGATTCAGTAGCTATAAAATACAAATAGCATCTAATATACCTTTTTTTCCTTTCTGTTGTATGAACTTACCGCCAAGCTTAGAATATACTTTAACCCATTCATGCGATTGATCACTTTTGGAACTCAAATGATTTGCTTCTACATAATATAATATTATTCAATACACAAAATAGAATATACGGAATATAAATATATACATAATACACACCAGCGATTGATTTTAATTGTTTTACTTTATTCAATATTTCTGACATATTATTCTTCTCGAGAAAAATGACACTTGCCAAGCTTTGATTTACAGAGAACGTAACTAGAAGGTCTTGGTAACATTTTAACAATAAGTGATACGAATTATTATTATTATTATTTTTAGATTACTTACCTGATTTATGATTTGTAAAGTTGGATTGCACTATGACAAGAAGAAAAGTGTTTAAAATCACTTTTTTTGCATAATTCAAAATTCTCGCTTACCTATGTCTATTTTTAAGTCTGAATATATAGGAATAACCTCTAATACAATAGGTGGCATAGAAGGTATCTGAGATTCTTCAAAAAAAATCAAGCTATTTCAGCTTTATTAGCTGACTGTTTAAAAATATTTACTATGTATTTTTTTTGTCTACCATGCTTCTTCTCCTACTGGGGTTTCATCGGTATTATGTAATACTACAGCAAGTAAACCATTTACACATTTTGAAGCATCTCGAACTACTTTAACTTCAACGCAGTAATTATAATAAACGAAAGTTAAGGAAACAAGTATAAGCATAAGATATATATATACATATATATATATAGTCTGAACACGAGATGACTTTCCCTCCCCTCTCCCACTTTATTGTTTTAAAACAATAAAACTTAAAAAAAAAAGGATATGAATTCAGCTTTGTCTGGAGGAATGACTAAACCATCTACTACACTTTGTTTCTTTTTTTGACCCATAATCACTACAAATAATAACTATATTTTGTTTATATTTATATGTGTATATAAAAGGTGTATGACTTGTATTATCGAAAATAATAATAATAATAAAAAAAAAGAATGGTTTCTATAACATTACTTAAATTTTCTTTTCATAGTCAAAAATAGGCAACTGGATATTTATTTAACCGACGTCATTATGATAAAGTAATAATGGCTACAAGTAAAATCAATTATAAAATGATCTATTACTTAATATAATAAAATTCTCAAAGGTGTTGTCATTTGTTTTAAACTGTTCTTTATTATTTATTTATTTATTTTTTTATTCTATTCGCATTTTCAAACTGGTCTTACAGATGTTTAATCATCAAATGTTATATACAATTAAATCCATTTCTAATGAAAAAAAAAAAAAAAAAAAAGGCAAAAGTAACATCAATCTAACTGCCCCAGCAATCTTTCACACTTTGTTCACAGAAAAAGGGATTAAATAAAGTTGGTTCCTCTGAGTGAGTGACTCAGTTTTAATATCCTCAACTTTTAAAGCGCGTTCAAATAATTTTTTTTTTTTTTCATTCTTTTTATTTATTTATTTTTTTTTTTTTTTTTTTTTTTTTTTTTAGTTAACTGATTGCTTTACTCATAGAACAATGTCAATTGCTCTTCAGGAGGAAAATTTTGTTGTCATTAATGTCGGATCTTCTACCACAACAGCTGGAATTGGGATGCATGATACGAATAAACCTCCTTCAGTGGTAAGCATGTGCCATAATCCTTTCTTAATCAGTACTCATTGAATATTATAGAGTGTTAACATGGCAGATTATAATTATCCAATTAAAAACAACACGATCGTCAATTGGAAAGACCTTGAAGAATGCTGGCATCATATTTTATTTAAAGAACTCAACATTAAGAAATCACGTAATGAAAGTCCTGTTTTACTTACAGTACCTGTTCAATGGACAAAATTAGAACATGAACGCATTACCCAAATATTTTTCGAAAACTTCAATGTACCTGGTATTTATATTGCACCCCAACCCCTTTTGACTCTATTTGGTTGTGGTGCTGTGTCTGGTATTGTTATTGATATTGGAAGTGAAATCACAGGTAAAATAGGATAAATGGTTATATCAAACACACTCACTTAATGTCATTTAGATGTCAATGTTGTTGTCGATAGTAACGTTCAATCTCAATCTAGCTTTACTGTCCCCATTGGAGGAAATCATTTTGATAAATATTTGCTTGAATTAATGAATAAAGATAGTAAACTCGTTGAACAATTTACAGCTATATCCGATGTAGAATTAGACATTGAATTCGCTAAATTCATTCGTGAATCACCAGGATTATATAATGTTTCTATTGGTCATGAATTAAACGAAAATAAGGTAATAGCTGAATTATCAAATGCCATGGAAGAATTGCCTATTGAATCGACAGAAGAGCTTTTGGATGAAGACAATCCTAAGAAAGTAGATGAGGAAGAGGTTGGAGATATGCCTGAAAATATTGAAGTCGAATATAAAGGACATAAATTTACGATTGGATCTTATCGTCATCAAATGTCTGATCCCTTATTTTTGCCAGAATTAGTTAATGTGAATAGTTTATCACTTTCAGAAGCAATGCGATTAGCCATCATGAATTGTGAGCCACCTGAGATTAGACCCAAAATTTGGGAAAATATTGTTATTGCTGGAGGTTGCTGTAGGATGCCAGGAATAGCAAAACGTATTAAATCAGAAGTTCAACTGTTTTTACCTCAATCAGATAATGCAGGCGATACACAACCTCGTCAATTAAACTTTTTACGAATTCCTGATTACTTTACCGTACTTAAAGAGAAACAATATCAGCAATATTCAACATGGCTAGGTGCAGAAATTGTTGCTAAGGTAAATAGCTAAATAAAGTCCATGACTATTAATATATTAACTTAATTTATAGCTTGTATTTATGGATGCAAAAAATTACATTAGTAAAGTAGACTATAATGAATCTGGTCCCTCTGTTGTTCATACCAAAACTTACTAAACTCTATAATATATCATCATTGACCAGCTAAAAAAAAAGAATAAATAAGTTTTTATTTTTTTTTTTCTTTTATTCTAATTCTAATAAAAAAAAAAAAGAAAGAAAGAAAGATAAAATGAGAGAGAAAATTATGTGTATATAAACAAAAGGAGTATATGTTATAGATATATAAATCAAACAAGGTCAATTGCACTTTCAATTTCATCATTATGCACAATACGATAACTGATATGTGGTCCAGAGGTTCTAGCAAGTCCTAATCCTTTATGACGCAACATCTTTTTAACTTCATCTACCCAAAATACAGTAGATGTTATCAGAATAATCTTGCTTAATTCATAAAATGAAAGAGGTTCTGTTTGGAAAATGGCTTGGAAAAAGGGTACATAGACAACGAGCATTTGGGCGATAATAGATCCACCTACAGCTATATTAAACATTCTATTGGTAAAGAATCCTAAACTAAAGATTGACTGTTTTTCTGATCTACAAGCCAAAGCATTAAACATATCAAAAAATACAAACGTAGTAAATGTCTATATATACAACATAAGCATAATAATACACACATAAAAAAAACCATTCAATAGATAGCTTACCATAGTAGCATCTTTGTTAGTCACTACACCATCTGACATTTCAGACATATAAACAAATAGAGTGCCCAAAGTTACGATTACTGCAGCAGTCAATACACGAGTAAGTAAAGGCTTGGTTAAAATGTTTGCATTACGTGATCTTGGTGGTTTCTTCATAATTTCAGGATCAACAGGCTCAACACCTAATGATTGAGCAGGAGGTCCATCCATAATGATATCTAATAATAAAAATATACAAATATAGATAAATATTATATTATATATATGTATATATATATATATATAAAACATACTAATCCATAAAATCTGCATAGCGTTTAATGGAGTCTTTAATCCGAACAATGTAGAAATAGCAATTATTGAGAGAGCAGAAATACTTGTGCTCAACTGGAATGTTAAGAAATTTTGAATATTGTAAAAGATAGCCTTGCCTTCTTCTATAGCATGAAGGATAGTTGAAAAGTCATCATCGACTAAAATCATATCAGCTGCTTCCTTTGAGACATCAGTTCCACTTTTACCCATAGAAATACCAATATCAGCCATTTTTAAGGCAGGTGCATCATTTACACCATCGCCAGTCATAGCAACCACAGCTCCAGTTTCTTGGAATGCACGTACGATAGCTAATTTATGTTTAGGCGTAGTACGAGCAAAGACAGAAACAGAATGAATCATTTCTTGTAGTTGACGTTCAGACATAATTTCAATATCATGACCAGTGATACAACTTCCTTTCATATTAATTGGAATACCGAGACGACGTGCAATAGATATAGCAGTAGCTTCAGAATCACCTGTGATCATCACTACCTTGACACCACCTTGAATTAGTTTTTTAATTCCTTCTCCAACACCAGGACGAGGAGGATCGTGGACAGCTAAAAACCCAGTATAGCACATACTATTCTCATTTTCACCAAAAGCTGTACTAAGTACGCGAAGACCATGAGAACTCATAGCGGCAACATGTTGATTAATTGTTTCCTTCATACTAGGAGTAAAAGGTAATCGAGTTTTGTTTGATGTATAATAGGTTGCACATTTATCTATAATAACTTCAGTTGCACCTTTCATATATATCATACCAGCAGATGTTTTATTAGTGCTTTCACGACATGTCACAGACATGTATTTCACATCAGAATCAAAAGGTATTTCTGAAAGACGATCATAGTGCTATAAATATTGAGTAAATATAAGTTTTCTTGTTTTCTTGTTTTTTTTAAAAAAAAAGTGAATAAATTACTTACTATACGTTCATCTTTCATACCAGTACGAAAAACAACGTCTAATAAAGCCATCTCAGTAGGCTGACCAAATAATTTACCGTTTTCGCCTACTTGCGCATTATTACACAGATTACCTAATAGAATACAAAATTAATTTATAATGTTGATCCCTTAAATTTTGTGACGTTTACCAATTAGTAATGTTTGGCGTAAAGCTTCAGGTATTTGTCGAGGTACTTTATATTCATAATCAAATGTTTCTTGATTTTCAGCAGTAAAAATTTTTGTCACGGTCATTTGGTTGACAGTCAAAGTACCTGTTTTATCAGCACAAACGACATTGACACTACCTAATGTTTCAACTGAGGGTAATTGTTTTACTATAGCTTTACGATTAGCCATACGAAGAACACCTAATGCAAGTGTAACTGTGACAACGATAGGTAAACCTTCTGGGATAGCAGCTACAGCAAGACTGACTATAATGGAAAATAAATTATTATTTTTGACTATTGTTATAGAGTCTTAAACTTACCACCAATCGTAAACATATCTAACCAACTACGCCTTTGAACAATACCAATTAACACAATTACACCAATAACAGCAAAGGAAAACATTGAAAGTTGTTTCCCCAAATCATTCATACTAATTTGAAGCGGTGTCTTTCTAACCTCAACCTATTTAAAAATAAAATAAATATTTGGAGATACACAACACAAAACAAAACAAAAATACCTCTTGCATAAGCTCAAATACATGACCAAATTCAGTATTTTTACCTGTAGCAACAACAATTCCCTCTCCGCGACCTTTTTACATTCTCATCAGTATTCTATATATTGTTTCTTATAAAATATGCCTTATTTTACCGTTTCTAACAAGTGTTCCCATGAAAGCAATATTTTCTCTTTCATTTAAAGCTAATTCTGCATATGAGGAAGTAGCAATTGCATCTGAAATTTTGCGTCTAGGTTTATTTTCACCTGTCAAATTGGATTCATCAATTTCTAGTCCAACGCACTAAAATTACATTTTAATCATTAATTATTCATGACTATTGTTAAATAGGAATAAAGATTATTTTACACTAGTAATTCTACAATCAGCAGGAATACGATCACCAACACCAAAATGAACAACATCTCCAGGAACCAAATCATTTGCTAAAATGTCAGAAATATGACCATCTCTATATTAGATTAAATTAGTACTATTACGTGTAATAATTTTAAATTGACTACCTCACTAAATGACAGTAATGTGGTACTAATTTATTCAAAGCTTCTAGTGATTTCTCTGAACGGTATTCTTGTACAAAAGCAACTAACAAACGAAATGAATATAAATTGTTTTGTGTCAAAACTATACTAACCTGTAACAACAATCATGATTGCCTAAAGCAACAATAACAACAACGAAAAAAAAAAAGGAGTGATAGTGATTATTAAGGAGAAGTCAATAAATTACAACACAACTTACCATAGTAATACTAATAGCATCGTCAAATTGACCCATTAAAATAGAAATGAAAGCAGAACCGAGAAGTAAGAGGATCATAGGGTCCTTAAAGGAATCAAGAAATTTAGAAAATAATGTTTCTTCATCCTTAGTCTCTAATTCATTTGTACCATATAGAGCACGTAAACTAGGCACATCGGAGGATCTTAGACCTTTAACAGGATCTGTGTTGAAGTCATGAGCCACATGCTCGACAGATTGCCGAGCTGTTTTGGCGGATGGAGTTGTTTTTCCTGATGTTAAGGATGGCATTTTGATGTATGAGTCTTTTCCTTTTCTAAAGAAAAGAAGTCGAATACTTTATTTTTAAGAAAAGCTCGAGAAAGAGACACACACAAAAAAAAAATAAAATAAAATAAAATAAAATAAAATAAAATAAAACAAAAAATAAAGAAATAAAAAAAAATATATAAGAAAATATCCAGTTTTGCCCCATTGGGAGTAATAAAATACGGAATGGTTATACTAAATTGGAAAAAAAAAATTCCAGGTTTTAAAGGGTTCGTACCACACCTTTTTCAGAAATTATCCTACTATAAAGTAAAATGTTTATGCGTATATAAGCTTAATTAAAATAAAAAAGCTTCTATAAATTATAAAGAGTTTTATTGTTGAAATATGTGTAGAAGTCTAACTACAAAACGAATTGTAAGCCTATCTGAAGCCATATTTTGTTAAGCAGAGGGATAAATAAACAGAAATTATTATATTTTACTTTCGATAAGTTGTTCTTCTAATGCTTCTTCTTATTCTACATATACCACTTTCTTAAGATCTTAATGAATACCGAAACCCTATAGGAGTAACTTAGTGTGTACAAAGAGAGCAATCAATACTAATCGTGTTGATACAGGCAGCTTAGTCTAGATTAGTCTCTCTACAATCTTGTTTTGCATATCTATTACGATTGATAATAAACAAAGCATTTGGTAATTAACGCTCAATATGAACCAAATTAAATAATACATAATACTTTATTAAGCCTTGTCTCACTACAAATGGTGAACTTGCCTACCATTTATATATGATCTGGAACTAGTTGTTTGATTAAATATTTCCAGACTTTATATTTTGCAATGTGGATAATAGCTGTTTGTTTTATATTCATTAATCCACAAAACTGAAAAGCCGAACCCCTTCATAAATTTTCTAAAATCTGCACCAAGTATAGATTTGTGTAGCTACACATAAATAGCAGAACAAATTCCCATTATAAAGATACATTTTATCCATAACTTCCTTTTTTTTTTAAATCGTCAGCAGACCTTCTTCAGCAAGTTGTTTTTGAGAATATAAGCGTGGAATTATTCTGGAAAAAAGGTATATAACTTGCTTATATCTTTATTATTATTATTATTAGGACTTTATCCGAATAATTCTATTAATAACAATAACAGCAGCAATTCAGCTCCCTCTTGGCTGCTATAAGCTTATTCTTCATTTAATATAGATGTAAAATATAATTAATTATTGATTATAGTTTTTTTATATGGCAAAAACGATTTATACATGCTTTCTACTGCTTTATACTTTTTAATTATATAAAAAAAAAGCAGTAAAGATATGACATACTTTACCTGGTAAAAATAATTAAATATTATTCCTAGTGTTGATGGACTTTAAAATTATATGCTTTACCTTTTTTGGATAAGCATTTCTCTTATAGAAACCCAACAATATATGAATTTGTCCGGACCGAATTAAAAGGTACTAATTAAAACTTACTTTCCTTTTAGGTACAAGGATAAAAAAAAATAAGAGAAGGAAAATTAAGAAGGAAAAAACTGTGCAAATCAATTAGATATAGTATAATACAGCTATTTGATGGATAAACAAATCGGGAAGTTACTTTGTAAAATGAACAGGGTTGACATGTTGGCAGCATGTTGTGAAGGAATGGCTACTAAAGTTATTTTATCGCTTCAAATATCTGGATCCTTTTGGTGTATTTGTAGACATTAGGTTATAGTATTATGCTTTGTAAAGAGGCTTAAAAGCATAATTGGAGCAAAATATCAAGTATTTGCTAGGTATATACCAGGTTTGCTAATGCAGACACCTGATTCATTCTACATATGACATAAGTAGTTATACAATCGTATCTAAGAATATTGTAGATTGACAAGAAGAAAGGAGCGTTGAATAAACTGAAGTAGTTTTACACTTATCTATTTTTTTTTCTGTAGTAAATATCGTTAAATGTGTTTAATTCTCTGGTCTGGTTAGTTGTGTCTAAGGAATGGGTTTAGGCTAATATTTTTCACTGGAGATATTCTAGAAAGTTTATACAACTGTGATTAGCACGAAAGTTGACTTATATATGGGAGTAACCTAGTTTAATAAGAACATCTTTCAATAATTGTAAGGAGAATAATATAATTTTTGTCTATAATACATAAGAATATTCTCGTATAGAGAGGAGTTTAGTAAATTATAGCATGACTTTTATAGATGTTCCTTTTAAATTATTAAAAATTTTCCTCATATATATTGGCTTTGAGCGTTTTCATGCTTGGAATAATGGAAGAAAGTAAGTTTTACAGATAAGCTAGTCATAGTTCAACTGAGAACGAATCATAATATGCAAATAATAGAAAGTAAATCAGGGAGGAGATTAATGAAACTTGTGTATTTCATACCAATAATTGTTAGCTGAAAATTCATACTGGCAAGAGTTTTATTTATATCTACTGAAAGTAAATCAGCAGGATTAAGGAAACTTCTTCGATAAAAAGGCATATTAAGATATGATAAAGGAGAATTTTGTTGGATTGGTTCGCCACATAACAGGTATGCAATAGCATGTTTGTCTAAATTGAATATCACAATTTTTTTTTTAGGATTTCATGGGTTGCTAGGATCATAGCTTTATTATTCGCATAACCATCGTAATTCTGTCCCAGTAATAAATACGACATTATAAGTATATAATAATACATTTAAAAAAAATGGGCAAGTTAAGGTAGTGATAGCTTGTTTAAAAAGAAAAAGTTTTAATGAATCTTAAACTTTATATCTTGTTATTATAACATAGCTAGTTAGATTCTATACTAAAGAAAAAACTAAAAACTAGAAACATTGCCCCACTTATTCGAAATCTTATGGATGTTTCGGTTAGACACAATAGAAAAAAAAAACTTTATATTGCCATAAATAAGTGTAGAATGTATCATTCTTGATGCGTAATTGATGCGATTGGAAGCCATGTTTATAATAAACCTTTATTTATGTTACCTTACTCTCATTTTTTTAACCCGATTAAAGAATATTAATTCGAAATCAAAAGTGTATAAAAAGAAATTCACTTTCTTCTTTAGACAGCCTAAATCTTAGAACCTAAGCTACTCAGATGACTGTATACAACAAAAGACTGCCTTGATTGGACCTAACATTACTATTTCTTTTTTAATTTCAAGTATAAATACTATACTTTGCGCACAATTGTGTCCTATATAGAAGATATGGGTTATTCTTTGTATAAGACATAGCATGAACAGTTTCTAAAAGACAATCTGAATATCCGCCATATTGATCCTAATACCAAGTTATTGAATGTACTTCATCCCAACCTAAGAATAGATCCTATCTTTTGGATACCTATGTCATCTCTTAAACGAGGTCATGTCTTCCACTAGCGAATTGGATGATTACCAGGCAATAAGTCTCAATTATGCATTTATCCTCCTAACGAATTGTTTACCAAATTTCATACAATCTGTTGTTTACACATACATCGCTGTTTATATCTTCCTGTCTCAGTTGCTGATCCAATATCCTTTCTATTCAATCAGTTGCCTTGTCTATCACGTTGTAGCTCTGCCTGGACTATCCTCTGGCCAGAAATATGCACCACTCTCTACAATTTTGATCATATATTTCATGATATGTTCCCTCCCCCTCTAATAGAAAATATTGGTTTTAAATCGTTGTAATGATTATTTCACAACCAAAGCTAATAAATCATTCTTCTTTCTTATAACATTATTAAAGTTTTCCTTCACTTTTTCCTCCTCTTTATATCGTCCTTATCATTTTTTTTATCTCGTGTCTCTTACAAGAGTAAGTTTCTTTTTGTTAATTTTTTATTGAGCTAATCTGAGCAATTCAATATCATTTAGATATTACGTGCACACAAAGATCGAAAAAGATAAATAAATATACCAAACGGAAAAATTATTTGTCAATTTTCAAAAAAAAAAAAAAAAAAAAAAAAACTCTTTCCTCAATTTTCCCAAATAACTTTACAGCTTTATTTTTTGGTGAACGCAGTCGCGTTACATCACGATTTATTTTTTGCCTGTATTGCTTGTTTCATTCTTCTCTACATTTCATCTTACCAAACCATGATGCTATAGCGTGAATTACAAATATCACTTTACACTATCCTAACAGATATTTATTCACAAATATAATTCTAAATTTCAGCATTAAGTACATTGTTCATTTCAACATAAGTTTAATGACCCTTCAGAAAAGGTGTAGTTCCAATCCTGAAGGGAACAATGTCATGAGCTGACTTATAATGTCATGTACCTTGATTAAACAAGCGGATCAAGGAATTCTATCTAGATTCCCCTGAATCTCTCTTGATCCACTTTATCAAATAATATTAAAAACTTCCAACACTTCATTATCTACAACATATCTTATTCGGTAGTAACTAACACTTTTCTGATTCACATCTTATGTCAGACTTCTTTAACAATTCTTACAAATAGCTAAATAAAAAATATTAACTTTAGAACTATTGTTCGCTCTCCTTGACTTTCTTTTGTCTTTATATTATTTTTATTTGATATTTTACAAGTAATACAACAGTTTCATCTATAGTTTTAACAGTTAGGTGTTCATATAAGAATATCTATGGTCAGAGAGGCATTAGAAAAGTATTAGTTACGACAGAGTAATCCCACTTAGTATTGTCAGTAGAGTGTACCAACTTCCTTAAGTTTATAAAACATGAGGAAGTATAATACATAAATAAGTTGAAGCCGCATTCCTTTATACTATTTGTCCAGGTACTTTAAATCTAAATATTTAATAAAGGAAGAGTAAGTGACTCTGACTATGCCTATTTATTTCGACGATCGTTGAATTCTTATTAAAAAAAATTGTTTGATGATATAAGATTATAGCATATGCATGCATAAAAGGGAAATATTTTTTATTTTTATTTTTTTTTGAATACCACAATTCGGCAACTATACCTAAAATCTTGGGTTTATAAAGAAAAAAATTGAGGTAAATAAAACAACTTGATCGGAAAGGGCAGCGCCTTTCTGTTGGCCAAGCGGCGATCATGGAGAGATGAACTTTGTTAGCTGTAGATGGGAGTGATTAAATAATAAAATCGGGGTTAGTTCTGAGCTTTAATGATAACATGCTACCTTCCAGGATCCAATGTTCAACACCAGGCCTTCAAATGGAGGTCGATAAAAAGATGTTGTTAAATCGCGGGGTAATTTCCTACCATGCAAGAGAGGAAAGCCCGCAGCATTGAGGGCATTCCTGGGAGTAACACGGCTGTAGTAGAAGCAAACAAGAACAGAATCTAATCCACCTCTACACTATAAAAGGACTTCCTCTTCAATAATTTTTTTTCTCATATAAAATAAAAAAAAATGAAAAAGGGAGGATGGGCTCTAAAGTTAATACGTATTGTGTAGTACAATTGCTATAAAAAATTACACATTATTTATTTAGAACCACTGTCATACTTGTTGCGGTTACAGAATACTTGTAAATTATAATATGTAACAGTAAGGAAATAGTATAAACTACTGGTGTGGTTATACTCAAAGACTTGAAATAGAAGAAAGAATACGTAAAGAATTGACAAACCAAGAAGACGTTGTTAAATGTAACGAATTAAAAAACAACAACAACAATATAAAATAAATAGTAAATTTTTAATGATGAGGACACAAAGAAGGATCGATAGCGCAAAAAAAAAAAAAAAAAAAAAAAAAAAAAAAAAGCATGAAACTGATGGCAGGCTTGTTATAGCTGATACATCAAATAAGCTATCCAATATTAAAAATAACTACTTTAATAATAAGGAAGGATATTAAGGATATTGATTTTGTGGCCAAAACTGATAAAAATGATAAAAGATCTATGAATCCTTTTAACATTGGTAGTTGGGTAAGATATGTAGAGAGCTATAAAAACTTTAGGAGTTGTGACAATGACCAAACAGGCAAATTTGGTACTTCCTTAGTGAATTCTACAAGACAAAGAACCTATGGATTGAGGCTATATATCGTTGAAATGAGAATTATGGGCGTATTTTAAGTCAAAAAAAAAAAAAAAAAAAAAAAAAAAAAAGGCAATTTTGATTTTTGATGTTTTCAGAACGAATTCTAACGTTAAAGCTAATATCATTTATTTCTGATTAATGTAAACATAAGTCCCTAAAAATTAAAATTGAGTGTTTCTAATATGACAGATGCTGAAGCTTTTGAAAAGTTCTTAATTGCTAGTCTCCAATCAGCACGAAACTAAAATCCGTATAATGAATGTAATTAATATGGATAATCCTATATTGAATAAAGTCATTAAAGTCGTTTATCACATATATGAGGATAATTGACAAAAAATATAACAGTAATGTGGGTTCAAATAATGTGCATGGTAAATGTGATGATATGGCTTAAAGAAGAGCAAAGAGAAAGAAGAAAAGAAAGAGAACAAAAGGACGTATGGTTTGAGACTTGTTTATTCAATGTAAAAAAGAATGATATAAAGACTATTTCGTGTCTACACCAACTACTTGTATTTATGCTAATGAATTCTGAATCAAAGAACATGAGTCATGAAACAGTATTAGTATTCAAATTTACACGTCTTATTGATTCAAAGGACTGATCTATGGATTATCTACTGAGTGTTATAATGATCTGATTGAGGCTTTAAATTGTTTGATCTGAGTGTATGTTCCTTATGTCTACTATAGTGGATCAAAAACGACTTGAATCCTTTATCAGGGCTATAAAAATAAATAGATAGAACTGATACGATATCTTATTTAGTTGACTCATTTAGATGATTGGATGCCAATAGGGGTTATATTATATTATTTATAAGATGTTATATACAGTAAGATATGATATCTTTTATTATATATTCAGGCTTATAGTTTGTCCTGTATTATGTAATTCATCTTTTCTAATATTGCTTATGCTTATATCCAGAGCTTGTTCTATAATAGCTCTTCAATTTTTAACAATTTTATTAAGCGTAGTCAATTCCTTCATTGACGTCTTGGGTTGACTTCTCAATTGTATCCCTTGGCCATGTCTTTGTTATCTATATAATAACTTTACTACCCATGAAGACCCTGTTCAATGTCTCCATATCTGTACCGTTGACTTAATATGCTGTCATTCACCATTACTGATCCTCTGCTTTCCTTAACCAGCTGCCTACTGAAACAATCTAAAGTCCTCACAATTAACTTCTCCTTGGTTCAACACTCTGTATTATCATTTTACATGAAATAGGATTATTTATTTCATCAGCTACTTCCTCGTTAAGCTAGTGTATTAGATGTTATCCTCGTCATAGACAAGTAGAGTTATACTGCTTCTGATTTTTTGTTTCCTCTTGTCTCTTTTCCTGAGAGGCTTTTATTATTTTCTCCTTTTTTTTTGGAACTGGCTACAGTATAACGTGCTTATTTGTCATTTTTATTTTTTATTTTTTATTTTTTTTTATTATATTTTTTACTTTATTTTATTTTTTAAATAAATAAATTCTTTTAATAATAATCGTATTAACTACATATTCAAATTAAGATTATGACTACAAAATTAAACATTTACTCTTTTTTTCCTTTTTAGGCTTCCCTTTTGGACCTGCACGAAAACCTTCTCTCTGAGCACGAATTGCTTTGACAACTTGATAAAACGATCTTTCAACATTGACGCATGTCTTTGCAGATGTTTCAATAAAATCACAAGCTAATCTTTTTGCTGTTGCATATCCTTCATCTCTTGTTACCTCTCTTTCTGTTACTTTATCACATTTATTACCAACAAGCATTAAAGGCACATTATCAACATCTTTTACTCTAAATATTTGATCACGAAAGCGTTCAATACGATCAAAAGTTGAACGAGAGGTAATTGAATAAACCAATAGGAATCCTTCACCATCTCTATGTTAGAATAATATGAGTTTAGAGTGTATAATTCAATACAGATATACATATATCTATTATATACCGAATCCATTGATCTCTTAATGCTGTATATTCTTCCTGTCCTGCTGTATCTAATACTTCTAAAATACAAGGCTGATCATCAATAACGACTTGTTTACGATATGAGTCTTCAATAGTAGGATCATAAGTCTAATATGAATTGTTTAGAAAAGATAAATAAATAAATAAATAAATAGGTTCCTTTTTTTTTTATGCACACGCATATTTTACCTCTATCATAGTAATAACAATGAAATTATATTATACATTAAATAAAAGATTTTTTGTAGATTATATCTTTATTTCTTACCAACAAAATGATTTAAACAGAGCTGCAAATGTATATAAAAGTTTAATATTGTTTATATGCAGTCTATTCAAAGAAAAAAAGTATGAATTACCTGAATTGTAAGCGCAGTCTATTATATGAAAATGTGGTTAACCGAGTACAAGAAAGTAAAATAAAGTTTAATAGAATCCTACCTTTCCAACACCACCATCACCGAGAACAACAAGCTTATATAACATCATTTTCGTTTGCTAAAATTAAAACTGATTAATGATCTTTTTTTTTTTGTTTACAAATCATTCGAATTGTAAAGGAGTTACCTAAATTAAAGACTCTTTATTAAATAGCAGTAATGTATATAAAGACCGATCTTTTCGTCTTTTTTTTTTTTTCTTTCTTATTTAGTTTTTTTTTTTTTGTTTTTTTAAAAAAAATAAAAAGAAAGAAAAAAAAAGATTATGTTAATGTGTAAATGAGCAAAACGAAAAAAAAAAAATTAGCTTTTTTTTTTTTTTTTTTTTTTTTTTTTTTTTTTTTTTTTTGTTTGTTCATTATACATCTTAACCAAAAATGATGTCGGAATTTTAAAAACCAAATAATATCCGTTAAAGTAAAATTGATTACTGGACTTTTCCCTTTTGTAGCATTTTAAATTTTATTTGCGCCTTTGCACTGGCAGGATTATTTTATTATATTTTATTTGTTTATATTTTATTTATTTTATTTTAATTTTTTTTTTTTTTTTTTTGCTAATGAGTTCATTATTAGCTATTTTACTTGTAGTAAATTCAACAAGAGGCCACCACTTTTTATTTAGCTACCCTCAAGATCCTCAACGACCCTCTTCAAACAGAAATAAACATAACGTTGATGATTTTTCTGTTATAGGCTCTTCAATAACAATCAATCAAACAGAACAATATGAAACCGAGAAGAATACAAAGGATGCCTTTGCTGGTCGTGATACGGTATTTAATATGGACGTTTCCTTTTTAGCTGATGCTTTAGCTCCTAGAATACCTTTATGCGATCGTAAATTTCAATTAACTATTGATGATCTAACTTTTATTGGACATCCCGTCAGTTTAAGCTCCATTCATCAAGAAACGGGTGAACAAAAAGATGAAATAATGACATCTCCTTTATCTTCAAAATCACCTTCACAAACACACTCACTGTCTTCGTCTACTTCTTCCTCATCATCCTCATCATCCTCATCTTCTTCTACAGCCACAACAACAACAACAACAACAACCTCGAATCCTTCTTCACCTTCATCGTCTTCACCTTCACCCTCTACAATTCATAAACCACGAAAAAATTCTGATGCCAAGGAAGAAGATAAAGAAAAATCAAACGATGTTCAAGATACAAATCGTATATCAACATTAGATTTATTTTCTGGTTCAGTATCGATCCACATGACTCTATTTCATGTTGTCTTTGTTATGTCTCCACCAGATTTAGAACTGAATACACAAGTAGAGACTCTTTATAAAAACGTCATTTTACGATATTCATCTGCTTTACGATATGAGCAACTTCGATGTGGATATGTTCAATTAGAGATTGAAAAGATATTAAGTTTAAGAGAAGAAGCATTTAATAAAGGTATTAACAAAAAAAAAAAAAGGATTTTTCTAATAATTGAAGGCTTTTTATCTTTTAGGTACTCCATACAATCAAGTCATGAAAGAGATTTTACGAGCATCATCACTAGCTAAAGACATACGTGAAATTTATACAGCCATTTCAGCTAATAAAGCAGCCCATGTAATCATTAATGATTTTATTGATCTGTCACTTCAAATACCCATAATGAATCATGATCGAGGCAACACTACACTTCCTGTACATGACAATCAAGTGGGTATGGACGTTATAAAGACCAGAGATAATGCATCCTCATTGATGGATATTTATAGTGTGGCTGGTTATGAATATGATAATTATCCTGTCATTTGTCCATATCACACTTTATTGTTATTAGAGGACCCTGAGGAAGTTCTTAAGAATATGCCATTGGATGCAAGTCCCACTTTAGTTCAATTAGTACAGATCTTAACTCCCACACAAAGTTTACAAGAGCTGCATTTTCTTTTAGATTGTTCGTTAGCACAAATATATCGTTTAGCCGCACATTTGATCTATTGGCGAAAAGCAAAATTGATTCATACAATTAATACAAGAAATATATATGTTGTTTCCCCAAATGCAAAACTAGATGAGTAAAATCATATTTATATAACATGAAAATGTCATCTCTCCTATCTAACTCCTCTCTCTCTCTTTCTCTCTCTCTCTTTTTTTTTTCTATAGCATAGCAAGTCTTGAAGTTGATTTTAACTTACATATTCCCAATTTGAGCTTGTCTGTCTTATTATCAAAACTACAGCAAGTTCAACAATACCATCAAGTCTATCATATCAAGGAGCTAAAAAATCAATATTTGGAGGCCATCACTTATCTTATACGTAAAGATCTCGTTGTTCAATTACATATGTATCTTGTTTTACTTGAGCCGCCAGAAAAGAAATCAGGTCAGGAAACTCCTCAAGTGGAACAATCAGAAGATGCTTTACCCACTAACGGTAGTCCAAATGACCTTGAATTAAATCGATTAAAGCGATTAACTTATGAACGAGCACCTAAAGAAGTAGCAGATTTATTTGAAAGGTTAAGGCCTTATATGAATGGGCAATATCATATTGAAGAAATTATTTATCGAGAAGGTATCTCTAGAAGACAGCTTGGTTTAGTGTTGAAATATTATAGAGATAGAATTGCAACTGTCTATCACTATTAATAAATATGAAATGTATATAATAATAAACCTCTTTTTATTTCCATTCTTTTTATTATTATTATTATTATTATTTACTGGTTAATATATGATTAAAAGTTGTTTGGATTACGATAAAATACGATAGAATTAGGATCAGCTACATTATCATCTATACTAAAGAAATCAAGAATAGACATACGATCCCCTTGGCCCAAATAGATAACCACATTAAAGGCTACACCACCTAATAAGACAGTAAGCCATATCATCACGGGTAATGCCTCTTTAAATTTTGTCCATAACATCATTTCTACTTTTCTTTCTGAGGCTGATCTCGCTGACGTACCCCAGCCAATATCCCAGAGAGAGATGATGGCCCAGAGCTTAGCAGGCACAAGTCCCACCATATAATAAATGGAATAAAATGGGAAGGCAAGGAATTGAAGATGCCAAGTAATGAGAACTGAATACATGGTCTTGATAGTCGCGATCAAGGCCAACGAGATTAACCAGACACATAAAACAAAAGGCGATTTACTAAACAAGATTTGAAAGATGGAAAACAACAAGACAAATGGATAAATGCCTTGGTAAAAGAGCTCAGCTGCCATCCATGGGCTATGTTTATGAAGACTACGGATATTCCAGAATAGTTCACGATAAAAGCTCTTGGACCATCGTGTCTGTTGCTTAAACCAACGAAGGAAATCGGTAGGTGTCTCGGTTTCACAAAAGGCAAGATGTGTATAAACGACACGATAGCCTTGTAATAAAGTACGATTTGTTAAATGTCTACAATAATATAACCATTTTTAATATTTATTCATACAAATGAAGATAATAATAATAAGAGTTAGAAGCAGAGGGTGTAATAAGGGCGGAAGGAAGGAAGGAAGGAAGGACTATTATTATTTTATTGGTTCTTACCTATCATCACCATAAGTACACTCCATACCTAAAAAGGTTTGACTAATCCAATCATCAAGGATTTCTTGCAAGACATACGATCGATAAATACCCATGGGTCCAGAGACACATGTCACACAACGATTAAAGCTTTGTGCAGCACGTTCAATATTGAATGCCATCCAATATCTTAAGGAAGACATAAAAGATAAAACACCATCCGTTGCATTCCAGATCCTGACATCCCCAGCAGCAGCACCTATATTGGGAAACCAATAAAGAGCACGTTCCATTTCGATCATCGCTTGAGAATCGAATTTGGTATCAGAATCTGTTGTCATGATAGCCTCACAACCAGCTGCCATCAAGACACGAAAGGCGGTATACATTGCATGTCTTTTACCTCGATGGGGTTGGATATAGCAGACAGGCATCGAATGAGTAGGTAATGTATACGTAGTACGTAAAAGTTGATTATAATATTCATTTAAATCTTCTTCCTTGGACGATTGTCGAACTTTTTGAAAGGAAACAGAGAGGAGCTCAGGAAGGACCATGACGGGACTGGATGGGAAGACAGTTTGAAAGACATGTGCCATTTCCTTATCCTCAGGTGCGTCTCCATCAATCACGACAATCACTTTGAATGGATCTGGATATTGGAGTTCTTTGATAGATTGAAGGCATTTCTTAAATAGAGTTGGCTCTTCACGATAGCCAACCACAGCTAAACCCATACTCGTTGCAGGACGACCCGCTGATGCCTTTTCATTCATAGTCTCTTGATCCATAGATACGATCGTTTCTGGACATGATTTTAGCATTGAAGAAGAAAGTGGGGGAGATTGTTCTATTGTGATTCCCTCCACTTCAGATGAGGATAATGTCGGTTTTGCAGTATTTTTTGAAATCGTATTGCCGTTGGTGCATTCAATCTCGGCTACTTTTTCATTGATATTTTTGGTCCCCCTAGAGGTTGATAAAGATACTGCATTAGGTAATCGTCTTGCATAATAATAAGTGAATAAACGATTTAAACTAGCAAATAAGAGTTGTAAAAAAATAAACATAAAGACAACAGACCCATAAACGCCCAACACCCAAAATGATCTACGAGTTATTTCAAGTCTTAAAGCATATCCTATCAAGGCAGGCAATACAAAGAAAGATGATATAATAATAGAATAAAGGATTTTTAACGGCACTGTCCAATGTATAATCATTGTTTAAAGAGAAAGAAAAGTATAAACGTAAAAGATATGATGCATTTTTTTTGTAAAAAAAAAAAAAAAAAATAAAATAAAATAAAATAAAAAAAAGTTTATTTTGATATAATACAATATCTAATATATTTATTATTCATGTTCTACTTAATATTCTGTAATATGCTTGTTTCAGCAAACAAATAAAACTCTGCGGGGGATGACATCAAAAGGTTTTAAAACAGATACAACTGACACATATTTTGTGTATGTTTCTGCTAGTATTAATGTATATTTATAAAGTCTATTTTTATTACATAATATACTTTTAAAAAATCACTTTGTGACATTCAATAAGGGGAGGAGAGAGAGAGAAACAAGAGAGAATTGATTTTAGGGTATCATTGTTTAATACAATTCTTCTGATTTTAAAGAAGTTAGTATAATTTATATAGCAGATCAAGAAAAAAAAAAGATTGGTTTTTAGATATTCTGTAGCTATCCAAAGTCCTCAAATTTAGTAAAAAAAACTATGTTTATTATAGATAGTGTCGTTATATATATAATTGATGCCAACAATTTGTTATAACAGCTAAAAATAATATTCTCTCTTTATTCAATATAAATCCTAAAAATTTCTTATAGCTACTCTCTCGTCAAATATATTAATAAATAGTCTGTTCAAAACTGAAGTACGATTTGATCATATTAAGATCAACTTTAATATAATGCAAATCATTAGAATTTACTCAACATAGCTGCCCAAGAAAAATTTATAATACTTCTGCAACCTTTGTTCCCTTCAAAATAATACAATGTTTAATAAGATGATCAATAGTGCAAGCTTTACAAGGTAAATTCATAATTTGTTCTATTTCTTGTATCCGTATTACTTGCTTGATAGCGTTTCCTTATTTATGACAAATACATACATATATATTTTCATAATTGTAGAGGCTATTTTTCAAATAGGATAACATAATAAACTATCGTCGTTAGTTGCACTGTTCATATATTGTATAACTACACAACTCCTTTTCATAGGTCAATGCTATTGCTGATGTAGCAAAGGTATATTCAGAAGAGTTATCATTATGTAGCTTTAAGAATATCTATGAATTTCATTTTAAGATAACCAATGACTAGTTCTGGACATAGTCGGCAAGAGATTTGTTAGTAATTAGTTAGCTCCTTGGAGGATGTTCTCAGCTATGCATGTATACATTATCTCACTTACAATTAAACTAAATAGTGTTGAAATATGTATCCTTGTCTACAACTTGACCTTGTATAGAAGATTTATTTTTTCTCATACACGTAATAAGCTGCCTTTATATGATCCTAAACAACATCATATAGAAGTTATTCTCGCTAATCTTTTTAAGTTTTTAATGACTGTGTCTAAATGAACAGATCCCTGTACTTAGTTTTAAGTATTTATAAAAAGGATGACTCAATAATATGAATATCATTTATTATAAGGAAAAAGAAAAAAGGAAACAACATTTTTGAATTGTCATGAAAATGAAAAATGATTCGTCAAAAGTCTTTATTATCAACCACCGAGTTTTATGAAATACCTCTGCTCCTTAATAAAGCGTATTAACAATAAGCAAAAAGTTTCAATGGTCGTCATTTCTTTTTAAGGCGAACTATACTTTGAATTTATGCGAACTTTTTAAAACAAATTTTTTTTATTTATTTTTTAATTTAATCTTTTTTTTTTTTTTTTTTTTTTTTTTTTTTTTTTTTTTTTTTTTTCAAAGTAAAAAATTATGTCAATTCAGGCGCAATCTATTGCTTCATTCGATACAGTTTATAGTGCGGATTCAGTCGAATTTTGCCCTTTCAATGATCATGCGCAATATTTAGCAGTAGGCACTTACCAACTCACTGATGAACAACAAGATAAAGTTCGAATTCGTAAAGGCAAAACTTATATTTTCGACGTTACAAAGCCACTGGTTCCCAAACAGGTAATTGAAACACCAGCCGTATTAGACATGAAATGGAGCCACGCATTAGTGAATGACAAACAAGCGCTAGGCATTGTAGACTCTATTGGTGGGTTTCATATATATGGCTTTGATGATCAAACATTGGTACCTGTCGATCATATGCAAGCCACTGAAGACCCCACTGTACTTTGCCTGTCATTAGATTGGGCAAGTCGATTGAATAAGAAAGATGCGCGTGTTGTGACTTCACATTCCAATGGACATGTTAATATTTTGACACCTACTGAAACGGGGTATACTGTTGAAAGCGAATGGCAAGCTCATGAGTTAGAGGCATGGATTGCAGCCTTTGATTATTGGAATACAAACATTATTTATTCAGGTGCAGATGATGGATTATTTAAGGGATGGGATACACGAAGCCAAACCACGACCTTTGTATACAAACGACATATGATGGGTGTTACGACGATGCAATCCAATCCTCATAAGGAACATCAGTTAGCGACAGGAAGCTATGATGAAACTATTTATTTGTGGGATACACGATCAATGCGAGCTCCTGTTCAAACTTTCCAGACACCTGGTGGAGGAATTTGGCGTTTGAAATGGCATCCAACACGTGGAAATCGATTATTATCCGCATCCATGCATGCAGGTGCATTTGTATTTGATATTGATGATGAATATAAAGTAGAGCTATTGACAAGTTTTCTGGATCACAAGTCAATGGCCTATGGTGCGGATTGGTCCTTTTGTGATTCTGATTTAATAGCCTCCTGTTCTTTTTATGACCATGTTTTACATCTTTGGAAAACTTCAGCTTAACACAAAGACTTTGTTACATACCTAATCTTTTTATATATAAATATACTGCCTTCTTCGAGAATAAACGGAGAAATAATTAATAAAGGAAGGAGAAAAGGGGGATGGAAAAGAAAAAAAAAAGTACAATGTAGTTAACAATGAAGAAGGAGAGAAGAGGAGAGGAAGAAATTGTAAAATAAAGTATTTAATCATATGTCACGATACTCTCTTTGTTCTGTTGTAAATACAGACAATTTCTTTTTTAAGCAGATAAACACATAATTTATTGTATAATCTAAATAACATAATTAGGGGGGGTAAAAGGACACACACACACACATATGTATATGTATATGTATATAATCCGAGAACTTATATATGCATGTATATATACATATAAATCTATAGATGTATATCTATATGTAAAAGAACTTATTTTTATATTAAAATTGTCTGCCGGTAGACTGCTTTATATAATCTTCTGGACTAATTTCTCGTCTTTTTCTTTCAGTACAAAGAAGATTGATTACATTACATAAAGCTAATAATTCGATAGCCAAACTAGTAAAAAGAGCAATATAGATATGAGTTAATCTAGTCTGTATAAAGTGATTTAGAGGCCTATAGCAGGGTTGGTTCGTGTTAACTAATTGATGAGGTAGACAAGTAGGTGTAGCCACTGAATGGTCCAAGACATAAGAGAATCCACAACAATTAAATTTATTTTGAGCATATAATTTATAGTCTTTTGTAGATTCGTTCCAAGTATCACTAAGCCAATTTGAAATATGTGCTGTTTGATCATAAACAATAGCAGCAATTGATATTTGATAAATGAATGCAAATATAACACATGTTGTATATAAAATATGTATTGCTTTCTTTTCTCGATAATATCCACCCAAGATACCGATTAAAGAAGTAAATACTAAAATTAAGCCTAGTATAGTGATCACTAATAAAAATAGAAATTGAATTATTCATCTTTCCCGCTGCTAGTGGATGTATCAGTTGTAATCATTTTTTCTTTTTATTTTATTTTTTTTTTTTTTACTTTTCAATATGTTTGTAGGATATAGAATGGAATCCTGTATTTTAGACTGTGTAGCCATCATTCCAAATGATAATAAAATACATCCGCATATAAAAAAGAGTAAATTCGTTGAAATAAGATATATTGAACTCTGTCTATACGTAATAAAAGAATATAAGTTATACAATATAAGTTTGGTTCCTATTCTATGTTAATACTTTTGACAGCACGTCATAGGTTAAAGAAGAAGAATAAGAGAAGAAAAGAGAAGATAAAGGGCAAGTATCAGTTTTTCATTTCATTTTTTTTTATTATATATAAATTACTGCAATTTTAAGGAGAAAATAATTTATTAGATACAACAACAAACAACCCTTTATTGTTCTAAGGAGTTTATTATTGTGATTACAGCAGTAAAAAATAATAATAAAATAATAAATGTCAAAATGTTGTAAAATTGCATAAGCCACTTTATGGGTAAAATAGAGAATTTTTTTAATCAATTCATAAACCCAAGAAAATGCTAGGCTAGTTTACCCTTTTTTTTTTTTTCTTTTTTCTATTTTCAGTGGTACATAAAACATACATACGAAGATAGAAATAAACCCTTTTTTTATATATTCATTTCTATACTAATTTTCATTAAACAAAAAAAAAAGAAAAAAAGAAAACAATAACAAAAGCTGTCCCCCCTCCCTCCCCACACACATACACGTTTTTATTGTTTAACACATTTGGAAACATATAAATAATTAAAAAAGTCTTTGTCATTATGGTTAGTACAGCATCAACTTCAAATACTAAAGCTCAGGAACCTACTATGGAAAAGACAACAGAAACTAAGAATGAAGCACCTAAAAAAGTTCCGGCCCCTATCCCTGATGTCAATGTTTGGCAATTAAAGAAACAATCTATGACAACTTCTAATAATAACAGTACTGTCAATGGTAAAGTCTATTATATTCTATTTGTATTATATCAATAAAATTTAATATCTATTATTAGAAACTGCATGGCCCGCACCTAAAGAGGCTGTTCAAGAAGAAAATTCAAGTGATAAAAAATCTTCAAGTACTAAAGCAGTTAGTAAAGGACAATGGAAACCCTACACTCCTACTATTATTCATTCCACTCCTATCACAAGTGGACGTACTGGTTTCCGTGGCGGACATAACAAAAATAGAAAGTCTTCTTCAAAAAATAGTGCAACAGCAGGTCGTTCCAAGTCAACAACAGTACCTACAAAGGATGAAAAGAATAAGTCCAATATTTCTACTGACCATATCGTCGATACAAATACAGAAGACAAATCAGCAGCTACTGATGTCAGTATAAATACATCCTCTTCCTCTGAGAAAGAAGAAGAAGAACAACAACAACAGGAATTGAAAGATACTACTACTACTACTACTACTACTGCTGCTGCTGCTGCTGCTGCTACTACTACTACTACTAGCAGTAGTAATCATAATAAGACTTCTAATCATCATTATCGTCAAAACCATTATTATAATCGTGGTAATGGTATGAAGCGTGGTAGTAGTAGTGGATATCGTGGTGGTGGATTCCCTCGTTATTTTAATAGACCTAATCCTTCAGCTTATTTAAATGTCGATCCTGAAACATTAAAAGCTTATATTTGTCAACAAATTGAGTATTATTTTAGCATTGATAATCTCTGTAAAGACTTATATTTGCGTAGTCAAATGGATACTGAAGGCTATGTTCCTCTCTCTCTCATTGCTGGATTCAATCGTGTTAGAGGATTGACAAATGATATGTCCCTTGTACGTGCTGCTTTAGATCTTTCACAGATCTTGGAAGTAAAGAAGCAAGAGAATGGTGAACTTTTACGTAAAAAGGAAGGTTGGGAAACTTGGGTGCTACCTGCTTCAGGTACTACAGCAACAACAAAATCAGGTATTCCTCAAATTATAAACTCTGTTCCTGCTGGTCCTGCCCCTATCCCAACTTTAGTTTCTTTAACCAATCAGTCTGCTCAAAAATCAACTTCTACTACTTTGAATCCCGCTTCTTCTAAACCTACTACTACCACTACTACAACAACAACAACAACTGCTGCTGCTGCTGCGGATGATGATTTGTTCGAGTTTGAAGATGACGAATGGATTGATGGCAGTCGTCCTAATACAGTCAAGAAGTATTATATTTCGGATGAGGATTATGAGGATGAGGACGAGGATTATGAATTTGATGATGATAAAGTGGCTCGTATTATGATTGTTACTCAACGTAAGCATGACCGTTCACATCATTCCTTTGATCGTGCAAAAATGAATGATGAAATTGCAGAAATGATCAATGAAGGTTTGTATCAATACGAAAGAGGACTTGATACTACTAAGCAAACAAGTGAACCTAAGGTAGGCACAATGGATTCTAAACACTTTGCTCAATTGAGTTCAAGTGCAAAGAAGGATGTACCACCTCTCACACCATCCAAACCTGTTAAGTCCAATAAGAAGAAATCGACTCGTTTCTATCCTAGTCGCCGTGAATCGATGGTTACACGCTCATCTAATAACTCTACTTTATCTGTTCTTGATACAAAAAAGGAAGAACATGATGGTCATGTTGGTTGGGTTCTTAGTGATCAACCATACCATCCTCCTCATGATACCTTATCTACCAGTCTTGGTAAATCTCCCTTATCTGAAAGCCATCTTTCTACATCTGTTGATACCGTGGCCCATTCCTTTGGTAGTTTCCAACATCCTAGCGTTGACTTCCTACGTGATAAGGGATTCGTTCAACACAAGTACTACAAGTATCATGCTAAGGCCTTAAAGGAACGTAAACGTTTAGGTGTTGGGCAATCTCAAGAAATGAATACTCTTTATCGTTTCTGGTCCCATTTCTTACGTGATCATGCTAACAAACGCATGTATAATGAATTCAAACGTTTAGCTGTTGAAGATGCTAATCACAACTACCGTTATGGTCTTGAATGTTTATTTCGACTTTATTCTTACGGTCTTGAAAAACGTTTCCGTAAGGACATGTTTGAAGATTTCCAAGAATTGACTTTAATGGATTACGATTATGGCAGTCTTTATGGTTTGGAAAAGTTATGGGCATATGATTATTATCGTAAAGATAAGAAGAAGAGAGTGCTAGTATTCAATGAACGTATCGCTCAATTACTTGAAAAATATAAAACAATTAAAGATTTTAGAAGTTCTCAAGCACCCAAAAAGGTTGAAAATGCCACTTATTCGGTACCTAATCATGTAAGTCTATAAGATGACATTTATAAAAAAAAAATATAAATATAAAAATATACACACATGCTGATATTTTTTTTTTATAGAAGCAGCAAAAAAATAGTAATGGTCCTTCAAGAAAATCAAATTAATCTATCAAAAAATTATTATCTATTTTTTTAAGTTTTTTTCTTTTTTTTTTTTTTTTTTTTTTTAAGCTCTTTTTTTTTTAGTTCTTTTTTTTTTAAGTTCTTTTTTTTTTTTAAGTTCTTTTTTTTTTTAAGCTCTCTTTTTTTAAAATTTAACAGCTATTTCTGTATAACAACCTTATATTCTTATTTCTTCTATTTGTAAATACATATATAAAAAAAAAATCATGTATTATTAAAATATCTCGATAACAATAATAATAATAATAACAATAAAAAAAAAGCTTCCAACAGCGCACTCTTACAATTAAAAGAAGCCTTCAAATATATTATTGATATGTATATGCAGTAAAGATTGGTAACTCTGCCATGTGTGTCTAACTAAGTTTGTGATAATAAAAGGACATTTCTCTTTAAAGCCAAAGCCCTTATTGTCGTGTTTACTTGTATGAAACAAGTTATAAATTATAGTTAATCATTTTTTTCAGTTCCTGAATAAAAGGCGGACATGTGGATATTCAGTTTACGATTTTATTATTAAAATAAAATAAAACAATCTAAATGAACACCTCGTAATATTTTATTTTTTAACTATATTCGCCCCCTCCCCCCTCCAAACTACTAGTTCAAAAGGAAGAAAGGGAACTAAATAATCCTTATAAGAGACAAGAGGTAAAAAAAAGCAAAAGATGAAGGAAAGAATGACCTTAAATATGAGTAGAGAAGAACTATTCTGTCTGTATAGAAGTAGAATTACGTCTATTAAAAGTATAGCAAGTTTTATGAACACTTTTTTTTTTTTTTTTTTTTTTTCAAGGTTCAGACAAGGCGTCTCCGTTCTCAAGGAAAGATCTTACGACTGCGTTTTGGATGGGAAGGGGAAGGGTCCAGAGTTTAGAAAGAACTTTCATTGAGCATTTATGTTGGATTCTGGTGGTAGGCTTCATTATATTGTCTTTATTCGTTTTAGGTTAGGTTTGAAAAAAAAAAAATTGGCAAAGCTGGGTTCTTGAAGGTAAGATAGTCACCGTTGTAGCGGTTGAAATCTGCTGTAGCTTAGAAGATATTGAATTTGTCCACTTGATTTTTAAATTCAAGTACATGGTCAAAATATATTAGGAGTGATGTATATCAAAGTAGATCCATGGTGTTGCTACGAAACTAAAAGAAAATGGCTTTGGTATAAGGACACTGAAAAAGCCAAATTCAGGGATAAAATATCATATATTAATTTGCATGAGTTTTTTTTTTTCTCTTTTCTTTTCTTTTGAGTTACACAGATATTTACCAAAAAATTTAAAAGATACTGAATACAACCTTCACTTCTCTTTAAATGTATTCTCACTAAAAGCTGTCAAACATAATCTTTTTATAGCCCGTTTATTAAAATTAAATTAGTCACGACTATTTCAGTGCATGCAATATATACGGATCAATTCTTATTCTTTTACGCCATCAAAACTACAATGGTATTTAAATTTTAGCATTCCTATTTAGCATAGGTATTTATTTAATTTCTCATATAAAAAAAAATAAAAAACACCCCCATCAACAAAGAACTACATCTACATCTCTAAAATCATTTGGAATATAATAAGCTTGTTTGCAATAGAAGAGAATATGCATACAAGTGCTTTGATATAAATACATGTATAATGAATAAATAATTGCTTGAAACTATAATTGATCAATTGATCAATGTACATTTATATATTTAAATACTTTTGACAAGTCTCTTTCCTCCCCCCCTTTTTTTTTTTGAATAAACCCAGTTACCTCGCATGAGTAATATGGTATTTCTACTTCAAATCCAGACAATATTAGTAAATACAAAATTTAGACAGATTGAAGCTTATGCTTGGACTGGTAAAAAAAAAAAAAAAAAAAAAAAAAAAAGTTTAATCGTATAACTCAGTGAAATCTGATTGTCGCCCCTATTCTCACAATACCAATGACAAGAAGTGAACGGTTTCGTTGCGTGCGATGGCGACTTGGTTGGTTACCTCTTGGTAAACCCTCCCCCAAGCCTTGCCCCTTCCATCTAAATGAACTCTTCACACGCTCACATAGTGTTTCTTGTTTGCATATGCATAACCGCCTTCAGATGCCCCAAATCTATTGAATATACACTCACTCTTTTATCTCTTGAATCTTCTATTACCATCGACATTCCATACTAAGAAAGTAAAAAAAATCAATTGATGTCTGGCTCATACACTGGCCTTCTATATGTGCCATTCTGCTTGGAGATGGACTATCTAGCTTCACTCCCAAATTCATGAACCCTCTGACCATCATCTTCTTTCAATACAACAACGAATTTCTGATAGTTAATTATCATCACTTATGCATACACTTTAACATTTTCCCCTTTATATCCCAAAAGGGTTTTTCTTTCCATAGCGGCCTGATTAGAGCAAGCTTGCATCTATAAATGCTATGTGCCCATTGGCCATTTTTTAATTTTTTAATTTTTAAATAAAATTCAGTAGTTTAATCGTATAACCTAAGACCATGTTGTAGGACTTTGAAAAGCATGAAAGCAATGTTAGCTGTGAACGTTCTCTGCAGGCTTTGAAAAATATCCTTAGTTTCGACACAACTAAATAATAATAATAATAATAATAAATGAGTTGACTTGCTTAATCTTCAAGTAAGGTGTCTATCAAGAACGTTTCATCTTGAAAGTTTTCTTGTTGATGCTTGCAAACTGATACTTTTAGTATGCTAATGGTAATACTATTTTATATATACATTTATAGAACAAAGGTTAAGCAGTATGAAATGGCCTGTGGTAAAAAGTGTATAGAGTTGTTATTTTAGCATAATTTTAATGGATATACTGCTGTGGATGAAATAGAAAATGAAAATAGGGATCTACAACACGTGACTACTTCAACACCGCTTCCTACTGTTTGTAAAAAAAAAAAAAAGAAAAAAAAAGCATTGAAATGATAGTTGATAAAATCAAAAAAAAGTAGGTAGACTAAAGACTGTCAATGTTGAATTAACCGCTCACAAATATGTTTATACTTATTTTCTTAAAATGTTTGAACAAAGAAAGCAATAATTAATTAATTTAGTTAGTTGTTTCTGTTAGAACGGTTTTATCATCGTTAAAAAATTACATTCGTGGTGAGACCAAAATTTCTATTTTTATTTTCATTTTTTTTTAAAAAAAAAAAAAAAAAAAAAAAAAAAAATATGTATATTTTCAAATGCAACACTATTTTTTGTTTGTTTGTTCCTTTTTGTTTCTTTTTATATAACAAATGGGTAAAGCACAAAGTAAATTAAGTCCGGAACAGTTAAATGACCTTCAGAAGTGTACTTATTGTAAAGTAGATTTTTCTTTTCTTTTTAAAAAAAAATAATAATGATAAAGGATATAATATAAATGACTAAATGGTTACGTTAAATAGTCGAAAAAAAGGAATTACAACAATGGTATAGTCTATTTACATGAGCAAATAAAATATAGTGACTAAAGTAATAACAACAGGTATAAAGGATTCTTAAAAGATTGTCCATCAGGTCAATTAGATAAAACTGAATTTCAAAAAATATATAAGCAATTCTTTCCTTTTGGTGATCCTTCTCGATTTGCAGATTATGTATTTAATGTATTTGATAATGATAAAAATGGTATGATTGACTTTAAAGAGTTTATTGTGGCATTATCAGTAACAAGCAGAGGTCGAGTGGATGAAAAGTTATTATGTAAGTTTGTAAAAAAAAAAATATATATATATGGATATATTAAAATATACGTTGGATAAGACATTCATATACTTTATTTTAGGGGCATTTCAAGTAAGTTTTTTTTTTTTTTTTAAAAAAAAAAAAAGAAACTCTTTCTTCAATTATTTATATTTACATGTGGTGTGATAGCTTTATGATATTGATAATGATGGATTTATTACTCGAGATGAAATGTTGTGTATAGTAGATGCAATTTATAAAATGGTGGGAAGTATGGTGAAATTACCACCCGATGAAGATACACCAGAAAAGCGAGTTAATAAAATATTTGACTTAATGGACAATGTATGTTATTTTATTTTTATTTATTTATTTTCTTAATACTAAATAGAACTGTTTATAGGATAAGGACGGTAGATTATCTATGGATGAATTTAGAGAAGGATCAAAGAAAGATCCTACTATTTTACAAGCATTAAATTTGTACGATGGAATGGTTTAATTTAATAAAATGATGAGGAATTATTATTATTTTTTCTTTTTTCTTTTTTTTGGGTTTATTAATTATAGAGAAAAACTAGCCCTTTGGTTATCAAGTCGTGGTTTTGATTTATAAATAAAATTCAATATATGCTGTAAATCCTCTTCTTTACTTTTTAAATTAGCATCTTGATTAACAAGTCGATAGCCTTCAAGTGATTCGACTTTATTAAATAATCTAAGCATAAATAAATCCCGTTCTTTCATTGCTGACATGCTATATCGTTGTCTATTATAAAAGGTAGTTCGATGACTATCAAGTGACTTGACCAGCAAGTCTGTTGTATGAGTTAAATCTTTTATCAAAACTTCTTCATGAGATAACCAGTCCTAACGATGATAATAAATAAATAATGGTTTTAAAGAATATTAAATACACATACATGGTCTGTATAATAGGTCTTCTTATTCATTCTATCAAAAATGATACGTCGAATAAAGGTAAAATCAAGCTTCTTTTGCTGTTGACATTGAAGCACACGTTGATTATCTAAAGATCTTAAAGCAGATTTTTCTATTTGTTGAACTAATTCTTGTAACAAAATCTTGTCATTTTTCTTTGGTGGTGATAAACGAACTCGTTGATCTTCCATTCGACCCCTTGATAAACGCTCAATGACTTTGTCTAGGCTTGCAGCAGCTAAATCTTTCATTTGTTCTTCACTGAAACTAATACGTTGATTATGAAACTGTGGTGCTATTTGTGCTAATTTATCAATCGCATTTAATAGTTCATCTAAATCTTCTTTATGATTGGATAATATTCTTTTTTCAGTTTTTTCAACCTTTTCTACTTTAGTTGCCATGATTGACTCATATGCAGGAGGGGAAGCATATAAAGGATAATTTGTTGAGTCGTTTATGACTGGTTTAGCTTCATATGCAGGAGGTTGTTGTTGGGCAACTAATTCTTTTACTACATTCATTAAATGATTCATTGTGTCCCAAGTTGTAATTATTTCTTGATTTGCATCTGTTTCATCTAACGTTATGTTACCAGCCGCTTTTTCTCTCTGAAAGAAGGAAACTTTATTATGAAGTTCTTGTTGAAGTAGAGTACTATCAGCAGATAACCTTGATAATGAGTCCTGCTGAATTGAATTAAGTTCTAACAAGTGATAAATGTCGTTTAAAAGAGCTGCTAATGAACAACATAAAGTATAGTCATGTTGACTCATTTGGGTATTATGTGAATCTAATATTTCATGTACTTTTGATAAAGTAGTTGTAGGAGATGATTGACTACGTATCATTGGACTACTTGTAAACTGTTCTTGTATCAAGTTTGTATTTTGAGTAATAGAATCCAACAAGTCACTTTGTTCATAACAAGAGGATCTTCTTTCATAGTAATTCAAGTCTTTTATAATTTGTAATAAAAGTAAATCCAACACATTAAGACAAACATGTTTAACTGACTGAAGTGAATTGATAACTTCAGAAGATAAGCATTGAGAGTTAATAATAACCCTTGAATATTCCATAGGTTCTTTGGAAAGGCTTTCAAGGATTGGGTCATTTGTTAAGTCGTCATCATGAACAATATTATCTTGTTGTTGTTGTTGTTCAGCCTATATATATAAAAAAAATAGAGACAAATATAAACATGTTTCTATTTTAAATGGTGACTTTTAATTAGTTTTGTAAAGGAACTTACACTATTTCTAGATGCATTTAATTTTTTCTTTTTTCTTTCTAAAGTAGCCATCATGAACAGAAAGGGAAAGGAAAGAAAAGGAAAGAAAAGAAAAGAAAAAGAGTGTAATTTATGTATTTTATTACATAAAAGTTTATATTTAAAAATAAATGGGGATATATTTGATTTTGCTCCTTCCCCTCAATTAAGAAATGTTGTATAACTCTGTATTACCCTACTCTACTTGCTCTTTTAAGCACAGTTAATTATAGGAGAAGACATCTAAGCTCGATAAACTATTACATTTTAAAATAATAACAATAAAAAGAATTCGCCCGGAGGGGAAGCTCTTTAATAAAAAAAAAAAAGTGAAAGGATTAAACCGCCTTCCCCCCTCCTTAATAGGCTTAAAAGGAGAAGAAAGAGAAAGGAGGTCTACATAGCAGGTAAGCATTTCTGGTTTAATTCCAGACGTTTTTTAATTGATAGTAAAGGTAATTATGAATAAGATTAAAATTAGCGTTAAATAACTTATGCCATTCCAGATCAATAAGGAGATAGCCTTCAATTGTTAGTAACATTAACACCACACTGCCAAAATGTACTACCTGTTTTACACGTGAAAACACTTCAGCCTCAGATTTGTTTGTAGCTCTTCAATGCGACCGTGTTATGTCGACTACAAATTCTTGACGCTTTATACTCACTCACAATTGTCAAAATCTGAAGATCACCAGCTTAATATCGTTTCTGTTGTAGCACACACACACACAAGATACTGGTTATTACGCATTTATTACCCTTCAACTTGACGAGATCTTTTGTCCAAATATGTCTGTTCTAAAGTCAATCAGACGTACTTTCTAATGATCTTCTTTGAACTATTCTGACAGTCATTTTTTATTAAATTGATATCAATATTATGCGATATGTAAAAAATCATAGATTACTAACTATCTCTTAGCAATTATGTTTTTTACCTAATTTTGCTGTCTTCAACTGGATTCAACTTCTTCTTTTTCCTTCTTATCCTTATTTTTTTTTCTATTTCTCTTCTATTTCGCTTGTTATGTTTCTTCCTTCCATTAAACATTTGGCTAACCAGCCTGTCTGCAGCTCTTTGATAACCTTGATATAAGTTGAACTTTTCTTTTGCCAAATAAAAGTTATATAAAGGGAAATAATCTTTTCTGCAGTAATATTCATTACCAAGTGTTATTCTAGTCGTGAAATAACAGATCATCGCCTAATTAGGAATAGGAGTTGCACCTGATATTTACAAAGGTGGATATTATAGGAGATAGTCAATGTCGTATAACAAAAATGATCTACTACTAGTACAAGGTGATACTATATTGATATTTCTCTAAGCTCAAAATATATTGAATGATAATCAATTAATCCAAGAGGAAGTAATCCACTGTAGCAGTAGAGACTTGAAAACTTTAACCCAAAAAAACATATTACCCCTCTGTAGATACTTTTCAATTATTGGAGAGTTGCAATATTGTATAGTATTGCTTATTTAAGGCATAAAATTCGAATGGTAAATATATAGAAACAAGAGAATATCATACTATCTTGTTCGCCTCTATCTCTATTCTTTCTCAGTAATCAATTATTATATGTATTTTAAAAGTCTATATAGAAGGACGCTTTATGACGGTCTTGTGTAAACTTGATACCATATATGAACAGAATTTGTTGTATTATATTTCTTGAAAATAAGTCATGGATAATATTTATTGTTCAAGGAGATATAGACTATTGACCAAACTGGTATGATGGATAGCAATCATGATCAATTTACAGCGACTACAATCATGAATTTTTATATAATCAAGTCGGAGCACATGACACTGATGGTTAAAGCACACTATAATATGGCAATCCTTCCTTCACAACAATAGAGTTCCTTTAATTTAAATAATATATCTTTTTTTTTTATCAGAATAATTTATCATTCGTTTTCGATTAATATATAATTGAAATAAATACATATTTGTATATAAGAATGTTTTGTTTCGTCTAACATGTATAAAATAAAGAATTATTGTATTTTACTAATTTTGTTATTATTGTTTATTCATATTACACAATGTACTGATAACGATAAAGATCAAGAAAGGAAAAGTAAAATAGTTTATTTATAATGCTTTTTTTTTTCTGCTTCCATATAAAATGAGATTACATGACCCGTCTTTATTTTAAATAGGTTCTCTACTAAAAGAAAAGATAGTGATCGACCATGGTTTAGGTATACAACAACTACAAGCAAAAAAAAAAAAAAAAAAAAAAAAAAAAAAGGCTTGATATGTTAACATTTGGCATCGTGTAACAAAATAGAATTGTACAAAAATCTTCAAAATCATGAATCTGATTGCTTTAAAAAAGTAACTTTAAAACTTATTCATGGCTGCAATTCTTTAAATATAGACAGTATTGAAAATATGGAATGTTAGCTAAATACAAATTTTTTTTTATGCGTGTATCCCAGACTGTATACATATATGCATATTAATTTGAAAAAAACTAATTTATATTATAGATGCTCTTATGTTAACATTATGTGAACTATCCTTAGCCCATATTCCTATACCAGTTGAATGTCAAAATATAGAAGAGAACACGAGAAAAAAACAAAATAAAATTAGATATTGTGTTCAGTAAATTTTATATAGAAATATTCTATGGGGCTTTTACATATTGTATATATTTTTAGAAAACTATCAACTTTACCACAAACATGGACATCTTATAGCGGTAATTCTCTATACACATATATTTATAATACACTATATTATTAATATACATATATATATATATATGTATGTATGTATGTATATGTATCTATAAGGCTATTTTCGTGATGTTGGTAAGCTTTGTTAATATCTCAGTTTTAGATTTTGCAAAATATTTAATATTATTCAATATGATTAGTGGTTATATGTTTCGCTATTCGATATCCCATGGAAAAGGGTATATATGATTACTATATATGGCCTTAGTATCAATATTAATACAGTTTTGATACTATTACAGAGATCCTTGAAAGGCTTCATACAAACATTACTTTAAATCAAGCAAAAAATTTTGATCTTTTACAAAAGCAACAGGATTACTTGATGCATTGGAGAGAAGAAGAACTCAGTACACTTCATCATTTAAAACATTCTCAGCATGAACTCCTGGTACAAATGGATGCCGTACGTGATACTCATCTTAAGACTGTCAACCAAATCCAATCTATCTTTGATGCACTTGTCCTTTTACAAAATCAAACAGAGGTCATGATGCAACGTTATAATCAAATGGTAGAATATCATATTCAAGAGGTCACAACCCAATTCAATCAACTCTCTTTACGACAAGAGGTAGAAGTGGACCATTTCTTGAGTTCTATTATGAATGGTCTAAGAAAGTTAGATGAACAACTTGTTCGAATGACTGCTACACAGCAAGATGTGTTTGAGCATTGGGAAGAAGCAAAGGCAAGTAAAATAAATAAATAATGATGCTTGAATGAATCAAATCATTCACATTCCATAATAATAGTCCATTCAAGGTAAATACATGGATATATGGCAAGAAACAGTCGAGCAAATCAACACTAGTTTAAATCAAATCTTGGATCAGACCCTGAATCATGCAAAGGACTTGCAAGAAGATTTATCGATTATACAAGATAAGATTTTATTTGTTACTTTCCCCTTTAAATGGCTAACGGAATTTTCAACAGATCTAATCTCAGGTAAATAAGTACATGACGAGTTTACATTTAGGCTTAATTTCTTTCCCTCCTTTTTTTTTTTGCCTCGTATCTATAGTTATTGAACGATTTGTTTTAGACGTTTTGATCTATACTATGCTATTCAATTATGTCTATCATAACTCGTTATTCAATAATCGTGCTTATCATCCTTTAATGACCAAGTTTGGAGTATCTCTAGTATCAGTATTATGTAAGTTATAACAGTCATCACATACATGAATAGACTCATAATGTGTTATACAGCACAGTTTTATCTTTTACAATATTTCAAAGGATTAAATCCTGATATATTCAATACGATTTATTTTAGATTGATTATCATTATTTTAGAGGTATACCAAAATCAAACTTGTATTATGAATATGTCACTAATTTGTATATAGTGGATTCTAAAGAATTATTCCAGACAAGTATGGAGAAAACTTGATAGGCAACACTTTTCTCTATTAACCTCAAAAAATAAACGCTCCATCATAAATCACGATAAAACAGGTTTAGTAGATGAAGCAGTGACAGCTGTTGTACCTCATATAAAACCATCAAGGTTCCTAAATGGTAATAATTCGTCAGAAAAAATGATGATCAATAGAAAGAAACAATCTATAGTATATTACTTTCAAAGATATCATTATAATCCACATAATGAACATAATAAAGCTGAAACATTTAGTAATCAAGAAGAAGAAGAAGAAGAGGAAGAAGAAGAAGATATTATTATAAATAATCATGGTGTGCCAGAAAATAAACCAGATAAAGTTACCTATAAAAAGGACTATCCAAGCTACCATTTCCATCGCTATTATGATAAATAAAAGCTAGCTTTGGCTCACACATAAAAGCCGCAATATTTAAATTCCAAACTTTTATTGGACAATGCATTTTTTTTTATTGTTATTAAATAATACGGGTATTTTTTTTTTTTTTTTTTTTTTTTTTTATTCTTTTTTCTTTTCGTTACTTTTTAATAATGTCAGCTGTGACCGCAGTCAGTAATCCTCCACCAACTCCCATTGATACTCCAACAACAATTAAATCAGCTTCAGCAACAAAAACAGGCAATGAAGAAAAGAAAAAGAAGCGAATTAAAAGGAAATCAAACCGACATTCACGTAAACAACCAACTCTAAAAACTAAGGTCGTCGTTAGACGACTTCCTCCCAATCTTCCAGAAGAAATTTTTATGAATTCAGTTAAGCCCTGGGTATCTGAAGAAACTGTCGATTATACCTTATATGTTTCGGGTAAATTAAGTAAAAGGTATGAATATCAAATACATAGACAAGAACTTATTGCAAGAAGATGTTTACATTGATAAATTATTAAAAACAGTAAAGCAAAAGAAAGCGTCTTTTCTCGTGCTTATTTTCACTTTAAATCAATGGAAAATGTAATTGCTTTTCATCAGGGATTTGATGGTCACATTTTTATTGATAATCGTGGTAAGTCTCAATAATAATAGTAAAAGTGCCCAAAGCCGAACATTTATATATTGACGATCATGTTTTTCTTTTCTTTTATTTTTTTTTTCTTTAAAAAAAAAAAAAAGGCACTGAAAGTAGAGCTGTTGTCGAGTTCTCACCTTATCAAAAAATCCCTAAAACAAGTAAAAGTGTAGATGCTCGCCAAGGGACCATTGATGAAGATCCAGATTACTTGAACTTTTTAGAATCTTTAAAAGTTGAAGAAGCAACTCAAAATGAGCAACAAAGTGAGCATGCAGATGGTCTTACTCAAATTGAAAGATTAGAAAATAGGATTGCCTTGGTAACAGGTAATATATATATATATCTGCTAAAATGATGGCGTATTCCTGATCGTGTTATATACAGCTCAAACATTAGCAGCCGAACAAGCGAGTAAACCTAAAACAACCCCTCTCTTGGAGCACATCCGTGCTCAAAAAGCTGCTCAAGCAGCAGCGAAGGCTAAAGCAGCAGCTAAAAAAGCGGCTAGAAGAAAGGCTGAAAGGTCAAATACGAAAAAGAGTGGTACTGATCAAGCAGCAGCTACTAGTCAAGATGGTACTTCATCACCTGTGGCAGATACAAAGAAAAAGAGAGAAAGAAATAGAAAGAAGAAGGAACCAGTTAGTAAAAAGGTTCCAGGAAAAGAAGATACTGCAAGTGTTATTTCAGATACATCTTCTGTAGCATCTTCATCAAAATCCCGACCATTTAGAAGACCTGCCAAAGAAGAAAGACCTGCCAAAGAAGGTAGACCTGCCAAAGAAGGTAGACCTTTAAAAGATCAGCAGCGGTCATCGAGACCACCAAAGGAAGGTAGTAATAACAAGCCCAAAAAACAAAACAACAACAATAGAAAACAAAATAATGAGCAACCTCAAGTCATAAAAATTCTTGGACGTCAATCATCATCATCACCTGGACCCAACACTACAGGATAAAAATAAACTGAATAATGACTTTGAGAGAATCCCGCCAAATTCTTTCATTTTTCTTTTTCTATAAAATTTTTCAAGGCAAACCAATGGCAAACCAATGGCAAACAACAGAAGCACAAGAGTCGAAAAAAAATATATATATTTATATGTATAAGTTTTGGATAAAAGAGCGAAAGAAAAGGAAGACAGTATTATATTATGAAAGCAAATCACATAATTTTCTTTTTCCTTTTGTATATCAATTTAATACATATATTTTTTTTTTTTTTTTTACTCTTGATCCTAATATATTTTATTATTCTTCTTTGTTACATCTTTATTAAAGACATTATTTGTTATACTCTTAGATCATTGCATGTGCGATAAAATAGAAAACATAGCTTATTAAAAACCACTAACAAGAAAAAAAAAAAAAGTTGAATAATAAAGCCTAATAGGTGACTAGTGATTTAGATATAAAATGTCTCCCTTTTTTTTATTTTTTTTATTTTTTTTTTTTCTGATTGGTGATCATGTCAACAGACGAGTTTACAACGAACAATAAAAAACAATCATCCGCTAAAAATCAAATCGAGACATCGTTTGATCCTTTAATCCCATCTTTTAAAGCGCTCGCTGATGGTTTGCAATCTATGCATAATCAATTCGAGTCATTAGTCCAAGTAAATAATTCACTTATCGATTTTAATGAATCATTTAGTGCATTTCTTTTAGCAATGGCAATTAATGATACAACGGTTAATTGGACAAAGGTAGCTTTATTTTTATTTTTATATAGAACACGCACTTTAATAAAATTCGATTTAACTAAAGACTGCTTGTTCAGGCACCAACAGAAATAATGATTGAAAGGCATATAGAACACATGAAACGAATGAATTCATTAGGTACATTAAATGAACTTTTCCTTTTTTTAATAAAAAAACTAATTAATATTACAGAATCTACCAAACCTGTTCAACCGCAGATTACTTCAACAGGAACTAAACAGAGTAATCAATCTTCAAACAATAGTACCAATGCAAATAATAAGAAAAGAAAAATAGTAACAGAACAAAATGCATCCATCGTACCCGATAGACGTTTTGTATCCAAGGTAATAAAGCTTTAAACATGTATTTATTTATTTATTTATTTTTTTGTAACCAATTTACTTATATAATATAAAGATCAACATCAATAGCATTATAGATCATTTACCGCTGAGATATAGAGAACGTTCAGTAAAGTTTCATGATGATTTTATTTTTATCTAAACTAATAATTTTATTAGGAACCTATGCAAAATATGAAAAAGGTATTGAAGGTACTCAAACTCCATCCAAGTGGATTGTAAGTATAAATGATTGAAAAAAAAAGTGATTGATATTTGAAACTTATTCTATTTTTTTTTTTCCTTTTGTGTGTAATAGAACTATGAAAGAGTTAGCGCGTGAAACACAAATAGCTCAGTACAAAGTGACAGAATGTATCAACGCCTTAATACATGCTAAGGAAGTCATGAAAACAAGTGAACCAGTAAGTCGGCTAAAGAGACTTAATATGCACTTATTATATGAATTAAATTGTATAATTTTAGGGACAATATAGTAGATTTCATTTAGATCAATCTAAATATCCTAGTCAAGCGCAATAATGTATATAGCATTGAATTCTTATCCTGTGTCAACCATTTACTCTATTATTTAATGTATATTCCCCCTCTCTTTTACGTTGTTTTTTTTTTCAAGAAAAAAAAAACGCAACACATATTATTATTTAAAATGGTGGCTCCATAATGAAAGGTCTTCCAAACATTCAATTATGATATTTAATAAATCAACTTTAAAGATATAATACTTTTCAATCAAAAGTAGTATTACATCTTCAAAGAAGTCTGAAATTAATGCAAGTAAAAAAGCAGTCCTAATATGACTGCTGAAACAGGGAAAAAATTTTTCTTTTTTTTTTTTTTTTGTGAAAACATAAAAAGGCAGAGGTATTTATTATTATAATTTTTTTTTTTTTTTTTTCTTTAACTTTCGTATCTGCCTTAGATCCTTTGTCAGGGTCAAGACATTCGTTGTCCTTGGCTCACAAAGCTTACGTTTTGCTTTCCATTGACAAAGCTTGAGTCATTCAGGTACAAGATATTTTATACCTCCATTTTGGTCCAGTTTATATGAAATTTAGGCTTTTCTCTCTCTCTCTTTTTAAGGGTGAGAGAGATTCTCAACCTGATATCATGGATTCGTTTGGGGAAATTTTTTATGAGTTTATCTCGGTTAAAAGAAAAAAAAAATGAAAAAAAAACATCTTATATTGATTAAAAGAGTTTATTATGGTGTTGATAATATTATCCAGCAACACACCTTAAAATATGCTTTCATCAAAAAAAAAAAAAGATACATTATATTATGATATTTTGAGTGATTATTCATTTCACAGTTCGTATATAAAGATGCTTAGTCTATTATGGAATAAAAAATAAAAATAAAGAGAGAGACGGGGAGGAGGAGGGGGGGGTATAAAAGCAAAGAGAAATGTCATCTTAGTTATTTGTGCTTTGCTTCTTCTAATTGTCTATCAACAAATTGCTTTAAACTTTGCATTGTAAGGGGATAATTAGCTTGTATTTTGAATTCTTTTTTCACCCATTTTGATAGTTTATCTAGCGCCTCTTGATTTTTAAATCTTTCATCTATCAATATAATGGCGCCCCAATCATTTTTATGTCGAATACATCTTCCTAATGCTTGGTTAATAGCTCGATACGCCTGAGCAGTATACCATTCAGTGCCGGAAAGAACAGTTTGCTCATTAGATTGGGATTTAATTTTATTGTTGTATTCTCGCTTGAGGTTTGTTTCTAAGCTTCTAAAGCTGGGGAAAGGAATACCTAAAGTAACAACAGCACGACAATAATTATCACTAAAGTCAATACCTTCACTCACTTTGCCTCGAAACACGGCAAACATTAAAGCACCGTCTTGACCTTCTTCATCAGGGCCCTCTTGGACCGAATGTATTTTCCCATAAAAGGTATTGAGAACAGACTCAAACTCTCTCTTATCACCACCTTTGGGTTCTGAAAGTATAAGTTTCTTTTCTTTTATCTTATCTAATATCCCTGTCAGACTCCATCTATTGAGCATAAGATCTAATACCTTGTATGACGGTAAAAAGCAAAGCACACCATATGGAATAGTATGAACTATTTCACAAAGTGTTGCACCCACTTCATCTTGATATTGAAGAGAGCCTATGTTGTTAAAGACCCCTTTTAAGGGTATACCGGTTGGTCCATGAGAGATAGCACTGACCCACACCTGAGACGGTTTAATAACATGATTTGCTTCTAATTTCCCAGTAAACTTGGCTCCTAATTCAGCAGCGAATGTATTTAGCGGTGATAAAGTTCCACTTGTTAATATAACCGAATGAGTATTCTCAGCCATCAGATTAAATAAAATGGCAGGATTAAGACACCAAAACGCCAATTTATGATTCCAAGGGGATTCAGGAACTAGTGGTGTTTTTGTGCTTGCTTTACGTTTTCTATTACTATCATTACCTTTGAACATAGTTTTCATAAAGACCATTTGATAATCTTCAGCATAATTATGTTCAGAATCGAAAATGAAACCTAATATAGTCATCAAACCTTGTAAGATATTAAGTGAACTCACACTGAGGCATTTAATACGATGTATTTTCACTTCAGAGTCATTTTCTTCAGCATCTTCATAATCAATATGGTCAATGACTCTCTCTTCTGCCTCTTTACGAATCATATCCGCATGGTTAGATGCAATCTTGAATGCGGGCATAATTGCATTATTGAATGTATTAACAGAAATATTAACTTTGTCTAATTGTTGAATCATTTCTTGACCAGTCCAACTAATATTTACATACATATTTGATTAAAAACACACACACACATAGGAGAAAAAAAAAAAGGGAAACACTTACTGGCACGCTTGCTGCTCATAATCTTTAACAATGTATTTAATTTCATCAGATAGCATCAGGTTATACAATTGCTCTATAATCTGCATATGTATATATAAAAAAAAAATTAAAACTTGTACTTAATATAGATAGGCTTGTAATTACCAACTCAATCTGTTTGTGTGCTTCTTTTTGACCACCAAATTTAACAACTAGAGATAATTCTTTAAGAAGTGCTTGTAACGACTCTTCATCAATTTCGAATGATCCAGCAGCTCTTGAAGCATCTTCGATGTTATGGGCTAATATATGTAGGTTATAGATTAGATTATCATATATGTATATATAACGGGAACACTAACCTTCATCTAAAATAATAATACTGTTTTTAAGATTAATGTCTAGGACCTTACGAATAACTGGATCAATGATATAGTTGTAAGGAGCAAATATAACCTCTGCACCTTCATAGAGTTTTCTAGCAGCGTAATAAGGACAGCCTCCTACTTTCTTTCCAAGTTGGACCATATCCTCAATATCCCAAACCCGGTTTGTTGTTTTCAATGAAGGATGTGATAATAAAGCATGAGTCCTTGATCCAAATGGGCATTTATTTTCGTCAATCAACTTGGTACTATTATAAATTTAAAACAGATTATAACGAGATATTCGGCCATCTTGTCATAAATTAATATTTACCAGTCATCAGATTTTGTATTGGATTTTGAAACTTTGGGATGAACTTCAAAAAATAATTCAAAATATAAAACTTAGGTACAAATTTAAATATTTATAGGTAAATGGTAACTTACTGCATAAATGATCACGACTTGCAAGAACGGTGACACGAGGTCTATAGCGAGTATTATACTTTAATTCTGACACAAGCTGAGCAATCTGTTTATGACTATAATAAAAGAATACAATTGAATTAAATGCATAACATAAAAAAAAAAAACATACGTTCGACTTCCAATAAATATACGAGGAACCCTTTTGTAGGTATCATATTTCAATGCATTAGCTTCTTCTAAAGTCGACATTTCAGTTTTTTTATTAGAAGAACTTGTGTCTTTCATATCATTGTCATTATTATCGTCAATGGTGATTATATCAGATTTAGCATTTTCTACTTTTATAACATATCTAACTAAAGGTTTTTGAAAATCATCATCATCAACAGAAGTATTTGCTGTTACTGTCTTAATTCTTTTAATCACTTGTTGTGGTTGCTCAATTTCAGTTGACTGGCTCAATTCACGTTTATTGTTGTCGTTCGTAGGAAGCTCTTGTTTCTTCTTAAGGAGCTCTGCCGCTACTTTTCTTTCTTCATTTTCTCTCCAAGCTAGAACAAAGTAGCAAAGTGTTAGCCTCGAAACATATATAATTATGTTATTCCATTTACCTAAAGCTGCACAAAGTAATGCTAGCGACTTGCCAGAACCTTTTTTTTTTAAAAAGAAAAAAAAAGCAATAAACAAACATAAACAGTATCAGAAATGTATCTTCATTTAAATAAATACAAGTAAGGATAGTAAAAATATACCTGTTGGGCTCTCAAGTAAAGCATTTTCATTATTATTTAAAGCATGAACGATCTATTAATAATAATAATAATAAAGCTAAGTGTTAGATCCATATGAAGATCTAAAAGATGAGTAATATCTCACTTTTTGCATCATTTGAACTTGTGCACCATCTAGAATTAAAATCAGTATTTAGTTCTAAGGATCTCAATCAAATTATAATACAGCCGTTATATTTACAGGGTTTTAAAGGGAAATCGATGCGAACATTTTCAATTGTAATGGTTTGACTTTGTTGTGGAAGTCGAGATTTCACAACAGATTTTATTGATCTTTGTGATTCAAGATCTTTTCCGTTTTCTTCCTTATTGCGCCTTCCTCTTTTTTTTATGAAATTATCTAAAGTTGTATTCATAGCAATATATACTTATTGGGCGAAATATAAGTATATCTTGTCTTGTATTTATGTTAAAAAAGAAAAAAAAAAAAAAAAACTAACGAAGTTAAATAATTATAGTTCCTTATATTAGGTAATAGATTTGGGATACAGCAGCAGGCTCCTACTATTAATTTTGATACTCACATTGAAAACTAATTGGCATTTATTTTATTTTATTTTATTTTTTCTTGGGACAGATAAACAAAAAAAATGTCAAAAATGATTTATTCTTTATACATTATTAATAAGGCAGGTGGTCTTGTTTATCAAAAAGATTTCACAAACAATCTAGAAAAGTTATCTAGTAATGAATACTTGGTGCTAGCTGGTACCTTTCATGGGTAAAGTAGTAGTAGTAGTAATAATAATAATAATTTAATTGAATGCTCATTACCAGTAATAATAATAACTCTGTTCGAGAATAGTGTTCATGCGATTACTTCCAAAATTTCACCTGTTCATAATTCATCCGGTTTAGAAATGTTAGAAACAGACAACTTTAAACTTTATTGTTTCCAAACTTTAACAGGTAATGAGCATAAATGGACGATACTATTTTATCTAATTTGATGGAATTGTAGGCACCAAGTTCTTACTAATAACTGCACCACAATTAAATAATGTTGATTCATACATGAAGAATATTTATGATATATATAGTGATTTCGTTATGAAGAATCCTTTCCATACTCCAGAAATGCCCATTCGTTCAGACCAATTTGATCAGTCTTTATTAAAATTCATCAATGCTTCAAGCGCATCTTAAGCAAAAAGTAATATAGGAAATAAATATCTTTTTGTATACATAGCCTCTGTGACTTTAATCAGTATATAATAAAAGTTAAATGACCAAGCTTTTATATAATTGATTTTTTTTATTATATTAAACTAGGTACAGTGGGTCTATATAGCACATCAAGTGGGAAATCTTCATGGTCAACACCAAATGCATACTATACATCACTAAAGCCATGCATATTATATATTTAAATACTCAGTAAATTCCTACTCATGGCATACTAAGATGATTCGAAAGCTATTTTTTATGTTATAATCAAATAACGTATACTTTTTCTCTCTCACTCTCTCAAAACTGTTATGCTAATTTGATGGAGAATAATATACATACTTTTATTATCGTGCTTTATTTTACATTTTGATGTGTACGTTAATAAATAGATCTAAATGGTATGTGGATTGGAGTTAAATGGTGACCAGATACCACGAACGCTTTCTGTGGTAGAAATAACAGGCTTCTTTGTTAAATCTTTCATTTTTTCGCCACTTGAGTCTCTTAAAAGTTCCACTTTGGTTTTGATTTCTTTTGGTGTTAAGTTGCGAGTACAAATGACTTTGTCACGACCATTTACTATAATAGAGTCATTAGTACACTTTTATTTCTTTTGCTTTTTTCTTTTCTTTTACAATAAAGTCCTCGTATAATAGGGTGATGAGCGGGTCTAGGCTGAACCACTATTTCAATTTGAGGATTTTCTTTTGCGAATTTGACAAGATCATTTCTGATGTATTCACTGTATATAAATTAATAGCATAAATATCCAGGGTTCAAAAAATAGATATAAATATGTTATACATATCAAAGGGAGCGAAACTTACATCATGCCCTTGTTACTTCCCCATTTTTCACAATAGTTAAAAACCATTTTACGACATTGAAGTACAAAAGATCCAGTGCCATTATTTGTTCTGGGTATGATCTTTCTTGCAATTGTTGACATTTTATTTAATATGTATTCGAAATAAACAGGGTTGACAAGAAGAGGGGTAAACAGAATATATTTTTTTTTAGAAGAGCGCTACTGCCTTTACTGTCTGGATTTAAAAGATGGGGGATTTTTTTTTTTTTATCAAAGGTGAAGCAAAGGAAAATAGTAAGCTAACTGATAAAGCCATATTAGTTTACTTTTAATTAGGGCAATATTATATATTCTGTGTATGATAGATTCCCCCTTTATTTTTGTTAAAGACTTGTCATAAAGTGGCCATAAATCATGTCTTTAGGAGACATATTTTATGCTATGGGTAATCTTTGAACTTGATAAATATCTATCTTGTTAAACTGGACAGCAACTATTATCCAACATGAAAATAATGAAACGAAAAAAAAAAAAAATAGAGAATTAATCTTCTACTTTAAGGTCAAAGAAGAAATTGGCAGAGCTTTCATACTACTTTTTATTATTTCTGTTGTTTAATGAGAACCCAAGTTTGATTTAGGTAACTAAATACGTAATACTATAGAAAATAAAAGCAGCTACTACACATAGGAAATTCTAATATACTATATGTATTCAAATTGATATCAATAAAAACTAAACTGTCAAGACTATAGGATATAAACGAGTGTAATAGAAGCTATTGACTACTGCAATCCTTTTAGAGCATCTTTATTCAGGATACGAAACTAAACAAGCAAAAGAAAAGAAGCTAGCTTAATCAGACTAGATAATAATAGCAACTATTTTGGATATACACACTTTAGGAAATAATGTTATACCGCATTCTAGTTTTTTGATATTTCTAATACAAATCATAGTTCTACATAGTGTTTATTATTTCCCTTTTTTATGTCTTACTCATGATTCATTAAAATCATATATGTGTATATATATTTTTTTTTGGAAATTTTGATGCACTGCTCACAACTTATTTACCAAATTGTGACTTTCTGTGACTTTTATGATTTCAAAGCAGAAGATGTTAAAAAAAAAAAAAAAAAAAAAATCTATTTCTTTAAATTTATTTGAAAGTCTTTAATTTGATCAGATCTTAATAATGTAAGATGATCAAAAAACAATGTTATATAGGTTAAATGTTACTAACATTATTATCAGGTCTAGAATTATTGTAAAGAATTTACCGAAATTATTATCAGAAGAAAAGTTTCGAGAACATTTCGCTAAAAAGGGTGAAGTAACTGATGCTAAACTCATGAAGACATCGTAAGTTGATCTAAAAAAGAGAGAGAGAGACAGAAAGTGATAATAATTTCTTAGCTCTAATACAAATTTCTTTTATATTTATTCAGTCGAGGAGCCTCTCGTCGATTTGGCTTTATAGGTTATAAGACAGAAGCAGCAGCTGAAGCCGCAATTGCATACTTTAATAACACTTTCATTAACACTTCTAAGATTACAGTTGAAAAAGCAATTGCTTATGGTTCAGAAACGTTACCTAGACCTTGGAGTAAATATTCAGAAGGTTCTTCAGCTCATAATCGTTTAACAGGAACTACAAAAAAGGAAGAATTTAAGGTTGAAGAAACGGACGCCTTTCAAGAAAAAAAGAGACAGGAGCAAGATTTTATTGATAAATTAAATGCGGATAAGAACGACCCTAAATTAAAAGAATATTTGGATGTTATGACTTCTCGTTCCAAGAGCAAGACTTGGGCTAATGATGATAGTGCTATTGCTGAACAAAAGAAAAAAGAAGAAGAAGAAGAAAATATATCAACCACAGTTCATTATAAGGACTCTGATGATGAATTGTACGAAGATCTTCCTCCAAAAAAAGATATAAAAGAAAATGAAGATGAAGAAATGGAAGAAGTAGATAATATGGAAGAGGATGAGCCTATGGAAAATGGAGAAGAGGAGAAAAAACCATCAATTGAACAAGAAAATGTAGACATCAAAGAAAATAAGGAGGAACAACGAGTAGAAGAAAAGACAAAAGACCCTAAAGAACTGATTGAAGATACAGGTCGTCTTTTCGTTCGTAATCTTCCATATACTTGTACCGAAGAAGATTTGAAAGTACTATTTGAAAAATATGGCACACTTTCTGAAGTTCATATGCCAATTGCTAAAGACACCAAAAAATCTAAAGGCTATGCATATATTTTATATTTATTACCTGAACATGCTGTTAAAGCATATGAAGAGTTGGACATGAAAACTTTCCAAGGTCGACTTTTACATATTTTACCTGCTGAAGAAAAGCCAGCTGCTAAAGAAGAGGAAATCTTGGGTGTAAATGGAACAAAGTTAAGTTCTGTTAAAAAGGAAAAAGAAAAGAAGCGTAGAAATCTTGCAGGTAATGACTTTAATTGGAATTCATTGTATATGAGTGTAAGTTCAATATATATATATATATATATATTCACTTTTAACTCTGATTATTCATGGTTGTTATTTTAATAGGCTGATGCTATTGCTGAGTCTATTGCTGATCGTTTGGGTGTATCCAAATCGGATGTTTTGAATCCTGAAGCTGATAACCAAGCTGTGAGATTAGCTTTAGCAGAAACTCAAATTGTGAACGAAACAAAGGAATTCTTTGAAAAGCATGGTATTGTACTTGATAGTTTTGGTAAAAGGAACGAAGTGAGACTGTTATCTTGGTTAAAAACATCCCTTATGGTACAAATGAAGACGATTTGAGAGAACTTTTTGGTAAACATGGTGAATTGGGTCGTGTCCTTATACCCCCTGCTAAGACAATTGCAGTTGTTGAATTTATTGAACCTAGTGAAGCTAGAAACGCATTCAAGTCTCTAGCTTATCGACGATATAAAGATTCACTTATTTATCTTGAAAAAGCACCAAGCGGTTTATTCAGAAATAAGTTTGTACGTGATACTACTGTTAATAAAGATAAGGAAGATACAACAGAAAAGCCTACACATGCTGCTGATCTATTGCAACCAACAGAAGAAATAGATTCTGATGATATTTCAACATTATTTGTCAAAAATCTTAACTTTAATACCACCCCAGAATCACTTCGTAATGCATTTAAAGGAATTGCTGGTTATCGTTCATCTCGTATTAATGTTAAAGCAGATCATAAAAATCCTGGCAAAGTCTTGAGTATGGGTTTCGGTTTTATCGAGTTCAATAATAAAGCTAATGCTGAGAAGGCATTAAAGGCTATGCAGGTAAAATTACATTTATTGTATATATCATTTGTATCTATTTATCAATTATTTTCTTTTTTTTTTTTAATTTATAGGGATATAATTTAGATGGTCATACTTTAGAATTGAAATTTTCTAATCATAAAGCAGAATCAAAAACAAAGAAAGCTAAATCACCCGAAACGACCAAGTTGGTTGTTCGAAATGTACCATTTGAAGCCACTGATAAAGATTTAAGAGAATTATTTGGGTAAATTAAATTAAAACCAGTAGTTAACGAATCTAACTTTTTTTTGTTTTTGTTCAGAACTTATGGCCAACTTAAATCACTTCGTCTACCTAAGAAATTCAACGGTGGTCATCGTGGTTTTGCTTTCTTGGATTTCCTTACAAAACAAGAAGCAAAGAATGTATATGAAAATATGAGTAATATTCACTTATACGGTCGTCATCTTGTACTTGAATGGGCTAAAGAGGATGATAATGTCGACTCACTTCGAGAAAAAACAGGCAAACATTATGCTAAGGAAGAGAGCTTTAGTGGACGTGCGAATAAGAAACAAAAGATTGACTTGGATCATAATGATGACATGTTGGAATAATTCACTTTGTATAACCTTTTTTTTTATTTTTTTTTTTGTTAGTTAAAAACAAATAATAATAATAATAATAATAGTATATAAATATATAATAGACATCTTATAAAAGAAAAATACATATGCTTAATAACATCTGGGTTTTTTTTTTTTTTTTTTGTAATGTGAAATTAGTTTTATCGAATAAAAACTTTGACAGCTGTCCATAGAAAAAAAAATATGTATTTTTGATACTCTAATGAGTAAGCTTATGATTGTATAACTTGAATTAGGTTTTGTACCACTTGACGCCTAATTCTCTTTCGCATAAGGTGATTTTATTAAACCTAGTTGTAGTTCAAAATAGCACTGAGTACAAGTACCCTTTTATTGTCTAACCTACCATTTTAAAACGGAGATTATGGGTATACAACAGACAATACAATAATGTATGATAATACCTTATAGGGATACAACAAGACTTTCTTTTTTTTTTTTGTAATTGGTACTAAATACCAAGCATTGAAACTAAACATAGTATTTTATGACTTTTAAAAGCACTTTTATTCCTTATTAGTATTATTTTAAAACTAAGTAATTTCAAGTAAAATATAGTAATTAGAATATTCTATAAAAAAAAAAGGGAAAAAAAAAACGGTACACAAGATATTTATTATTACCAAAAAGAAATACAAACCTTGTTTAAAGATAGAAGGCAAACTGGGGGTTAATTATTATTCAATTGGCATTGTTTACATTATTTAGCCCGAATTCAAAAAAATATATATAACTAAAGACTAGACGCATAAACATATATAACTAATCGTTACGAAATTTTATTATTCTTGCTTTGCTGCAAGGGACTAATTTCTATAGTAATAATTTGTTTTATCATTTTTTTTTTCAAATTTGAATATCTCAAATTAACTATTGTAAAGAAATGTTCTACTAAAAGTAATAAGTTTGGTTGTTCTTTTTTTTTTTCATCATTACAATAAATTCTGTCTTTTTATCAATTTATTTTTTTTATTTCCTTTTTGGAAAATATGTAAGGTATTATAACTATAATTCTCCCTTTTTTTTTTCTTTTTTTTTTATACAGGAAAAAGAAAAAAAAATTAAAATACAGTCTCGTACATATTTTGGATTTGTTTTCTTTAATCTTAACATTTTTCTTTCTTTCTTACTTTTTTTCCGTCTATTCATCATTTTCCTTTCCCGACTTATTTTTTTTTTGGTGCCTGAAAATAATAAAAGATGAGGACAAGTGCAAAACTCATCGGTAATCTTGTACATCGAGTATCAGTACGAGTAAGTAAATTCAAATATTGACAAATTTTAGATTAGATACAAAAAAAAAAACTATTTTTTTTTCTGCTATTTAGCTGCCATATAAGACAGGAAGAAAAATCGAAATAATTGAACAAGATTCTATTGTCAAACAAACAGGTTGAATATAAGAACAGGTACCAAACTTTAAATTATCATTTAATACTGAGTTTCAATTTGTGTATATAGTCGCGGCGTTGATCGAGTTATCCAAGTATAAAATATCGATTGTTGCAAATACATTAGGCTATGTTTTAGAAAGTGTTTCTAAAGTAAAATAATGAAAAAAAAGAAGGTTTTTTTTTTTTGTATGAGATAACCAAAAATTTAGATATACTAATATAGGAATATATATATACATATAGACACACCAAATTTTTGAACAAAATGTACCAATAGAAATTATGCAATCAAAATTATTTGTCCTTCGTCTATTATCTGCCTGTATGCAACATCATTGGCAATATTGTCGTGATTTGGAAAAAAATAAAGAATCACCAACAACTGAAATAAATGTGACATTACCACCGCTTGATGGGACCTTGGTTACCTATCTTTTGGTTCTAATGAGTCGATATGTCACTCAATATCATTTGATCGAAGAAGCAATAAGTTTAGACCAAAATACAAATACAACCCCATTTATGGACTATAGTGAATGCGAAAGTGGATATACATATGAACAGATTAAGCTTAGTTTAATTACTGACATTTACAAAGCGGCTTCAAAGATCTTGTATTATATTAGTGCCAGTAATTGGGATGCTTATTATGCAAAAATTAAAAATGCTGTATGGTGTTTGGATACAATGAATGGAACTGCCGCTGATAAAATTCCACCTGAAATTAGAATGCTTGAAAGTAGCTGTCTAACAAGAGAAAAGCTATGTACAATTTTTTCGAGTAAGCATCTTTTTTTTTTTTTTGTTTTTGTTTTTTTTTTCCTGCTTTACGGATATTTAACAGAGAGAGGGGGGTCCTATGATAGAATTAAATCCGTACTATCTTCATATGCGACTTGAAGGGAAATTAATATTCTCCAAAATGATACGTAAGGCAATTTGGAAATGGATCGAAGCTTATCCAAGTCAATTTGCTGAAGTCTGTGCTAGTGATGCACATCTTCTTCCAGGATCAGAGGTTTTATTTGATATGTGTAGTGCAACAGCAGATAATTCAAGAAAAAAATCAATATTGTGGCCACTTCAAACAATCTTGTTAATTTTATCTCCTCAACTCTTGACACAAGCCTTTTTAGATACAGCTCCTATTCATAATCGCAGAGGCAACTTTATTGGTTTATTGAAGAAATCATTACTACAGACAACAAGAGATGTCGATATCGCTGCTGTATGCTATGTTGATTTATGTAAGGCGGCAACGTATGTTCCTCCTAACAATGAATCTGTATTACGTTCTATTGCTGCAGATGCAGAAGCAGATCTCAAAGAAAAAGTCTGGAATTTTAATAAATCATTAAGCTCAGAATCGATAGGTTATGTCATTAATCAAAGAGCATTAACAACGGATTTTTTATTTTCTTGGATTCGGCTTTATCCTGAGGACACATTAGAGAATATTATTCCCTCTTGTATCAACGAAAATGTGCCGATTTTATTTAAATTAGCGTTTATCAAAACATGTCTCGACATAGTAGACGAACAAAATTATTTACCTTGGAATCCATCCATTTCTTCCATGTATAACGGCTTGTGCACACCACTTCGGACACTCTTTTTGCAAACAGTCTATATGGACCTCAATAGTAATCCCAGTCATAAAAAGAAAGAAACGCATAGTAAACATAATAATCGAGTCGAATTACTGTTGGAAATGTTGAGATTATTCAGAATTGATACACGGTTAGCCACTTTTGGTCATGATACGAGCCGAGTCAAGGAAAATAGTGACTTTATGGTGGGATTATCCATGTTATTTCAACACCCTGTGCAACGTGTTCGACAAGGTGGATTAGAATTACTTGTAAGGTTGCATCAACCAGAAAAAATTATGGAATGGGGCCCAGCAGAGACAGTTCTGTCCAACTTTTGGAGTGTTTCTTCTCCTGCTATTCTTCAACTGGCTAGACAAATTTTGGATTACAAATCAAATGATGAAAATCTAAAGACTCTTCTACAACTCTTGGTTAAGCTCTTTAAAGAAAGAAATACGTTTCTAAAAACTAAACAGGTAAAAAAAAAAAAAAAAAAAAAAAAAAAAAAAAAAAGATACAGTTCTTTTTTTTTCATAAAATGAAATAGTTACACTATCCTAACACAACTATATTTTTTTTATAGCAATTAATAATTCCTGAATTTACTAATACAAGAGAAAGGTTACAAGCATCTGTTGCACTCGAAATTGCTCTTCTTGTTTCTTTATGCTCATCTAATAAAGATATATGCGATGAATCTCTCAAATGTTTTCATGTTATTTGCAAAGAATCTAGAATGGTAGATGTAGGAGGAGAATTAAATTCATTGACAATATTATGTAACCTAGAAGTATACGAAGACTTATCAAGGGATAATTCGAAATACATTGGACGTAAGGCCCAACAGAAACGTATTAGGAAATATTTACGTATGTTGCCTCATCATACACCAGCACATATGGCAGCATGGGAGGAAGCTTGGAAGCGCTGGATGCAATTAACAATCTTGATAAAAAGGTATTCTGATGACATAGCTGAAGATGGTTCCAGTGACTTGAGAACTTCATCTATTAATAATCCAATCGATTTATCCTCAGCACTTAATGTGATTGGAAGCAATAATAATATGAATAATAATAATAATAATAATAATAATAACAATAACAGTAACAGTAACAGTAATAATAATAATAATAATAATAATAACAGCAATAATAATAATAATAATAATAATGGATTGAACAGTGTTACCAGCAATAGTGTTTATAGTGGGAACAAAAAGTTACCTCGTAGTAATGAAAAGCCTAAATCAACTAGTAATTTAACAATATCCTCCGCACAAAATGTACCAGCAAAACAAAATTTAGACAGATATGAAGATAAATTAGTTGAATGGCAAAACTTGACAGGATTTTTGGCTGCCCTTGGTGGTTGCTGTTTATTAGATGATCACTTTGAATGGATGATGGAACAGCATAGATTATCGAATGAACCTATGATAATGGCTGATCGATTTATCGGTGAAATGACGGAATTACTAGTATCAGATAATATGTATATATCTGAGGGCATTAAAGACACGTTAGGTAATGATCTATCTCCCACCCTCTATGTAATTTTATTCCAGCATTGTGAAGCTTATATCAAAAAGTGTTTTGACTCTAATGGTGGTGCTATTCGTAGTCGCAAAAATAAGCTCTTTGTTGAACAATCTGTCTTGGTGTTACGATTGATCTTAGACCGGTTAGTCAATACCAGTGATTGCTTACTAAATGTGGACTTTAGTAACTTGATGAGCCAATTTGCAGATTATTTAAATGGCCTTCCTAATACGTACATCACATTACGTGTTAAAGTTAAAATGTGTCTCTTAATTGAAGCTGTTATGCAAAAAAGAGAGCAACTTATTATTAGAAATGAGATTAGAGTTCGAAATAAATTATTGGAGATATGTGTTGAATGGACAAGTGAATATGCATCCGTAAGTTAAAAAGGGAAATATAACGAATATTGCTATAACAAAATGTTCTTACACAATATATATATATGCATATAGCTGCGCAAGCCAGTAGATACAAGTCAACAAGCTGAAATACTTCAGAAAGATTTGGATCAAGCATGCTTAAAAGCTATTGTCAGTCTTTTGCATCAACTTCCACTTCAATCATCAGAAGCAGAGAGGCCTGTAAATGGCTCACAAATGAAAAATAAATTGTTTCTAAAATATTTCGAGTATTTCATAAAATTACTCGACAAATACAGACAAACAGAAGCTAGTTTGAACAGATTAACGATCAGTAATAATTCAACTTCTACAAGGGACTCTTCATTAAAGTCATCTGGTAGTGACACATATCAAGATATAGGTCAGATGAAAGAGCTTACAATTCTGGCCATGTCTCATCTACTCAGTGCTAATGTTGATGCAGGTCTTAAATATTCATTATCCATGGGTTATGATGATGATCCAGTGACTCGAACGGCTTTTATGCGTGTTTTATCAAATATTTTAGATCAAGGTACAGAATTTGAAACTTTAGCTGAAAGTGTAATGACTGATAGATACGAAAAGCTGATCGATGTAAGTTATATTAGTTGCATATATATAAATTCAGACTAATATATACATATGTATATATATATATATTTATATAGATACTTGTGGAAGCAGATATGGAAATCATTCTATCTCTATGTGAAGTATGCCCATCTCAAGATACTACAGGTATTGCAGAAACACTGTTGATTTGTTTTGAATCTCGAAATAAAGTGATTCCATTGCTAAAAACGGTTATACAGAAGGAACTATCACTTACAAGTAAAATATCCTCCTTATATATATATATATAATTTGCTTCAATTAATTATTTATACATCTAAATTTTTCTTTTATATATATATATAGGACAAGAGGCTACTTTATTTAGGGGCACAACAATAGCTACACGTATTCTATCAATATATGCAAAACTATCTTGTTTAGATTATGTTCGAATAACATTGCAGCCAGCTATGGAAGAAATTAATGCTTTATCTGAAGAGGAATTAACTTGGGAATTAGATCCACAGAAAGTTAATTCAATGCAACAAGTCATGATAAATAAAAGGAATGTCATAAGAGCAACAGAAATTCTTTTGAATACAATTTGCTTATCCATTGAAAGTGCGCCCAGGTATACATAAATATATCTATCTATTTAACTAAATGATTATAATTAATTTATATATATGTATACGTATATAGGTCATTTAGAGAGGAATTGTACTTAATTAGTACCTTAGTCGGTGAATGTTTTCCTGAAGCGCAATCAACAGCTGTTGGAAGCTTTGTCTTTCTTAGACTCTTTGGTCCAGCCATTGTTACCCCAGAAAATGCAGGCTTTGCTAAGCATGTATTACCTAAAAATAATAACGTCCGAAAAATACTCTTACAAGCAACAAGAGTCATGCAGAACTTGGCTAACAATATTCTGTTTGGTTCCAAGGAGACACATATGATTATATTAAATGATTTTTTAACAAGCAATATTTATCGAGTCACTAATTTTTTAAGAGCCATCTCAACATTACCTACGAATAAGCAAGATGATTTTACAGGAGCCATTCGAGTGGATCAAGTGGGTTATGCTAAGCTTCATAAATACCTTTCAGATAATTTAGAACGTGTATCTCGTGATTTAACTAGTCGTAGTAAGACAAGGGATTCAGATACGCTTTTAAAGTGGAAGAGAACACTTGATCGACTATCTAATATTCTAGCCCAACTTGGACGACCTTCTGATATAGTTTCTGAACTATCTTATACTCGAAATTATACACTTGCTAATAGTAACCATTACTATAGTGAATTTATGCGTCGAAATGAGCATCGAGATTTGTCTGTTATTAGTTCTCAAAATATATTTTACATGGGTGGTAAATCTAAAGGTGGCAGACCTGTGTTCTATATGATTTGTCGTGCTGTTGATGCAGACGAGACGGATTTTGAACTTTTAATCTACTACATGCTACGCGTAAGTGATAATAAGATAAAGAAAAGAAAAAAAAAGGAGAGATTTTTTTTAATATATACATGTATGCAATATATCATTTATAGGTTATGGAACCTTATTTAGATAATCCATTTGAATTATTATTTGATACTACAGAATTTAGTTCAACTCGGGCTATACCTATTCATTGGATGACTCAATTCTTTCAATTAATTTTCAGTGAAATGAATGATTACCTAGTATCACTTCATCTTTATAATCCAAACACATATCTACAAAAATATATTCAAAAGCTACCACGTACTATTGTCAATAAGCTAGTGAAAAGAACACACTTCTCATCTAGTTTGAATGACCTTTATGAGCATATTGCTCCTAATATGATAAGGCTACCTAAAGAGACACGTAAGTTAAAATCATTGTTTAGTCATATAAGCCTTTGACTCTAATATTTGCTTACATAGTCGATCTTGAAAAAGAAGTAAGTGTAACCATATCTTCTGTCACTAGGATTACCCACTTGAGATCTTCGATACCAGTAATTGTTAAAATCGGACCAGAGCATCTACAAGTGATTACTGTAAGTTTATACATATACATATATATATATACATATATATATATAATCAATTTTACTTGTAGTTAAAAAAGCAAGAAATTTTATACAACTTGAATTCTATTTTAAGAGATGTACATCATATTTCAAACCTTGAAGATATTACAATTTTACCATCAACAAAACCAGAAGGAGGGGATATTTCCATTAAATATGATAAAGGAAAATCGACAATGATACTTTCTTCAACAAAGAGAGATACTATACTTAAGGTAATTTATAATAAATAATATTAAGCATATATATATATATATGTATATTTATTTATAAACTTGAATATCATAGTATTTTCGTCATAGTAAACAACGTTATGAAACATCATCAAAGCCTGCATCTATTAATGAGCAATACATTATACGCCCAAATGATGTACCTGGCAGATTACTTAATATGGCTTTATTAAATCTTGGAAGTCCATACCCAAGTCTCCGATTAGCAGCATACAATCTGCTTTATTCACTAAGCTTATCCTTTCGATTTGATGTGGGTAATCAATTATTAAATGCAAAAGGTAATAGAGAATTTTATTTTTTTTTTTTAAAGAAAAAAAAAAAAGAAGAAAAAAATATAGGGTGTTTAACTTTAAGGCAGATTTATGTATTCCTTCGAATAGTTCCGATTTTATAGTTAGTATTAGTGAAAGTTTAGCGAAATCCGAACGTCATTTAACATTGGAATTCCTAAATGAAGCATTTATTGGGTTTGAAAAGTCAAACACGTCGATGAGACAGTTATGCTTAGATTACATGGCACCATGGCTACTTAACTTATCCATGTTCACACATAATTCACTCGATAACTATAATAAGAATGTGTCAAAAACAAGGGATGTACTAAGGCACTTGATTGATTTAACTGTTAAAAGACCTGAGGTAACTATTAATTCGAGTCATATGATAATAATAATAATGACAATCTACACTTTTATATAGCTGTATAAACATATTCAGGCTCGAACATGGAAAACAATTATGGAGGTAAACGATGTGATGGATCTCGTAGTTAATTGCTTTGTTCAATACTCGGTCAAGTATGGTGCTGGTTCACCACAGGCTGAAATCATTTCAGATACGTTAGTGACTATGTCAAGCATATGTAGTCGAGGAAAAGTGATTAATCGTATGAAACGAGTCTTAGAGAGCACCTCTATTCAGCCTTGTAGACAATTAACTGAACACCCATCTTGGAATGAAATTGCTGTTTTACTTCGATTTATTTTGATGCTATCATTTAGCAACACCGCGTATATTGTTCCATATATACCTGAGGTATTTCATATAGTGACTATGTTGGTCGTTACTGGACCCACTTTTATTCGATCATCTGTCCATGAACTTGTAGTCAATACGATTCATACTCTTTGTACTACAAACAAGTTATTAGCTGACGAAAATATGAAAAAACTTCAATTTGTGTTGAATGATGTATGTGATAGTAAAAATAGAGTATCGTTTGGTTTAACAAAGCAACATGCAAATGCATTTACAATCACGCAAGAGACAACTACGGATATTATTGAATCTGTTAACTTGATATCTTTACAAAGCATCATAAGACTTTTACTGGACACACTAAGTTACGGTGCACCTACAACTGATATCGCTAATATATGGAGAGCAAGATGGATGGGACTTGTGACGAGAACGGCATTTTGTTTTAATCCTGTAATCCAACCAAGATCGTTTGTTGCACTAGGATGTTTAGCACAAGAAGAAGTCGATGATGATTTAATCTATCAAATATTAATTGCCTTACAAAATGCCTTGACCATCTTTGATCAATTGGATTCTAATTTGATTGTCAGCATAATGATGTGCCTTAGCAATATAATCGATAGCCTTCCAATGAAATCAATTTACTTGTTGCATCTCTTTTGGTTAGCTATTGCCTTAGTACAAATAGGTCATCCTGCTATATTCCAAACTGCTGTTCAATTCCTTGAATCCGTGCTACGTGCATTATATTCAAGAAAACTATTTGCTCAACGACCTGTTGAAGAAGTATTGTTGAATGCTCGAATTGACATTATAGCTGATGAACTTGATCAAGCATGTGGTGTTAACTTTAAAGAACACTTCTCATTTGCTATAGCTGTTATATTACTGAAAGGATTAAAACAATGTGATAACAAGGACGTTGTCTTTGCCTGTCTAGCCGCCTTTCTTGAAATTAGTTCCAAACAGCGACCTATGGAACAACCATGCTGGATTGAAGCTCGAACACTAGGATATTTTGCAGGACTTTTACCATTTGCAGCAAAGGACGATAACTTGAGAGAATTGTTACGTTTAGCTGGTGTCAATGATATAGAATTAGATGAAGAAATCAATTTCAACACTTTACGTTTATTTGATATATTTGAAATTCCAGATAATAGTACAGCCTTATTATTTGTGTCCTTGATTGTTGCCTTGTTAAATGCTTCTGAAAGTGAATATGAAAAACTGTTCTTGTATCGTCTATTGTCTGATACAGCTGTTTCCGTTCCTGAAGTTTTTGCACTTGTGTAAGTTTTTTTTTTTTTTTTTTTTTTCATATACATAGCTTAATTCATTCATTCATTATTATTATTGCGTAGTTATGAATCATTGCTTCCAAAAATGAATCAAATAGTAGTCAATAGTCAAAATTATGAAATAACTGAAGCAGTGAACACTATCTTGGTGACAGTTTGTTCAGAGCCACTCTTTAATGTAACACATAAACGCACTCAAAATTGGGGACTTGAAAATTTGAAGTTTGCATCTTTATGCGATCCAACGTTTGGTGCTATTAATACTAATTATATTTTAAATGCAAAGTTAGCAAGTAAGTTGGTGGGATACATTACAGCTTAACAATGGGGTTAGAATTAATATGAATAACAGCATTCTCACATACCAAAAAATAAACAATTTTTATTTTATTTCTTTTTTTTTTTTTTTTTACTTACTTACTATGTCATGTCAGTAAAATAGCAGTAATATCTTTTTTGAATGCCGCTATTTTCGATTTCTTTTTTTTTTTTTTTTTTCAAGACAGAATCCTTTTTATTTATTTATTTTTATTTTAACATTGTGTTTAACGATCAATAGATTATACATTTAAAAAAAAAATGGAAAAAAAGAGTAAAGTATTATAAATTCAATTGAAATGAATAAAAAGAAAGAAAGAATTAATTATAAAATAGGTGCTCAAGTTGAGAGACCAGTTGTGTTTTTTGATATTTCTATTGGTGATGTGCCTGTTGGTCGAATGAAAATGGAATTATTCTCTGATATTGTACCCAAGACAGCTGAAAACTTTAGGTATTTTAAATCATTACTGATTCAAATACGAGTAAACAACAAATTAACCTATCCTTCTTCTTTGTTTTTGTTTTTTTTTAAGACAATTATGTACTGGGGAATACAAGTATGTTGTTTAACGCGACGTAGATTTATATTCATATACTAAATGGCTTCTCTTCATTAGACGAAATGGACAACCTCAAGGATATAAAAATTGTCTATTTCATAGGTTAGTTTTATTTTTTCTTTTTCAACAATGTATAAAATTCATTCTTATACCCTTCTCCTTCCCCTCCCCCCTCTTCCTTATATATATATATATATGTATAGAGTCATTAAAGACTTTATGGTTCAAGGTGGTGATTTTCTTAAAGGAGATGGTACTGGATCTATGAGCATTTATGGAGAGAAATTTAATGATGAAAATTTCATTGAAAAGCATAGCAGTGCAGGTTTATTATCAATGGTAGAGATATAAAAACGTCGGATGAATGCATAAAGGTACTCATAGTTTAGTTTTGATAGGCTAATTCGGGTCCAAACACGAATGGTTGTCAATTCTTTATTACTTGTGATGCCTGCGACTTTTTAGATGGTAAACATGTTGTATTTGGTCGTTTGATTGATGGTCTATTGACACTTCGTAAAATTGAAAATGTATCTACTGGACCAAATAATCGACCTAAATTACCTGTCAAAATTACTGGTAAGTTTTATAAAATAATATAAATGAGCTATTTCTTTTGTTGATTTATTTTTAATAGAATGTGGACAAATGTAAAAGAAGAGACATGAATAAAATAAAAAAGTTTTATTTTATATAAATTATGACAAATCCTTATAATATAAATAAAAAAAAAATGTTTGTTTTTAAAAAAAATAATAATAATGTCGCTTATTATAGCTAACAAAGGACTTTATTGAATTTGTCCATTTTGTTGCTGCTGCTGCTGCTGTTGTTGTTGTTGTTGTTGTTGTTGTTGTTGCTGTTGTTGTTGTTGTTGCTGCTGCTGCTGTTGAGCTTGTTGTCTAGCAAGGAAAATTCTTTGTTGTAATTCACGAATAGCATTAGGCTGTAAATTGCCTAGATTTGCAAGATTAATGTTGTTCATATTTCCAAGATTAATATTAGATAATAGTAAACTATTAGGATTAAGGCCTAACGAAATAATAGTCAGTTATTATTATTATTATTTTGATGATTTTAGGTTATACCATTTATGTTTTGTTGTTGTTGCTGCTGTTGCTGTTGTTGTTGTTGTTGAGGCTGTTGTTGTTGAGGCTGTTGTTGAGGCTGTTGAGCTGGGCTTCCCATGGCAACTGCATTCATCATTTGTTGCTGTCGAAGTGTATTTTGCAAATGTTGTTGTACATTTGGATTATTAAGTACATTTAAGTTTGCTGTATTTTGTAAATTGGCTAATAAAGCAGGATTGATATTTGTTGTACCAGCAATGGGCGTAGATGATCCAGCAGGAGGCATAGTTTGTGGAGCTGTATTTACCTGAGGTATACCAGCATTTAAATCTGGAAGTGGAGCTCTTGCAAAGACAATACCTATCAATTTACCACCTGTATGGGTCAAAATAACACCATGATGAGGCTCTGCTCCACCAAGGTTAAATACAACAGTTGCAATATATTTTTTTTGTTCCAAATTTCTTAAAAGTAAATTAAAATTCGTTTGATCTTGTTGTGTACTGGTATTTAAAGGTCTAAACTGACAAAAGGGTAATTTATTTTCAATTGCTTGTCTTTGAAGAATTTGTGCTCTTGCTAAAGGTGATCGACCAGCAATTTGGACTCGTGGTGGCCATATTTCAGGACGATACTCTTCTAGACTAACCGTATTTCCTTTAAGTGTAATTGCAAATGCACCACAATGACAACTAAACTCTTGTAATTGACCTTCTGGTGACTTAATATGCCAGACAATTTGGCCTGTCCAAATAGGTTGAGTAGGTACTACATTTGATTGTTGTTGCGATAGTGGTGCTGTAGCTGCTGCAGCTGCTGCTACTGCCTGATTTTGTGGTTGTTGGTTTATATTTTGTTGTTGAGGTTGTTGAATTTGTTGAGGTTGTTGTACTTGTTGCTGAGGTTGTTGCATTTGTTGTTGAACTTGTTGCTGTAATAACTGGGCTTGTAATTCATTTATATTAGTAGGCCTAATACCCTGTTGTTGTTGTTGTTGTTGTTGTTGTTGTTGTTGTTGTTGTTGTTGCTGTTGCTGCTGCTGGTTTCTTTGAGCCAATTGAGCGGCAAGTAACATACGTTGCTGAGGTGTCAAATTAGGGGGTATCTGAGCATTTAATTGTTGCATTAGATCAGGGCGTATAGGGTTATTAACTGCTGTAAATGGAGATGCTGTAGCAGGGGCTGCTGAATTAGTTGGAGCTTGTGACGTCGTAGCCATTGAAGTACGACGTAATTGATCGCCTAGTTTTAATAGTGCATTTTGAATTGTTTGAAGTTGACTTTGTTGTACAGGAGTCAAATTGGCACCTTGGGCTATCAAATTATTACGCTGCTGTAAAAGATACTGTTGTAATTGAATTGGATTTTGTATACGTCCATTCAGCATTTGTTGTAGCTGAATAGGGATTTGCCCTGTTGGTCTTTGTTGGGCTTGTTGCATTGGTTGTTGTGTTTGAGGTTGCTGTTGTTGCTGTTGTTGTTGTGTTTGCTGTTGTTGTTGTGCCTGCTGAATTTGCTGCTGTTGCTGTAGATGCTGTTGCTGAGCCTGTTGTAGTTGCTGTAACTGTAACTGTTGTAACTGTGCCTGTTGGGCTAGTTGTGCCTGTTGTGCTTGTTGTACTTGCTGTCCTTGTTGGGATAATACAGCTTGTTGCTGAGGTAATTGAGCCTGTGGAGGCTGTGGAGTTTGTTGCGCTTGCAGTCCTTGTTGAATAGGCTGAATTTGTGATATTTGGGGAGTTTTTTGAATGGACTGAGCAGGTTGAGTTTGTGATAGCTGTGGAGTATGTTGGGGCTGCTGTCCCAATCGAGCTTGTTTGGCTTGTGGAGTCTGTTGTACTTGTTGATTTGGTTGAGGCTGTTGTTGTTGTTGTTGTTGACCTTGTCCTTGTTGAGCTTGTTGAAATTGTAATTGAGGAGATACATATTGTTGTGGCTGCTGTTGAAGTAATTGTTGCTGATGAAGTAATTGCTGTTGTGTTTGTTGTTGTTGCTGTTGTTGCATATGTATTTGTTGAGGTGTAAGTTGAGTTTGAGGCGGTGTTTGCTGGAATTGCTGTTGTTGTTGAGCATTTTGAATCATAGGTGATGATCTTGGGGGTGTATTAGTAATATTAGGTTGTTCTGTAATAACTGGTGAAGCATGCTGTTTGCCTTCAACTGATTCATTTTCTCGTTTAATTGCCGTAATAGATTGTCTTTTTTGAGTCATTTGTGTATTCGCTCGATTATTGGCCTCTGCAAAGTTTTTAGTATCAAAGGCAGGTTTAGGCAAACTGATTTGCCCGGGAATGTTCTCCCTTTTTCGTTTTTTACCTGAATCGCTTGTAACTGATTGTGGTGAAAGTGGTTTTCCAGAGACCTGTTGTGCAGTTTTAACGGAGGTATCATTCACAATAGGTAATTTAATACCAGCTAATTTGACAAGATGTGAAGGTAAGACAGTTTCATGTATTGTATTTAATTCCATCTTTTGTTGATCATTTACTTGATTTACGATATTTTCCAGCAGTTTACAATCTTTTACAGGCGATATGAATGAAAAATTTATATTTGACTGTACAAGATGATAATATTAAAAAATATAAAATAAAGGTATGAATAAAGAATTCATTAATTATTTACCTGAATCATGACTTTAGCAATGTCATCTAACCTCATACCATTATATTTATCCATTAAATTACATCTTGCACCGATTTGATGAGGTAAGCTATTAGATATTAAAATACAATGTTGAACAAGGTCTTTCGTATCCAAATCCTCTCGATATTCATCAAATAACTAATGATTCGGAAGGAGAGAGAGAGAGAAAACAAAAAGAAGGTATTAGTTAAATATGCATATAAAGATTTATATTAGAAAAAAAAAAAACTTACTTCTAAAGCAGCTACTAGACCTTCTTCTACAGCATTCCTTATAACGCCACCATTTTCACAAGAAATACTCTTTAAAATATCTTGAAACATGATTGAATCAGAAGTGAAATATTTTCGATCTACAGTATTGATTGATAAAGGCTCATAATCACCGAAAATAACTAGACCATACTTTAAGACGGGCTAAAAGAAGAAAAAGAAAAAGAAAGTCAAACACACTAAGGAATTTGAGGTATCTTCAAATATATATTACTGTTATTTTTAATTTTGTTTGACCACCATCGTCTTCGGTAATTATGGGTGAACGTAATTGTCTATAAAAGAATATTAATTTCAAATTACTTGTGAGGGCATGTGAATATTTTACTTTATGATGGGTTCAATGTAAGCTTCATGAATCAATTGAAAATGAGGTTTCATACGATCTGTACCATCAATAACAAAAACGACTGCAACTTCTTTTCTTTGGTGAGAGATATGAGGTGTTTGTGGAGAGGCCTGAGAAGTTAAGGCATTTGTAATGTTAGCATTGGTAGGGATGGGTGTTGAATTTGCTGTCAAAGCAGACATTGTCTTTCTCTCTCTCTTTTATTTTATTTTATTTTATTTTATTTTTCACTTGATTTTTTTTTTAATATTAAAATATATAAAAAAAGAGAAACCCGTGTTTCTTAAATTTTGAAAATTTTAATTATTTATTTTTAATTTTAATTCCTTCTACACTAACTATTAGCGTAATTTACTTGCAAAAAGTGCAGGATTTTCTATAAAGCTTTTCCACATATTTCCAAACTGAGCAATAGTTGCACCATCAATAATTCGATGATCAGCCGACCAACTGACAGGTAAGATTTGTTTAGCAACCATTTTCTCCTCATTGTTAGAATCAAACCTAGGCAACCTTCGAGCTGAACCTAAAGCAACAATAGCTAATTCATTAGGGACGATGACAGGATTAGCATACATTCCACCTATAGCGCCAATATTGGATAGAGTGATTGTTCCTCCCTTGAGATCAGAAGGAGTAAGACTGCCTGCTTTAGCTAATTCAGTTAATCTATGTAGCTCAGTTGCCACTTCGAAAACGGACTTCTTTTCAACGTTTTTTATATTAGGTACCATTAATCCCTGGGGAGTGTCCATAGCCACACCAATATTATGATGAGCTCGATACGAAACATGATTCTGTTCAAAATAAGCATTCATAATAGGATAAAATGACAAAGATAAAGATAAAGATTTGATAAAGATGGGTAGGTAAGAAATCTTTTTGAAAGGAAATAAATGAGGATGATTAGAGATATATCTATTAAGTTCTAGACGATATTCTGAAGCTTGATTCAATTCAATTTCATCTTTATAGCCTAACTGAGGAATGGATAATGATTTTGACATTGTCTTGAACATGGCCTTTTGAATAGCAGTTAAAGGAACTGTCTTAGCGAAAGAAGAAGGGGACGACTCTGTAGTAATGTATTCTTGTTTTCTTTCAACTGAAAAAAGATAAAAAGATATACACGTGTAAACAAGGTAAACATACATGCATATACATATACATATTCATATACAAATATATTTTTATATTCATATATAATTTGAATGGTCATGTGATTGCTTACCTTTTTGCAAAGAATTTGATTTGACATAATCAAGAACATCACCTTTTATGACACGTCCATGTTTTCCAGTCCCAGTAATGTCATTTATTTTCAACTTGTATTCACTTAATAACCGACGAACAGATGGCATCTCCCAAGTTGAACTATTTTTAGTTATTGTATTCGCTGCTGAAAGGACCTTTTCTTCTTTTATTCCTTCCTTCATCTCTTCTTCAGTTTCAATATCTACTAACGGATATCCTACTTTTGCCATTTCATTTTCCCCATAATGTAATTTCACGATATTACCAGAGTATCGAGAAGTAATTTCGACCGAGGCTTTATCAGATTGAACTTCACAAATTCTATCAAATTCTTGAACAGTAGAACCTGGTTTAACAAACCTATTAGCGTATTAGCTTTTATCCCGTCTACCAATAGCTTGTCTTGTTAATTTACTTACCATTGAATAATTTCACATTCTCTAATACCTTCACCGATATCAGCTAATAAAAAGGGCTTAACAATACCTAATGAATTTAAAGAAGAATGAAAACCCCTTTTAAAAACAATCTAATACATGATCAATTATGTAATCATAGATACTTTATAAATTGTTATTATCATTTTCCCCTTCATACCTTATTATTAAGTAAACGTAAAGTATTTAACTTCATTATGTGAAAGGGAAAACAAAAAAGGAAGAAGATGGAAAATAGGTTCTTAAAAAAAAAAAAAAAAAAAAAAAAAAAAAAAAAAAAAAAGCGAGAGAACCGTGGGAAATGATAATTTATTACATAATAGACTTATTGTTATTTACTAGATTTTTGTCTAATAAAACAGGTCAAAAAAAAACAAATAGACTATAACACATAAATAAACAATTTACCTTTTTTCTTTATCTTCTTCCAAGACCTTCTTGATTAATTCATCAATTTCATTCACTTTAATAATAGCAATTTGAGAGCATCTTAATACTTGATCCATTTCTAAGGGTATACCACCTGCTTTTGATAGGCAACAAATTTCCCTATGAATATTCATTGTAATCGTCATATCTCCTTCTTTAGCTTGATTTTCTAAATAATTAGGATCTACAACTAATCGTTCTCTATATGGTTATTATAAGTATCATGTCGTTTTATTTCTTTCTATGTATAATGCTTTACCCTTTATCGAAAAATGCGAATGTAATACAAATTGGTATATGATGAATACTTAGAGGTACAGGATTTCTTTGATCAATTGGATGCTATAATAATAATAAAAGATAATTTCAATACAGTAACTTGCCTTTTTTTTTAAAAAAAAACTTGAACTTACAATCGTCACTTCTTCACCTGATACAGTAACATCAGGACGTCTGAAATGTAATAAAGCTGTAATAGCTGCAATAGAAGCACAATCTACCAAATTACCATCATGATCCAAAAAGAGTAAATCTACACGAATCTGCCAAACTTTTTCACCTGCAACGATACAAAGACCTTCTGTATCAATAGCTCTACTTCTACGTAAAGACTTTTCAATAAGACGACTAATCAATACTTCATCCTCTGAACGTCTAAATAAATAAATATATGAGTATCATGAACCCTATTTTTTTTTTTTTTTTGTCTAGTTGATCACCTACGATCCAACTTCAAAAAAGGGTGCAGCCATAGGCGAAATTTCTGTGTTGAAGATTAACTGACCCTCTGTAGGCTTATCAGGATAAGGTCGAACAACTTCTGCCGACACATTAGCTGCTACTCGTGTTCTGCCTAATTGAACTTCAACATGTCCATAATCAGTGCCTAATGTAATTTCAAGAGATCGCATGTCATACACTTCACGACCATCTACACGTCGTCCTTCTCTAAGGGCCTCTAAGAGGAAATTGACTTCATTAAGACTTGGATCTATTTCTTTTACCATTATTGTTTATGAAAAAGAAGCTAAATAAAAAAGAAAAAACAAAAAAAAAAAAAGAAAAAGGTGGGCTTGAAGCTAGTCACTTTTGCTATTCAGTTAAAAAAAAAAAATAGAAAGAGTCACAGTGCATTTTTTTTTTTTATTTATTCATTTTTATCTTTATATACAAATATTTATACACATATTCATATATAACATGTCAAATTCAGAATTATTAGATTTAAAAGACAAAAAGAAAACAGTTGGTAAGAATGCTCTATTTAAATCAAGATCAAGATCCTCATAAAAATATACATATATATATATTTTTTTTATAGAAAATTTGATTAGTCATAAATCAATTGAAAAAGAGAACAAGGACATATTTCCTATGCCAACCTTATCAAATAAAAACACACCGGGACAAAGTGACAGTAAGTTATGATAGATATGCATGATATATATTTATTTAGTTACTTAAATATATACAAGTTTTATCGAGAGTTCGAGCCTTTTTACCGCAATTAAAGGCGGCTAATGAAGAACTAGATAAAGTTGAACCTTCTAAACGAGATATTGAAAATGTTGATGAAGAGAATGAACAATATATTGAAATGGTATTTACTAAAATTGAATAAAGCGAATATGATCTAATCTATTTTTTCTTTAAAAAAAAAAAAAAAAAAAAAAAAAAAAGAATCTCGGATTAGGTGTTTATGATTTAAAGAAACCCGGACAAGATTCTGACACTTGTAGTAGTAGTGACAGCGAAGATGAAAAAATAATTATACCTGGGAAATTAACAGATAAATCATCAAAAAAGCCAATAATTGAAATATTAGAAGAGAAGCGTGAGAAAAAATAAAAGACTACTTTTTTCTTAAATTATTATTATTATTATTATGCTTTGTTCAAAAAAAGGGTTTTTACTTTTTTCTTCTTTATTAAAACCAAAATTGACTATGTCTGTATCAACACTTTGTGAATCACAACGTGAACAGCTTCTAAAGCCTTTACTTTCTTCTGGTTGGCAGCTTGTGGAGAATAGAGACGCTATAATAAAGAAATATACTTTCCAGGACTTTATTGAGGCTTTTGGTTTCATGACACGAATTGCTTTAAAAGCCGAGAAAATGGATCATCATCCTGAATGGTTTAATGTAAATAAAATATAAATCATGGGAGGAAAGGAAGGAATAAAATAAAGTAGATGTTGATAGCAACTTCTTTTAGGTTTATAATCGAGTCGAAATTACTTTGTCTACTCACGATTGTGGAGGTTTATCTGAAAAGGATATTGAATTGGCAAAATTCTGTGACAAAAATGTCAAGTAAATAAATAATGTGAAAAAAAGTATTCAGCTATTTTGAATACGTGTAACTCTATTAATGGTAGATTTTTTTTTTTTTTTTTTTTTTTTTTTTTTTTTGCTTACAATCTTAATTATATGATTACAGTAAGGCTGGTAAATATTGGCTGATTTGAAATGGTGATAATAAAAAAATAACTTGGCAAAATAATAAAAAATGATTGATTATTTTAAAATATTTTATTGGCCTAATGGAAAAATTACTTTGGCAGTTATAGATTGGCAATTAATTAAAAGTGAATTTTATCTCGACAATAGGTGATATGGCGCTTAGAATGGCCACAGCATCCACGAAGATCACTAACACGTACATTATTGCAAGCATTAGTGATTCTTTGAGGTAGAGTTTTCTCAGTCATAAGGTTCTCGCGCTTCATTTTTCTTTTTACTAAAACCCAGAAGTTTTCGATTGCATTCAGCTCTGGTGAATACGGAGGCAAATACATGACTCTGTATCCTATGCTCTCAATTTTTCTAATCATAGGGTGTGATTTGTGAATGGTGCAGTTATCCATCACAAGATAGCTACCCTTTAGGCTTTCGTCCATATCTATAATATCAAGTAGCTCGTTTATGAACTTTATGAAATGAGCCGTAGTAGTGTCTTTAGAGGGGGTTTGTTGGCTTCAGCATCAACAATGCTTTCAACCTCGACATACTCTACAACAGTTTCCTCAATAATTATTTCGTCTGCTCTTTCTTTGCCCTTTGCAAGCTTTCTTTTTTTTTTAGATTTTCCACTTTTACTTGCCACTGGTTTTGGGGCCTTTTCTTTCCTTGGTGGGGGGCTTTTTCATTGCGACATAAATAACACTGGAGGAGTGGATAGCACCGATGATAGTGTGAGATGGTGCACGAGCCTTATCAAGTTCTACAAAGGCAGGTGTTCCTATAAATGACCTTGCCCAGTTGCTCCTCATATTGATATTAAAGCCAGCCTCATCAATGAATATGCAGTTTTTATCGAAGTCTAGGTCTGAATCCTTCCACTTCATGGATTATTCATATCTCGTTTGTAAGTTATCGTTTAAGTTTCTGATCTTTGCTTCAAAGTTTGGCTTCTTTATGGTGATGAACATATTGTTTTTCAAGTGATGATTCATTTGGTATTTGGAAATTGAAAAGCCTTCGAATTTGGAAGTCAACGAGTCAATAATATCAGCAGCACACAATTATGGATTTTTCTCCACTATTTCTTGAATGTATTCCTCGTGTTCCTCAGTAAAAGTACGAGATCAGCCAACATTTTTCTCTGATTTCTTATACGGAACGTCGTCTGTCTTTTGATAAAGTTTCCGCCAACGATTAGCAGTAGTAAGTGTTATTCCTAAGTCTCTTGCAACTGCTGACACTCTTCCTCTTTTGACGGGACCTTTGATCATTCGTTCAATAAATTTCTCTCTCGTGCGGTCGTCATAGTTTCTGTAAGTACTGTTAGTGGGTGATTTCGCTAATTTGACCTTATTAGCAGGTACATCTTTCATTTTGGTAACCTTGATATCCTCTGGTTTAGCAGCCAAATAAGCAGCTTGGCTCGTTAATGTGGCGAGAACTATGTTCGGATCGATGATATCTGTCAATACATCCTCCATTGGATCTACAACTCTCTCTCCATTCTCGTTAAAGATTTTCTCTAGTCCATCTTCATAATAGAAAGTGTTTTTGCTCATTCTGTTTAATGTGTAACACAATAGAGTATAATTTTATTTCCAGAGATGAAAGAAGAATTATACTAAATGTCACATGTAAGAATAGCTTAACTTCAGAAGTAACCAAAATAATTTCTCGATTAAGTCAAAGTATAATTTAAAATGGACCAATTGTTTTTCGAATTTTCTCCACACCTTTTTTGTTAAACTCCAAATTATTTTTTATTATCACCATTTTAATTTCTAAATCAGCCAATATTTACATAATGGATTATGTTTGTTTTATACATTTGCTTTATGAATGACTACCTATCCTGAGTATTTTTTTTTTTTTTTGTAAAGAACCAAGCCCATTTCCCCTGTAAACATTTAATAGTGAACATAAAAAAGCTGAATAACACTATGGCCGAAAATATGGTAGAAAAGTTACCAATATGGTAGCAAAGTTACCAATTTTGACAGTTAAAATATGGTAGGAATGATATTCTATAAGCACCCAAAAGGTAGCTTTTCTACCATATTTTTTTGGTAGCTTATATACGATATGGATTGCTTATTTATCGTATTTTTATAAATATAAAATAACGCTTTATTTTTTAAAACAGTACAAAACAATAGTGGGATAATGCTTATCTGCTTATTATATATGTGTTTTTTCATATAAACACTGAAGAAGATTCTAAACGTTTAAACTAACTTACCTTTTTAAAACTTGGACTAAAAAGAAAAAGTAATTTCTTCATGTTAGCAAGATAAAGTAACAAAGAACTTCCGGCAATTCGTGTATTTGCCTTTTCTTTTGTACGAGTCAAGTAGCGTATAGAGCTTCTTTTTTTTCTAAGAAAACAACGACTAATGAACAATATAAACGAATGTTAGAATTGAGTGCAAGATTATAAATAGCATAAAAAAGAACTAAAAACAAGATGGAATCTACTACCTTCTCAAATGAAGAGTCTTCTATACATAATAATGAACGAGATTGAGAGCTATTTTAAATAAGAACCATAATGAATTAGGCTAAAGAGAAAAGTGAAAAAAAAACTTCATGCTTATTGCCATCATGTTTACTTACTACTTTGTTTATAGGCCAGATCTATCCATCAACCAAGTGTCTTTAGTACGCTAAATGGCTTTTCTGGTTCTCCTTTCTTTGGCTTGGATGAGCTCCATTTGATCGCTAGAGGCATCGGCAAACAAATGTACGACATGATTACCGTTGATCTCAACCCAAGTCAAAACACTGTCTTTTTTATACCTGACAGGATGGCACAAAGGTGGTGGAGAACTACCCTTTTTTTATACCCCAAAGAAGCCTTGTAAACATTGGAAAGAGCATAACACAGTCAAGACAATATATCCCTACCTCATTTCAAGGCAGTTTTGACAATGTTGTTGCAAAAACCGAAGGAACTCGTGCTGTGGATTGGCTGGACTTTCTGCTCTATATTATTCCAACTTTAGTTACCCCATACTTACCCAACAGAACAGTCCAAAAAGCTGTATTATCGCTAGTGAAAGGTTGCTCTTTGGCCCTTCAATGGGATCTAACTGATGAGTTGATCAGTGAGATGGATGGGTAAGATTCAAATTCTATAATATTACACAAACTAATTAGTAACCCCTTCTGCACTAGGCACTTTAATGACTGGCATAACTACCTCCTTCAACAGGTCAACCATAAACATGTATCGCGCAGCGTATTCAGACCAGTACAACATTACCTAGCTCATATACCTTTCATGATAAAAAAGCAAGGCCCTCTTTGAGCGTATTCAACAAGGTCAATGGAGCGATCGATTGGGGGTTTTTTCAAAGTTGATCAAGTCGAAACGTGAGGGCGGAAAAAACGCAAGTAACATCATTGAAAGACTGGCAACCCACAATCATGTCAACCGCGTTTTAAACATTGCTGAACTAGCTAATCTGATTCAATCCAGACAATATACCGATGCCAGCTACATGAATATGCCCGATGATGCTAATGGTCCACAATTATGGGAGTCTTTCATCCCGATTTCTGAGCTGAATGACGATCAATTGGTAGAAGATATACCCGTCAAGAAAATTGTAAAAGCTATAAAGAGATTCTACACTCGCTTAAATAATCAAAGACTCCCCATCAATATACCCAGCACTTCTATAACCCTTGCATCCCGCCTTTTGGTTTCTTCAACTGTATATTCATCTTGTATGTACAGGCGATTAAAAAAAAGAAACCAGTAGAGGGAATCAATACATCATGTTTTCCTGTTTAGATAACACGTAAGTTTAAAAAAAAAACTAAAACAACTATAAATTCTTATTTACCGAACATATTATTTTAGAAGAAGGAAACGTTGGTTTGTTGGTTCTGTTCTGTTCTATTTCAAACATGAGCTTTCACAATCGAATGTACAATTTCTCGCGTTCATTGAAGTCATGAGTCAACATACCACAGCTTCGCATGACTCATCTGTCCCTCTAGTAAAGCGAAGCAAGCCAATAGAAGAGCAAACTGGCAATACTTCTATTATATACCCAAAATACGCTGTTATCAGTGTTTATGACATCGATAGGTAAGCTGGTCTTGTACAATACCCTGGAGTTGATAACCAGTTTTATGTTATATCCCCGTACTTTGTTTTCGACATTAATCTTCGCATAACAGTTGGTAACATTTCTTTAATTTAAATTATTATGCTCCAAATAAAATAAAAAAAACCAGCTCAAAGCTTGTTTGTTGGAAAGAAAAAAAAATTCAATTAAAAAATTAGAAGCCCGTTTTGGCTCTGAAAGAAATTCAAGCGCTGAAATATGGTAGCTAAAATACCAATTTGGTAGCTGTTGCCAATTTTTTTTTTTTTTTTCCGTAAAAAATTAAAAATCATTATTCTAAAATGAAGTTCATGGCTTAAATGAAGGGAATAAAAAGACACCCAAACATATAAAAATAATCTATATACCTTTTACTATTCACCTAGTTGCTTCTAGGCTTAATTCTAGGGATTTAAAAAACATCTCACCATTGCTAGCCATCTGGTATGCATCCTTCCTTAAATGTGGTTGGCTGGTTCAAAAAAAATTGGTAGCTTTTCTACCAATTTTCCTCATTTACCATAATTTCCGCCATAGTGTAAATAATATGATGTGATAGTTAAAGGCCAAATAATCATTAAGAAAAAATAGAATTATCAATGTGCATTCTGTTTAGTACAGTGCTTCCACTTCCCAAATCGTATATTTTTCAAACTTGATGGTACGTTTCTCAAAAATAAAACAAGGACATTAATTAAAAACTGGCATTTACTTCCCTAAAAAAAAAAACCCCCCATTCAGCCAATGAAATTCAAATAAGGTTTGAACTTCAATTGGAACACACAGCTTACCCCATCTGAGCAAGAAATTGGCTTTTAGCAGATCAAAAAATAAGGAGAAAAGAAAAAATAAGGAGAAAAGAAAAAATAAGGAGAAAAGAAAGGAGAAAATATAAAAGCACCTAATTTTATGATAAGGAAATTATTTTTTTGTTCGTTTTTCAGTTAAAATATAGTCTGATCAACTAGTAATTTAATAGCACTGCCACTGAAAAGTTTTAACTACGAATTTAATTCATGTCTAAAAGAAATTTAAGATCCCTTGAACACCTTGCTGATGAAGAGCAAAAGCTTTATATTAACATTAGAAGAAATAGAATCAGAAAGCAGAATGAGGTAATATTCAATGGTATTGCATTGTAACCACGATTTTCCTAACTCTCTTTTTTTTTTTTTTTTTTAACTAAAGGCGATAAAACGCGTAACTATTTTTTATTTTCTTTTTATATGAAACTATGTATTATGTATTAACGATATTTTTTAAAAAAAAACAAAAAGAAATCAAAGAAATTTGATTACTTCGAGTGGTAAGAAATAGTTTTCAAAACCTCACGATAAAACTGTTAACTAAATTTATGCTCTCCAGGGTCACCAAAAATAATATTTATGATTGTTCTGATAAGAGTAAGCACTCTCATTTTGACAATTTATCTCAAGAAATAGTATTTGAATTGGACCAACTAAACAAGAAGCAATTCAACATTGAGAATGTTGTTTTTAGCAAATTATCTAAGATAATGAATACATCCCTTTCTTGGAAGAAAAAGCTTGCTGCAGTTGAAAAGTTTACTGCTATTAATAATAACGAACGCGCTCAAAAAGAGGTTTATCGATTTATGTAAGTATATTTTTTTTTGCCAAGTAAAATTAAATAAATTACTTTGGCTATTTGTATTCATTTTCTTTTTTTATTCAAGTTTGAATCAACATGTACATAAAGCAAACCTTTTTTCCGATAGCAGCATAAAGAGCTATTCCGAAGAAGATTTTAAGTTGAAGTTCTGGTCGCATATTTTCGAAGAAATCTTTGGATACAGCGACATCAGCTTGAAATGGTAAGTCGTCTCTAAAAACCAATTATAATCAGTCACCCAAATTCTGCAAAATAAATCCCATTTACTTATCCTTCTTCAGTGGACTGAAACTAAAGTAGTATTCCAATTATAATTACTAATTATATACTTTATAGGGGAGATACCGTTCCTAGCTCTTTGAGCAAGTCTAAGATCATTTCAAAGATGGATCTCCGTGTGGGTGCATTAACATCACCTTTAGATTACTCCCTCGCTGAGTTTGCGAAGAAATGCACTTCCCACAAGTACTACCTTGACAAGCTTAAGTTGATCTTAATCTCAAAATTACATTTAAACTTGCTTGTACAGAATCTCCAGTGCAAAGAAACTGATTTGTATGTCCCCTTCATGCAGATCATGGGGTTTGATTGTCACTTGCTACACCTTGTTTTGGTGAAGCCAAAACAATACATGTTGGTTAACGTAGTCACTTTTTCATATCCTGTGACTAAGAAACAAATAAATGAAGGTGGAATTGAGCAATTGATAAATGTTCTTTCATATATTAAGGTAGTGTGTCATAACTATATTACTCACAGTGCAGTCAACTTAATTATTTGTACTTTATTATAGAGATCAGCAATTAAAATGAAGGAACAAATCAATTCTGCTAAGATTGAGAAACATGTTAGCAAGATTGATAACCTTTTAAATACAAGCCCTATTGTTGAATCGAAAAAACGGGGAACAAAGGTTATCTGGCCAGACAAGACAATTTTAGATGATGTCTGTATGTGGGATGACAACACTGAAGATGGTTGTTATGATTGTAGTCGTATTTACAACTAAGTTAATAGAAATAAACTATCATTTATTTAAATAATAAAGAATTTATTCGAATAAACTAGTGTATTGTGCTTCACAGCATAATATTCATTCTACACTCAGTTTTAATAATAGTCATTGTTAGAGTATTTGAGTATTAAACAAAATAATTATATACATCATAGTATGTAATTATAAGAATTCAATAGGTTTATGACTGTTATATTCAATCACATAATTATTTATACACGTCATACATATTATATATACATCCATAATGTTAAATATTGTTATAGTGGGAATATTCACTGTAAATTAATATTAACGCGTTGCTTATCCCAAAGACGATAATCGGGTATATTTTTAATAACAGCAACAGCTCAGGCAGAAATATACATACTGTATGCAGAATTATTCGGAGACAATATTTGTGCATATTTGTGCATAAAGGCTTTATTATAGCAATATTCACTTATCTAAATCACACTCCTATTAATATGACTTACGTTACAAAACATATAAGTAGCCCTCGTCATTTTTCTTCTTGTACAATTTCTGTGTTATTTTCTTCAATAAAACTATACAAAGTTTTCACAGACTTGTCTTTTCTTTTTCTCTTTCCTTATCTTTGCACTCAAAACACAATTTCTTCATCTTATAAAGTTTTCACAGATTTATTCTGTCTTCCTTATTTTTATCTCTACCTTATCAACAGAGATAGTAATGAGGAAAAGGAATATAATGATATATAAATAAACGTATAATTAAATTAGTGTATTTTTTAAATAAGACTAGGATTGCTACTTTCAAAAGTTATTAAAAAGGCTGTGTAAATTAGATAAATAGTATAATATATATATGCTCTTATGCTGATACAAAGGCATATCTACAAAAGAATTACTTTCGTAAACATCTTTTTTTCTTAAGCTTTTACTCCAGAATTGCTAATATCTATTATTATACAATTTCCGCCTTCAAAGGTAGGAGGAAACATTTTTCGCCAAGAAGGCAGAACGATCATACACCAAAAGTGTATTTCTTTTTTTAGCAAAACTGATTTATTCGAAATTGGATAAAAAGTTACTCTTTTATTATTGTGTGATTAACTATTGTATATATTGTATAATGTAATACTATCTGATTATTTTCCGATACTCTGGTTGGTTACCCATGACACACAGTGAACGTAGTCGAACTATTCGATGGTGTCTTGGTTGACTATCAGGAGGAATACCTAAAGCCTGCTCATATCGTCCTTATGTACACTTTAGTTCATCACACGCCACTGGATACTTGCACATGTACACTCATTTATTCATGTCTCGATCAATAAACAGATCCCCTTTTTTCCTTTCTTTAAATCATCTCCCTCAGCATAAGTATCAAAATTTCAGGATGTTTCTTCCTGGTTCTATCGTTGGCCAGTTATGTGCACCATTCTACAGGAAACAGATTACTTAATACATGACAAACTACAACCCGCTCCACTTCTTGACCCAGGCAGGAATGACTCAACTAGGTTGTCCCTTTAAATTTGTTAGCATATCCCCCTTTCTTTCTCACCTTCTCTTCCTTTCCTTTACCTTTTTTACCTCTTGTCCCTGTAAGAGAATTTTTAGATACTTTTTTTTTTTTTTTTTTGCATAATCTGAACTGACTAGGCAGTCCAGTATAACAAAGATATTGTGTGTTCATAGGTTGCTTTATAATTATGTTTAATAGTGATACTGAAAAATAGATTGTATTTTGGGAATCATTTTTTCATTAATTTGAAAGTTTTTTACCATTTTAAGTGGAAAAAATATGACCGGTTTTAAGTAGCAAATAAAAAAAAAATAAATAAAATAAAAAAAAATTACAAATAATGTTTCTTGAACAATATTTAGTCTTCTTCTTTATTATTATTATTAGTTCTTTAGTTATTTATTTCAATAGTCAAATTGTCGGAAGAAAATAAAGAAAGATATGGGCCCGGAGGAGTCTTTGTAATTCCAAAGCTTAGACCCTTTAATAATACTAAACATTGTTTTGAATGTGGAGCCATGTTTAATTTATTCAAGCAAAAATACCATTGTCGAAATTGCGGTAAGAAATGCCTTTCCTCCCTTTAATTTGGAAATGACATGTGTGTTCACTTTTATATATAGGTATTTATATATGTTCTAACTGTTCAGACCATAGACATCCAATAAAAAAATTTGGTTATGAAAAGTAGCACTTGAAAAGAAAGAGTGAAATCTATTGATGATACATGCATATATTAATTATTATTATATCATTCATTCATTCATTCAGTCCTGTGCGGTGTTGTAATACTTGTGAAAAGTTAATTCGGATGCAAAGTATGAACTCAATTGAACTAGCAAAATTAGCACCAAAAGATTTAAAAGAATATATCAAAGCCTATCACCTTCCGTCTAAAGCAGCCATTGAGAAAAATGATTTAGTTCGAATTATTTTTAATACGAGACCTATTTCAAATGAAAGTGAATGTTATTTTAGACAGCATCGTACTCGATCAGCAACAACAACAACAACAAGTAGTAATAATGGCTTTTCATTTACAAATATGATTCAAGACTTGTTTACACCTTTAA